TTTACAGCGAGTAAATACCGGACCGTTACAGAGGGGTTCCTATACTTACTATCTTCGCTTTTAATACCGTTTTCCGCTAGCTATTACAGTTACGACCTATGTATCTTTAACTTCCAGATAGTTATCTAGCTAGTTATATTCCCGAGGCTCGGGTTTTTCTATAAGGCTAGCTATATATCTTTTAGATCGTTAGTCTATATACTCGGTGTTCTCTTGGAATACAATGATCTTAGTATCTTAGTAGATAATAACGTAACTAAGGCCTCGCTCTAGGGTATTATAAGTCTTTTGCTTTTCCGTTAGATCTAGCTTATCTCCCACGTGTATCTAAACTTATTATTCTTTGTTATAAGAGTAGAGGGCTTAATTTTCGTTAATACTAGGCAGCTAGTCTACCTAGTAATTATTAGTTACCTAGCTTTCTTATTAGGTATCCAGGGATTCTATATTACTAATTCGCTAGTTTTCAAGGGATTCGGTTAAGACTTCCTTCCAACTATTATCCTCGCTGACTCGTTCGAGTACTATTACTTCACGACACTTGGTCTTTTATTTAGCTAAAGTAAATTATCGTTTATCTTTAAGAGGGGCTTTCTCTCTATTCTTATTCTAAGAGTAGTCCCTAGCGAGGTAGCCGGCCTTACCATAAGTATAGTATAAGCCCTTCTCTTATTGTTTCTACTTCTCAGCCTAGCTCTTACCTCCTCTCTTAGCCTTATCTATTTCTATTAGGTTATAATAACTCCGTTTATTATTAAGGTAGAGTTAGAAGTTTCCTCCTCTCTTCCTATGTTATTCCGGGAACTAAGGCTTCCTGTATTAAGTAGGGGTAAAATACCCTCTTTTTTCCTTCTGTTATTCCTAGATCTGTTTATTGATAATTATAGCTATTTTGATTATTTCCTCTAGGTTATCGGGTTTATTAGCCCTAGAGAGTTCGTCTTTGATATAGTCCTTTAAGCCCTTGTAGTACTAGGCTTTTAAACTACTATCTGTCCAGTCTAGTCGTATGGAGTAATAGTGGAACTTAGTAGTATATTTGTGAATAGATCCTCGTTAGCGGATACTAAGTAAGTGTTTCTTAGACTATTCTTTCTCGTTAAGGTCTCCGAAGACTCCCTTAATAGTCGTAGTAAATCCTGCGACAGTACAGAAGATAACACGACTCTTCTCAGTTATAGTAGTAGAGTAAGCTCCGGTTATATATTAGTTAAGAAAGTAATCGCTAAGGGCTAGTTCGATCTAGTGTACTATAGTATCGCAGAGGAACGAGGCGATTTACAAGACCTTAAGGGATTCGGCCTTAAACTTATCTCTATTAAAAGCTAAGTATATCTAGTACTAGAGTACGAACTATCTTAGCTTAGATCGTTAACTATAGAAAGTATCCGGTAGGTTAACTTAGAGTAAAGTAACCTTATCTTCCTTCTTACTAGTCTAGGAGTTTTCTCCTACGATAGATCCTTCCTTAGGAGCTATTATATCTTACTAATAATACTTCAAGTGAGATACTTAAAGTATAACGTTTCTAACTTAGTCAGTATTATAAGTATAGACTTATCAGTTAGTATCAGTTATGAAGTAAGGTAATAAGACACTCGATTCTTAATAGGAATTAAGACGTTATAAGTAGTAGTAAACTAGGTATAAACTTACTATTTAATTTAAGCACGAAGCTCTATTATCTAAGAAACTACCTACTTATTATATAAAACTTCTGACTTCCTATGTAAGTTATATAAGACGTCTTACAGGGCGCGTAAGCCCGTAAGCCTATCTAGTAAGCTAGTATATCACGTGACCCATGTTTACTATGATTAATATAACTATTATTATAATAATAAGCGTGAAGTATAGTACTACTCGCTAATTCGTACTATTCTCTTGTTAGTGCTATTCTCTTAATAGTACCATCAACCCTTTGGTACTAAACACCGACTAGTGCTATCCACTTAGTAGTACTATCAGTATTATAGTGCTAACCCGTGACTTGTACCAAGACTAAGCCTGGTTCGTGATATATAGCTATAAGAAGGATATAACTACTAGCTAGAAAACTATAATAGGAGGAAAGAAAGTTCTACTAATTATAATAATAATAAAGCTCCTAGGTAAGATACTAGGATTTCAGTGAGTTTATTATAGTCACTTATAATTAATAGCAGGGCGTATAAGTCTCTATATAAAGTAGCTCCCGGAAGGTTTAGCTATTAAGAGATTATATATTATATATAATAGGAGATTAGAAATCAGAAAGCTGAAGATAAACCTGGAGACTTATATTTAGTTTTATATAGCTAATCGCCCTCCTTACTTATTAAATAGGCTTAGACCTTATAAATTTTATAAGAAGAAGAGGCTTGAATTATTCGATTATAATTAGAAGCTGATTCTAGATAGCTAGAATCCGATAATCTTACTATAGTAGGAAGAGAATAGATAAGTTATTCGCTCCCTTTTTAAATAGTAATTTAGTTCCCCTCTTAGAAAGTAAATCTATAATAAATTAGATATATACTAATACTACTTATAAGAGATTAATAAGCGTAAGAATATCAAATAGCTATAGAATATATTTTTTTCAGTAACCTAGTAGCTTATACGCTAAGACCCCGCCTACTATATATTATATATAGCTCTTTATCCCGATAAGAAGTAGAGACTAGTTAGTTACCCTTACTATACTAAATATACTATACCAGGAGATAGAACCTTTTTCTATTATATTAATTTAAATATTAATAATATACTTACTACTAATCGAGAGGCTATTATAATTTAAGGTAGTATCTTACTAAATTAGGAGGATAAGGATAATTATATTTTCTATTATCCAGGGATATAATATAAGCTAAGTAAGTAATAGGCGCGTATTTATAAGTAAGGATAAGATACTAACTATTACGTTTACTGAATTATAAATTAAACGTTTACTTAAGAGGATATAGAGGTCTTAGAAGTAGATTAAGTTAGAACTCCTTATAGCCCTAGAGATATATAGATTATATTACTAAAGATCCTATATAAGTTAACTAAGCCTATAATAAAAGTTCATTAGATTATCTTACTATAGTTTATTATAATTCAGGATAATAAGGAAACCTTAGAAGTTATAGAAGGAGGAACTTAGAGAGATCTAACTAACTCTTATTAAGATTTTATTATACCTTTAGCTACCTTATTAAGCCTTATAAATTAGTATAGAGCTATTCCCTTTTAGTTCACTACTATAGTTAAGCTTTACAAGTTAAGTACTTTATCTAATACTCTAGTTACGTGATAATAATAAAGTTCACTAGTAGTAATAGCTCAGAGAAATATTCTATTAGGAGGGGATTAAGCGGCAGCTTATAGCTTTATTAACAGGTAAAGAGCTAAGGTACTAGTTATAGCTATAGAGGCTTTTAAAATAATAAGAAAAGTAGAGAAAGAGGCGTTTAGAGAGAAGTCCTTTTACTACTTAAAAGAGGTATTAGAGGCTATAAGTATTCTAATAAGAGAAATAGAAGCTAATACTAACTAGCTAAGTAAAGAAGTAATAGAGATTATATTAAAAGAGAGCTTATTATTTATAGAGGAGGCCGAAGAGTACTTAGTAGCAGGTGTAGATAATATAATAGAAGTAGATAGTTAGAAGGAGTATCTATATATTTCTTTTATTTATACGATATATCAGGGGATATAATCAGGGGGCGATTACTTAGTTAGGGGGAGATATATATAGTAAGGTAATATAGTTCTAAGTCGGAAGATAGTTAGCTTATTCCGTAAGGTTATATAAATAAGCGCGATAGTATATAATAAATATATTATCTTCTCTTTCTTACTCTTACTACCTATTTAGTTAGTAGTCTTCTATATCCCTGCTTACTATGCACTTTGATAGCACTACCCCACTTCTTTATAGTAAGAGTAAGAGAGAGAAGATAATATATTTATTACGTGCTATCGCGCCTACTTATACGATCTACGGAATAAGCTAACTATCTTCCGACCCGGAACCATACTACCCTACTATAATATCTATACCTAACGTTTATTTTTGTGTACTAAAGGCTCTAGAGGGCTAGGAGGCTCTGAAGGTACTCTATAAGTTATTAGGTCTAAATTAATAGGAATTAGAGGTGCGATATCATCTTTTACAAGTAGCGGAGCGAAATTGAGATATACTTAACGATTTCTATATCTCCTAGGAGTTAAAGAGCCTCTGGAGTAGTTATTAGTGTTCTTTATAAGTCGACGTTAAGTTAAGGAAGGCATTTTAATAGTTTTAAAGATAAGGTTTCCTTATAAAAATCGTGTTAGGAGTAACTTAACTTTAACCCCTTTTTTCTTAATAACTACTCAGTGAATAACTACTCAGTGGAAAATAACAAATAATACGTTAAATAAAAGATCTACGCTATAGCTTAAATTTAATGTTATTTTTATGTATTTATACTAAAGATTAGTAGAGTTTAATACTTAGATATCTGACTTTCCCCTGAAGGTTATTAGAAGAGGTGACATAGTCTACTTACATAAGGCTCAGCGGGAACTATACTAAAACAGGGTTAAACGACCCTGTTCCGTTAGAGATCTGACTAACTAATAGCCGTTCTAAGTCGCTAAAACGAACGCTAGTCCGTTTAGGGTTAGCGTAAACGAACGGCCGTCCGTTCCTGTTTTACTAAGAACGAGAAAACTATCGACTACGCTGTACCTACCTACCTACCTACCTAACAATTCAATTCAATTCAATTTGATTCAATTCAATTTAATCAAAAATAAAACAAAACAAACTAAACATAGAAAATCCCCGAATTACAATATAACATAATATAATTTACTATATCATATCACTTTATAATCCACAACGAAATAAGCTAATTGCATTTCTCTTCTCTTCTCTTCTCTTCTCTTCTCTTTCATTTTCGTCTCGATGGGCTTTTAAAACAAAAACAAGAATAAAAGACAGAAGAGTGGAAATCTAAAGGTAAGGTAAGGTAGCGTCTAGTGTGACTGTACTGTATACTATGACCCCAACTGAACCCAACTGAACCCAACGCTTCTTTATCTCGAAAGAGAAGGAAAGGAAATGTAAACGCCGGAAATGCAATAGTGGGAAAGGATCGGTTCGGATAGGATGAGATCGGATGAGATAGAATTAGTATTATATATATACAGTCGTCAAGCCATTCTCTTCATTTCCCTTCCCTTGACTTCCGACCTCGCCCCTTGTCTCATACAACAACTCAGCCGATTACGTATTCCTTCTTCCGCTCTCGCTCCCCCTTCTTCACCTCTCCCTCCCCATCCTTCTTCCCCTCTCCCTCTCCTCCCTTTCCTTTCCCCTCCACCTTCCCCTCCCCCTCCACCTTCCCCCTCTTCGCCTTCTTAGGCACCCTAACAAGCCAATAAAGCGCAACCGCCGCCCCCGCATTAAACACAATATAAACCCACATCAGGCCAAAATTCCTCCACCGATTCCCATAGCTACTCCCCAGCGCCGCAAGGAACTGGTCCGTACTATCCAGCGCGCAAAAGCCACACTCGCCCCTGGCGGCGGGATCTTCAAGATACCCACCCCTCATCTGGGTACTGATCCAAGCACTCATGTACTCCCCGCAGGTGAGTCTCGCCGGGGCGTTGAAGCGGCGGAGTTCGGTCGCGGAGCAGACGACGCGCGTGCCGGCTATGCCGACGGAGAGCATGCTGTCGACGAGGTAGGTGAAGGGGCTGAGGCGGTACATGAAGATCCAGAAGCGGGGGAAGACGTTGGGCGAGGCGAGGACGCCGCAGAAGACGAGGGTGAGGGAGAACATCAGGTTGGCGATGTTGCCGCCCGTCTCGGCTGTTTCGATGGCCGCGATGACCATGGTAGTGAAAGTCGATGTGAAGAGGAGGAAGGTCCAGATGAGGAGGAACATCAGGCCGCCGCGCGAGGTGACGGCGCTGGTGGGCTCGGCGTTTTTGTACAGCCCGATGGGGTAGTACCAGCAGATGAAGATGAGGACGGCCATGAGTGAGTTCCAGGGGAGCTCGACAATAATGTTGGATATCATAAAGGCTTTCCAGGAGTAGGTTTTTGAGGGTCGTTCGCGAGCTTCGTATAGTGAGCGTTGGGTTACGAAGTGGGGCATGATTTGTTGGACTAGTTGTCCGAAGATGGTGAAGAGCATGAAGATGGCGAACATTTGGTTTTGTAGTTCTTGTTGGGAGGTCCCGGCGTTGAAGAATGAGAATCCGATGAATAGGGCGGAAGCGACGCAGAGGAGGACCTTGGAGTAAATGTACGATGGGGTACGCCAGTATTGCTGGAAGACACGCTTCTGAACCTCGGTTTGCTGAACCATGAACGGGGCAGCAAATTCGCGGAATGAAGCCTTATCGTCGGTGCTTGTTGGTTTAGTGATCTTTGGTAGTTCCTCCTTCAGACGATCGAGCTCGCGGTGGACTTCTTGGTATTCAGGAGATGATCGCCATGCATCGTACCAGTCAATGTTGGTATGCGAGCCTGGTGCAGCACCAATGACTTCTAGCATCCATTCTGCAGGGTTAGCGTCAGGTGGGCAAGAGATTCCAGAAATGCGTTCAAAGTATGAGGTCAGGATATGGGAGCCCTCTCCGACTTCACCGAAGTAGACAGTCTTGCCACCTTTGGCGAGGAAGAGAAGTCGATCGAAGCGTTGGAAGAGCATTGCGGATGGTTGATGAATCTGCTTCTATTAGTATACTTTAGCTGAGATGAGAGAGAACATACAGTGCAGAGGACAGCTTGACCATTCTTGGTAAGTTTCTCCATCAGATCGCAAATAGCCCAGGACGTCTGAGAATCAAGACCAGAAGTAGGTTCATCCAAGAACAGGAGTAGCTCAGGTTTAGCAGCCAACTCAACACCAATAGTCAATCGCTTACGTTGCTCGACATTGAGACCTATCCAATTAGCTTCCCATCCACAATTAGATCAGCAGCAAAACATACCTTCTCCCGGAACACCAACAACGGCATCGGCATACTCCTCCATATCAAGCAGCTTAATAACCTCATTAACATACTCGAGTTTCTCCTGTCGAGGGATCTTGGCCGGCCGTCTGAGAAGAGCGCTGAAGTTCAAAGCTTCACGGACTGTCGAGGTGGATAAATGGAGATCTTGCTGTTGTACGTATCCGGTTTTGCGTTGGAAGGAATCGTCGCGTTCTCGGCCGTCCACGAGCATACCACCGGTGATGACACCCATGGTAGTGCGAGTAGCCAGGACGTCGAGAAGTGTAGTTTTGCCTGCACCGGAGACACCCTGGTCATAATTAGCCAAATTCAACTTGTGTCAAAGAGAGTACTCACCATGAGCGCAGTCAAAGTTCCAGGCTTAACCCATCCATCAACATGATCCAAAATCCGTCTAGGTTCACCCTTGATCTTGATATCATAACAAACATCCTCCCAGTGGAAAACAGCAGTCTGTCTCTTCAAAATAGTAGACACATCAACATTAGTAGACGTCTTTTCAACACCAGAACTCTTCACAGGGCCAAGCTCCTCATCGCTACCGCCTCGCTTGGACAGAACAGCTGGCTTATGACCACGGCGGAAGAGAAGGACTTCGCCCTTGGATTTCTTGGCGGTGATGTATTCCGTTGCGACGAGATATACTGTGCAGAGACCGACGAGGAAGACCCAGAGGATTCCGAAGTTTCTGGTTCTGTTAGTAGGGTTCAAGGTTGGGACGGGGGTTGACGTACCTCCACTTGTGGGATGCATAGTACTGGTAGGATTGTCCGATGTAAGCAGCACCTTCAACAACACTCAATCCCGGCACAGCTCCGACAGCAGTGCAAATCTGCTCTAAAGGCGCCACGTTCTCGTATCCAGGTCCGCTTGGAATGAAAGATGTCGGTAGGCAAGTGTAATTCTGTCCAACAAACTCATTAATCATAAGCGACTCAAAGCCATAAGCCACAGGATCAAGGTAATTGATCCATCTAGCCCAGCCTCGCATATTCGGTACCGGAAGTGCGAAGCCGGTATAGATCACGATAGCCAGGATCAGAACAGCAGCTGGAGCCATTGCCTGGGACAGAGTACGGGAGACAGATGCGATCGTCCGGAACAGCATGGACATGACCATGGTCAGCATGAAGGAGATCAAGACGAAGAAGAAGAAGTTGCCGGGCTGTCGGTTCAGATTGACCATGAAGTAGAGCGTGGTGTTGAAAACGATTGCGTTGAGTATTTTGTACGGCATATCCGTTAGCATGGAGGCGATTGCTTCACATGAAGGGTGGTACAGGGCGTATCTGGAGTGTTTCTCTACAATGGGACGTTGTGCGTAGAGTGTCAAGATCTGTCACTAAGTTAGTTGAGTCCATCAAAGTAGAGTGATCTTTACAAACCTCGAGAGCAGAACCAAAGGCATTAAGTAAGATAGAGAAGAACAAAATCGCACTTCTAGAGAAGAACGAGTCGGTCGTCTGTGGTAGATTATAGAAGACACTGCTGATAACAAGAGCCATCAAGAAATTTCCAAAAAGCTGAGTGAAAGTCAAGCTGGGATCTCCTTTCAATCTCCAGAAACCACGACGAAGACACAGAGCCACTTGTCCAACATACGAAAGCGTGTACGGACTCGTAACACGCTGATGCTTCGACTGCTGAGCCCGGCGCGATTCCTTGAATTCCTGAAGATGCTGGCCATTTGGTTGGTACTGCTCGTTGTAGTTATCCACCTCCTTGATCAAAGCAGCTCGTTCGGGACTGCTCTTCCAAACAGCGGCGAAATCGTCGGGTGTGCGGGGTACTTTGTTCTCGAAACCTTTCCGTACGACTCTTTCTAAGGGACTGGTCATGGAGGTGAGGAAATCGGCGGTGGTTTGGCGGTCGGGGCAGTCGAAGCCGAGGTTCTCAAAATATGCTTGGGCATCTGTGCATCGTCCGAAATAGATCTGTCGGCCTTCGTACAGAACCAGGACTTTGTCGAAGATCTGACTTGTTAGCTACGTAAAAGAAAACCCTTTGAGTGAAAAATTTACATCATAGGCACTCTGCGGAGCCTGGTAGATGGCAACACATGCAGTTGACCCCACGAGATCCGTAGACGATCGCAAGGTCTTACAGAACTCAATTGCATTAGCACTGTCCAGACCACGGGTACTATTATCCCAGCATTGAAGCGGCGCTCCACTGAGGGCAGCCTCAGCAATTGTCACGCGCTTTCTCTCTCCTCCAGAAACGCCTCTCAGGAAATCGTTTCCAACACGGGTATTGATCGTGTGGCTGATGCCAAAAACGGCCATAATTACGTCTCGGAGATATCGTGCGAATTCTTGGCGGGTGATGCCTCCTGGGATATGTCTGGGAGCTCTGGCTTGGGCGGCGAATTCGAGGGTTTGTCCGACTGTCAGCATGGGGAAATGGACATCCACTTCAGCTGTGTAGATAGCTTCACCGCGGAAATCCTTGTGCATCTGCTCTGGTGTGATACCCTGGTAATTGATTCTGGATTTCTCGTCGATGAAGAATCCATTGGTCTCGCCGGCAATCGTTTTCAGGAATGTTGAACATCCACTGCGCACATATCAGAGGTGGCATTTTCATGTGTACCACAAAAACCACTTACCTGCCAGGAGGCCCAAGAACCACCAGCATTTCTCCATTATGCACAACACCGTCCAGGTTTTGTAGGATATCAATCTTCCTTGGTTTCGCACTACCAATAAGCTTCTTCACAGCACCAACAACCTCGAGGATAACATTTCCCTAAGCGATGTCAGCATCATTCCATTGTTGAGTTTCTCCCCCCTGCAAACTTCAGCACGTACCACACTCTTCTGGTAATCCGTCGCCGAACCAAACCCATACACATTCAAATCTCTGTACGCGAACCCAGCAGTCCTCAGTTTCCACTTCTCCGGATCGCGCGCTTGCAGATTCAGCAGCGACTTGGAGAAGGCTCTGGGGCTGAAATTCGGCGAGTTGGGATTGAGGCGCGAGTCTTCGGGCGACTCGAATGGATTCTCGTTGTAGATGCTCTGATGCGATTGAGTTGTGAATTTCCTAGCTAATTCGTGCACCTCGCCATCTCTTCTCTGGTCCTCGATCTGATCGAGTGTCTGTTGTCGCGTGAGGGTTGTGCCTTCGCTGTCGGCTATCTGGTTGGGGGTCTTCTCGCTCTCCCCAATTGGGTACGAGGACTCGTCGGAGTGGTCATGGCGAGGGCTGAATTGGCCTGGACTTCCGATTCCTTGCTGGGTGGAGGTTCTGTCGTCGTTGTGGAATGCGATGTTGCCTGTAGGGAGGAAATTGAGTTTTGGTTAGGTAGAAGATGGGGAAGCAGGGGCAGGGGGGAGCAGTGGTGGAAGCTTGACGTTGATTTTGGGTTGACGTACCGACGAGCGACATGGTGGTGGAGGGGTGGGCGAACCCAGTACGAGTGCGAAGATATTCGTATGAATTGCGCAGTGCGCCGTAAGGATTTGAACAGAAACAGAAAATGCGAATTGGCTTTTCTGCGCAGGAGATGAGACCAGACTGATGTTTCGTTTCGTCCTGTCTTGGTTTATTTTGTTTGTTTGTCGAAGGGAATCCTGATCCTGGAGATGTGAAGATGAACAGGGAGTGCAGAGGAATAATGAAATCAAAGTAAAGTTTCGCAAGAAAAGAAGGCGAATGCGAAAGAAATATAAAGCAGAAGTCCAAGACCCAGACCGATTCAACCCAAGCACTAGGTTACTGTCTTTCTGGCGTAGTCAGTCAGTCAGTCAGTCAATCAATCAATCAAAATAAAAGATTGCATCGGATTGGATTGGATTGGATTGGATTGGATTAGACTCCGTTTCTGGTGCAGCCGAACACGAAAATACGACGCGAGGTGTGCTCGAGTTAGCTCGAGTAGGGAGGGAGTAGGGGCACTGGGCACAACAGAAGCCCTTGGCGATCGTCAGCGGCTCATCGTTCCTCCTGAATTCTCCACTGCAGGCATTGCATTATTACTGTACAGCGGATGTGGTTGAATGGGGACCCGAAATATAGCCTTGTGGGCTTGGCTCGTTGCTGAGCACCAATAAAAGGGGAGCAAACGGCTAGATGATGGGGGACAAGAAGAGGCAAGGCGGAGATTTGTGCAAGTTGTGCAGCAAGGCTGCCTGCAGCCAACTGCAATAATACTGTCGTGGTTGGTGCAGCACTTGTGCGTTCAACTTGAGCCCGGATGCTGTACGTTCCGGGATCCGAGCAAGCCCGGGAGACGGGAGCTCTCGCAGCCATCCGAACTCGAGTGGTCCAGTCCAGTCCAGTCGAGCTTCATCCTCAACTTCACTTACTAGTGTAGTCAAAAAAAAAAAGGCCAGACGTCAACCCGCGATTTAGCTCGACCCACCAGTCCGGGTCTGGAGCTTCCACTTCCATTATTCGGAGATAAGGTTCCCTAGGGACTAGTACAGTAGTAGGGAGATGGAAATGAAGATTTCAAGCTTAAGGTTAATGACAGAGGAGGCAAGTTGTGACGAAATCGTACTCTAGGGCTCTCGAGATCGGCTGCATGAAATAATTAGTTAGGTAGGTAGGTAAGGACCCTCGGGTCGGCCCATCAAAGTCTAGAGCATGTGATGTGCAGTGTGCTGGACCCCTACTACTTTACCTACCTAGGTATTCTGCCATTCAGATACTGTACTACTGTACCTACTGTAGAGAAACGGACCCGGAATCCCGGTACGCTTCTACTGTAGGACCTGTTGGGTAGATAAGTAGATAGATCTTCATACTGGGTTTGGTCTTGGCTGACGACGCAGGGGGTCTGGACGTTGAAAGAATACCTCGGTAGGTATGTCTTTGTTTTTCCCATGGATATCTATCAAGACCTCAAAAAACCCATGCCAAGAGGCCTGCCCGCTTGCTTGCTTACTCGCTTGCTCAGCAAAATCGCTATAAAGACGTAGTAGACTATAGAGAACCTCTGGAGAATTCATTACTGTAGCGATCTTAAAGTATCGCCGAAGAAGATCCACGTCCCTAGCAAGTAGGTACAGTACTCACGGGAACGGGATATCCAGTTCCCTACTGTACAGTGTACACTCGGCTACCATCCCATCCTTGATCCGGAGGGCGCAGGCCAGGCTGTCGTCTAAATAATGTCGGTCTACAACAGCTGATGGTAGGTAGGTACGGATCGATGTGCTGATAAATAGTACTTTCTTTCTTCGGATGACAAGGAGAAACGCTGATTTACCAAAATTAATTCTCACGTGCTTGGGAGAGAAGTTGCGAGGGTCGTTGGCGTGCACATGGACATGAGGATATGGGCCGTACCGCCTTGCGCTGTGGTTGGATATCAGCACTCCCGCCTCCCTCCTGCTCTCGCTAAGCTTGTTTGTTGTCATCACCTTCCATTCTTTCAAGCAGCCTTTCGCACTTATTCAACGTTCCCCAAGCAAACAAATCCATTATATTATCTCGGAGGGATTTCCATAGTATTGTATTCATAATTCATTAACAGTGCTGTTACCCTTGTCCCTACGGTCATCAATCATCAAAGCCCAAAGTCACAACCAGCTCCGCCTACTTTTTCTCGCACTCGCACTCGGTTTCGCACTCGGACCCTGACCCTCACCCTCGCACTCACCACCCACCCCCACAGCATCAACACGCCTAACCTGCTCTTGCGCATCCATCTGCGTCTCCCACTTGATATCCAACCTCCCACACTCAATATGCACATCCCCCATCAAAAACCTTCCATCAACCACTCCGGCACCCCACTCCCCTCCATCTTCCCCCTCCCCACCCCCTCCCACACCCCCTCCCACACCCCCTCCCACACCCCCTCCCACCAAACTCCCCTCCGAGCCCGACCTCCCCCTCAACCTCGTCCTAGAATTCACCGACCCACCCCCCCCCGTCCCCGTCCCATCACCACTACCACCACCACTGAAACTCCCGAACAGCCTCGAAAACCTGGGGTATGTATAGATGATGAGTGTACGCAGCGCAGGCAGACACGAACAGATGATGGCGACGGCGAGTTCGATGGCCGTCCAGATCGTGACGGGGACGTAGTCCCAGGAGGGGTCGATGGATGTACCGAAGATGAGGAGGGATTGGAGGCGGATGATGGAGATGATACAGCCGCTAGAAGGAGGAGTTAGGTCAGGATCGAAATATCCAGAGATCCGAGTAAAGAGGGAGGGGCGAAAAGAAGATGGGTAGAGTGTGATATGAGAAGAGAGAAAAAGGAAAGGGAGAAAGAGAAAACCGACACATACAACCCCCCCAAAGCAAACATAAACGCCACACCCACCCTCTTCCTCCCCTCCAAGAACCCCATCCTCCACACCAGCCTGATCGGCAACACCACAATCATCAGATCCTGCACAATACTCAGCCCGCTATTCGCATACGCCAACGCGTTGATATCCACGCAGGTCCCGTTGCGCACGTCCTTGTCCCAGAAGTACGGCACCGGATGGCACTGGAAGATCGTCAGGGCGGAGATGGTCGTTGTGCCGAGTGCGATGAATACGATTGTGCTGTAGACGGCGAGCCGGAATCGTGCCTCGTGTTGGAAGATACGGAGGTAGAAGGTGAGGATGGAGATTTTGACGAGCCCGAGGACGATGACGTAGATGTTTTCGGCGATGTAGACTGGTAAGGTGTCAATCAGTATTCATTGTCTGATCTTTTTTTTTGTTTTGGCCAGAGAAGGCTTGGTGGTGGAGGTGTTGAATGAGAAGAGGGGGGAGCTGTACAGCCGTACGTACATTTGAGGAAAATCATCTGCAGAGCGCCGTCTTTGAGACTGTAAATGTGTTTTCCGAAGCCGAGCTTTGCCACTGGTAGTCCATCATCAGCGGATTGGACAGAGACAGTCTAAAACCAGGATTCTTACTTTGAGCAGAGAATATTTCGGATGCTATCGACAAGCACTGCGAGGGTCATTAGGCACTGGAGCCACAAAGAGAATCCAAAGAAAACAAACCTGAGCTAGTGCTGCAATGTAGTCTTCCATACCGAGTCCTGTCTTGATGAAGAACTTCGAAGCTAGTCGTAGAATGACCAGAATGGAAGTAAAAACTATGATGGTCGAGAAGAGGATGATCATCAATTGCGACTTGTCTTCGAACGGGAGGCTACAAGTTACCGCTTGGACTCTGGAGAGGTCTTGTGTCCGGTTAGATGATTATGACTTGTCAAGAGACAGGTGGAGAGAACTTGCCTAGAGACTCCTGCATGGTACAGTTGGCAAGCATACATCCTGCGGTGAGATGAGAGAGTAATTTGCTCTTGCATTGGCAATCTGCATCGATGAGTGAACATCCTGCTGCTGGTAATGATTGCGCCACACAGGAGAGCTGGACATCCATCAGTACTAGACTATCTGGGCGTGCATGTTGATAGAACTCACAGAACATGCGGACAATTCAATCGATGACTGGGATTGGACATGCGCAATCGCCGAAAGGAGAATCAATAGAAGAATTCGGAGAAGCTTCATATTTAATCGACATGTTGACTGATCTGATCTGGGGACCCGTTTTCAGCGGGGCAGAGGCAAGCTCATGTATCAAGCTGTCCACTGGTTGAGTTTCGACATCCGAGGTGACTATCCCAAGTCTCTGATAGTGTGTAAAATATGCAAGGCGGCCTGAACTATGTCTGGACAAATCATTAGATGCGACATTGAAATAGAGTTCGAGCTTCGTTTGTACCACGAGCAGATCATCACTCGATTGGCGGTTTCATCATCATGAAACCATCGCCTTCAAACTTAGAGTCCGAGCACATGTCATACTTGACAGCGATGATCCCGACTTACTGGATCTGGGGTACAGAAACATTCCTAGCGCTGACTCCTAGTGCAACCCTAGACAGTCGCAGATTGGGGTTCCTGCATGTGCCAACGTGAACATTCCAAGCCGGCCCAGCTATCTGCAGGAGGGCATACACAAGAGAACGGCCTCCTGCGTCAAGTTCGCAAAATCCATAGAATGGTAAGAGAGTCGTACATTTGTGATTGGAGTTTTTGCATGAATTAGGTCTTCTGGTAAAGCATGGCTTTCTCCACAATATGACATCCGATGTTATTGGATCTTCTCAAACCCTGACGATGGAGCGAGCGAAATGACAGAGAACCCGGCCATTGGAATTATGATACGTGTTGTAGAAGAATGCGAATAATAGCCAAGGAAGGTATTGACCACCGAGCCGTTGGGCTGTAGTCACCTAGTTAGAGGTCTGAGAACACGGTGCCCTGTGACAGAGAGAGTTACAGATCTGTCATAAATACAGTCTATGGCCAAGTTTACTACGGATAATCAGAAAGGGAGTACAACCGATTGGATTAGTTTGACCACCATAAAGCAGAAGTTTGCTCGAGAAAAGCTTGTCTGGACCGACGCAGTGAGCATGGTCAAATAGGAGGGTCCTGGTCAGTTGAATTTGACGGCCTGAATGACTTCGCTGAAGCTCGTCGAGAGTTTAAAGCCACGGGCAACGCCAGGAGTCTGATTCCATCGGAGCCGACACTCTACCCGTGAAGCAACGCGACCCCTCGCTTCATGTTGGACATCCTTCACTGGAGGTTATGAACTTCTGGGTAACAATCCATTTCGTGCTCACTTTCCACGACAGGGGAGAAAAACCGACTGATGTCGTGTACTGATATGCTGCCAGCTGGAGATCGGGCTCTATTCTACAGAGATCGTTCAATTCCATGGGTTGAGGTCCAGCTCAACTGCAAAAGAAATACTGAAAGTCGTACCTGTCAGCAGACGTATCCTGGGGCAAGAATCTAGCACAACGTTATCTGCTGAAGCTGGAACTCTCCAGAATCAAGCCCCTGTATTGCTTCTCCCTTCATGAACCCGTCGACATAACATTCGCCAACTACTTTATACTGCCCGGTGATCTTTCCAGGCCGCAGAATGACCGGGAACGCGCATCCGAGTAAGATGTATACAGAATCTCCAGGCACCACTGTCGCAGGCGCCATGCCAACATGGCCACTCTTGGTTGTGATTAATCTTCGGCAGATGGCATTGGAAACGATATCTTTAATTGAGGTGCAATCGATGTCTTCCGGCGGTGCATGTGAAACTGTCCGAGGGAAATATTCTTTGAAAACGCGGCCCCCAATCTGGAAGAGCCCAAGTCTTCGACGCAAAAATTCGAAACTAATGAAACTGCCTCCAAATTTTGTAGTATTCCAGCCATTTTCGCGTAGGTTGGCGAAATAGGCAATGCTTTCATCACCAAATGTGCACTCGCCAGTCTCCGCGTCGGAATCGGCTTCAGCTCCACCCCAAGGTATCTGAAATATGGGGCATTTTGAGGATGCAACTCCTATCGGATCGAGCAACAGGGTTCGTACCAAAGCCTCCATAATTCCACTGGAACCGCCGTACGGGCAAATGTCCTGTGCCGTGGGTTGCACGACGAGGTCGGGAGAAGCAGACATTGCAGGCGTTTCGGACTGTGCTGCAACGAGTTCCGAAGCATGACCATCGATTGTTGCAATGCAGAAGCCCTCGCAATATAACAACTCTCCATCATCAGAAAAGGTTATGTTTGCGATTCTACCACCGTCTGCGCGACTCAATTGACCAACATTGCCCGTCATCGAGGTGGTAGCAGCCGGAAGCTTGTCTTCGCCGTCTTCTAGTCCAAAGTACCATTCCATTGAATTATCGATACTGGCAGTGCGGCAGTTTTTAAGAGTCCAGTCAGTGGCCCAGCTCGGCAGCCCCATATCTGACCTCGTTGCTTGCTGTAAGTGGGAGGTGTATATGATATCGAGATCCCCCGTTGTTTCTATGACCGCTCTGGAGAAGCCAAGAAAAACCTCTCTTGTGCTCAACTCATAATTCATGCTCTTCTTATCAATCTTGGAAGCCAACGCTCCAGGCAGAATTCCCATCATCCCGTAGATCTTGTCGCGAGGATCTGTTGCTGATGCATATTGAGTTAGGCCGAGTACTGGCGAACGAAGGTCCCTGTAGTTTACGCGCCCACTATCATTTGACTGTGTGACCAGTTCCCTAACTCTCCCGATCCACCACAGTAGAGCCAAGGCACATTGAAAGCTGTCTGTGTTCTCGATGTAATCTTCATATCCGATGATTGCCACCACCTGTTCTAGGTTCAGCACAAACAGTCGGAGAATTTGTCGGATGTCTATGAGAGTGGAACAAGAATCGCCACACAGGACCATCTGATCTTGTCCCATGGCCAGCTCTTGGATGATCCACATCCGAGACCAATAGCGCCTACTGAGTAATTTCATAATAGCTTTGATAGATGGCGTTGCCCACGAAGTCTCGGCCTCCGAACTGATATCGACAAGCCATTTGGAACAATCGTAACCCGTCCTCAGACTCTGAGCGATTGAGTTGATGCTATTCATAGCCAAATCGCTGTCATCCGATGCTGACCCAAGGTGGACGAAGCCCCCAATGGAATCACCATATATCATTTTCATGCGGCGAACTTCACGGCCCTGCTCGGAAGCATTCTGCTGGTCGATACAGATCGCGTCGACCCAAAGTCGGAATTTGGGGTGAGTCGGACTTTTGACGTGCAACCCGCCTTGTCGAATTGTCTGCATTGCAAGGTAAAGACTCTCAGTGACTGCAACGAACTGTCCGTCAATGATAACCCGGTGATCTTGTATTCCAAGTCCCCATGAGTAAGACAGAGTCACGTAGTCTCCCCAATTATGCCGCATCGCTCCATTCTTCTTGAAATAGGGATCACCCTCGGCTTTCCGGGCTTCAACATATTTGACCCACGCTCGTGTTTTCTTGTAGAGATGTAGGTTTGGGTCTGACTGCTTCTCCCAGTTCTTGTACTCGGGTGTATGTTCGAGGGCGACATGGTGCAGAGAGCAGTGCACTGGCTCATCGAGACGATTCGTAAGGGGAGGATAGATGGCAAGTACGCGGAGTTCATTGGCCCCAAGCGGCTTGTATATAATCTGTGGACGCTTATGAAGTTTAGTGACTGCATAATAGAGTCGCAGCTGGCTTTCCTCACGAAGTATGTTCGAAGACTTGCAAGAAGCTTGATTCCCCAAACCAAAAGCCTATCCAGAGGCCATCTGCCGACAGCTCTAAGTCGCAGTCCCAAGCCAACAAATGCCGTCGTTGAGCTCATTCCGAGAAGGTATGTTCAAAGCCGTCGCCGGCGTGAATCCTGAGGACTACATGGTTGCTTCAATGGTCTCACCAAGGGGTGTCCTTCGTGGCTTGTAACAGTCAAAGCTATTGGATATTTAGAGGTTTGAGGTTCAGCCCTGTGCCAAGACATAGCCTCGGGTGACTAAGCGAACCCCTTTTCTTCTCAGGTATGCTCGCCAAGGCTGCTCTGGCGAAACAACATCAAAGACAACGCCATGTCCAATTGATAGGGACTAGGTGACTGCTATCTACACCATCAATATCGCAGCAGACCTCAAGAAGTTTTTCATTTTTCTTCTTATTCATTTCTAGATCTTAGCTGATGCATTTTAAGATTGCTGGATTTGTTTCTCCAGGCACAACAGTGACCTTTTGCTACCCAAGTCCAAAGGCAGGAGATATTCGTGGAAGCAGTGAAGAAGAAGGCCATTTTCTATGAGGCTCAATTTTCGAGATCTCTCTTCCATATGGTCCCGATGACGGCGGTGACGGGCGCTACGTTCACACCTGTGTCTTTCGGCACCGGATCATTGGCTGCTTCCGCTTCACCCTCTTGTTCTCTGAGACTTCGCTAGCTGACTCATTTGGTGTACGTTGGCTGAAGCTGTGTTGGCAAAGCTGCTTGGGAAATGGGAACCGGGTCTAGATGTCTTGTATCAAAGCCCAGCATTGGATGTAATTGAGCGGGACTTCTTCAACCTTCAATCTGATTAGATTACCTTGAGGAAGATGGCCGTATCTGTCGCCCATAGGCCCACGATTTGTCTGCCTCTCCCACCTTCCGATCTAGAGCTTCATAGCTTACTAGGCCGAAACGTGTGGATGGTACGATTATGGCTTAACGGAAACAGAGCTGGCCTGCAAATTGTGGGGGTTCCAAGCCAATATTCCAAGCGTCGAACATTCGGCTTTATCTCCAGGAGGAACATGGCTGAACCAGTGTCGATCACCATCCAGGCATACTGATGCAGTCGGTATTTCAGCGGACACTATCAAATGGCTCTTGTCGAGTCGGTGCGACCGGCAGCTTCAAGGGAATATGCTCGAAATGCTAAGAACTGAACAATCGCGCTGACCTGTTTTTCATCGCAGTAGCAGCGAGGACCTTTCGCTAGCACCACCACATACCTGTCGCCCTTGTGGCGGTACGCCTGGTTGCTTATCACGCACGTCACTCGCGATAAATCAGGAAGGTATCAATGAGTGTCCCGGGTACTCTTTGCTATCTCGCTGGTCCTCAAATCGTAAGCGTTTTCGGCTTCCTGCAGTAGCCGAGAACAATCTGTCTGCTCTCTGGACGAACAGAGGCCAGTACAACGGCTTCCTGCATCCTACCAAGTGGAAATACTGCCGCAGCTCAAGTTAACTCGCATGGACCTGACACGGGCGTTGCATTCGCTGACAGACCAGAGTCTTCCATTCGTTCTGGTGCGATTCTTTCACGCTCAGTAAAGTCATCGCTCTCGAAAAGAGCGCGTGAGAGGTTGACCTCAAACTTCTGCACCTTTGAAAAGGGTTCAGACTGGGGATTCTCATCAGTTTTGACTTTCCAAGTCAACGATAAGAATATATTGATGCTATCTCTTATCAGTCATGATCTTAACGGTGCTCTGACAGTTACATCATGACCCAGCAAGCATTTATATTCTTTCAAACCATGCATTTACTATCTAATGCCATACGATCATGTATCATTGTTTCGTTGTTCCAGTCTCTCTCCAGCAAAGCCCGTCGTAAGTAACCATCCCTGAAGACGAATATTCTCCATTTCGGCACCAAATGTCATAGTGCCGCAGTTTTACGCACGTCTTCAATCCATGCTCATTATCCTCTCCTTGTCAACCCTTGTTCAATGGACAATATTCAGATCTGAGTTAATGTGCAGTTTGTGCAGATCCGATAGAGGCAGAACTGCTGACAACCTTGCCCATTGGAGGCTGAGCCTCAGCATCCTTGGGGGTAGAGCGCTTGCGACGGAGAGCGAAGAAAGCAACACCAGCGATCAAAGCAGCTCCGACGATGGCCCCAACAGCGATACCAGCCTTAGCACCAGTGCTCAGTCCACCACTAGACTTTTCCTCGGTCGAGACTGATGGCTCGGAGCTGGTCGATACAGCGCCAGTGGCTGCCGGGGTTGAGGTCGTGGGTGTAGTGCCAGCTGGGATGAACTCTGACTCGCCGACATTGAAGCACATGTTGTCCGTGGATTCGAAGGTTGCAGATTCGACGAAGGTCTGAAGTAATGTCAGTGTGTGTCAAGATACTACGATAGTGCTACGTACGATATCGGCACAGGCAAAGAAAGTCTCATCAGTTCCGCTGTCATTGCCAATGTACTCGATCTGGATAGTAGCATTCGAGCCAGGAGTCACCTTCTCGGCGTCGGTCTTGACTGGGTAGCATTGGTGGCCTGGCTCCAATTCTGTGACATTGCCTTGAGTGTCCTGGAACTCGGTTTGGGAAGAGGGATCTTCTCCTGTCAGTTTGTCCCGAGATGATACAGTCGCGGGACCGAGACTCACTGTTGCCATATGCAATACGGATAGCCATCTTCGACGCATCAGCGGCGATGGTGGTCTCAATCGTGCCCATGCCTATCATGTAAGCCAACAATAATACTTCTGCATGATACGGTGTACTTACTGCCGATGGGAAACAGTGTTCTGTTAACAATGGCAGCATTGCTTCCACATGGCCCAGTGTTATCATGAGCACCATCCCATGCGCGATCAGCTGGCCACAGAAAGGCAACTGGGCCCATGACTATGACGATGTCAGCTCTCATTCAATCCGGAAATGTGCCATCGAAGATTTCTTGATCGACTCAACAAGAATGAACGCCAGAGACAGGATGCGTACCTGTGCCAAGAGCACCGGAACCGTGAACAGACTGCGCTGCTGAGAAGCGAGCCAGAGCAGCAACTGCCATGATCGATTTAGACAACATATTGGATGAGTTCAGGTTGTTGATGTGCTGCCGTGTGAAGTAGGGACGTCGAATGAAGTATACAGACTGTGCAAGAGGGGTAAGCGAGAGGACAGTCGCCGGGCACAACGATTGAATTATATATGAGAGTATAGCGATAAGATGGCCTGACTGGATTTGTTTGGTCGGCAGCTTTGCCGAGCTCCACCCTGACCGATTATTGGTGACTTTTCTGCCCAGGACCGCCCCAGACCTGTGCTCTTCCTTGTGTGTGGCAGAGATTGTACTTTGCACTATCAGTTGCTTGGCTTGGTGTGGCACCAAGAGCCTATCTGCAACCTTAGAGGTTACTTCCTCTGTGGCCGGTTTCTGGCCAGCTATATCGGACGATCACAACAGCAGGTTCTCAAGGCAACTTAAGGGAAACTTCGGCTTCATCAGACTTGGCTATCATGTCATGTCTGACCGAGTCCACAGCCTTCTTTCACAAGTGAAGAACTTCGTCAGGGATCCTGGAACGAACCTCTCAAAGTCGGAATTGTATGCGACACTGGTTGAACGTGTAGACCGACATATTCCGAGCTATCCATCCGCTTCCCAGCCGAATCTCGCGCGGAGGAGAGTGAAATCAATGGCCAAGATCCCTATACAGAAGCTGCTGCGGGGCAATATGCGCCAACCTCGTGTTGTGACTGTTGCTATCTGACTGCGATGTCGCGAGCCTAAACGAACACCATCTAATCTTATCAGATTGGACCACAAAAGAATCACTAGTGGGATCAGATAACCTTGTTTGGATTTTCGCCAAGGGTGAGAAAGAATCAGATAACAATCGCGGTCCAATCGCTGTCCCGGAAGGGGAGGATGGAGTGGGGAATTACCCGCCAACTCGCTTGGCTGCATCTGTTTAGAGCATGTTCGGGGAACACATGACAAACTGTTTGGAGTATTGTGCCGCTTTGTCGGACTCCAGTCAGCCTTGGAGGAAGAAGTTTTTGCGAGTTAATAATCTCCAGTAGACTGGCGACCAAGTTGAAGTGGTTAACTTGATCCCCGTTCAAGGCGCGGTAGAGCCTTGGATATCCACTCGCGAACATCGAACCACTCCAGCGACCAAACTTTAGCTTCTGGATCCTTGACTCTTCCGTTCCTCATGGAAAGCCAAACCCCACTGGTGAACTTGGCATAAACCTGCTCGGTCTCTGGGAAGGTATGCCTTGGACGTTGAGCAATCTCCGACACCGCATGATAGACGAGGTGCGTCTCGATCGAGATCTGGGTCAGGAACAGCCGTGGATATAAAGGTAACGCTGCATATTGCGGTTCTTTCCTTCTTTTCCACACACCTTCAACATTCAATCATCATACTGCCAGCCCGTGTCACATTCGCTAGTTGACCTTTGCCTTACTCATACTCGCTCAGCGTATCAGCATTACTATGATTGGAATGAAGTCTATTACGGCCTTAGCCGCTGTAGTCGGTGTTGTCTACGCTGTGGCTGTCCCCTCACCAGAGGATGAATGGCATCTTTCCCTTCTTAAGCGTCAAGAACCAGGAACCCCTCAGTATGCCTGCCACGAATCATGTGGTGAGTACATCAGACATTACTTCGTACTTGCATATTCTGATCAAGCAAAAGGAACTGCTATCACTCTCAGCCGAGGCGCAAGCCCCTGTACTAATGATGCATTCCTCACTGATTACCAAGAGTGCTTGGAGTGCGCTGGTCCTGATAACTTCAACATCTGGAGATACTATGGAGGAACATTGACCACCGCTGGAACCAACTGTGGACTGTCTACCACTCCTGTCTCTGGATCTTCATCATCCGCTGCCTCGCCATCCACTGCCCCAGCAATTTCTACGACTCCTGAGCCAGTCACCGAGTCTACCACTACGCCTGAACCAGAGACTACTGCCGAGCCAACCACTACACCAACTTCAACGGGAGAGTCTAGCGCCATCTCGGCTTCTGCAACTGGCTACCCAACGGCATCTACCCATTCCTCAACTGTGAGCACAACAGATGCTCCTACTTACACTCCTCACCCTACCAGCAGCCATACCGCATCTGCTGGTAACTCTACCGTAAATATTTCCTTCTCAGTCGTTGACACCATTTGTTCTGATCATTCGCTAATTAGATACAGAGCACTACAGTTCCGTTCACTGGAGGGGCCAACTCTGCCAATGGAAAGATGGTCGGAGCCATCGCCGTCGTAGCTGGAGTTGTCTTCGCTGCTGCTTTGTAGATATTGGGAGGTTTAGAGATATGGAGGTTCAAGCCATTTGTATTCTGTTTGAGCACAAAAACTGTTCATGTGGGGCATAAGACAATTGAGGAGTGATGAAAAATATCTTTTGTATTTGTATACCTAATGGCATAGATGAAGCGCAGCCTTGAGTCCTAAAGATACGATGATACTTTTATTAGCCTTGGGGTCCACTTCATTCAGTTACAAGATCATTTTTCAAGTGAGAAGTGCTCATGTTACGAGTTCCTCGTCTTCCATTGAGTCAAGGTGTACTTGGTTTCACACGGAGCGAGTGAAGTTTTGATAATTGCATTAAAAGTGTTCAATATCCAGAGCTTTAGTCCTTCGCGAGCAAATAACTTTTGAAAACCAGAAGCGGCTGTTTCTACGTGTAGACCTCATCAGTCAGCGCATTGAGCGTCAAACCCTCCTTTGCAAAGTCCACCCCATCCATAAACAACAACGGCATCTCTACCAACGAACCCCTCACCCGATCCAAACTATCCTTCAATTCCGCCACACCACCAGGGAACTCCTCTTTCACAACATGTCCATACTCATACCTAGCCGGGATCTTCTCCTTGTCATCCTCCTTGCTAGGACTGACGAAGAACTTGGAGAAGAACTCCTTGTAGTCGTTCCAATTGCGAACATTATCTGCTGGTATGACGTGGAATGCTTTGTTGAACACTTGGGTGTTTGTAGCTGCTGTGACAGTCCAAAGTTCTTCGAATTCGTCGGATAATACGTCGCGGACGAGAATGTCGGCTGGAGAGTCCCAGTCATAGGCATTGGGGGCGTGGCTTGTAGGGAGGAAATTATCATCTGGCCGAGTGGGGTCTTGGTGAGGGAGGAGACCGAGATGTTTGCGGAAGAGCTGGCGGCGGAGAGATGATGCGAAATGAGAGGCTTGGTAGGGCTCGTGGTTCATCTCGGATTCGACTGGAGTGGGGTCTTGAATCACGACGGCGATTTCGGAGTCATGGTCTCCGAGTTGAGAACGGTCGTTTAAGTTGGCACTACCGCAGATCACGACTCGATCATCTGCGATGAGGACTTTGGAGTGGATGTACAGCTCTGGTGCATGTTAGACGGTGTGCATATGAGGGCTAGCGGGAGTGTAATTTACCTTCGCTCACATAGGCGTTGAATTCTGCTTCTTCAGAGCCAGACCAAGGGACATCTCTGATAGAAGGGCCATGATCCATGTAGCAAGCACTGACGCTATCATACTTGCTTCCATCATTCACTTGAGCTCCAGCCTGTTGATACTGCTCGTAAGCGGGGTTGGATCGTCCATAGTAAGCACCCGTGCCTTCACCTCGGCCATCATACCCAGCACCGACGATATCATCATGCTCTCTCCGAGCATCTTCATAGTTGACACCACTAGCATCGCGAACTTGCGACATGGCTGATCCAGCATTGATCCGATCGTAGTTTCGCAGGTTGTAAAAGCGAATGTATTGCCTCGAGTCGGGAACTCCAGCCTTCTCAATCTCTTCCATGATACTGTGGCCACCTCGGCAGATGCTGTGATATTGGAACTCCATGATCGCTCGAGTACCGAGACTGTCATCTGCGTGAAGATCCCCTGCAAATGCTGGGACAGCAGGCATGGCGACGATGACTTTGTACTTCTGGCCCTCTCGGTACGCACGAACCACGCGTTCAACGATAGCTGCTCCGATTTTGTTTCTGACTGGATGTTGCTGATCGCCTGTGGCTGTGATGAAGAACTGGTTCTCGATATAGACAAAATGCTGACTGTTTTGGATTACGTCTATGTACGCATTTGCGATGGAGTGCTGTATTATTAGTTGTTGTCAAATCATGAGAGCGATGGGGACTTACCTCTTTAGCGACCCCATTGCTCCATTCGGTGCAGCTTCTCACCAGCTGAATGGACATTCCTGCTGGGCCTCTGTCTCCATATGAGTCTCCTGAGTTATCAACTTCTTCTCTACGGAGCCTATCGAAAATCCCTCCCCGACCACCAGGGAGATGGAATCCATGTCCATGGTGTCTTTCTCCCCCACCAAAACCCCTCTCAGCAACTTCGGAATCTTCCAATCCACGCTGGCGCTGGCCTCCCGAGATAGCGACACTGTTCTTTCCATCTTGCTGGTAATAACCTTCCGGGATGCCCTTCGCATCGAATCTCAAGTTGGTGTACCTAGCATCTTTTCTCACGTCATACTTCTCATCAAAGATGAAATTCCACCGCTGCACAAAATGTGCTCGCAAATCCTGGACAACCGGTCCTCGCAGACAAATCGAGATATCAGACCATCCCATCCGCGAGTTTTTGGTACGATCAAGTTTGTTATTCTCCCAGTGCGTAACATCCTCGAAGTCATAAACACGGGCGTTGTTGAAGTCTTGGCCGGGAAAGAGAGCTTTGTTGATATCGGTTGGATGGGCATCGGCTAGAGGGTGAGAGTTTGTGTCCCAGCGTCCGAAGCAGAGATCGAGACCGCCCATGAAAGCGATATTGCCATCTACGAGGCAAAGTTTCTCGTGATGAGCCCAGTAGAGAACGACGTCTTTGTGGACTCCATACAATGCCCGGAAAGCATCGGCTGGCACATCAGCTAGCTGGAGTGACTTTAACGAGAAGTTTCGAATACTCGATACGAGCTCAGAGCGGATGACCTGGCCGGAAGGAGCGTGATCGGGATGACGGAATACTGCGATATTTGGGTGAAGTTGAAGTGCTTTCTTCGTATGATCGGAGCAAACTGTTCTGGATGAGCCAAAATTGTCTCTGATAATTAAGGTAGGTATGTACCTCGGGGAACTCACGTGTCAAGATCTGAGAAACCTCTTTGTAGATGATGACGTTGACTTTTACACCTCTCTCAGCAGCAGCAAGTAACATCCGATCGATCCGGTAATTCTCATTTTCAGTTGGAGGACGTCTGAGATAGAGTTCTGGCTCTGATCAGCTGACCACATCACGCTGAGGGGTAGCACTCTAGACATACCTGGGCTCAACCACCAATCCAATATCCAGATGGACTCTCTTGCCTCCTCGATTGCAACAGAGACCGCCCACATGTATCCGCAGCCATCTACATACCATTTGGCTTCGTTGCCAGTTCTGAGCGGGGCAAAGCTGTCAAAGCGGTTGCCTCCATCCTGGCTTTGAACTGTGTTATCTGTATTCTGTGTATTGCTCTGAGATTGGACATGGGGTTCGTCATCGCCTTGGAGATTGTCAATTTCTTTCTTGATGTGAGACGTGAAGTTCTCAAACGCGTTCTTTGCCTCGCCGAAGAACGACATTTTGATGGTGTCTTGCAATCAGCTAGAGGGAGTGGGGTGAACAAGGAACCTGGCAGAGAGTTTTGAAATATACGCCGATGACAAAGAGACCAGGCTGGGCATAGAGAGCGATTCAACTCAGGACAAAGGTGAAGTTATTGATGAAATTCAGCGTTGAGATGAACTGTGGTGGTGCGTTATAAGTATCAATGTGGTTTCAGGTCTCGGCTCGGCGGCAGCGGAACGAGCCTTTGGTGGAGTGCATCTTGGAATCCTTGAGAGCTTCGGGAACGAATCAGAGTTGCGGATCGTTCAGCCACGAAACAAGGAGTTGCCGTGACGATCAATCGCTGCGATAAGCGACGTCAAGAAGCTTCAAATGAAAACATCATATCCATTGTTATTGATGTTCCTCTAGCAAATGGATTGGGAAATTCTAATAGATGAAAACAGGTGTCCAATCAGACGTTTGAAGACCTTCCGCAATCTCGCCCTCCATAACGCCATGGATATAAGAATCTCCCACCAACACGAACTTCTTCTCGTCCTTCTGTCTCAACACAAACGGAGTCGAAACGCCACCTAGAAGGAAAACCTCATCTCCAATTTGACTACAGGCCGGCACCAGACCCATGTAACCAGCTGCCGTCACCGCGAAATGGCGGTCACGACAGGCTACCGCAGCCTGCCGTTTGTACAAGCTGTCCGGATTCATGATCTCAAGCTGAAGTGTTGGTTCAGGGGAAGCTATATCGGCCACGACTGCAGTAAGTGATGATTTGGGGTCTTCGATTGGTAAGGTTGTGACTGTTGCGTTGGCACCTTTGTAATCGTCGCCAGCAATAAGCGAGAACGCAAAAGCGGCCCTTGGATCTTCATATTTGCTTAATTCGTTCTCAGAAATTGCAGCATCAAGCACCTTCACAGCATCGTTGTGCCAACTCAACCATTCCAGATCCAATTTCTGCATTATGTTCACATTGGTGTCTTGTGAGATTGTTGCTTTGGCTGGTCCCGATATTTCGTTCGTTGAGGTTGCTGTAGCGGCATCATCCATCGTCAACTCGTCCTTGGTTCTCGTCAAGCTGACAATTTTTCCCAGACTATATCCTATCTGAGTAATGAAACACTCTTCTGTGCCATACTCTCCAAGTGGATACATGACTGGCAAAGTGCCCTTCGAGGCATTGAAACTTTTCTCCCTGATTATGGAAAACACTGCAGGGCCAGCGCTGTCAAGTGCAAGCCAATCTGGAACCCAAGAAGGAAGAAGCGGCTGGCTCTCAGCTTCTGCTTTATCTTGCTGAGATTTTCGTCGACGAGATAAACCCGCAAAGGAAAGAAGTGCTGCGCGGTCCTTGAAATGGAAATTCTTCAGCACATATTTAGCAAAATGGTAGAACAACTTCTCCGTCTGCCAGGTGTAGTCGGGTTGGAATTTATCTCTTGTCAGGTTCGGAACCAACATTCCGAGTAATCCAACAACTTTGTCTCGCGGATTTGACACTTTACAATCCCGCGTACGCCAAAGCAACTGCATCGGAGTCAGTCGCCCAGCTTGGAACTCAAGCCTGATCCTCAAGATCCGATCGAGATTCAGCATCCCAATCATTTGCTGCATTGGAAGAGTCCCAGCAGCAAGCTGCCTGGCCTGCACTCCCTGGAGGGACATCAGATGTGCCATTGAGATCAGATCATCCCATCCGAAGTTGAACCGCCCATATCGGCATCGAATCTGCTTTGCCAGCACAACCTCTTGAATCGTCCATGTCCTCTCTAGCCAAGACGACATGAAGATAGCCGTGAAATTATGCCATGAAACATGGTCAAATGACGGGAGTCCCACACGTTCTTGAAGCCCTTCGCTGACTAGTTCTTCTACTCGGTCTTCGAGCATTTTTCGGACGATCTGGACTCGGAGCATCAAATCGTAGGCAACGTACCACTCCATTTGCACGTTTCCGAAATCTACGAATACCATTATCGCGCTCCTGTAGATGTCACCCATGAGTGGGAGCTGCTGGTTCAATTCATCCGAGTCTTTTTGATTGATACAGATGGCGTCAACCCAGAGATATTCCGGTTTCTCAAGCCAGTCTGCTCTGTGGCGCTTGAGACAGGCAAGCAAGGACGCATTGACATCCAGTCGCTTCTCATTACACACAATAGCTTTATCGAAGAGCGGCTCTCCCCAATGGTACGACAGTGCCGCAAAATCGGGTCGATTAACATCACGAATATTGATAGTGACGAGTTCTAAGACTACAACATCTGATCTGAACATCGCTTCTCGAAGGCGCAAAACACGAATCTCACCAGCCGCAGAGTCGATTGGTGTATATTGATAAAACTCTTCGGGGATCTCTGTGGGGTGTTCTTGGTCGAGAGGGAAGTTGAAAGTTGGCCGGTCTCTGACTTGGGCACGATATGAATTGTGGCCGACTTCTATGGGTTCGAGAATGACGGGCCCGTTGCCGCTGCAGCTGCCGTCGCAATGTTCGTGCAACTCGCAGGTTATTGTTGACAGCGATATCATGGCCATTTGCGATGCCAAGTTGGTAGATATGCGAAGTATCTCAGGGGTCAGTTCTGTCGCTTGCTCCTCTGATGCTGGCTCGTCCATTTTGGCTGCTGAATTGAGCGATCTCAGACGAATTATCTTAAAAAAATGTTCTGATACGAATTGAGTTAAGAAAGATATTTGATTTTGAGAGACTGGCGAGAATATAAATGCTTTGCACTTTGGTTCTCGGTGTGATGGTGTTGCATGCACAGCTGGTCTCAGGTCAGCCACAGGGCTGTGCAGGCGTCACCGAGGTGTGAAGGCCTTCGGTCGAACAAGTTCCGTAGCATCACGAGCACCATGATCGCAGAAAGTCGCATTGATTCATTCCATTTAAAAGGAATGCTTCATCGTAAAGTGATATTGATAAGTGACTAGACGATATTTTAGGAGTGATCATTGCGTACCAATAAAGTAGCAAGATTCTCAATCGTGCCCCTGTCCCTGATACCAGCGGAGGGCAACAGGAGGCGAAACATACCGTCCACTCAACGCACAGTGACCAACACCTTGCGAGATACTCACAACACCCCATTTTACTGGCACCAAAGCAACATCTTGTTCATCAGCTACTGGATGACAAGCAGCACTGAGAGCCGCACTGCAACTCCCAGCTAGAGGCATTCCTCCATTGTATCTTCGAAGGCCCATACCCACTCCCGCGATCAAGACAAGCCACCCGACTCCGATCAGAAATATGAGCGCTATGCACGAGAATCCACAAGTGAGGATTGATTGAGAGATGTCGAGTTCCCCGTGCTCATCGTAGACGTCGATGGCGACCAGGAACAAGCTCTCAGATAGAATCCAGTGCGTGGCGATTGACACCAGCGAGATTGGAATCAAGTACCGGTATGGGAGGGAGAGAAAGTATGTTGAACGTTGAGATCCTCTGGGTGCGGTAACTCTCAGAGCTAGTCGGCGATGGGCGAGATCATGCCATTCTTTGGAGAAGGACATGCATGTGTACATCCTGTTGTAGACAATGTCTGGAATCAGGCGTCAGCAACCTGCTTGACCTTCATATCTGTTTGGAAAGGGAATAGACCGTACATAATATAGACAGAATTATTTGTGGCGAATTTGCGAGGAGAACATTCTTCATAAGACCCGGGCTGCCGACAACGGGAGTATTCCATCGGATTAGAGACGATGAGGTGACGGTGCCGAATCCAAGATCCCAGAGAGTCTTGATGTCACTCCTACGGCCATTCAGCGAAAGGAGTCCGCGAGAACTCGAACATTACAAATGTGAGACATGGAGATGAATACATACGCTGTTGTCGTGTAGTGGATGGCGTATTTAAGTGCAAGCGACAAAGCGATGAGTGCTACAGCACACCTACACAAATCAGCCCGACCATTCTATAAAGTGCTCTCGAAGACTCACATGGAGTTCGACCCAATCCAGCGCTGAAGTCCGACGGCCTCAAACCGGAAGTGCTTCTTCACATCCCATCGTTTCGGCTCTCCGTCGGGCCAAGCATTGTCGAACTCCTTCTTTTTGGAAATACACATCCCAACGGTATTCCGGTCTGGTTCCTCCAGAAAACTGCTCAGAGCATCGCCAAGAGTGACAAAGGTAGGCTCTCGACACTTCCAGATCGTCACGATCATACACACCAACTTCACGAAATTGCAAGAAAGGACAGCGATCATGATTGGCACGGCGAACTCGAGCCGGCAGCGGTCTTCCACTTTTTGGCTGAGGCAATACCGCACCTCTCTATCAGCCATTAAGAAAGCTTCATTCTCGTATAAGGCGACAGGAATAGAACAATCAAAATTATCGATGGGAATGGTGTCCAGTGTGTTGTGGGGTCCTTGCGTGGTACCACAGACCCACGAGTTCCGACTGTCATCATACATCCAGTCCAGGATACCTAGGAGCGGATCTGGGAACTGGCCTGAAACAATGACGAGGGTATGCCTTCTGGAAGAGAGATAGTCGACACCATACTCTTTGATACAGTCCTCGGGCTCCAGTCGATCATAGCTCGAGATGTTCTGCTGCATCTGTGATACGATCGAGTGGTGGAAGTCGTCCGAGCCGGCCAAAGTCCATTCTGCACCATTGACGAAATCTTCGGTAACTGCGGCGACAATGTATTCGTTGGCTGTGAGACTCACGAAAATTGCCGAGTTGAACCTGCTCAGGTCAGATGAGATTGGCCTGAAGATCGTGGCTGGAGGCACCTACATCAGATGGAGCGGAATCGAGCTCACAGCAAGCAGAAGCCAGAGAACCACTCTACCTTTCTTGATCTTCATCAGATTCCTGAAGCTCTGAATCCCAATATCCAGCCAAGTGTTGCTTTCATGTGCTTTGTCGACCTCCTTTCTAGTTGGGGAGCAAAGACATTGCATGCAATAATTGCTAGCACCAAGAAGTATCGTGCTTATAACATTGATCGCGACATGTACCCAGAGTCCGATGCGCTTGACTGACGGACATGTACCTCGATGTATTGTGCCAATGCCTCCTGAAAGTCCAAAAGTCTTGGATGCCCAGACAGTCAGCGTGAGGTTCAAGATAAGCGAAGCGGCAACGACCGCAGCACAGTAGACAGCGCCAAGTCTCCATCCGTCAAACTTCTTCGGAGTGCTTGGTTGGCGATCAAAGGAACCGCTTGATGGTTTGGGAGAGGTCTGGTATAGGCGCTCATGCTCTGAAGGCAGAAGATCATCGGTACTTCTGTATGACTGCGGAGGCTCAAGTGGAGGTGACTGCCAAGGACTACGAAATCTCACTGTTAGTATCTCGTCGACAGTATATGCCCAGAAAACTCACTCAAGCTCAATATTTTCGATTCCAACTGACGGACTCGACTTGTAACTTGACCTTGAAGGTGTCGGAATTGGAGACGGCAGCCGAGCATCGAACGCCATGGTACACTTTTGAGCAGCCCACTAATTCCAACTTCCAAAGAGAGCTCGCGAGCCTCTTGGCTATCGTTGCTCCAGATATGTTTGTCTCAATATCATCATATGTTCGTGAGTTGCTCAAGCACGGAGTGTCCTGAGCAAAGACTTTTCAACATTGTCGTCGACAGCAGCCAGGCTTCAGTATTACAAGCACCAATGCCTCGTACCTGGTTCCGTGTAACATGTAGGAGGGCTTTCAGGCGACAGGCCCCGATTGGATCTCGCGCTTCTCGTAAGGCTGGTGTAGCTAATACAGAACGATGCCGCGTCGACTTTCCCAACGCCAACGCCAAAGGACAACTGGTACGAAAATCTAGGCGACAAACAAATCAGAAGCAAAAGTTAAACTTCAAGCACAACTTGAATGACATCCAAACGATGGAAGCTGGGATATATGTATACCATCGGAGCAGACCCCAGCCAGGCTGGGCTGAAGCCGAACGCACCTTACTATTCGTCCGCGTGTAGCCTCCGACCTAAGCCACCGGAGAGACCCATTTGTCGGGAGACTCTGCATAACGTGGAATGCTACTCTGTCATTGATGATTGGGTCCGAAATGGCTGCCACATGGGAGTCTCATGATAGCAGGTCTTCGTCAAATGTCTCAGCAAGCAGCCATGCAGCGTGTCATCCAAGATCCAGCTCGTCCAGCTTGGACGGGAACGTCCTGCAACAAGGTTTGTATCTCGATTGCGATCCAGGATTGGCAGAATTGGTCAGAAAACTTTACACGAAGAAATCTGCTGCTCAGTTAATGGGGGCCAAAAATGCAGTCTTCGGAAACGGAAAATGTACACATCCACTTGGCAATGACATGCATTTAGCCTGTAATCAAGATTCTTATCTGTGCACAAGCATGAATAATCGGCGACGAGTGGAGCGCATCTCTTGGCACGCAGATCTGTGGCCATCATTCGGATGCCATTGGTTGTTGTGTAACTGATGGTGTTGAAGAAAGATTGTCAGAAATTCATCAGCTCAATGCGACCGATGTGATCACGTGATCACCCAACTAGTGACAAACCATCCAGCTTCACACCTCCTTCTGAAGTTTCGCTGTAGAAAATTTGCAGGAGAACGACAGATCGATTTTGATCCTAAGAAACGTAAAGCTCTCTTGCATGGATTTGTAGGAAAAGTAGATAGCCAAATTGCAGTCGGGCCTGGAAGAAGAAAATCGCAAAATTATAATGGGCAAGTTGCGAGATATGCCTGCCTCGCCACATTCCCCTGCAATGAGGACAAATGCATGAACCCCGAAAACTTCAAAAGCTTTGAAAGCTTTTCTTAAGATGGTTTCTCCAAGGGCTAACTAAATAGCTTCATAGAAATTGGTAGCTGACTGCAAAGCTCTCTCGCCCGAAACCTTGGTCTTGACAACTCTTGTCCTGGGGAACAACCTATCTATAACTTATCAACCTCGACAAAATATGTTAAAATGACTCCTCAGGCGGGGTTCGTTCTTCATTGGTGTGAGCTGTGGCGCCTCTACACAGCTCAGTTCTGCTCCAGAATTAGCCTCGATCCCACCTGACAAGGAGACAAGTTTGTGAATTCTTTAAGAAGTGTATTAAATTTCCATTGAAAAAATCCATTTCGCGTGACGGAGGAAAAGTGTCACAGTAGGCATGGACCTTGCGTCTCAGTGCGGCGTTCCAGTTTTCGAGCTCCTGCTGAATTTTCAAGCTTGAAAAGACTCAGGCTGAAAGAGGAGAAAGTGAGAGAGTACCTACTAAGCAATGATATCATTCAACTGCGAATAAGTGGTCAATCTATGAATCCGTGCATCGAAACTGGGGGCCATTTCAAGTATTTCACCCCTGTGGTCCTTGGTATTTACATAGCAAAACGCCTAAGCGATCCGGAAACAAGATGCACGCCCCCAATTGCAGTTCGGGAATATTATTTCCACCTACAATACGATTTGATAAACTCAAGTAACTCGGATCCATGAGCTGATGTCTTTCATATCGTTCCACACTCTCATCTGATGCTCTATCAGCATTTATCAGCATTGTCGGTGACGCCTTGGTTTTCAGAAAGCACGCCATCCACGTGACTATTACTGGATACCCCAAACAGCTATGGCCTCGTCTCCCTCCCACTTACTCTGAATAGCCTCATTTTACTCTCTTTGACAATATATAATCATGCCTTCCGCAACCTCTCCTCTCCTTCGAATCGCCATCATCGGTGGCGGACCAGGCGGTCTCGGGGCAGCAATCGCCCTGTCAGCACTTCCCAATGTCGAAGTAACAATTTACGAACAAGCGAGAGAATTAAGAGAGATTGGCGCAGGGATTCAGATTGGATTTAATTGTTGGAAAGTTCTCGAACTGCTGGGAGCTGCTGATAAAGTTGATGGGCATTCGACGACAGAAGTTATCCACTTGTAACATCCCCAAACTTGGCTTCAAGAACGGATACTGATGTGAACCAATAGAAATGGAGTCACTGGTAAAGTTCTAAAGACTACTGGAAAGCAGAAGCTACTTAAAAGGTACCAGCCCCAGCGGGTTCGCAGGACAAGTCTGCAAGCTGCGCTGAAGTCTGTAGTGCCTGAAGGAATTATTAAACTCAACAAACGACTTTCGTCGCTCGAGAATCTTGATTCAGAAGTCAAGTTGAGGTTCGACGATGGGACGGAGATTGTTGCTGATTTAGTTGTTGGCGGTGATGGAATACGATCGGTTAGTGCTGCTCCTTTGCCCAATATCGCGAAGAAGCTAAACATTGTCCAGGTCGTCAGAGGGCATCTGTTCCCAGATCACAAAATTCAATTTACAGGTACGGGCATAAAAACCACCCTTCCACTTCGCTGAAAATATACTGATTAAGAGCCTAGGAACCACTATCTTCCGAACTTTAATTCCAGCATCTTCAATCTCCCATATCACTGGGATACAGGGAGTAAACACGTGGTGGCATGGACCAACTGGACATTTCTACGGCTCACCAGTAGACAATCCAGCAGAAACCTCACAAGAAGAGCAAAAGTTTGAAATTGCAGCTCGCAGTGTCATTGATCCTACGACGGCTATTGGCAAGAGATTTAGCTGGGGTGTGCCTGCCACCAAGGAGAGAGTTGAATCTTTCTTCACAGTCAGTACTTCGCTCTTTTGGTATGAGCAGCTGGCTTACGCTTCCCAGGAATATGACCCGAAAGTTAGGGAAACGTTGTCCAAGGTACCTGAGGGCCAATGGAAAGAGTTCTCTGCTTTTGCGGGGCCACGACTCGAGACCTTGACTGGTTTGGATGGGAAGGTTGTGTTGATTGGAGATGCTAGCCATCCCTTATCAGGTGAGGTTGAGCCTTGATTTTAATTAGAATCTGTTACTCAGTTATAATTTCAGGTGCCTTTGGATCTGGAGCAGCATTTGCTCTCCAGGATGGTTGGATCCTAGCCAGGGCAATCGACCACACGAGATCGAAAGGAGGACTTTCAGCCGCCTTATCAATTTTTGATTCGATCAGATCACCGTACTACCTCAGAATGTAAGTTCCCTAGATTCTTTCAAGACTAGTGCTTAACTCTGCTCAGGTATGAATATCTCGATCAACAAAAAGAAAGGATCCAGTCTCTGAAAGCACGAAATCCCAACCAGACTCTTGAGGATAGCTTAAAGGCTAGAGTCGCTTCGTTTGGAGGCGAGAACCAACTTTCTTGGATTTATGGAAATGACATTGAAGAAGTTTGGAATACTTATGTCGCAAATGAGAGCTCATAGAAAGAACATGATGAAGTTAAATCATCTCCGCGGCTGGTAAACATTCAGGTTTCGGTAGGTGCGGGGTAGTTTGGCGGGGTAATTCCATCACAGCAATGCAGGGAAATCTTGTCAATTGATGAGGATAGCTTATGTGATCTACTCATAGAGGTTGTTACTCGAAAATAGATCAGATTGTCGTCTGTTATGTAGTTTGGACTGTATTGAAAGTATCACAATATAATCATATAGCTTTCTGCAGGTAATGATTACCAACTGCCGCACAGAAACTCGGTAGAATTCCGATCTTGTCCTTCTCAAAGGCCATTGGCGATCATTCTCTAAGTTTAACAAATACCTCGAATGAAGCTATTGCTGACCTGGCGGTTTAGAGAGGGTTGCTAACTTGGTGAAATCCAAAGTTGGGGAGTGGCATGTCGCCTTTACCTCCCCCACTGACATGGCGAGTATGCTACATGGACGTCTCCTTGCAAAAAACATCTAACTGGGACCGACCTAGTAGGGCAGAGCAGTGAAAAGACATCTCTACCATGCTAAGGGCAAGATAGGTTGATCTCATACAAGCGACGCATTTACCACTACAGAAAATAGAAGCAGAGCACTGCATGATGTGAACACCAAATCCCGATGCCGAAATCCTATCTCCATCAGTACCATTGCATACATATCTTGACACGAATACTCACCATCTTTCGTGGTACTCAGCACCAGGACCACAAACACATTAAGTGGTATCCTCATCAGTCCATACACATTTGCCCTCACACTATCATCAATCATCTTGCCCTTCTGATATGCCATCAAAGGAAAGTAAAACCCGCAGCAGATCTCAAACAGGCAGAAACACCAAAATGTAACCCTTTCATCTCGGCATACGACTGGGAGGAAGAATGATGCGCTTGATATGAAGAGAAGGGCAATGAGCATCCTCGAGGGCGGTAAATGGGGGTAGCGTGTTGTGATGTGATTGTAAACAAGAGAGCCAAGCACCATGCTTGACATCAAGATCGCGAAGATGAGTCCGAATGGGAGTTCTTGGAGGTGTTAGTAGAGACAGAAAAAGGAGTGTGTGTAGCAGACGAGGAAATACTTACCTCCTTGAGTTCCTGAAAGTTGGTGTGCTAGTTTCAACGCTGGAAATTTGAAGAAGATGAAGATGTACATTGAGCCTTCAAAGAAACAAGATATAACTCCTAACGCTCGCAATTGTTTATCTTTTCTTAATGTTAACTTCTTGATCTAAGCCAATGGATTTGAGGGTCATACCTTGCAGCAATATACTCAGAGGTTTTCGTGGAGGTTTGGCAGCCGTCAGTTTCTCTGAGTCCAGAATCGGCGACAGCTCTACACGTCTCTCTCCGTAGTTCTCCTCCTTCAAGATGATCAGTCTCGATTTATTTTCCGATGAGGACCCCACTTACCCAGAAGTGACTGATCGCCACAAAAGCGGACATCAATACCGCAATTGAAACCATGAACGGTGTCTTTTGCGTTCCCACCAAGTCTGTCGCAGACTCCGCCACCACCCCTGCCGCGATGGCAACAACACTATTCAGCGCTGTCATTGTGCTGAAAATGCCGTGTAGTGTAGATCCAGCCTCGTCAGGGAATCTCTTGTTGAATTCAGTGACCATCCAGCTTTCGAAGACACTGTACATCAAAGTGGTGCTGGCGCCACCAAGGATTCTCCCAATGACCAGTATCGCAATGTGGTCTGCCAGGAGTGAGAGACACGATAGTGAGTACAGAACGCAGAATGTCAAGCAGGCTAACTTTCGACCGTAGATATCGGCCAGCTTTCCCATGAATGATGCTGAGATTGCTGCAGCCAAGAAGCCAGCCATGAATAGCTTTGCTACCGTTTCCTCCGGAAGCTTTTTCTCATCTATCATAAAAGTTAGTGCTGGTATATGCTCTAATAATTCAAACAACCTTTGTACAGAGGATAAATGTATGGGCCCTGGGAAGTCAGTGACGTAAAACTAAACTCGAGGATCCCAAACTCACCTGAAGCCAGTCGGCTCCATTAACTGCCAGATATATGGGGATGAAATTCCACTTGAACTTCTTCAATTTCGCCTTTGAATTCTCTCTCACGAATCCTTCAGCAGGCGATTTTGGTTTCTGCTCCAGCCTGATCGTGCCACGGCTATGTTCTCGGTATCCCAAGACAGCGTTCAGGAAAGCGAAAGCTAGGAAATTCCCATGATAAAACTGCATCTTAAATTCTTGCGCCAAATCGTGATTGCGTTGTGGAAAGAGCTTTGGATGAGAACAAGACCTTAAGATCTTGGTCTAGGCATCAGTGATGAGCTGATATTTGCTGGTAACACAAAGGGAAGGCTAGGCGCTGTTCCCTCCGGATAATCGATACTGTAGGTGCGGATCCAACAGCACGACTGATGTCAGCATGACATGGTCGCACAACAGATGTACAGAATCCCGTAGGCTGAGAAGATCCCAAGTGCTCGTAGGTGTTTCCATACACGAAGTGTCAAGATCGTCGCATTTTGAACACCATCAGAAATCTCACACGAGACAGTGGACACATCACACTTATGTAACCAACATAAAATGACTGCGGCCGGCCATGAGCGAGCACGCGGATCTCACGACCTTCCCATTGTGGGGTTATACGATGGCCCCGCTATGCCCGCGCCGCAATCCTACCTTCGTGAAACTATTCGGGCCACACGCTTGGGTTGAGAATCCAGGGGTGGGGACGAAGCCTTGCCGAGGTTGCCTTGCCAAGAGCCGGAATACGATCGACAAGAATAAGCATTCCCAGAGAAGATACATCCCCGGTGATCTAATTTGACAGTATTATTTGGAATTGGGGGGTACAGCAAAAAGGGATAGCAAAATATGTCCCATCAATGTTTTGTGTCGTATTGGCTTGCTATCTTCATTACGAAGGTAGATCACCACCACTACCAGTTTTAGTGCGATGCAGACAGTTGCATATATCAAAACGAGTACACGAATTCTTTTTACTTCTTCAAATCGTCATGACTGAGACAAATAATACGCGGGTACATCGTGCAATTTCTGCAAGCGATCCGACAACGCGGCCAGTCTCTTGACCTTCAGCAGGTCGTGGCGAGATGAGGCCACACAGAAATACAGGATGAATACAGAGGGAACACAATCTCAGCTCTTCTCAATACAGGAAAAGGCAGACTAAAATCTCATGAATCAGCCGATTTTCTTGACTCCGACAGATATGCAAAGTTTCGAGAGGAGTCTCCTCGTCGTGAAGAACAGACACATCCATCTATAAATGGCAGGCAAAATCTGGAATCCAACCTCAGCATGCGCTGTGATAGGAATCATTCTTAAGTTCACCAACTTATGGAAGTTGCAATCCCATGATGAATGTATCGTCAAGATGTTGAGGGTCAAGACGGTCACCAGCTGGATTCCCAACCGGTATTCAATGCATCAGAAGCAGATCCAGAACTTGTTGAAACTCGACTGTCGTTCTTGGAGATTGCCACGAAACATGGGACTGACAAAGTCAATCCGCATCACTACAATTACAGTAAGCACTTCGAAGTTGGCTTGACGTATCAGCTAACAGCTTTCTCTAGTGTATGAGAAGTATTTAGACCCAATTCGAGATCAGCCTCTGAAGATGCTGGAGATTGGACTAGGCTGTAACATGGCTTATGGGCCAGGGAAATCATACTACACATGGCTAGAATTCCTCCCTCATGTTGATATGGTCAGCTAGACACTTAAAATGCAGAAGATATGCTGACCCAAAGAAAGTACTATATCGAGTACGACCGTGCTTGTGTGGAAAAGTGGTCTCAAGACATGACAAACGTCAAAGTCTTCACAGGGGATCAATCCGACACTGCCTTCTTGGACAACTTCATATCCGCCTCTGGTGGAGGATTTGATGTGATCATCGACGACGGAGGACACTTCATGAACCAGCAGATCACATCCTTCAACAAGCTATTCCCAGTAGTCAAGCCTGGTGGCATATACTTTGTTGAGGACCTGGCGACGAGCTATCAGGAAGGATATGGTGGGAAGAAAGGCTCGGGGACGATGATGGAGATGGTACAAGAGCTTCTTGACGATCTGAATAGGAAGGTTGGCGGCCCGGCACTGAAAGATGGGAATACGGTCGGCCACGAGCTGAGGAGCGTCGAATGTGGGGAAGAGATTTGTGCGTTCTTCAAGAAGGGGTTGGGGAAGACGGAGATCAGATTGTAAACAGTCCGAATTATGCTCCGCTGGAGCTAAAGATCCGGGTCAGTAAACTTGGCGTTTGATATTCAAGGTAATGACGAGTTTTTGTCATGGCAGAATTGAGACCGGTTGTAATATTAAAGGAATGGTCGCATTAGAAATCGCAAGAACGTATGTTTACAAATCATATCCTCATGGACAAAGTGTGCATCTCGCTTACTTTAGTGAATTAAGCTTTACTGGCCATGTGGACGCAGGAAGAACGACAACATGATACAGCGACGTAACTTACGCCCTGTAAAGAATTCTCACCTCACCCGGCAGTTAGTAAAGATGATTTAATGTATATTCTGCATTCGTCCGTGTAAAATTTGTAATAATGTTAGACAATGCATCCGAACATGCCATGTCAAACGGTTCACGGGTCGATCAAACAAGGACGATCGCTCCAGGCATCATCACTTACTTCGTTACCGAAGCCCCTAAGCTTTAGCGAGTCCGCCCCAAGCCAAACATCATCATCCTGGAACCCTCCTCAAACATCGACTCAAGCTCCGCACTTCAGAGAAACAAAAGTCGACGTTCAGAGAAACAAAATCGACGTTCATCAGACGCTCGCAAGCTTTCGGACTCATTGAACAGTTTGTGACCTCGGGTCTAGTCTCGAATATCAGACTTTCGGTTTTTGAGTTGCTCCTGTACTGTGATACACGTCGGAGAAGCCTTGCCCCGGATCGTCAATGCAAACTCTATGCATGTGACGACAAGGTTTTCGCAACATGGACTGGTAATCTCGAACCCTATTTCTCGGGAAATTATGTTTTCCTTGTCTCGACCTACCTCTTGATCCAGAGGCATTTTGTTGGTGTTTTCTAGCTCTGGACAATATAGCTAGTAAATTTATATTGACATGTTGCCTCAACATACTCTTCTAACAAAAATCTATCCACCAGTGCTGAGACTTCAACAATATGTCCAGATCTCAAATTCGAGACTCGACTGAACTATCGGGAAATTCCCGCAAATCAAGTCAAGCTCCCGCCCAAGTTTCAGATACAATACGAACTACAAAGCTTAAAATCGAGCCCGAAAGCTTGATGGGATGGAGCTAATTGTTCCTTCATCCGAGGCACTCAAGCATCAGCTGTTTCGGATCTTCTCCGACCACCGAGCGCGCGAACACCTTGAGCAGTTCGAGACCAAATCTCATTGGATAACAACCCAAACGACGTCGTTGTGTGGCCCAAAATGCTGGGATTGACGTTGTGATAGGCAGTGATGAGCAAGAAGTTTTCTGGAAATTCTGGAGTCTAGACGCATGATTGGCTTTGTGGGAGATGTTCCAGGGAAACCTATTTGTTGAAAGGCCCAATCGAATCTTCGACTGTTGGGAGTCCGAAATGGTTGAAAGACCGTAGAATGTGTTGCAGCTGTCTCGAGGTTTTCAAGATGAGCGATCCGATGATACCGGATCGAAGGCTTTCGGATTCCCAGGTGGCCTCTATGCTCCGTTCGAAGAAAGAAGATACTTTCTGGCGTTTTGACGGCTTGACGAGTGGCATATAACATGCAGTCTGCCGCCCAATCTATCAACTCTTCTTTCCATCAACAATCACATTCTCTATCCAATCCAGCCTTAGTATAACTCAGCCCAACTCGCCTCACTTTCACTCCTATCAACACAACCAAACCATCTTCTATCTAATCATAAAACTTACCTCTTCCACCACCACCAAAATGCTATCCCGCCACCCCGTCACCCTCCTCCTCTCTCTCGGCCTCCTCTTCACCACCTCTTTCTCCCTCCCCACCGACCCCAAAACGCTCCTGAGCCGGGCCTCGACCTGCTCCGCCAACACGGACAAGCTCGTCGCCGGGATAAACAAGAACATCGAGCTCCAAAAGCAAGAGCAAGCACAACTGAAGGTCGTCACGGGCATCGTCGATTCTGATACCGTGGATCAAGCGGATTTCGCCTCTGCGAAGAGCAAGTTTGTCGATATTGTGAATGCGGGTATTACGCAGCGAAAGGCGAATCAACAATTGGCTGCTGGGAACAAGGCCGCGGATGGGTTGGCTATTGTAAGTTTCCCTTTGGAAGGAAATGAATTGGGATGGGAATTTGGAAACAGGATCTAATTTGTCTGTGTGTGTCTCTAGGTCGCCAATGCTCAAGCCGCAGAACTCAAAGCCGTGACAGGCCTGACCGGTGTCGCGAGCACCGACGACGCTACATTCGCCGCATTGAGCGGCATGTTCGCTGGCGGAATCGCCCAGAACCAGAAGAATGCCAAGGATGTAAGTCTCTCTCATCCTCCCCTCACTTTACTATCCGTGCAAGTATGGACGAAAGGTGGAGAACGCAGTGCTGACGATGAGATTAAATATAGGCGGCTGATGGATGCACTGATGCTGATAGCACGGGTGCTACTGATAATTGTCAGTGATTTATAGCATGTGTGAGAGAATCTGGGATTTTTGGTGATGATCGTGATCCTAGCAAGGCACTGTTGATTGGAATCTTGCGGGAGGGCGGGATTGAGGGTTGAGGGCGGGAAGGTAGCGGGTGGGCAGGCAACACTCGTTTGTAATTCCTAGAATATTAGGACTTTGAGATACAAAGGAAAAGATAGATCCAGTTGGGGGGCTTGCTGGAAAGTTATTAAGTGAAATTGTTGTGAATTGTTTATTGCTCGCTTAACCGTCAGACCTTCTCGGAAAATCTCCGCATTTGTAGAAGGCGAAAAGCGCACCGCAGACTCCTCCCGATATGCCTATCATACACTTCGCCCTTGAAATACCATTTTCGCTTCTTCAAATATCCCTCGCTCTCCCTCTCACATCCGCCATCAAATCATTAACCCCCTCTCTCTAACCATCAAAACCCACTCTCTCCCACACTCCAAACACTTAACATCCATCCTCCCCCTCCTCCCCTCAACAGGCATCCAATCCCACAACTTCCCCAAATTCCCCTCCTTCCCACCCTCCTCCTCCCCCTCCACAACACCCCACTCTCTAAACCCCCCCTCACCACTCTCCCACTCCACCTTCTCATCCTCCCTCTCCCTCACAGCAGGATCGTCAGACCAAGGATACGTCCGCGCAAACGCCGGGGTGAGAGCCTGTACTAGCAGGGAGGAAGCGAGTCTTTGGTCGTCGAGCTCGTCTTCCATGTCGATGAGTGAGCGGGTGAGTGTGTGGATTGTCTGAGTGGTGTGGCTTGTGATTGAGAAGGTGTGTTTGGGAATTCCTGTTGCGGACTTATCATCGCCTTTGGTATTGTCGGTGTTGGATTCGGGGGTGAGCATATCCAGATCGTTATCATGATCATTCTTATTATCATGGGCACCATCACCCTTACCCTTCAAGATGACAGGCAAAAAGTACCTCGGCGCACACATATCCATCTCCCTCGCTCCAGCGGTATTCACCGGTCCTGGTCTCTCTACTTCCTGCACGACAATCAAAAATCGGTTTTCGTTTTCGAGTTGAGATGTGATGTCTATGATCCGGCCGTAGGCGGTCTCCCGAGCGAAGGAGATGAAGTTGTTAAGGAGTGGGGTGATGTTCTCGGATGGGATGTGGGAGTGTTCCGGGAAGCGGCTGCTGGGGTGGTAGGTCTTTTTGGCGAGGTCGCAGCAGAGGATTGGGAGTGGTGAGTAGGTCGTGAGAGTGGTAGGAGAGAGGGGAGATAGGATAGAGTAAGGCGGGAATGAGCGCGGTGGTTGTGGGGGTGGAAATGGTGGGAGGATGGGCGAGGGGGCTGTTGAGAATGTTAGCTTCTGTGCTTCCAATAGTAAGGTCTAGAGTTGATAGATACGTGAGGATGGAGAGTGGAGAGTGACTCTGAATCTCGACTTCGAGGCAAGTTCCATCAGACAAGGCAAGTTTCCCCCTGCTCCACCTCGCAACCTGAACACACAACAAAGACAGCCACAACAAAGAAGCCAAAAAAAAAAAAAAATACTCACCCTTAACCTTCCTCCTACCCACCTTGCTACTCCCCTCCCCTTTTCCCTCCCCATCTCCCTTTCCCTCTCCCTTCCCCATCCCTCTGATCATCTCTTTCCCCGTCCCCTTCTCTTTCATCTTCATCATCTTCTTCTTCTCCAAGAACTTCTTTGAAGGAGGAGGCAGATCGTCGTCATCATCATCATCATCATCTCCTTCTTGTTGTTCGATAGCAGACAGAGGAGGCATATCTAAATCGATGTCGAGGGTTGAAATGTGAGTAGATTCCCAACGGCTGTCGGGGCTGGGTGTGGGTGTGGGAGTGGAGGTTTGGTGGCGTGGCATTTTAGACTTTTGAATTTTTGGATTTTCGAGGTGAGGTGAGGGTGAATAGGAGAATCTTTGTGAGAGGCTGTTTCGTGTTATTTGTGTGTAGGCGTCAGTGATGGAATCTTCAAAGGAGTCAAGCACTTCTCAAGACTCGACTGCAAAGTACTCAAAAAGCAGTTCCCTAACCTCGAGAAACGAGCTGAACTTGAGTTAGAATCCCGCTGTGTATTTCCTTCTCCCAAAAATGCTAGTAGAGAAGTACGTACTTACTTACTTGCTTCCTGGCGTGCTGCTGTCGTTATCTTCTCGCTTTATTTGCAGTTCAAAGTATCTCGAGATCAATTCTAAGATCTCGAGGTCGATCTCAATGTCTCAAGCTCGAGATCGAGATCGATTCCAAAATCCAGTTCGCAACTCAAACTCAAGAATAACACTGATACTGAGACTAAATCTCAGGCTCCAAGCTCCTCCAAGTCGAAGTTGAAGAATATATAGGTCTATCCAGGACAAGAAAACCTAAGGCCGCGGCGCGCTTGTAGCAAGCGAGGTCGGTATGTCAGGCTCGGTCGTCTTTGTCTTGTAAAAGGTAAAGGGGAAGGTGAATGATCAAGTGTGTATGGGCTGAATGAGAGGAGGATGATGATGGTGATGAATGGCTGGCTGGCTGGCTGGTTAGCTGGCTGGTTAGCTGGCTACATTCGTTCGGTCGTTCGTTTGTTTGTTCGTTCGTTAACTTTTTCTCTCTGAGGTAGGCTGGGATGGGAGGAGAGTGTATTCTCTTTCACCTGGTTTGATGAGGTGAAACCAGGGAGTCTGGAGAGGGTATTGTGCAGTGATATCCGAGGAACAGGTGAGAGGTGAAAGGGTGAAAGGAAAGGCGAGGCGTGTGAGGATTAGATTTTGAGTTGATTTGTCGCGACAGTTGGTCAGTACAGGCTCCAGTGAATATTATATATTCATTGAATCGACTTCAGACATTGTCTCAATCACCATTACGCGACTCAGATCCACACATTACCACGATCAAGATTGGTCTACACATCCCACCCGATCCACTGAAACCAACCTATCCAGACCCCTCACCAACCTGCCCACTCCTCCTCCTCCTCTCCCTCAACAACGCCTCAGCATCAAGCACATCCTGCGTATCATCATCATCATCATCATCGTCATCATCACTACTCCCCACCTGCTCCTCCCCATCCCGATCCTCACCATCCCTCTTTCGATTATTAACATTATCACTATCCCCCGCACCCGGCTTCCGCTTCTTCTCGAAATCCTGCGTATGCGCATCTGCCACAATTCTGGTGAAAGTGCGCGTCATGCCACGACGACGCATAGACGAGGTGTTGCTCTCTTGTGCTTCGAGCGCAGTGCCGATGCGGCTGCGATGGCGGGAGAGCATAGGTGAGCCTCCTTGTGAAGGTGGTGTTTCAGCTGAGATGGGTTCTTGCGATATGGCGCCTTCTTCTTCTGAGTCGGAGGCGATGGAGTATGGGAGGGGTACGTCTCGAGAAGCTTTGTTGCGGGCGACGTTGGAGCAGTGTTCGTTTTCGACGCGGAAGAGGACCCAGACTCCTCGTCTGGTGACTTCCGAGAAGGCGACGAGGAAGGAGACGAGTGTGCTGTGTTGGAGGTTGTGGGTGTAGATTGCGTAGAAGATCCAGTTGAATCGGAAGATTGGATCGAGGATCATGGCTGCGTAGTAGTAGTTTGGATTCTTGTATCCGCGGACGTCGCGGAGGAATTTCTTGGATGCGTGGGGTTGGAGGAGAGACCAATCCATCAGGAGATCCCAGATAGCTGACAAGATTAGCTTAGACGTGAGGAGGGATACGACAGACTCACAGCAGTAAATAGCATTGATCGTTGCAAAAGTTATGAACACCGCAAGATGTCCCTTTCCACGATCAATACGATAAACGCTCAAAGCAACGTAGTACAATATGGTCATGCCATATTTGCCACAATTGACAAGGTGTGGAAAGACATTCCGCGTATCGTAATAACGTCGAAGACATTGCAAGGCTCGCCAGATTCCAGGAAGTGTAGAGAAGAAACCTAGAAGTCGGGAGCGTGTCGAGTTACACTGTGATGGGTTGTTCCAGTAATTTGCGTAGAGGCAGAAAAAGAGTTCTATGTTCTGTTTGCAAGTCAGAGTCGCTCTTGGCCAGGAAGTGGTGGACTTACACTCATCAAGTATGTCAAGGAGCAGTACATATCTCCCAGAAAGAAATCCCGAAACTCCACAGGGTATAATCCAGCGAGAAGCAAACGCCACTGGAATTGTTAGGACAGATCCCTAGGGTGGAAGGGGTAACATACATGCGAATAAACAAACCATCTTCGGCTCCGATGGTATATGTAGGGTCCAGGAAAGAAAATCAAAACCACAGTGACGAAGATCAAAAGCACAGGGTAGTATATATACATCTCAGGTGCACCATACCTAGAGAAATTAAGCCAAACAAATAGTCCCCATATGAGAATCAGTAATGAAGGAAATTCAGACAGCTGTTGCCAGTCCAGATGATGCCGAGGATCAAATTCGAAGACGAATTGGTAATTGATCTTGTTTCGGGTCCAGATACTGCAGTCTAGACAGAACCATGAGAACAGATACAGTGCCAGGAAATATCCTCCGTATATTTGCAATAGATAAGATGTTTGAGTCCGGATGACAGGGTCCGAATCATAGAGTAGATCTGACCCATAGATTGTCCCCTGGATCGAGAACACTGCACCGATTCCAATGAGCATACCATTGCGGAAAGCACTTGCTGATTGGTCCTTCCGTCGACCGTTCGAGCTTCTCAGCTTGCCAGTGGCGATCTTGTGGTTGCCTCTCTCGAAATATCGAGCGTACAGATCCTCCACAGCATGGAGATGTGAGTCGAGCACATCGCTGTTGACAAACCAAGCCTTGTTGACCTTTTCAGACATGTACCGCAACGGTGGATGAGCATCGACAGCCTTATCATACTTCTTGTTGATTTTGCGGAAAGCAGTGCGGTTGAGCAAAGCATAGGACTTGAGCAGTTCCATACCTCGATAGAATTCCTGAAGAGCAAGCTTCAACTTCCGTTTAGCAGTTCGGTATGGGACATCGTCGTGGTAATGGGGCCGTCTGACATAATCTTTACCCTCATCTGCTTGACGATTTTGGTCGAATTGGGCTCTCGATCGAAGTTCTGGTGACCCAGCCATATTCTGCAAGGCTCTGGAATTTCCTCCCGGACGAGGACCAGTGACTTTGGCTTTTGCATTTCCAAAAGCCTTCTCAAATGGGTCAAACCAGGTATTAAGCTTGTCGCGAGATGTTGGGCGGTAATCATCGTCCTTCTTCGACACTCCACTCAATCGTCCACCTTGAAAGTCAAAGATCTTGTTCTCCTCTCTCCGTCGAACTTCTTTAGCATGCTGTGCTGCAGCAACCTCCTCAATTCTTCGATTTCGCATCTCGTGTAGTTGTTCTCTCAAGACCTTCAATCTGGCACCCGCTTCATCTTCCTTCGCTCTGTAGAATGTTTCAACCTTCTCCAATTCCTTGTCCATGAACTTGAAGAAGTCCTTCTGTCGCTTCTTGACCTGATCCACTGCAATCATATCCACGTCCAGTTTCCGACTCTGTGCGGGCTCCAATGGCGTTCCCACCGAAAAGACTCGACGCATAAATGGCCGTACACTCCCACTTGGCGGTATGCGGCTCTTTAGACTTGCAAAGGCGTTCTTATGTGGCGGTGTCATAGTCCGTCCAACCTCGTATGCATTGTCTGGAATAGCAACGGAAGCAGCTCTCCCAGAGGGATTTCGACTCAGGACACCCTTTGGCGAGAACGATCCCGTATGTTCGCGGCCAGGAGCGGGTTCCAGTGCAGGGTCGGGAAGTTCGAAATTGTGTTTCGGTCTTGCGGGAGGCGTTGGCACAAAGCTTCCGTAGTTACCATCGTCGACATTGCCATCGTTATGTGCAGGTATTGGCATAGGAGGGGTCTTCTTGGGGCCAGCGTATGGACCTTCATCTGAACTATCGGACTGCTGTCTTGAGTCGGCCGCAAGAGGGGCAGGAGAAGTGCGCAGTGACTCAGTAGGTCCATCGTTCGCGCCATCAGATCGTGCTGATGCAGGAGAAGGTCTATTGCGAGCTGCGACTGGGGACGTTGCTCCGTACAAGCTGTGGTTTCGAGGGCCGAGGTTGGGTTGTGCGGGAGTTTTGGGGGTCGCATTCATGCGCGTTTGTGCTCGAGCGGCGGCCTTGACATGTTTCTTTCCAGCCTTGTAGTCGAGGTATTTGATGCGCCATTCTGTCTTTGTCAGTAAGTGTTGTTGCACAATTGGAGCGCAGTAAAGGCTGACCTGGGACAAGGTCCTGCTCCAGCTCTTTGGCAAATTTCATTCTGGCAAGGCTGCCCAGTCGCGTTGTGCAAGGAACGGGTAATTGAGTTTCCTGGAAGCTTGCACGGCGCTGATTGCGGTATCAAGGAGAGATGTCCATCGGCAGATATGAAATGGTAGGTGAAATACCAGAATTGAAGCTTTTCAGAACGAAAGACGCACAGTTACGTCGTTCCTCGTCCGCCTTTCCAAAAGTTGGAGAAGAGTGGAGAAGGCTGAGGCTGGCTGCCGAAGATTTGCCTCATTCCCATTTCGTCTTGGCCCGCCCGCTTCTCATCACTCGTCTTCAACCTCACTCCGAAGAGATCACAACTAAATATTCATAATCACAGTTACACCAATTACAGACAGTGGCGAGGAGAACAGGTCGGATCTGAACTTTCGTTTTCGATTCAAGAAGGGAGATAGATAGTGGGTATAGAGACATTCGAGTTTCTGAGAAGATGTACACCGCGGGGCTTAGTTTCACTCAGGTACGGACGTATCTTGCGCTTGTACGCCCAACATTCGGTCTGGATAAGAATGGCTCGGGATACCATACCTTTAAATTCCGAATAAATTCCAGGACAGGTCATCTATTCAAGCGAGTATCCTTCTTCCAAACATTTCAAATTCCCTTGAACACCATCTAAATATCCCCTCCTCCTCCTCCTCCCCCATCTCCTCCCACTCTCCTTCCTCTTCTAAGGCAAGCAATATCCCCCATCAACAATGATATCCGTACCCGTTGTATAACTCGCCGCATCACTAGCAAGGTACAGGAACGCGCCCTTCAACTCATTCGCCTCTCCCTCCCGTCCCATAGGGATCTTATCCTTCCAGATCTTCTTCGTTTCCTTGGGGACGAAGTCGGAGATTTCGGTCGCGATATACCCGGGCGAGATGGTGTTTGCGCGCGCGAAGCCGACCCATTCAACAGCGAGGGATTTGCCTGTCAGGGGAGGGGGTAATTAGATTTATAATATTGGAAAAGGGAGGGTGGGAAGCAGGTTTGGGATATTGAGAGGATGAGGAAAAGGAGGGGGACCAAAAAGGGGAGCAGGATAAAACTTACAAAGATGAATAACCCCCGCTTTCGCAGCATTATACGTAGCTTGCAACTGTGGGATATTAACAATATGCCCACTCATACTCGCCGTCGCCACGAAGCTGCCCTCCCTAAACGCAGGCTCCAAAGGCTTGCCATCAATCGTAGTCTGCTCCTTCTTCTGGCGTCTCCAGTGTATGGCAGCAACTCTGGCGCAGTAGAACGTGCCATCCAGATCGGTCGTGACGACTTTGCGGTAGTGGTCAAGCTCGCCTGAGATGGCGGCGCCTTGGGTCCATGGGATGCCAGAGTTGGCGATGAAGATGTCGAGGCGACCGTTGAATTCGCGGATTGCGGACTCGATGGCTGCGGAGACGGCGTCGTAGGAGGTTACGTTCACTTGGTAGGCTTTGGCTGTTTGGGTTGCGCCGAGGGGTTAGCTAGAGTATCTAGAAACTGTATTCCATTGTTTTGCGGGGTGGTATGCGCTCCAATCAAGGGGGCGCGCTTCTCCCTGGACTTGGACCCCTCATCTGCTAAGATAGTGCTAGATCCAGGGGAAAATGGGGAGTTGGAAGTTGGAGAGGGGAAGAAAGGAAAACGTACCCTTTACGCCGTATGTCTTCTCGATCTTTTCTGCCTCGGCAATGGCTTTCTTGTTGCTGTTGTACCAGATTGCTACGTTTGCTCCTGCTTCTGCCAGGGCGTGGGCAACAGCCAGACCGATACCTGCACCTGCACCTGATACAATAGCCGTTCGACCTTTGAGGGAGAAGAGAGGGAGGACTCGGTCGGATTGTGGTGCGGTAGTGTTGTTGTGGGCGAAGGACCCGCTGGATGTGATGGCTCCGTCCATGGTAGGTAGTTGGGTATTTGTTGTCTTGATAGCGGGGTAGTTCTGGGGTGGAGTTGACGGGGTTTAAGTAATGTCTTCTTGTCACTGGGAGATTGGGTAATTGGTTAATTGAAGAAACTTGGAGAGAAGAGAGATTCAATAGAAAGGAGGGGAGAAGGAGGGAGGAGCTCGCTTTTGAAGGAGAGACAGCGGCGGCTTGTAAATATAGTTCAGTTCCACATGTGCCTTGCCGCAACGAAGTCGGAAGTTTACGTCGGAACCGTCGATGTTGTGCCATCCGACACGACTTACTTGATTCGCTCCCCTTCTCGGTGTATCTTGTCGCAAAAAGTATCGTCTTGTCATTGAAGCTATCCAATGAACGGAGCAGATGTGACGCGAAAGTGAAAGCTTGGTGGAGGGGTAGAGGGGTGAGAGGGGCAGACGCAGGAGATCCATGTACAGTACGACAAGGGATCCAAGAGTGGATCGAGTTGGGGGCTGTGAGGTGAGGGCCACGCAACAGCCGTGGAAAGGAAACACACAGAAAACGGATCAAAATGTGTGATCTTGAACGTAACTGAGTCTATACGTAGTGAGTCTATGGACTGGACTGGACTGGACCGTACTTTGTAGGAGGTAAATTCGGACGGACTGGATGACGGACTGGTTGGTAGTTGGGTAGAAAGAATATAGGTAGTAGCTAAGACGACGACGAGCAGCAGACCTGAGTAGTAGTGGAGAAGCGAAATGGCTGACTCAGGTCCTCAGGTTGGCCTCGGCTCACTCCTGCCTGCCGCAACCCCACTACACTGCACTGCGCTGCAACCTTGGCCCTGGGCTCCTGGCTTCTGGCTCGTGGCTTTTCAGGCGCTGCACTTCTGGCATTTTTAGCCATCCCTACAACCACAACCACGCTCACTGGCTCAACTTCTTCTTCTTCTTCTTCTTCTCTTTCCATCTTCTGTATCAACACCATGACACTATCAAATATATTTCTTTTGATAGACAACAGAACAGCACGCTACCCCGCTCTTCCCCAGTCACGATCATGCACAAAAGAAATACATCTTCATGCCCTGATGATGAGGATCAACTTTGTCGTTTGATTCGTCCCATCGATAATTATATTGCGGTTGACGTCTATCCCTTGAGCAAAACTCTTGACTGCTAGAGACACTACATTCCAATTCCAGCGATGTGGACAGCCCCAGATCACAAGTGTTTCGATGGGCCAGTCATTTAGATCCCGTTCATCTACGCGAAAGTCTCTGGCTACAGGCGAGGAATGCATCCTCATTGGAATGCATTCCATCTGCCGACAATCTCATCATGTTACTTCTTCCTCAGCCCTTCCACTCATCCTTACTATCCATCTCCATTTTTCTCAACCAAAATTATCGGTAGCTCCGCCAGAGCACCAGTCCTGTCTTTACAGATACGCGTTGCATTTGGAATTTCTGTACTTGTCAACTCTTTTTTTCCACTTCGTCACGTCTCAAGTATCGTTACGCCGACGCGCTCTTACCTTTTAAAGATCCTCGAATGACGCGTTGTCCCATTGTTGGACATTGAATCCCGATACCCGGGAAGTCAGCTCCAGTTGTGATCCTTGTTGCTGGGACGGCTGATGGCCACGATGAAAACATCATCAATGGAGGAAACGAGCATGGTAGCACGGGATATGAACACCCAGTATCCTGTTGGATCGACAAACTTGTCCCTAGGAGCAATTATAGGAATTGCTGTGGGAGGAGCGATTCTACTCTTTGTGATCTTGGTCACAATCGGTGTTATGCATATCAACAAGAAGCATCGTCGAGAAAAACAAGAATTTGCGGAAGCGAACGAAGATGGGCATGCCGTCATTGAGATGAAATCCACCAATCGATCATCAATGCCACCGGAGATCAAATTGAGTCGACGACTTTCTCTCAACTCTTTCCTGCTCCTTCCCGAAGATGGTGGCCGAAAAGAATGGGCCAGACAAGATGGTCTACAGAAGCCGCCAGTTGTGAAAACCAAGCCTGCCCGAAGATCGTTCTTTCGAACATCAAACGTGAGGGACTCATGGCCGTTAAACACGACTTTGTCCTCAGGATTTGGGCAGCCATCCGTAGTACAGAGCCCGGTTGCACCGCCCGGGTATGTGATCCAGGACCAGAGATGGCCGAAGCGAACAACTTCACTGTCAGGGAGGAAGAATTCTCGGGATAGTTCCAGGTCACCTTCCAAGATACGTGGTCCATATTCCGGGGATGCCATTCCTTACAGGAACGCCCATCGACGATCAACATCAGAGACTCAGTTGTCCACGATCTTGAGATCCACCTCGCAGCGTCTGAAAGCATCTCAGCGACAGTCTCTGACTCGGACTACCAGTTCACTCGGTCAATTTCCTGGACTGCCTCCTTCTGAACGGCTCCCCACGCCGCCAAGAAAGGCCAACGAGAGCCGAGAAGGACTAATCAATCATGACCCTATTCATTCTTTTGGGAGCTCTCTATATGATGCGTACGCTGCCCGAACACCAAGTCCTTCGAAGAAACGTCAGAGAACTTCCAGCAAACGCTCCATCGTCAGACCGAAATCTCCTGCAGCGTCTGTTGAGTCTAGGGATAGTCTATGTGCAAGCGATACGACGGATCTAATCATACTTGCACCTCTCACTTCTCCTAGTAAAAGCCCTCGTGTAGTGCAGAATCGGTCAGCGAAGAAAGCCTCCGCAGCCAAAGATATCTCGGTAATGATACACCAAGACAGCCCAGCGCCGCTCTTCGCTAAGAGTTCTCAGGGAGGTGATAGCAGCAAGATTTTCTTACCGCCGCCCCGCACATCATTGACGGGTGATCCATTCTACTCGCCAGTCAGAAGCTGTAAGCCGCTGATGTCCAGTCCTCAAGTCCAAGGACCTCGGCCTATGTATATTCGCAAAGCAACTTTCGGCCAGGAAGCCACAGCGGAAAGGCCAGCAAGCTATGTTTCTCCTCTTCGAGACGTTACTGGAAACGCCCAGTCTTCGCCAAAGAGAGAACTTCCTGAGATACCTCTCACTTCTGAACCAAATCTCTTCCAATCGTGTCCACAAGAGGCCATGCAGACTTCCATGAAAGTATCCAGTGCAAGAAAGAAGGGCCATAAGCGGTCAAATGTCATACGAATGTCCATCTCTCGCCCAACAAGCACGGTTGAGATTGTACCAGAGGAACCAGAAACAATTACACCTCTGAAATTCAGCATTCCCAAAGTAACCTCATTCCTCAGTATGGAGTCCGCTCAATCTGTGAGTCCAACCAAGTCTACCAAAGCAAGTCCGAGGCCTCCAAGCATTGCGACATTCAATCCAACCCTCATCAGATCGCCCCTGTCAAGCCGCTCAGAAAACCATTCTCCAACACTGGCAGCAGAGAGAACTACCTACTCGCCCACGCTGTCAGTGACCAACTACTATACAGAGAATGACCATGGGTCCGAGGAGGAATTTTTCAAATCCAAGACCACAAAACCTCTACAGCATTCTTCTAGTGAGATCAAATCCCGCCGTCACAGCCGAAACAACTCAGATGTCTTCGCAAACAATCAGTCGCAGCAATACCCGCGAGAGAGTCTCCTATCATTCCCTTCGCTGCCGGCAATTTCACCGCTGTCGACGCCGCCTCCTGCACTTCGCCCACTACCAAGCATTTCAACTACACCGAGCGGCTTGCGCTCCAATGTCGCGGCCCCAGCATTACCAGTCCTCACCATCCCAGGCAACGTCACAGATGGTCCTTCGGAGCCAGACAAACGCACCAGTGCCACACTGATTCCTCCCGTTGGTGACTCGATACTAAGTTCCATCACTTTCTTACGGCGCATGAACAGCGAAATATCAACAAACCGTTCTTCGCCGACCCTAATGGATTCTCCTACCTTGCCGCAGGACCCATCTTCCAAGGATTCACAATTCAACACCACGACCAACTCCGAAAAACGCGGTCGTAGCCGTGGTTCCCACCTCTACCTCAATCTCGGTCAATCGTCGTCTTTCTCGGGCGACGGACTTGCCTCAACGCGCCCTACTCGCTCCGAGAAACGAGATAGCCATCGGGCTCAGAAAGATCGCCGGAGAAGAGCGACTCAAGACTTTGAGAATATCGACACACTCGATGAGCTTTCCCCCGGAAAAGAGAAGTCTACTCCCGCTCGTGGTGAGGACATGGCAGAATCTGGTAGCATTGCAGACATGTCGTTGAGATTCCCAACACTCAGCCGCGAAGGCAGTGTTATGCACACACAACCTCGAATGATGAACGCCCGACTTTCGGCATTCTCACTTGACCCCATCGTCGACACTTCATCAGTAGAAGTCATCGACCACACGGATTTCCTCCCCACTCCAACACCAAGTCCAAGCCCAACGATCAATGCGGCTCGCACTGCAGTCCGGCATAGTATCGACCCTCGCAACGACGGGATTCGCCTCTCGCCACCACGCGCTGATCTTGACCTTGACTTCCAATCTCCATCTCAGCAGCAGTCTGAATCTCAAACTAAAGATAGCAATGGTCCTAGCACACCAGGACAGAGACAGGGACAAGGACAACAAGGACAAGTCCCCACCCCACAATCCAACCCACCCCGCTGGTCCGACGCCATGATAAAACCAACCACGCACGTCACCCGCCGCGAAAGTAAGATGGAACATCCCATCCCATCACCGGGGATCACCACGCCGCCTAATTGGACCAATAGTGGTGCACGGTTGAGTGGGTTGGGACTTGCGGGCGTGAGGTTGATGGAAAGTGAGGAGGGGAGGATTGTATGGGGTGTTGGTGGTGCCGGGGAGGGCAAGAGCGCTGGGGAGGATGGGGTAGTGGGAGGAGATGTGCAGGTGGGTTTGGAGCTGTATGATCAGGATGGGTTTTTGAAGAGTAGTCCTGATAGGTTGAGGGAGAGGGAGAGGTTGCGTGCGGCGAGGGGGGCGGTGGTGGGTGATGGTGTGCAGGCATAGATGGAGAGTGCAGGTTGATGGGGTGATATGGTGTGGTGAGATGAGGGGAGATGGATTTCAGTGTCCCTGGACCGGCTTTACTTTTCCTTTTCCATTCTCATTCCTTTTGTTTAATCTTACTTTGGTGGGGATGTGGAGACTTGAGACTTCAGACTTCAGACTTCAGACTTCAGACTTGGATATAATCTTCTTCTTCTTCATCTTCAGGGGGCTCTACGCTCTTCAACTTGGCAAGTATAGGTAGGATATGGGAGGCCATACAGGGGCAATTTCTGAACCGAACCGATAGGGGTTTCTATTTAATTAATTTTCACATCTAGATCTACTTTTACATTTACTTTAAAACCTTTCACATCTGGAATCTCAGCTTAATTGAACTGATTCATGCTAATATCACTCTCATCCTCTCCCCTTCTCTGGTACTTGCCTCTCATTTCGATGCTGACATACATCACCTCACTCTAGTGGCTAGCTAACACTCGCGCCGTCGTACTTGATTTTCGTCCTTTATCTGTTCTTCTCGCTTTATACATCAAATCCATGAGACCCATCTGTTACTGATCTGAAGATTGAGACTCGTATCTGAAAACTAAGGGAAAATGTCAATCGGGCCTTGGGGATTGTAGTTTGCCGCTCACTCCTGAGGGAAAGTTTGCGGGGGATGATAAAGTGTTGTGTTGTGTTGTGTTAGTTCTAGTGGACTTGTTATAACAATGTATTTTTGAGATTCATGGACTTTTACTTGTGATGTTAATGTTCAATAGTATATTGGAGATTTGTTCTCTTCTTGGCGGGGCGAGAGGTCGATGTAAACAAATATCCTCGCTAAACGAATGGGTAGTATATCACGTGAAACCATCGAGACACGATCGTTCGTCGCGCTTTTTAACACTTCATCATACTAAGCATCAAATTTTTCTGAGCGTTATGATCCCTTTTTCGTGCCTCAAAAATAACATGCTACCAAATACCATACAGTCACGTGTCCCCTCACAAACTCAATCTCAACCTCAAACTCAACCCTCACCGTCCTCCCATTCCATTCTCTTTTCCTCCCCCTTCCCGTCTCAAACCCACACCTGAACATCCCTCCCTCCCCCCAAAAATTCAGCCATGCCCCCCATCCACATCCTCTACACCATCTCCTCCCACGGCTACGGCCACGCCACGCGCTCCTCGCAGCTCATCTCCTCCCTCCTGGCACACCTCCCGCCCACCACGCACGTGACGATCCTCACCCGCGCACCAGAACACCTCTTCCCTTCATCCCCGCGCATCTCATTCATTTCCAATCTGGAAATAGACTCTGGGATCGTGCAGCCCCTGCCGTATAGTATTGATGCGGTAGCTAGTTTTGCGGGGTTGGGGAGGTTTTTGAAGGGGTGGGATGAGGAGGTTGCGAGGGGGGAGATTGGCAGGGAGATTGGCAGGGAGATGGGTGGGAGGGAGTTTGAGTTTGATTTTGATTTTGATTTGATATTAGCTGATGCGCCGTGGGTTGTTGCTGGGCTGGGAAAGAGAAAAGAAATTGGAAAAGGGAAGAAGATCCCAACGGTGGTAGTCTCAAACTTCACATTCGACGCTATTTTCTCGCAACTGCTCGACTATCTCCCCGCGGCTCCTCATAACCGCGAGGCAGAAACTCAAATGGTGGAGACTATTGAGAAGATGTATGCGGAGTACGATTATGTGCTTAGGTTGCCGGGGTATGTCTCCTTCCCGTTTGTGGAGAGGTTTTGGAGTGAGGAGGAGAGGAAGAGGAGGGTGATTGATGCGCCGCTTGTGTTTAGGCCGGCGAGTAAGGGCAGGGAGGAGGTGCTGCAGGAGTTGGGTGTCCCGCGGGAGATGAGGGAGTGGAAGGTGTTGCTTGTGCAGTTTGGGGGGCAGGTTGCAATGGAGAGTGGGGAGGGGGAGGTGAAGAAGGTCCCGGGGATACCGGAGGGGTGGATTTGTTTGTCTGGAGAGGAGGTGGATGATGAGCGGTTTTTCACGTTTCCGAAGGATGTGTATTCGCCGGACTTGATTGGGGCTGCTGATGTTGTGTTGGGCAAGATTGGTAAGTTGGTTCTTTGACAAGTTGTGATCGACGGACACTGACTTGGCTAGGCTATGGGACGGTATCGGAATGCGTTGGTATGAACAAAGCGCTGGTCTATGTTCTGCGACCGATGTTTGCTGAAGAGCCGGGAATGCTGAAGTACATGGGTGAGAATGGGTGCTGTGAGGAGATTTCTGTGGCCGACTACGAGAGTGGGAATTGGGCGGGCATTGTTGAGAGGACTTCGAAGATTCAGTCAGAGAAGACACAAGTAAATATCGAAGAAGGAAGTGCAGAAGTAGCAAGAATCATCGAGGGATTGATCCGTGACAATTAGACGAGCTAGAAAGTTAGATTAGATAGACATAGAATATAGGTACCGCGCTTTCTCTTCGAGGGTAGTCGATGCCTTTAGACAGGAATCCCTGGATCTCCGAAAGGACTTGTGGTCATTGTAAACTGGGAATGCATAATAAGAGAGCAGTTATGGGGGCAGGCAACCAATGACAGCATCTTCGAAAGAAAGAAAATGGATGAAGTGATGTTCTGTTTTTAAAGCTATGTTTCCAACATCAATTCATGAAGGGCAATATGAATGTTACGGAAAAGGTCCACCCAGGACCCGTCGCATCCCAATCGCATTCCGCCGAGAAGGGCAGCTGACTGACATAATTACCATCCACACATCTTGTCGCTGACTTCCATAACGGGTTCAAAGAATAAGATCTCAATTTCACACAACAATGTGCCCTCCCTGTATTTGAGTATCGTAATGGATATCATTTCTGAAAGCGTTGTATGCCGTGTGGTCCATCCATACCATTACAGCAAGTTGACAATGTCCTGGGAGGCAACATCGGATATATAAAGCCTGAGAATCCATGCGCAAAAACCCAAGTCGAACTCTCAGATCATATTCGGAGGTCACGGAACTCAGCCGGTATGGAATAGGGCAATTCCGGTCACCACTCAAAAAGTATCCCAAGAGCCTCTGTTGCATCGAGGTGCCATCTTGTGAGGTAGTTGTTTGGCGCAATTCGTATATCCATGAAGAAGTAGTATTCAGAACGGGTACTTCGAATGCACTTATCCCTCGAAAGCGGGTCCATTGCGAAAAATATGACGCCCATGTTAGGAGCTGAAGGCGAAATTTTGAGAGGTCTTCAATGGTTGGATTCAACCGAAATCCACAACAATGAACTGCGTGTTGATAGTTCATTCCCGCCCATGAGAGAGTCTCAAGCGTGTGTGGACTTTGAGACTCCATCTTGGCCACTGAAGACGTTGAAACGATTAGAGTTTCTTTGGGAGATCCATTTTGCCGATCTGGGAATTGCTGGCCAGTTTCACCAATTCCACCAACAGCCTGCGTTATCTCTGCAAACGACCTGTCAACCCATTGTGGATTCAAGATATTGGCCCCTGGAAGCCTCGGTGACAGGATCGTAGCTGAACCATCTGCTCTGAGCTCCGGGTCTAGCACATCGATCCACGAATACCCTGGCGCAAATTCCCCAGGGCTGCTTTGATTATCCAAGCGCGTGGCATTCAGCTTTATCGCGAGACTCGTGTGTTCTTATGAGTTGGAGTGGTTTCCGATAATGAGATCGGGATAAACACTCGGAGACAGTGCAGACTGGGCTTCGGGGCTGGATTCTGGATCCTCGTCCTCGGGGCTGTCATATTTGGCTCTCCATCGTATGGGATCTGCGGGTGTTGGAGACGACATGATAGAGATGGTGGAGAAAAGATGTAGAGATAATGTTGGAATAGAACCAGCGAGAAAGCAGAAAGAATGACAATAACACATGCCAGAATGTGAAGGTAAGAGCGACTGGGTTGAGTGGTACAGTTCTTTTTGTAACATATCATCGCTCTTGCCAATACGCATGATATCTAGTTAGACGTCAATATCACAAGAAGCTAAGACAACACGCGTTCGATATTTTTCTAATTCTACAGAAAGTGGTATTCTACAAAACAAAACGGAAATGCCTTCAAGACATACATCCAACGTGGCCGCCCCACGTGCTTTACAGCGTTCCCCTTCTTTTCGTGACTCGTCAGTCCCACTACCCATTTCTCGGGTTCATCTACACGTCTGCTACGGCTGGAAAATCTATTTCATCCCCAAATACTTTACACAATATGCGGTCGCAGGAATTCGAAAGTGTAGCCCGAATCGTCACGAGCGATCAGGTATGCTGCCTCTCGCCCCCATCTGGTCCTTCCCAGGCTCTCAAAACTACGGATCAAATCCCCATCCATGGTATCTTCTGCCCTACAAGTGCATGTAAAGCTTCTCGATGCGATACTTGCGGAGTGTTTGGGCAAAGTCTCGGCCGGTATCTTCACACAGCTTGCGGATGACTTCGCGACTCTTTGCTTCTCCTTGAGCCTGCCACTGGACTTCGAAGATAGTAAAGGCGTGGGAATCGTAGCCGTAGTAGACGAAGTCGACGCCGTGTCGTTGGCGTACGAGACACTCGATCTGAACTCCAGGAGCCTCGACTGAAGAGACCGTCTCTGGAGCTTGAACCAGAATCTCAGTAACCTCGCCGCTCCCCCAGTTGTCCGTACCATAGAGGTTTATCCCTCTGTCACCGCAAGCCCTGATGTGATAGGCAAGACCGAAGACGATATTGAAATCACACCATACAACTCCATATTCGGCCTTGGGACCAACAACAATCTCATCAGGGAGCATTCCAGCCACGCGCTGTGCGAGTGTCATCAGGTCACCATGGTCGTGGTCATTGACAGGATGGGGTACGGTGATTCGCTTGCAGCACAGCAAGAATGGTTGATCTTCGTAGTGTCGCTCCCCTTGATCAGGAAGCAAGCCACCGTCTTTGACACTTGGCCGGGGATTGCGACCTCTGTTCTTCTTACCCTTCTTACGAGGAGGCTTTTCTGTATCGGCGCCTCCTATGGAGGATGGAGTAACTACAGTTGGTGGAGGGGTTGAACGGACAGTACTTGTTCCGTCTTCATCGTCGTTTTCAACTGTGGTAGACTGGAATGAAGCGGTGGCGGTGGATGGAGCAGGTGTAGAATAAGGAGATACAGAACACTGTGCGGTCTCAGCTAATTCGAGATCGATGACTTGCTTGGCTTTTTGCTTTGGACGTCTGCGCTTCTTGTTCTTGCTAACAAGTTCCTGTCCGGCGACTTGAACCTGGGTGAGGGGTGTAGCGTTTGATGGAGGGATTTCGACATCAGGAGAGGAGAAAATGTTGGTTTGTTCCAGAATTGCAACAGCGTTGTCGTCGGCGAGCTGCACAATCTGCTCTGGCTGAAGGGTTCTCGTGGCCGAGCCATCAAAATTACCGTCAACGACCTCCTCCTTGGCTTCGATCTCTGCGAAAGATTGCATGCTGGATCGCTGAGCGGGCTGATATTGTTCTCGGATGAAGCTCGTGACACGCTCCGCCCGAACGAAGTCTCTGATGTTACGAGTCTCCCCGGACGGAATGTGGTACAGTGGTTCATTTGTAGATCCAAAACCTGTCTGACGAGCAGCCCATTGCCCACGTAAGGTCAACTGCCGAACAAACTCTGGGAAGCGGTTACGAGCCTCGTAGTCGGCCTGCTCCTGAGCAGTGCGCTGATGGCCACGAACTTGATGGCTTGGCGGCATTGTAGCAGGGGATGTTAATCCTGCTGGTTCTGCTGGGCTTGCTTGAGTAGCTCCTGTGGCTGGCGTAGCTGGTATAGCTAGTATAGCGGCCGCGGCTGGTGTTGTTTGTTTTGCTGGTGGACGCGAAATGGAAGACGAAGGATGAGAGCGAGGGGGTGATTGGCGAGGGATGATTTGCCACGGTAGGCACTCGACAATTCCAGCCTTTTCGCACGATGTGCAAGGAATTTTACCGTCGATGCGATCACACTTACAGCGTCGACCATGGCAGTAAACACACGCGCCTAGTCGGCCACTTCGCCTAAATTGCCGTCCAGGTTTGGATGCCTGAAGCGGGAGGGCAGGAGGGTTCTCACCATTACCTGCATTAACTCGTTGCCGAGTGTTAATGGCAGCCGACATCCTAGATGGTGGTCCAAACAAGGACTAGGTCTATATGGAGATAAGTGCAGGATCTGATATTCGTGGACACGGTATGTATCAGCCTAGGATTTTCAGTCAGTCGACTTGAGGAAATGAGGGTAAAAGGGCTTTCGCTTTCGACTGGGTTGCAGGACTTGAAGGAGCCTCCGTCGTGGATGGAAAGCTTGTATGTAGAAGACTTACCACAAGGGCGCTCCGATTGAGTAGTGAACAACAGAGTTCGCCAGCTATTGTGTTGCACAGAGAGAAGCTGTACGTGGCAATGCACTTGTGTAGACGAGGGAAGATTTGTAGAAGCTCAAGCAAAGCTAATCGCAAGTACCTCAAACTCCCGTTGCAAGCGACGAGATATCAGCAAGATACTGATACAGCTGGTTGTTATCCGCGTGGATGTTGCAAATATGCAATGTTGCAATGCCAGGTTCTTGGGGTGTCGATCAGGAGAAGGTGAATGCTCGGTTTTTGTCGATCTCAGCGGAGACAGGTTCTCGGTTGGCGTGAGGAGAGTTCCATACCATGGCAGTTCCTTAGAGAAATTCAAGGCTGAGAACGGCTATACGGCTGGACGAAAGTGACTGTGTTCTTGTGGCTTGCTGCTTGTGCTATCACTGCTATGTTCGTGTAGACGGAGCTGGGAATCGAGGAGACTTCTTCCAGAGCGCACCAAGTCTGCAGTAATGCAGATGGGCAGGAACACGCTCAAAATTGGGGTTCAATAACGCAGACAGCAATTCTGCTGTAATGAGAGTTCTGTGGAGCACAAAATACGGTGTGCTGGTGGCCTTGTTGATGAAGGAAGGGGAAAGAGATGAAGTCGGTGGAGAAAAGTATATTTCTGAGAAGCTTCGACGTGTGCGGAGCTAAAAAGTGGTTGGCCTTAGGCCCAGGAAGAGCTGAGGTCCGTGGAAGAACTAGCTTGGGAAATGGCTATTGGCTAGGTGATGAAGAGCTTCGAAGAGGGGGAGTGCTCTAGTTTTCGAAGTGGGAGAGGTGGGCTAAGCTGGATGATGGACTAGACGGAGGAGTGAGATGGGGAACTTGGCGAGACTATGAAGTGGTACTGGGAAGGATATGGCAAGAGTAAACTCCCATCGGGGCATTTGGGAAGAGGCGAGACAGTGGCTTACAACGTGGTACTGTGCATGAGCTTGACTACTCGAAGACCGATGTGGATCAGCCATGTAACAGGCCAGCTTGTCAAGCAATATTCTCTGCCTGACAGAAGTCTCCGAAGAGATTAGGTATAGTTTATCTAGAACGTAAACGTAAAGCAGTTAGTTTCTGGCTATGTAAAGTATGATGCTAATGTTGTGAGTAAAATTTCAAGATCCAAGAACATTGTAGCTTGCAGTATTCCCCAGCGGAGCGGGACCCAGCCTCAGGTCAAAAAGCATTAAAGCACGTATAACATTCCCATCCGACTGCGGTAACGAACGCTCACTGACACGATGGGCCTTTCGGTGGCTCAAAGAAGCCTCGCCCATTGCTGTGATGTATGTTGAAGGAGGATGAGAACAGACTTGACGTGTCCATGAAAGAAACTATCAAAGAGAACATTTTGTCAAAAGTGTCGAGAAGAAACATGACCTGTGATGCATACAAGAGAAACCAGGACCTAGAAATTTTATGAAGCTGACACAGCTCTAGACTTCGACTACAGAAGCATCTTAGGATAACAATATAACAAAGAAACATCTCAAGACAAAGTCGCCCACAGGTGTTGTACTTCGAACCACAGAAATAGATCACATGCAGAGCTGAAAGAGCTGAAAGACTGGCTATAATGTTTGATTCTGTAGTGTTGGTCGGTCTATTTAGAACACACGTGCGGAGCTCAAACTGTGGTGTACGGTGTGTGGGATTGAAAGTACACGCACCGATGAAAAGAAGATTCGAGAATATGCACCACCTTTGTGTTGATCATGCAAATCAACATACTCTGAAATCATACCCGTCGAGGGACCTTGGTCAGAGCGTGGACTACAGTGGTGTCACAAATCATGACTGCAACCACAAAACAAAAGATCCGAGACTGCCTTGTGAGCTTTTCGATACAGCACAAATATGAGCAAAAGGCAGAAAATAGAAATAAACACTAATGCCAAGCGATGCACTGGTCTGAGCTCGCAGAAACAGTACAAAGGAGTTGATTGGTGATAAAGAACTATGAACGATATGCTTAAATAACCCAGGTTCCAATTTGGGCGGAGAGAAGCAATATGATATCAAACGCGTAAGAAAGGCACAATGATGGAGTTGAACAATGTTATGCCGTATATAAATGCTCGCTTTGTCAATTGAAAGGCATCAGGTCCAAGAATAAACCACAGCAATAATAGCGGAATGAGTTCAAGTACAACAAAGAACGAGACGCAGCCAATCGCAATGTAACCAATCGCGGCGGGGATCTTTCCCTCAGGGGATTAAACAAATAATGCAAAACCATGACAGAAGATAAGCAGTCATACCGAGAACATCTCCAACGCTCGAAGATACAGGGCCAAAATCATGCCAGTCATTCCATCCTATCCTCACGCCCATCTTGCCAACTGGTGCAATTGAAGCAGCGTTTTGCCTGATTTTTGTGTCAGTAGGTGAAGACGTCCTAATGAACATAAATAGTCATACCTTGCCACTGATCCGCTTTCGGCAATACCTGCATTTGACTGTGGTTTTGATGATGGATTCGTTGCTCATGGTATCATAGATATTGGCAATTATGTACAGAGCCAATCCTACTCCAAGGAAATTGATGATCTTGTTGAAGAAGGTTCTGTACAATGTCAGAAGTGCAATCTATCATTATGCCCGAAAATTGGGTGAAGGTTAGAGGAGAACAGACCCGTAAGCGAGCACAACCGCACCATCATCAGCTGCCTGCTGCAAAGTGTTGTATCCAATTCCATCTGTCTGATTATATCCTGGACCTCTTCTCAAGATAGCAAACTTCTCATCCATATTTCGGTTGATGAATGGAAGAAGGGAGAGAGGTGGAAGCAAGATATCCGAGACAAAGGAAGTCACTACTGTAGTAAAGGCTGCTGCGATGCTAGATAATTGAGGATCAGTAAATAGCCCAAATGAGAGACAAACAGTGTTATGAGGGCAATGATTACATCAAACCAACAGCAACTTCCAAAATGTTATCCTGAAGAGCCCAATCGGTAAAGCCATGCCACATCTTGTTGGCACGTCTCCCAACCTCCTCGCCAGCGTGCTGGAGCAAATCCTGACTGTCTTCCAAACGAATGCGTGGTCTTGCCATGATTTTATCTTCTCTTCCGTGGCTTGACAAGGAAGAGAGTTCTTATAAGTCTTGAAGATATTACAAAGATCTTCCACAAAGCGGTGAAGTCCAGAGGTTGAGAGAATGTCTCAGTCCTTAAAATAGAGTTAGACACGTGATTGAGCTAGCTCATCCCCCTGGGTCTTGGCACCCACTATCGCCGCGATAAGAAATAAAAATATCTTTGCAAGTCAACACGACCCCGCCATCGAGGAGTTATCACAAATTCGCAGATCGAGCGACATGATGGCGCCCACGCTTTCGGAAGATGAAATCGATGACTTACTGTACTTCGCAAGGACTGGCGACAAGGCCGAATTTGAGTCTCTAAAGGAGGAGCTTTGTAAAAGAGAGAAGGTGGAGGTTACGGATTTAGTGGAGAATGCGCGAGATTCAGAGAGTGGAAATGGAGTTTTGCATATGGCAGCTGCGAACGGACATTATAGTAAGTGAATGTAGTCTTCTGGTGTGTTCTATAGAGCTAGTGGGAATCTACTGTATAGAGGTAAAGGGCGTGGAAAAACTAAGGAGAGTCCTGGAATGTGTTGCTAATACCTACTTTCCAGCTATCCTGCTAGACCTCTGCAAGTCCCTCAGCGGATCTTCTCCCCAAAACCCAAAGATGCTATCAATACTCAACTCGCAAAATGCCGCTGGAAACACAGCTCTACATTGGGCTGCTCTGAACGGACATTTGGAAGCCGTTAAAGTTCTGCTGGACGAAGGTTCTGACCCAACGATTACAAACCACAAGGGCCACGATGCGGTTTATGAAGCAGAGTTGAACGATAAGCGTGAGGTTGTAGAATGGGTTCTGAAGGAAGGAGGAGAAGGGTTAGAATTCGGTCTCAGTGGCGCTGGTGGTGAGGGGGCTGCAGATGTAGATGAGGACATGGCGGATGGAAATGGGGAGGGGTCAGACGAGCCTATCGATGCAAAGGCTCTTGCGGAGGGATTGAAGGAGCTAGTTGTGAAGGATGGTGAGGAGAAAAAGTGATGTCCTACGCATCATGCAAACGCGTAATGGGCTGTTCACGAAGCCATGCATGCTACGTACACCTCCACCGGCACCCGAAAAATTGCCTAAGCTGCAATGATAATCCTATGGCACGATGCCGATTCTGCAGCCAGGTTAGGGTTGCTTAAGTCACCCTTCTGCAACACCGCAGCGTCTGTTGCAGTACGTATGAAGGGCATGAGGTGAAGATCTCAAACATAGCTGCGGCTTTCTTGTACTTATATGCTGCAACTAAAGCCATGTGCTGAAATGGAAGACGCTGCCAGAAAGTGTTCTGCCTAAAACCTTGGCATCAAAATTGTCAGGTGAACTTTTTCGGAAACGATGTACAGGAGTCCTTTGTGATAATCATTGATGCGGTTCAAAGTTTCGTTTATATCAGAGAAGGCTGAGACAATGCTGTCTTCATTTGAGACACGAAATTTGGTTGACACTGGCTTTCTGAATTCAGCAAGTCCTGTATCTCGGAGCAGGCTCCAAATACTTCTGAGGGGGCCGAGAAAAACCCTATCGATGCCCAAATGTAGCATGTGGGAGGAATATCAGACCATGATATAGAGACGCTTGGTGATTGTGCCTGGCATTTCTAGGTAGAGGAGTTTCAATAGATCGCGTATCGTAACCTCTAACGACATCCTCTTGCAGCTACTCTCAATGAAGCTCCGCATTAGAAACTTGCATAAATACGCTACACTGGCCACGCCGCTGGTAACGGTTCGAATGATCCAGTAGTTACAGTCAGCGATGTGCATTTCAGCTTTATTAGCAGCTGCAGGGCGAGATAATCAACCTGGCTTGTTTTCTTGTGATTGGAGTTGAGGAGAAGATCAGTCCACGAATATAATGGTGATAGATTCATAGAATGACCCAGTTTAGACGACTGCGATGGCTTTGACTGTAGGTTACGCTCAGCCTGCCCTCAATGTCAACAAAGCCAATGCCTGGGCGGCTGCGAGTCACGTGATAACCCGCTGCGAACCCTAGCGCCGCCCGCATATTGGTTGCTTCTAGATTCCCAGGTAGGTAATCTTCCCTCCCTTCCTTCAACCTCAAACCAACAACAACTACAAAATTTCTCTCTTTCGACGACTCGCTCAAGAGCCCTTGAGCTGACCTTTTGCATCCTGGCAACAAAGGCTAGGTTCCACGCATCACTTTCCTTCACTTCATCTCTTGCTTGCCGCGCGTGCGCAACTGAGCGATCTCACCTTTCACTCCCACCTTGCTCTGTTCTCCTCCTCTGCTGGTTTTACTATCACCTTGAGCTCGCGCTTTTTCCGCGTTTCTGTTGACAACCCCTACCATCAAAAGGTATTGAGACACTGCTGGCTGCTCCAAAGCTACAATCTCCTCCAGCTGTTGACAAACATTGCTGCCCTAACCTTAAAGGAAGTAACTCGCATATCTACTTCACTCATTTGCAGAATGCTTATCTCTTAGAGTCAATCGGACTCAACACAAATTGCCCCTGAACTCAGTTCTATCAACGGCTCAAGGAGTTCCTTCAAGATGGTACCCAAGCCTATCGGGAGCAATGCTCAGAAGCAACGCCTGACTACTGCCCTCAAAAATATATGCAGAGACTATCCTGCTGGTGGTACCGTGATCCGCGAACTTCTGCAAAATGCAGATGACGCTGGTGCAACGGAAGCAGTATGGCTCTCCATTCACCTCACAAGAAGACCCAGACTAATTTGGTGTACAGCGGTTCGTCCTAGATGTGAGAACCCACCCTACACAGAATTTGATCAGCCCCAGCCTGGCGCAATATCAAGGCCCCGCCTTGCTCTCATATAATGACGCCATCTTCTCAGACAAGGATTTTGAAAGCCTGTCTCGTCTAGGAGATTCCCTGAAGCTGAATGATGGTGCAACTACTGGTCGATTTGGCCGTGGCTTTAACTCGGTTTACAATTGGACGGATTCTCCCTCGATCATCTCTTGCGAACGGTTACTGATTCTTGATCCTCACCAAGAATGGTCTGAAGGCGGACCAGTCTACGACTTTGTCAGAGACGCAAGTGATCTGTCAATCAAGAACCACATGGCTGCGTATAGTTCTGTCATGGAGCACCTCGATCAGCCACTCAATGGTACCATTATCCGGATCCCACTCCGACATATCGATCAAATCCTCAAAAGCGATATCTCCTCCATCTCTACTACGACTGCTGAGATAGAAGAGGTTCTTCAAAACTTTTGCCGAGAATTTAGCGTCAATGGCCTGCTATTCATGCGGAACCTCACCAAGCTCGTGATTGTATTCGCTGGTATGTCCCATGAGATTGAAATGATCGGAGAAGAATGCATTCACAGGTAGGTACTCTACGAGAGGTTACAAGTCAACTTATTGACCGTTTTTAAGCCACAAATCCAAAATCAACGCTGCCGTTCAAGATGCTCTGAACTCAGCCGCAACCTCCTTCCATTACAGTTTCCCGGCAGGAATTCGATATTCTTTGAATGGTAACCCTACGACAGTAACAAATTTCCTCATCCAACATAGCATCCAAAAATCCATGGATGAAGGCTTGCGAGTCTGGGCCAAGAGTCAGCAACTTATCCCTTGGGTTGCTGTTGCTACTCAAGTTCCTGTATCTGCAAACAGCAGTTCTCAATGCTCTCTGTTCACCGTTCTGCCTTTGCCTGTCAATACAATCCAGCCAATTCATATTCACGCACTTTTTAGTTTGACCCCTGACCGTGCAAATCTGCACCGCCTCACCGACCATAGCACACAGAATCAAAACCCTGCGAGGTGGAATCAATGGTTGTTGACGACAGGAGCATCTGTTGCTTGGGCAAGACTCTTGCATGCTGTGGCGAAATTGTATCCCGCTCACTCTGCCTTTGAGAAATGGCCCAAGTCCATGGACAATAAGCAAGATCCTCAGAGTGACTCTCTTGACAGAGTTACTGCAGTTATTCAGAAGGAATGTCTTGAAGTGTGGCCAACTGACACTGGCTACGTCAGCCATAAGTTGGGTCTATTGGCCCTTGGATCCGAATCGGCGGTTTTGAAGGAAGTGTTCCGAGAAGCAGGACTTCCGATAGTCTATGTTCCGAAGCACCTCCAGAATCATGCCGAAAGAGCTTTTATGGCTCGACTTGTATCTCCGAAGGCTGTCTGCGCCTCGTTAAATCTCAAGCGAGAGACAGTCGCTAGTCTCAGCGGGAAGACGAAATGTATGCTGGTTGACTATATTTTTTCCAGCTCCGATCTTGTCGACCACGGAAGTCTCGAAATTTTTCCCTTCGAAGATGGAGGCTTTCGTTGCCTTAATGGGATTCAAGCATACGTTCATCGCGATGAATTGGACAAGATGCTTTTCAGCAAGCAGAAGGGTCGCAATTTGGCGCTTGACTGTCTCGCGATTGAAACGCAGAATCTTTTGAAGCAGAGATGTGGTTCATCCACCTTGCACCCTTCTATTCAGTTCAGATCAGCCAAGTGTCTCCGCGAATACAGCATGAGGACAGTGTTTAAAAGGCTTTGTAGAAGCCAAAACATGGTGACACTAGATGCTGAAGCATCTGCATTCAGCGCAAATGCCTTGACATGGATCTCGAACCAAAATGTCAGCCTTCAGAATGAGGATGTCAAGGATCTTTGGCTACTCCCCTTGAGCAATGGACTTCATCGCAAAGTGGTACCAGAGAAGAGCAACGTCGTGGTCTATCTTTCCCCCGAAGGCTTGTGTGGAGATGTTATGCGAAATATCGACGCGCAACTGTCCTCGAAAACATTGCCGCTTCTCTGTACAGACACAGGAGCCTTAGGAGGTCGCTCTTCTGTTGTTATGAAGCAGATCAATGAGGCAACGGCTGCATTCGTCGTAGAAGATGGAGCAAACCTTGTGGTTTTCCTTCGGTGGCTCTGCCAGACATTGCCATACGCTTGTACACTGAGCGATGAAAACAGAGAACAGATCGCTAAAGCTATTGCACACAAGCCCTGCGATATACTGGTATACGAGGAGCTCAAAATCGCCAAATCATTGATCAGCAATCTTAGTATATTCCAGAAATTGACGTGGGAGGAGACTAATGATGCAGTGTAAGTTGGATCTGAGTCCCGAATGCTTCGAAACTAACATTTGAGAGATCACCAACCGTAACATGGACTAGTTTGAGCAGTTGTGGCACTTCCGTCGGACTCCTGGATGATACCACCCAGTTTCCGGATATTCCTGGAGTTCAATTTTTAGTCGCTCGCCCCTCAAGTCACCAACATCAGCTTTTAACCCACTGGGAGCTGGCTTCATGTCTCCAGCCAGTCGATGTGATCCAGAACCACATCGTTCCTGCGTGGAAAGATGGAATTTCTGAAAGTTGGAGCATCATCTGCAAGCAACAGGTTTCCGCTTATATCTTCAAGAATTTCTCCTCGCTTTCACTTGAAACACAGATGTCCCTTCAGAACATCCCTATTGTTCCCGTTGCAAAGTTAGGATTGAAAGGCGGTCCAACATCCAAGTTCGCATGTGCTGCAGAACTTATTGATCCATGTGTGCTTGAGCTGGCCAAGTTGTGTTTTGATCAAGAAGAGATCGTGCCTAACGACGACTTCTTCCGGGAGTTTCGGGTCGCTTTGATCGGATGCGGTGTTAAAACATCCATAGACGAAACAGTCATTCGCCATCGAGTACTATCTTATGCCAGCGGCAGGTATCCCCCAACAGAGGTGACCACGCGGGCCAACTTGCTACTCAAATCTTCGTGCAGATGGTCAACTTCCACGGAACTGCCAGAAGACTCCGAAATCCGTTCCTTAGCATGGCTTCCAACGACCAACATGGATGGAAGACAGTCTTTCCAAAACTCGTTTCAATGCCGTAGAATGGGTGATTGGGTTCTTGTAGGGTCTCAAATGCCAACGCTCACTGTCGCCATTAGCGGGGAATGGCAGTCAAGACTTGGCTGGCAAAACGTTCTCCCTGCTCGGGTCTTGTTGGCACAACTGAAATACGCAATTCTACAAACGAGCCCCCGAATTGTTGACGCGGTCATCTCGTACATTCAGAGCAACAATCTTGCAGAGCAGGTGGAATCAGAACTGAAACTTCTCAGATGTATTGTTGTCCGAAATGATTTCTTTGTCGACCCCTCGCAAGCATTTAGGCCATCGCGTCTTCGATCTCAAGGATGCCATCAATTACAGCCATATTTTGCTAATGTTGATGATACTTTCTGGCAGAAACATGAAAAGCTACTAGTACAAATCGGCGTGCGCGAGGAACCAAAGCCAGAGGACCTGCGGAAACTGCAAGGTGCTTTGGAAGCCAAGGGAAGACTAGATGATCATGATATCGGAGTTGCAATCGAGATTCTAAAGCTGGCATCTGTCTTCCCGAGAGATGAGCTGCAGGGCTTCAAGATCCTTGGAGCCTCAGGAAAGTTCTACGACTTTGGAGAAATCTACTATAACGATCTTGGAAGTCTAAGAGTCAAGGAGGATGTCCAGCTAACACATCCAGACATCCCTGTACAAATCATCAAGCGGCTCAGAATTGACAGTCTTAGTGCTCGGCGTGTGAGAGGAGTCCTCGAGATCGAAGATGAGAATGAGGACGAGTTTGATCAACAAGAAAATGCTACAACTAGGATCTCGGACACGTTAGAGAGATATACAATCGAATCAACCTTCAGAGAGTATCTTGCAAATGCTGATGATACTGAAGGCGCCTCAATGATCAGTTGGGTTCTTGATGACAGAAAGCATCCGAGTCGAACTTTAATCACGCCTGAAATGGAAGAACTTCAAGGACCTGCATTATTGGTCTATAATAATGGGGGTAAGTAGCTTTGGGCTTTCATTTAGTTGGGTAAAACTGATGAAATTCATTGCAGTATTTACCGAGAAAAATTTTGATGGCTTTAAGAATGTTGGCGAAGGCAGCAAGATGCACAGCAAAGGGAGCATCGGCCAGTTTGGTCGCGGCTCGCAGACGATGTTCCATTTCACAGACTATCCTATGATCTTGTCCGGGGACTTTCTACTGATCCTGGAGTAAGTTTCACAATCAAAAGATATTTTTACCTCCAATGCTAACTGTACCTTCCTAGTCCACAACAAGAGATACTGCCACTGAATCAAACCAAAGGGAGACGAAAGCCAGGCATTAAGTTGAAGCTGTCCAAAATTAGAGAAATTTGTCCGGATCAGCTTATCCCTTTCGCTGGGTTCTTTAAATATGAACTGGATATCGATCATTTCCCAGGCACGATATTTCGCTTTCCGCTGATAACTACGAATTCTACAGGATTTTTACGAGCCAGCAAGCGAGGACTGAACCAAAACGAAGTGTTGAGACTGATGGACACGTACTTCGACGAGGCTCGTACATCGCTTCTGTTCTTGAGACGCATCAGATCTATCAACTTCTACGTTCATGGAAAGCCTGAATTAGGCTGGGCAATTACTAGTAACAGTCTTCTCAAGAGATTACCTGACAGTAGTTCGCGAGTATCACAGTCACTTGTCTGTAGTGCGACCAAACACAACGAATCTGGCAACACGCGATTGAGCAACAAAGATACCTGGCTTGTTTCCCTTAGAAACCTACCATCGGATATCCACCGAGCTCCACCGAGCTCTAAGCGTATCGCGAAGACCGTTGAGTGCGGTATCGCAGCCTTGATCAAATCAGAGATCAAAGGTGACGCTGTTGCTGGCACCTTAGCGACCTCTATCGAGCCACGAATGTTCAATACTCTCCCACTTCCGATTGCGTCTGATTTACCTGTGCATCTCCATGCATCCTTTTCGTTGTCTGGAGATCGAAAGTCGATTACACTGGAGGAGTATGGAAGTACGTCAACAGGTGCCGAATTGAACAGACATCTCCTTCAATCAGCTCTCCCAAAGCTTTATCTGGAGCACCTTAGCGATCTCGTGGAGATCACCCACGAGGGTTGCTTTCAGTTTTGGCCTCAAATTGAGCCTCCTAAGAAAAGCTTTGGTTTGCAAGTATTTGAAGCTTTTTGGTCAGAACTGCCAAGCTTTCCAAGTTCAATACTCCCGAAAGCTCGTGTAGCAAGGACCGGAAAGTGCGGGAAGAAACAGACCATCAAGATGCAACGGGCAGTATTTGACTTCTTGCCAAAGAGACAATCGGACATACTTCTGAAGCTACTGTTGGATTTGGGGGTTGACTTGATTCGCGAGATTCCAATACCCATTGCTAAACGACTTCAGCTTATTCCAGACCTGAAACAAATAAATGGCTCCGTTCTCAGGGGATTGTTGAAGTCGGACCACTGCGGGCCGAAGTTGTTGAAGGCGACAAAAGCGGATCCATCAGTTTGGCGCGAGCTTTTCGCCATCATCGATCCTCAGTCAAATCAGGACGACCTCATGGATATGGACGGGTGTCATGTACTGCCACTAGAGGATGGTACTTTGGGCAAATTGCAACTCGTTGAAGCAAATGAAACCACTGTCTACTACCTTGCAAGCCAGAAGGAACTTGGCATATTCGACTTTGCATCCTCGAAATTGGTCTCTCTGCGAAACGAACTTCTACTGCTGACCGGACACAAAACCTTCAATTTAAAGAGGCTGCAGCTGAATCATTTCGAAGAAATATTGAAGCTACGACCAAACGTCACCACGCCTGATTTAGAAACCGATGCTTGGCTCAGAAAATTCTGGGAATTCTTGCACAAAGACCATGCTGCTATGAAGCAGACAGACATCGGAAACTATGATACAAAATTGTACAAGGCGACCTATGATGAGGCTAATCATTACCTTACGCCAGGAGAATTTGATAAATTTCCAGCTGTTGTGATTCCTGCGATTTTGGAACACAAAACACTTTGCCAGCAGATCCCTGGTCTCTATCTTGTGGACTCAACGACGATCCCGAAATCCCTCGCGCAAGAAGAGAAGTCTCTTGCTTACGGCCCTTCTTTTTCTAGACTCATTCGGGCTCTAGGTATTCTTGGATCTCATTCAGGACTCGGAACTTTCATCACCACGCATGTGGACCATCCAAGCTTGCAGGTAAGTTCCGTACTCTCAAACCAGCTTTCTTCTAATGAACCAACAGCTACTGACTAGTAATTTAGACCTTACAAAATCTTGTTGTAGAACATGTCTGCTGTCCATATTCGCAAACTTCGGACCTCCACGCATACTTGAAATTACTTCCACTTTGGCCAAGTTTTGTGAACTCCCCAGCGAGTGCAATGGTCCCAGCGAACACAGCTCTGATGGCGATGACGAAGTTCTCTGAACTTTTAGTACCTTGGATGAAGAGCAGTACCCAGTTTGTTGACCCCAAATTTTTTGACCCGACAATATCGCTGCGTAGGCATGAATGTCTATCTATCCTTGGCGTCTGTTCGCTATTCGGTGACGTCTTGCTGAGGGATCACGTTTTCCCAATCCCGGCGAATGTTGGCCACACTCACTGGCAAGATTACAAGTCACTCATCGCCGTCATTGAGAGGTTGGGACTTTGGAGATGGGATGTTCTCAAGAGCCATAAATTTGGCATTGATGGGAATCTGATGCTGAAGAAGGTAGCGGAACTTTATGATCACAGTAACGACCTCTTCAAGGCAGCCTTTTCTCAGGAGACGAATGCTCGATTTGTCCATACAGACCTCCGACACCATCGAATTCTGTGGATTGCGTGTGGCCTACGACATGAGGCTAATAACTTTGTCGATCCTGGACATTATCGTGAATGTCTCCAGGTCATGGCATCTCGCGGCAAAACAAGCCGGAACATGGATGCTACCTACAATCAAGACGTTCAAGTGGTTCTCCGCCCTGTGACGACAAACAATCAAAGGCTGGCGCGCTTCAACACTGTTGACTGGCAAGCGATCGCAAAGCAACAGGTTTTTCAATCCAGGACCAATTTCAACGGAGAGCCGGAGTACCGAAGAGATAGCATGACTGAAGTAGCGAAGGGAAAGCCAATGCAATGTCTGTCAGACCTCGTTTCTCAGCATTACATGCCCGTTTGCTGGAGCCAGGTCCCGTTCGCACTTCATGAGCCTACCACAGAAGCTTTCAGTAAGGTCATTGGAGAAGGCAAGCCTCCAGTGAGCTTTGTTTGGAGACATTTACAGTTTCTGAAAGCCATGTCCCAGCGACTGAAACCCTTTCAAGTCCAAGATTTTCTTGGAGACCTTAAGAAGACCTACCAATACCTCCAAGACTGTCTGGACCAGAGTACTGCCTCGTTCAATCTCGCCGATAATGCGGTGTGGCTGAACATGAACGATTGGAGTCAACACTCCGTGCTGATAGGTGATCTGAGATCTTCTTGGCAAAGCATCGATCAACTCGTGCTGTCTAGTTCTGTGGACTCAGGACCTATCAAGGCTGTGAGACCGGGCCTAATGGTGTACGAGAAGCTTCTTCGTGGACTGGGATGCAAATCCATCACTTACCCAACCGTTACTCAACCACCCCCAGCTGAAGGCTACTCAATTGCTGTTTCCGCCCGTCAGCTTAGACAAGCTGGAAAGATGTTCGACATATCATACCAGTCACAAGGACAGACCATCCAAGCCCACAAATTTGTACTCGCTGCCGTTTCAGACCACTGCGCCAGCCAATTTGGTGGGAGCTGGACTATCGACCCTGTTGTTATTTTCGATGCAGTCGCTGACCCTGATGCTTTCCTGTCGTATCGCACTCTGGAGATTATGATCGACTACGCATATGAAGAACCTATCAACTGGACAGAAATGGAGGTATTGGACAGTGACAGTCTTGCCGAAAAGACGACAAAGCTCGACAAGCTTTTGAATCTCTGCAAAGGAGCAGACTACTGGATCATTCGGTCGCTGCTTTCTCAAGCTGAAAGCAGATTGCTAGCAGCTGGACGTATGTTCATTGACTTGGATAATGTCGTAGATGTCAAAGATCGTGCCCTGCTATCTGGAGCGAAGCACTTCCACAAGCTTTGTGAGGAGTTCATCGATCAGAACCGCGATGCCGTAGCGAGAGCACATTCTGAGGAGCGAGCATGATTGAGGGATAGCATCTGGTGACGATAATGATTGCAAATGCATAGAATGGAGTTACCTGGGAAGGGGGCGTTTACAATTATTGGCCTGCGATTGCAGTTTGTATACTACATGACGGTGGGTTGGGTATGGAGGGCATTCATCGGGCATGCATCGAATTCACACGTCTGAAAGGCACGAAAATGCGAAGTCCCTGCAATATCAACATAGTTGTCACGCAGGAAATAGAAGTTTTTTCAAATATTGGTTTTTCGAACTTCGTTTCTCAAGTCATGGCTTTCTATTTCGAAGTGTGAGTGAATCTAAGTTTAACACCAAGCCTAAACTGATGTCATCCTCCCCATCAAAACATTCTAATCTTAGGATCTCGATGCCCATCGCCCCAGAATAAATTCATGCTTCACAAAGCTCGGCGCATCGAGGATCCCTGAATCCTCACAGGCTTTCCCAACCCGGAATCCGGTTTTCTTGCGGGCATCAGGGATCCACCACCCCGCGCCTCAGCGCATCAGTGCTGCACAGCACATCTCGGGCCTCCACTCACGCCCGCTTTTCGATGCACAGATGAACTTTATGCATGGTGCAACGGCGGCGAGATGACGTTGGATTTGTTTCGGCGCTCCACTGTGGATGCTGCAGATAGGGAAATCAGGAATTGAAGGTGGAAAGGAGGGGAGAGAGATGTGGGTGGGAGTTAAATACTGAGTGTTTCCTGTTGAGAGAGAGGCTGGAGTAAGTAGGGAGAAGTTGCAGTCTTTACGACTGCTTTTGCTGCGCGAATCGTTTATTGTTGTTGTTGACTTGCAGTGACTTGGAGAAGGTATGTGAAGATGATTACTTTCTCCTCTCCACTCCAGCATATCTTGCCTACCAGACAAAAACCTAAGCATCTGTCGTTGCTATACCCAGCTCACCTCTCTAACAAGCCCACCAGCAGCTCATAATCCACCCTACCCAACCATCTCAAAAACCTATCAATCAAAATGGCAACCCAAGAACAAACCCAACAACAGGCAAGCGCCCAGTCCCCTTACGACGAAGAACAAGATCAGCAAATCGTCGCGCAGAAATCCGCCGCCGCCGCAGTCCAACAACCACAATACGGCGCCGAGAGCAGGCAGTACATGTTACCTCCTCGGGCTGAGGGGTATAGACCTGCTGCCATTCGCGAGTCGAGGATTAAGGACCGTCCGTATAAGCCTGTTGGGGATAGCAGTTTGAGCATTAAGATTGAGTTGGATTTGGAGGTTGAGGTGAGTCTAGATTGTGATGTTCCGGAGAGGGCTGAGAAGATCATGGGAGGGAAAAGTGTAAATGATGCCTATTTGCTAATGTTGTGTTTTCAGGTCGATCTCTACGCGAGAGTAAAGGGTGATGTGACGATTGGGTTGATGTGATCGGTCCGCACACGGCGTTACCTTTCCTGGTGTCTCCTGAATGATGTTCGATGTATCTTAGCTGGTCACATTGGGGGCTTCGGATTGTACCAATATAACGATTATGACTACTGGTATCCATGTCCATTTTCCGTACACAATTTTGTTCCATTCGTACCCAGTCGGTCAAGCAACGCCATCTTCTCCTGAGCATACGCCTTTTCTCCCAATCCCCGACGCCGGCCTAAGTTCCTAAATACAAAAACACGCCCAGATATGCTAGACATAAGAAAAGAAATACAACACCATGAAAATAAACAAACATAAAAGCACTGTAGGAAACATATACTGCAACCCACTCAATAGATCATCCTCAAACGCTCTCGAGCCATGAACAGTACGTGACCCTCGTCGACCTGTGATAGCGCCATAGTTTGGTGGTGCAGGTCGGCCGGTCGGTGAGTCGTCTATTGGGAGAGGCATACCGGCGTCGGGGTCAAAGATTGGATGATGGTGGTGGTGATGTTCCTGATGGTGGTGTGAATGGTGCTCATGATGATGGCTGTCGTTGTGATGATGATCCTTGTGTTGCTGGCTGGCATGAGTACACAGCTAACGAAGACGGCTAGATGAGGTGGGTTTCATACGTGTGAGTGATCTGTAAATGTGTTTGAGTGGCTGGTATGCCCAGTATTTGCTGCCGGAGCAGCCGAATCGTGCGTCATGCTTGGATAGGGAGGAGAAATGAGATGCTCGAGATTCTTGGCGGATCAGGCACGTTTCTATTCGAGCATACAAGAAGTTCAGTCCCTCGCTCCATCCGGTTTCATCGGATTGTATCAGTCGTCAGAGGTGGCATGCTGCTTTGTGGTAATTTTTTTGAAAGGAGATCTTTGTGTAATCATGGAGTTGCACTCAACGTGAGATTCCGGCGAGGCAATTGTCAGATGTCTCGAGGTTGAGTTTTTGGCGCGTGATCACCACTGATTGGCTGATGTATACGTACAGCATTCCTTAAAACTTTAAAATGGCACTAGTCTGTGTCACAGAGTAGTACTACTGTGAATGCACCAATATTGTCAAGTCGGGAATTCGTAGCAAATAGCAAGATGCATTGATCTCAAGTTTTGTTTGGTGGCGGAATAGCAAAATAGGAGCTAGTCAATGTACCCCGCCCCCTTTTTAGCCGAGACTAAATGTTGATGGTGCTCTGCTCAAGTGTGACATCTCTATTCATTTGTATCCTATCTATGCATAAACAACATAACTCCCAGACTCCAATTTGCGCTGCTAGATCTCGTACCGCCGACGCTGACCAAATGAATACATTCGGGCTCCTCTAGAATGTTCTTCTAGTCGATTGAAGACGTTCGATTTCCATCAAAGCCTTGGAGAAAGGAGCTCGGATAATAGTGCGCTTGCAAGTTCCTTGACACTCCCCTCCTTGGTAATCGAGAATCCGACAGCATGGCTCTAGTATCTTCGTGAATATCTTCTGGCTCAGCTTCTCTATACTCATCATAAATGTCATCAGTATATGGATGTTCTTCCTTCTTCTCGTCTTGCCGTTCAGGCCCCGGCTCTTTGTAGTCGTCATATGTATCAGCGCTATACGAATAAGTATTCTTCCTCTCTTCCACCGTGTCGTATTGTGGTACATCTGGGAATAAGTTGAGCAACTCTTCCATCTCATTAACAGGCTCGACATCGCGCTCGTCAGCTTCCTCAAGCCGTCCAGGAAATTCACCCCTCGCAGTCTGTCTCTTAAGTATAGACTGTTCGATCGGATCCAGCGCATCAATAAGTCTGTACGAGCGAGACTCTGGATTCTTCTGTCCTATACGATGCACTCGTGCGTAACCCTGCAACTCGCGGTGGAATTCGTAGTCTGGTTCCATGATTACCACGTTACAGGATCGGGTAAGCTGTAGACCCGCACCAATGATGCGCGTGGTTCCAACTAGGAATTGGTAGTTTGCTTTTTGCTTGCGCTCTTTCTTGTGGTCTTTGGCGTCGGTGAAAGCTTCGATTGCTGCTTTACGATCTCGGGGTCGTTGACCAGCATAGATGATGCCGACACGACCGTTCTTGCCTTTCAAATGTCTCTCGATCCACTATAGCTCGTTAATCTAAGTTCGAAAGACTTGCATAGCGTGCTCGGTACTTACCAATTTGAGGATGAAAGCCACTTGGTTGAACTCGCTTATGATGACCACCTTTTGTTCCTCGCCATTCACATCCTCTGTCTTGTCCAACTCATTGATAAAGTTGTACAACCACATCATCTTTGCACTCGTTTCGGTAATATTCTTCAGGTGCTTGTAGTACGGATTCCGCTTCTCGTCAACACCTCTGAACTTCTTGAGTTCTTCGACTGTCAAGTCCAGGTGGTCAGGATGGCTGATGGCCCCGAGAACTGAGAGATAGGGGAATGTGGCGAACAATCGCTCTTTGTACCGAAGTCTTGTCTCAGAATTGAAGGAGAATTTCACTGGCATCTTCGCAGTCGTCGTAGGGTTTCCGCTCCGCCACTCTTTCCTCATCGCACCAAGCTTTTCTTCAATCTCGGCATTAATCAGCCATCTGAACTGTTCGATCTTCTCATCATACTGAGTATTATGCGCGAGAATAATGTCTTGATGAACGTGCGGCATGAGCCTGATGAGGGGATGTCCAAACCAGGTTGTGTCGGTGGTGCGTCTAATCATGAGCAGTGTAAGGAATGGTTTATAGCGTAAGTAAAAATCCTGAAAGATGATTTGATTACCCGATCCCTTCTTAACCTCACTTTCGAACTCAACACAAATATTGTTCAGCGTTTTCCAACAGTACCTCCATAAATCCGAGTCTTGCTCTTGTTCTAACCCAGTCCTAGTTTTATCACTGCGATCACGCTTTGGCCATAGACTTTCGATCGCCCAGAGTATGCCTTCAATGGATCTGGGTGTGGCATTCAGTGGTGTACCAGAGTAGCCCCACACGAACGGACGACCGTATTTGGGGAGGCTGGCTGCAATTGCTGACCGGCCTTTGTTTTTCTGCCAGTCTTCGTGGCATTCATCAATCATCGCGATACCATAGACAACGCCAGGACTCTTGCCCTTGTACAAGTCTTCCACGCCGTTTTTGTCTTCTGGCATGATTTGAGTTTTGTATTCGAATTTGGTGGCCCAAGTCTTGTTGTAGTGGTCTCGTGTCGTGACAACGAGGATGCGTTCTTGCCCAACCTGAGCTTGGTCTGGAAAGAAATGTACATCAGTGTTGCGTGCTCGTTGAGTAAAATTGATCCTGTTGGCTTGGACTCTTCTCATGACGGCTGGATGTCGCCCATCACGGTTGTCCATCTTTCCATCTAGTGTTGTCGGGTTACTTCCATCATGAGCGATGACCAGTGACATCTGCAAAAGCGTGTTCACAATATCAACATGTGTATCCCACTGCTCAACCCATGTGGGCACTAGCGAGGGAGGGACGATTGCCAAGCGGACACCAGGTTTGGCAGCAAGTGCTGAAGTAACAGGCGAAGCGCAGGGACAAGCGATCCAGCCTTTTCCATAGAACCCCATACTTGGACATACAGCATCTAGTCCTGCTTCTCCAGGCTGCAGATGCGTTCCATCTGTGCCACTTTTCTGCGCGCGTGACTTCTCAACTTGTTCCCATAGGAAGGCAAGTTGTCGCTCGACTACGATGTATGCGAGAAACGAGAGTGTTTTGCCCAATCCCATCTCGTCAGCTACAAAGCCTCCACCGATGTCTCTAGAATTTCTCATCTGCCAGTATACACCAAAGGCCTGGTACTGGTAGATTGGAGTCTTAAGACCAGTAACACTTACTCGCTCGTCTATGGATGTTTTGGTGGGGTCGATTTGGAACAGTTCGCAGCATGCTTCCCAAGGGCTTCTGCCATGGGGGTCGATGCCATCCCCGTGATCATGCATTTGTGTCAATTCTGGCATGTTTTGCATCTTCTGAAATCTTGTTTTGGTCAGCGGGTTTAAGTGTCACACTTCAATCATCAGAGACTTACTGCTCAACCATGTAGTCTGCCGGGGTCTTGGAGTCATCCTCATCACCGGTTTCGTTGCCGTCAACCTCCCCGAGGCCACGTATTTCCTCTATATCCTTTGCATCTGTCGGCTCAGCTCGAGTGTCGACAAACTCATCTCCTCCTTTTCTATACGAGTGTCTCGCTATTTCAGTGTACAAATGTGGATAGCGCTTATCTTGAGCACCAAATCGATCAGCCTTTGAAGCGAGTCGTGGTTTGGACACTTTCAGAAGACCCAGCGTTTTCTTCTTCGCGGGATTCACTACGACTTCCTTGTCCCGTATCGTACTAGTAATGCGTGATAGTGCTGTGGAAGTTGATACTCGCCCGGTCTCTTGATCCGGCTGATTAGGTGGAGGAGTTAATGGATCTCCAGGTGCCGGGCTCTGGTCAATTATCTCCTGGACATCAGAGAGGTTTGGTGATGTCGGCGATTTAGGAGACAACATAAATGAAACTCGTCTCTTCGCTGCCGTCATTACGGCTTCAATCATATTTGGCTGTTTTCGCTTGACCAAAGATCGACGGGTGTGGTCTTCGGGATTTGTTGATGTTTCCCAACGTTCACGTTCTGCCCGCTGGCTAGATATGCGAGAAGGCCCATCTTGTGGATTTACGACATTCGGAGTTTTCTTTGCTTCGACAGATCGTAGGAATGGGTGTGGTCTTGACGTTTTTGTGCGTCTTCGGTTGTCGCTGGAGTCATTGTTGAAGGGAGTATTAGTTCCAAATTTCCTGGTTCCTCCGCGTCGAATGCCACCATTCTTTGAAATCGGTGTTGGGTCTATCCGAGGGACAACTTCACTCCCGAAAGGCAGATTACTAACATTTGGATTCATCCTATTGCCCGCATCCGAAGCTCGTTTTGTGTGCTGTGCGAGTGGTGCTGGACTCTGCGTGTTTGCTGGTTGGGCAATTCGAGTTGTTACCTTGGCTGGTAAATGCTTACCGGAACTCAGGCTGGCCCCCTTCACCAAAAATGGTTTACGCGCTGCGATTCCTGAGGTAGAAGTAGCTGCTGTCTGATCATTCGTCCCTGTTGTGGTCTTATGTGGTATTGAAGCCCCTCTTATGGGAATTTTGCTTCCAGACTTTGCTCGCGAGGTAGCTGGTTCGAAAGACTGAGCTTTATCAGGGGTTTGAAGCTTGTCAATCGGAATCGGTGGCAGTGGCTTGTTGAGGCCCTTCGCCGTCGTGATGATGCTACTTGCTTCTTCGCCGGCTTTTGTCGGTTGGATTGGCGCCACAGCGTCCAAACTCTTTGCAAGTTGTCGGCGTCTGGAACCTCGTTCTCGCTCCGGACCAGGCAGAGGTGGAAGCGGTCTCCGTGGAGCAGGACTTGGAGGAGGTGATGTCCGCTTCCTGCTTCGTACTTTTGTGCCTCTACCAAGTGACGCCCCGTTGATCGATACGTTGGACAAATTCGATCGACTTGTTGAACCAGTAGCAGGTACAGATGCATTCTCGGAATATTTCTGTGCCACTTTAAGTCTCGCATTCCTCGCGTCCTCTGTCTCTCTTCGATAAATGAAGCACAGTATATTGTCATTACCTGGGATGCCAAAGAGGAACATCAGGGCAGACTCGAAGCTTTGCTGTCCGTAAAAAGACATGAATCGTTCATCCTGATTCAAGTATCCTAGAGTCCCCTGAAGAATTGTTATACGAGGTAAACTACAGCCCAAATCTTGATTGATCGCCTTCTCGAAGTCTCTGACGAAGATATCATATGAGTAGCTCGAGAACTCGTCAGGCGATTTACCTGGAAGAAGGAACTTCTTGATAGGTAATCCAAAAACCATTTCCAGGTCTTTATCCCTTCTGTCGCTGAAAACCTTGACTCGTATCATTGCGTCTGGCAGGGCTGGAGGAGCCTTGTAACTCTTCGAGAACGGTGCAGCACCCGACTCAGGCGTTTCCACGGAATCAACAGTCTCTGGTAGCTTTTCATTCCTCACTTTCGCTCTCTCATCAGCCAGTTCTGCATCTTTACGCCTCCACATCAGTTCCATGATATGTGTGCACCACTTATTGGTAAACCAAGTTGGTACTTCAGGCAGATTTTGGTCAAGCCATAGGACAGGTTCCGCCACTGCGTCTTTCAGTCTGCTCTTGGCCTCGGGGTCTTCCAATGAGTCGTAATTGGAGAGGTGTGCGTTTTTGAATGCGAGGTTGACCAGCTCCAGTAAAAGTTCTATTTGTTCGTTGCTGGCTCCAAGTCCTTTTCGAAAGTCATCAAATTCGCTTTCAGGTGACGTTGGTAAGAGCTTTTCCAGGAAGACCTTATATTCACCTTGAGCATAGATAGTCCTGAGACTGGGCCTTTCTTCGCCCATCATGACTGCTTTGTTGGACGAAGCTTTTTGATCTGTTTCCCTGACGGCGCGACGTTGCAAATGCGGTTGCTTCTAAGTTATACGCGAAACTCTTGGATGGATAATTAAAAACTTCCTGACAATTTGTGCTCAAAGAAAGCTTAGAAAATTTGTGATATTGTCTCCAGCAGGCTTTGTTTACCCTCGGACGCTTCCCTGCCTCATTGTAGAGAGAAGTCATTGAGCAAGAGGACTGAAAGAATCACAAGGGTTGGGTTTCCATACCTGATGCAACACATACTGACAAAGAATGAAGCTTGTTTGGCCTAAGGTTACGACGGTTGCGGACTCGGAAATTCAACAAAGGAACGACGGCAAATGCAAATGAACAACTGTGGCAGAAAAAGAATCTGCGGAGAAACTTCTCCGCACGAAATATGAGGCAAAAATCGAGCACAGGACACTAATCAAAAGAACGAGCACAGTGCGGTAATCATCACATCACAAGTACCGATGACCACAACATCAATAGAGAAACAGTTTCAACCGATGTGAAGTCCTTGCACTGTAGATCGATTGTCAAGGAGAGGGTGTAGCAGCCGTAGGTAATTTGCTCAGCGGGCATGACAGTAGAAGTGATCGGGCTCCCACACCACTGTGATACCAGATCCAATTTAGTGATCAGCCATCACGGCCACTCCTGCTTGACTTCCAAATCTCAGATCGCGCAACTTTCAATTTGGCAACGGATAGACAGTGTCATCAGGTCTTGACTGGTCGAAGGTCGCCCTCATCGTGGATATTGTGTGGTGAAAGTCTGCCGTACTCTGGCTGCTCGAGCAGACCACCGTTAAGGAATAGGTGCTTGCATTGAGGCTTTCAATGGTATATAGACCGTCCTTGACGTGGGAAATTACAGCGCAGAGCAAGTCGTCGATTGGACAGTGAATAGGCGCATGGACAGATCTCCAAGTCCCTGTCGAAGAAATATTGAACCATGATGCTTGAATGCTTGGTAAACCTGCGACGAGCATCGGACCTGCATCTTCGATCTCGCCGGTATGTGGGTTTGTGACCTTGCCATCTACGATGGGCCGATTGTATTTTGCGTCCCAGATGCCGTAATCAAGCTTGGGGCTAGGATCATTCATGCTTGTCAAATGGAGCTGCGCGGCATTAGCTAGCCATGTGTAAAGTTCTACTGCGTGAACTGACCTGGTGAAGAACTACTGAGAAGTGAAAAGCCTGGATGACACTTCAAGCCTGTGAAGTTGAAGACAGCAGAAATCCAAGCATGAGCTGAAGACCAACACCATGATGGCTCGCGGCCGATTGACTGCCTGAAGGAAGACATAACGACAAGCCTGTGTGGCTCAGATAAGAAGCTGCATAGCCGCCAAAGCAGACATGTGATTAGATGCAATTGGCCTTGTGGATGTTGGTTTTGAGAGCTTCAGCCATTGGCAGCCATCGCCGGACAATAGGTCCGGATGCAGGATTGAATACCGTGCGTGCTTGTCAACCTTTGGTTGCAATAAAAACAAGAAAATATTAATTCCGGCAAAAGAGGCTGGTTAGGATATTGAAACGTGAGAGCTGTACCTCACATGAATTTGAAGAGCCGGAGTAAGCCCGTGTTCACATCAACAGTTGTTGTACTGACGATGGCCTTGACATCATGTAATACAATCCAGTCGGAAGCCGAAGCCAGGTTGAAGCCAGGTGGAAGTCACTTGGCCAGCATGTGCTGCACGATATTTGAAATAAGGGTATCTAGTATTGTGATTTCCATCTCGTGTGGACTCTACATGCCGTTCTGCTTCTTGAAAGAGTCCCAGCTCTCGTTCAGGGCGGCAAACACAAGAGCTGCGATCATCTTGACCTCGGTGGAAGCGTCTTGCGGTAACTAGCTGCTGTTAGTACAATACTCATGCTAAACTCGGAGGTATTCGATTTCGAGTGTAGATGCGCCGAGAACAACTCCAAGATAATAGAAATAGTGGAAGAGCTTACCTTGTCGGGATGGGTCTTTCCAATTGCCTTCATGTAATGGATCTTGACCTTGTTGTTCAATACCAACTCATGCAAACCGACCTTCTTCCAACCACTCCCTTCCCACATGACATTTTCTAAACTCCCAATCAACGCGCGAAGATTATCCTCTTTACCATTCTTCCACGCGCCGATCCTCGCTTCAACCTGATCACTCAAAGCAAACTTCTCGTCATCGGCTTTTTCTGCATTGGCATTGGCTTCACGGAGTCTCTTCACAGCAGCAGAGTCACCACCACCCGAGCCGAGATCTGATAATGCAGATGGACGTGGCGCTGGTCTCGGTGCTGCTTTGGGCGTGGCAGTGCGAGAAGGCGGCAGTTTGGGGGCGAGGGCCTTTTCACACCTTGTGCGACCTTGAATGGCAGTCGAGGCACCAACTCCATGCTCGACGCACATCTTCCAGACATCGCCTGCATCTTTCCAGCGCTCCATTTGCTCAAGCGCCTCCGCCTTTCGCATCAGGGCTTTGCCGTAGAATTCTTTCATGTCTTTGGCGCCACTACCTTCGCCAGGCCCCAAATCGATGGTCTCACCATCGCCTCGAGAGACGCCAATCAAGGCGAGGGCTGCATCAGAGTCGCTCACTGCGGACTTGGGGACACCGGTTTTCAGACTGGTTAAGGCACGGTTGCAAAGCAAGATTATGGTTATAGGATGGCTTTCTGGAAGCACAGATAAAGACGATGTATAAGACTGGTGAGCGGACGCATAGTCGCCACGTTTGAAATGGGCGGTTCCAGCTAGGCGATGTTGATTCGAGTTTGCAAGAGCGGTTGGAGAAAGAGATGGTATTTGTCTGGCTGGTGCTTTCGGACGCGTTGGTATCGGAGTTGATGGCTTCGAGGGTACGGGAGAAGGTCTTTGTGATGTGCGAGCTGGTTGAACTGGTAACACTGGCTTCGACGGTGTCGGGGAGAAAAGATCAACTTCCGGTTCAGGAGGAGGTTGGTGCGTAGCCTTCTTCCGCCGTGCAGGACTGACATATGCCTGAGCGGATTGCTCTTCAATGGCTTGCTTCGTGACTCGTAACCTTGGATCTGGCGCTGATACACTTTGTTGCCATCTAGGTGTTACCCGTTCAGGGGGCGGCTTGGGCATTGCTGGTGATTGATCACGTGAAGAGTTCGAGCTCGATTGAAATCGTTGCTCAGCTGGTTTCGCTTTCCTTGGTGGAGGTCTACCACCACCTTCTAACATGAGAGCCTCGTCTGTAACTTCAGCAACAGGTTGAGCTTTCCTGCCTCTCCCTTCTGCTGCTGCCTTTCTCTCTGCTTGCTCCCGCTCGGCTGCTTCTCGCATCCATTTCGGCTGGCTGGGATCTGCTTCTTGTTGGAACTCATTCATAGCTTTCGCGACCTTCTTTTGAGACGTTTTCCATAAAGAATTTGCGGTCTTGAACAAATTGGTGCCCATGGCCGCAGCTGCTTTCGTGATATCCGTCTCTCCATTTGGTGATCGATTATCCTGCCGCCGAGATTGCGACGCATCCCGACTTTCTTCTCTCATCCAGGCTGGACTGTCACTTCTTCCAGCATCCCTCGAAGCTTCTCGCCTATCACCATTTGATGATCCATTCCGGCTCGATTCCCGCCCACCTTGTTGTTTTTGTTTCGCTTGTCTATGTGCATCGTTCAAAATCCAACCCACGGCAGCCTGTATATCAAGACCAGAACCACTTTCTGTCAGTGCCCTCCTTGATTGTTCTGCGGAAAAACCCATGTCTACTAATTCAGCCACTGCTTTGTCCCAAGGATCGTCCGATTCCGGTTCTGATTCTGGCTCAGGCGCAATCTGTTTCGGTGGACTTACCCTCCTGACTTCCTCGACAGGCTTACCCAGGTCCCCCAGGAAATCATCGTCGTCTCCAACCGTAGGTATAGGTGCTGGGACATTCAAAGGTTTCATACCAAGCCCAAAAGGATCGTCGTCATCGCCCAATGTGCCTGGTTGCTCCCATGCATTTGGCTGCGTCAGGTCCAAAGGCTTCTTTGCCGCAAACCCAGGTGTATTTCGACCGCTGCTAATATTCGAAGGTGGAGGGTAATGACTCGAGCTATCGACGGGGGCGTCCGCATTGAATGCCGCAAACAGATCATCATCTCCACCACTTGCAGGACTTTTTGTGCCATCCGTAGCTGGGGAATTTGCACGTGCAAAGCTCGAAGGGAGTGGCTTGAATGCAGGTGTCGTACTGCGAGAGGTAGATGCAATGGGCGGCGTTCCGGCGCCTAGACGATCCCAAGCTTGTCCGCCTCCAAATTGTGCATCGTATTGCTTCCTTTTCTCTTCCTCTGCTTTCCTCTTCTCCGCTTGTATCTTCTCCTGCTGCTGCTGTAGCGTGAGCGTATTGGTCTTGCTCGAACCAAAGGACACGAGATTGGAGAAGCTGTCTGGGGTCGATGATTTTGGGGGCGGCGCAAACGGTTTTGGGGGAGCTTTGAACGTGCCAGAACCTTGAGCTGAAAGGGGGGTACTTCGACCAGAGAGTTGGGGAGGTGGTGTAGGGCGGAGTGTTGGGTAGTAGTTTCCTGTGCCTTGGGGGGGTTTTGTTGTATGGGTGTTTGAGGTGGAGGACCAGTCGAGTCCGTTCAGATCATCCATGGTAGCGACGGGCGGTATATCTGGAGCATCTGAGGATTGTACTATGCGGCCGTAAAGTCATTAAAAGCTATAAGGTCATGAGTGGAGCGTTAACTCTAGGAAACAATATGGGACAGTGTTTTGATTGCTGTTTCCAAACACATAGAAGCTGGGCCGCTACTTTGTTATTCCGGTCCGAAGAATCACGTGGGTCGTTCCTTACCTTTTTCAATTGCTTTGTTGAGACATAAATGTCTAGAAAAAGTCACCAAGTTGCCCGTTTCGATCTCCTTCCTCCTCAAGAACTAGTCCATTGTTTATTAGCAAAAATTTGTTGATATCCATCCCTACTGCTGACAGCGACTCAACGACCCAGACCTCACATTGCTGGAGTTGAAGATGGACGCAAAGATAACACTGAAAGAGCGGTTTCTCGTAAGAAGCCTCCTATCATGTTAGAGATTTCCCAATTATTAATACTCTCTAGAAAATTGTTCCGCCATTCATGAAAGATCCTTCCGTCTGGGTTCCGCTCGTCGTCGGGCTCTACGTACTCATCCTTGGCCTCTGCCTCACCGGTGCATTAAAGAGGCAAAAAACATCCATCCGAGAGCTCAGAAGAGAGCAGAAGAAAATCTTTACTCGGAATGTTGGAGAGAGTGAGGATGGGGCTCCTGTCAAGCAGATGAATGCTGGGATTGGGAAGCGGCGCAATGGAAGGAAAGGGGTTGAGATGGGAGCCTGGAACAACATCGGCTGTCGATGACTGGATTAATTTGTACGAGACCGGCATTGGACTTTGACATCGCGCATAAAGGGAAGGGTTTCCGAGAACAGGATTGGCCTGGATCATACTGGTAGGAAGCTCCTTGTTCTGGTCACGTGGGTCACATATCCCAAACAAAACAGAGTTTCCGGCATCTGATTGTTCATCTCATCATCTGACACTCTCATTAACTCTATACTCCACTCGGTAATCAGATAAACAATGCACTATAAGATGCTACTGTGGGCGGGCATACGACTTTATCCGGTCGGTATATAGCCACTGCCCCTCCCACTTCCATTCTGTCCTTTTCCTTCCCCAGGTTTCTCACTCAACCTCACTATTTTCACGTCACAAAATCAAAATGGCACCTCCTCAACCGAGTCTCAATCCTCCCATGGTTCTTCCTTCGCTGCCCAAGCCAGCGGAGTTGAAATTGGCTGCAAAATCTGTTTCGGTTTGTCACCAGATCTCACTCACGTGTCACGAGACTTACGAGAGGATTAGGATTCCATGGTCGCAGCAGCAGGACGAGGACCTAGGCATGCACCAGCTGTCTTCTTTGTTGTTGTAGTCCTAGGATTGGTATCGTGGTATGTGAGGAGGGTCAGAGGTCAAAAGGCATCGAAGAATTACGTGGACGTGGGGAGGCAGTGGTCAACAATGACAACAAAGCAGAAAATGCGATCGGATTGAGATTGCATGGATCGGCGTTCCGGAATGGTAAAGGATTTTATGTACATATGGGAAATGGATCCTACGATTAAATGACTCCATGACTTTTACGTGTACTCTATGATCGACATTATTATGTGGTTGAGTTGTGTCGGCCTTCTGCTCCGCACCTTTTAAGTTCGTTCCGTCGGATATGTCGTGCCTTGTAACCGAAAAGCCTCAATGGCCAAATGTCATCTGATGTGAAGATCTTTCATTTCCGCCAACCATCAAATTATGCCACGAGTAATTGAAGTTTTTTTAAGATTGATTGTGTAATGGTCGTTCCTGTTGAGGTATATCAAGTTAAGACAGAATGCCTGGACAGGAAGACACACGCCAAGAGCTGTCAATTGGCTGAAATGTTGAAATGCCGCCAACTAACTAAAAACATATCTATTGAGCTCATACATGAACCAGAACTTATCCCATTTATCGCAATCCTTTTTGATGGATGCGCAAACTTATTTGGCAAGAAGTTTGACCAAGGAGACAGTCGGTCTAGTCTTGTTTACTTCTCGCTTCCTTGCCGCTGGTCCCACTACACCAACAGGGGGTTGAAATGGTTCTACCAATTGTTCTGCAGCAAGAACTATATAAACAGAGAGATCTAAGTTGTCGTATTACTTTTCGAAAGCTTTGGAGGGTTCAAACATGTTGAAGCTCGTAGAGACTAGTGTGAACTGGGGTATTGTAAAGTTCCTAGCTCTCGCTTGGCTTCGCTGGTCAAAAGTCTTCAGTCATGATCAGCTACTAGAGCCTGTGGATCTACTTAAGTTTTGAAGTCCGGAAGGTTTTCTACATAATTTCAAGAAAGACAGAGCTGTGTGACTTATCACAAGGATCAAGGTAGCGCCCGAGCGATGGAGGTAGCCTGAGACCCTCGGGAGAAATTTATAAGGTCGGAAATGTCCAAGGAGTTTCAAAATTGTTACAGTAATTGTCATCGCCAAATTTGGAATGTTTCAACATTTCTTGAGTACTCTTCATGGCTATTGATATTGGAGTATCGTGGCACGACTTTGAGCTCCCCACCATGCCGAGACTGAAACTTCATATGTCAGCTTTTGGCTCATGGACTTTACACTCAAAAGGCGCCCATAGCATTTGTATACTCTGCTCAGACCACATACACCTCATCCCTGGGCTCCAAAACTTTGAGAATTCACGTAGTTCGCCATTCTTCGTGATAGAAAGACGTATATGCCGCCTTCCAAAACTCCCACCACTCGGGATACCAGCCACTATGCGCCCAGTCAACATCTGCAATAACTCGGGGAGGTGAAGTTGAGGAGACGATTAGGTTGCTACGATGAAGATCACCGTGCGTGAACTTGGTACTGCCAGTGTCTGGCAGGAATTCCCTCCACGGACCTTAGATTGATTCTGCATCTGGGAAGCGTGACCAAGCCAGACTGGCAAACCAGTCGTTAAACTACTTGATGCTTTGAAAAGGGCCACCAGGTGGAAAGCTCCCAGGTGGAAAGCTCTCTAATACATAGTCTGTGAGATGATGACTGCTCAGCGACCCTAAGGAATATCTATCATCAGCTGTACGTTCCTCGAAAGCTCGTACTGGAAACTTACCGACCAAAGGATGATCAGATATTATCACCGACGATTCGCAGTTATGTCATTATCCGACTCGGGTCTTTGCAAACAACTCTTTATCATCAGTGTCTATCGAGTCCCATCGGCTTCGCAATGTGTCTCCCCTTGTGAGCTCCATATATATGAACAGTCCATGGCCATCAACGCGCCAACCGTACAACTCTGGTACTGGAATAGTGTTGCCAAGAATATTTCTAATCACCCAGAGACACTGCGGTCCATTGGTTGTGACACGAGATCCGAATTTGACAAGAAGATTGAGGTCCTCAAATATCACGGGAGGTGGCTATGTGGCTCGGGTGAGATGTGAGAGAGCGCAAACCTGTGAGGGTGAAGGTAAAGACCGATTTGACACATGATGGTTGAAGAATAGTGCGAGTGAACTCATCTCCGACTGGCTCCCGTCAGGAAGGCTTTCGGGCTTTATTTGAGCATTTAAAAGCATCTTTGATAGACTGGTAGTAGCTATATGAATGCATCTCTTTTAAAATTCAGTACAATTTTCCACAAGACGCTGACGTTTTAAACGAGTTTGAATACCCTGATTCTGTCGAGGCGGCAAGAAGGTGCCTCAAGATGGATTGCCACAACAAAGAGTGTCAGTATTATTGCTCAGTTGTGGTGTCGATGGCGCTGCACGTGACCTCAATTAGGTAGCCATTCCTTTCTGATCAGCCACTGTCACAGATCTGACAAACAGCGAACGCAGACATATTTCCTAAATTAGAAACTCTTGTTCTTCCAAGTTTCACATTTCCCCTCGAACTTCCCTTCACACCGGCAACGCAACATGTCTACTCGGAAACTGTACCTCATCGCGTCTCGAAATTCAGCTAAGCAGAGAGCACACTTTTCCATATTTATCCCTTCTATCTCGAATCCTGATAAAGGAACAGCCATTCACGTCGTTGGCGCACCAATGGCAGGCTATATGCTAGAGTTCAAGCGACACTATTCTCCAGCCGAAGCCGAAGAGAAATACGAGATGTGGCGCATTGGAGAGACTTCAGAAGAGAATGTGAAGGACTTTGCGGGAAACGAATTCATCAGAGAACACACGCCGCGGGACAATTTGGAACGCGAAGCAACACGGGTGCCTCCCCCTCGCATCAGCGAAAACTTCAGGGCCCCTGTAAACGACGTGAGCAGATCATCTAGATCGCTGATACATTTCCTTTACTGACGATGTTATTCAGACAACCAATCGAAGATGCCAGGAGTGGACAATGGACTTCCTTCATCACTTGGTCCTAAAAGGATTCATTTCGCAGGAAGCGGATGACATAGTACAGTCAAAGCGGGACCCTCCCAGCCATGGTATCGTGTAAACCAGGAGCATGCTGAGCCATGCAGAATGGAGATGGAGAGTTAGAAATACAAATGATATTTGTAATGCCAAGTTTGTTTCAGGCGTTCTCGCTTTTAGGATTTGGAATTATACCTACATATTTTCCAAGTTATGTTATACAAAAAGATGGGGACGGTAATGCTTCATAACATGTGGCTTCATAACATGTGATGCTTTGAACATGACTGACAGATATCACAATTGCAAGCCCTGGAACACTTCCAAAGAAAGCGAAAGTCTAGACCCCCTCATCATGAGGTCAGTGCCGAAAGGAAGCGGGACACGACAGGTGCCATTGCATCAAATATGGGGCCGGAAGAGCAAGGATACCTCCGCATTTACAAGGGTTCCAAATCTCCCCTACGTTGGCATTTTGTCAACTCCTGTTGATAATCCTCCCAACTGTGGCTGATCTCGGCGAATAAAGTGTGGCGCAGGCTGCTGTGGCTCGTGACGTATCGCCATTTGGTGCCAACATGCTGTGGCGGTGACGATGGGACCTCGCTTATACCTTGTTTTCATCTGAACCTCTCGAGCCTCCTTGTCTTCATTCTCGTGTCTCACTCCCATTCGCCGTTTCCGGGTCTGTATCCATTCATTTCAGCCTCACCGCCTGTGGCGCTCTCGTCGGTTAGTGGCTGGCATGTGTTTCTGATCTTAAAAGTGATGAGCGCATATCGAGTTACCATGGATATCTCGTCGCCCTGCCTTGAAACCAGACGAAATTGGATGAGCGCACAGAGGGTATTTCGAGGATCCCGGAGTGACATCTCCGTCAACTTGGAAAATGATTCGAAAAATTGGTAAGAGTGCCGGAACCAGGCGTTAAGACCTTGGCTTTGATCATGGAACAATATGAGTCGACGACATACAACTCTTTGCCTTGAGTCTAGGCTATGTGAAGCCTATGACGAGTGATTATTGACCCCTACCTAGTCTCGAGACTCTTGGATTTCTGCTATCGTGATACTTCTATAAGTACTAACCTGACAGCTACTAAACATTTCTCCATACATCAGACACCACTTCTCTCCTCACCAACCAGCAAATACCCACAACTTCACAACACACCTCCGAGAAGTCTACACCCCTCACCATGCATTCCCGAGCAAACAACACCCGAAGCACCTACAACGACGGCACCGTCACCCACAGAAAACCTTCCCTCCTCGACCGCCTCCTCCGCACCTTCCAATTCCTCTCCTCCCTCACCTCCCTGATCGTCTTCTCCATCCGCCTCCGCAAGATAATCAGTCTCGCCGGCCGCGCAACCCGCTCCAATGGCGCCGTGGAAGGCATCCTCGCCGCCGCCGTCCTCTACACGCTCATCGCCATGGCACTCAAGTTCGCCATCAAGGGAACCGGCTCGAACATGCTGCGCATAGTCTTCATCGTGCTGGATCTGCTATTCGTTGGAGCTTTCACTGCAGTTGCGGTGCTCACTAGTCCTAAGCGTCATGGATCGAGTGCGCCTTGCAATGCGACGAGATACACTGCTATAAATACGAAAATTCCAAGTTCGGTGAACTGCAACTTGCCTTGGGGGACGTTCATTTTGGCTATTGTCAGCACGTAAGTTAACTCCTTGAATGCATAATACATTTGTGCAATGCTAACGGAATATCAACAGTCTTCTCCACGCTGCTACTGCTGCCTACCATGTCATCAAGGACAAGCGTCGCACCAAGACTCACAACACTCTTGCTGCAAAGGAGGTCCACCAGGACGGTCACTTGAACGAGAACAGACACCATGGACATAACAATGTCTGAACACTTTACATCAACCGCAGTCGAAGATTCAACAACCATAAATTGTGCGATCTCGGTTTGGCCTGCGCTGTATGAATAGTCACTGGCTACGGGGTACTTTCTTTATAATGATTCCTGTTTTTCAGAGCGACGGGATAGCGAGCACTGATTTTGGGTGGGGAGGCGATGTACAGGTTAGCGTCGGAATAATGTTTTCTTTACCAGATACCACTGTATAATACCACAACATCTTTCAACATAAATCCTTATCAATAAATAACTCCAACACAAACCCTACCACACAACCAAACCCTCACCATCCCGTTCAAACATTCCATTTCGTCTGACTCAATTCAATTTTACCGTGCCACCTCAAACACACTCACCTAACCGCACACGAAATCGTTAGACTCCTCCTCTTCTTCCCTCTCTCTTTTTTTGGCCTTGCACGAAATGCAGCCTATCTTATTTGTCACCACATCCATCACCGGCATTACGATTTCCCATCCTCTATTTATTCTAGTCCCGTCCCACCAAACTCACACGATACCACTCATCTTTCACATCCACCCCTCACAAGCCGTGTCATAAAAAGATTATCTTCCTCTTGTAATGCATCTTACCACCGATCAACCTTTGTTGGAGAAAGTACTTCCAGTAGCCGTTCCAACAGCTTGAAGCACACACCCATTGGAAGCCTGATTTTCCAGGTAGGAGTGGAGTGGAACATCATCTCGGCTTGAAGCTGCAGATAACAAATCTCGATTGATGAGCTAAGTAATGCAAACAATTATTGTAACGCCAAGAGTAATATAAGTCAAACGCACAATTCAAAACCACCTGTGATTACAAGCAGTCCTCCAATCATCACATTTTTTGACGAACTGCACAGCAAACTCGCCAGCAGGACCAGCCCTACACTGCCAGTAATTTCGAAGTACTTTGTCCGGCAACCCTTCCTCATTTTGTGTTTTGCCCTTCAATGCCAGATTGACCACCATCAAGCGATACCTTCCTGATAGGAGAGCCATATTCAAAGCTATTCGGAGTCTTGAGACCTTCATCGCGATGACTAAAATCCTCTGGATCAAGAGCCAAGATAGGTTTGATAGCTTTCATTGGGACAGGCTTGACGAGGTAAAGGTCCACTCCACTGTCAGAGGCGTCTCTTTGGTACTTCTCGGATGAGAAGCATGTCAGGGCAACGATTCGGGTTCGAGGTAGACATTGTTCTTCTTCGTAGGCTCGGATGTGTCGGGTTGATGTCAGGCCGTCCATGATTGGCATCGAGAGATCTAAACAAAATCAATAACATCTCATATGAACAGATGGGGAGTCGTACCCATAAAGATAACCTTGAAAACATCTGGTGTGGCTTGGTATTGCTCTAGAGCCTCGAGTCCGTTCATTGCTGTTACATGTTCTTGCTTCGTACTTCTCATACAATGCATGAGAATCTGTGGGTCAGTGAGATGTGATCCGATGGGCTAAAAGAGGCTTACCTTCATGTTCACAGCATTGTCTTCGACGAGCAGAACTTTGTTCCTTACCGGACTAGGAATTGGCGACATGGAGTTCGTGACAGGAGAAGATACGATTTTCTCTCCATTCAAAGACGAGTCTTCCTGCTCTTCAACAAGTCGTTTCGACACATCAGCAAGGCGAGCCGCATGATCGGGGACCGGGTCCTGAAGGGTTGGTGTTGATGACGGAACCTGAAAATTCTTTGACATGCCCGCTTGAGCAGCTTTTGGAACGATTATGGGAGTTTCAGCGCTGGCCGGACTTAGATCTGAAGACAAAGAAGCGCTCTGTATCTTTGCGGACGCTATTGTACTGGCCACTGGGGAAAGTTTCGTGTCCAGGCAGACCTTCAGAGCACGTGCAAGCTTATGTGGACCAGCTCTACAAGATATCAGCTCAGTGTTGGACATAATAATAATAGGTTCTGGAACACAGAGAATTTGTCACGACGTTGGAAGCCAAGAAGAGATGTGATGTATCCACAAAATCAAAGGGCGAACTCACGGCATTCAGAGGTAATAAACTCCTCTGGTACCCAACAGGCGACTCTCTGCCGTATCTTCGAATACGATCAATGGGATTGAGCTGGAATGCTCTTCGAGCAAATTAGTTTGGAACGAAGTCCAAGTAGAATATCTCCGGCTGCTGATTCCAAACTTTGACTTGTGCTGACTTCCATTGAAAACCAGTCAGACGCCATAGAGGTCAACGATTGCTTCAAACCGAGCATGGACTTTGCATGTGCACTAAGAATCCCTGTGGGTTCATCTTTCACTTCATAGAGTCAGCAAGATTCTTAAATGCTGAGGTCGCACAAGACCATAGGTTTGACGGCGGATTTTTCAAACTTCAAGTGATCAACAATCATGCTGGTGTACATACCATCAGGATAATAGTCGAAGCCCACGAGGCACAGTCGAAGTCCTTTGGTTCGCAATCTGACATCATGGAGAAGATTCTGGCTGTCGGTCGAACCTTCAATTGGTGATACTGAGGGCGAATGAAGAGGAACCGAGACTGTGACTTTCGTCCCCTGTCTGATTTCGCTTTGAATATCTATCAGCCCACCCAGGTCTCGTACAAGATGTCGAACAATGGAGAGACCGAGGCCAGTACCGACGGCCATTTGATCTTCCTGTACGAAAGGTGTAAAGACATTATACTTTAAATAGTTTTCAGACATTCCTCTACCTGAATCTTCGATCTGTAAAGTGACTACGTGTGACCCAGAGGATTTTGGCGATGGGGAAGGCCCCTTTCTTAATGAGACGTTGATGAATCCTGCTCCTGTATACTTCAGGGCATTTCCAAACAAGTTCACTGGAGATGAGATCAGCAGTGACCCTATCATGAGACTCTACGCTGATTTGTGGTAAGACAGTTTATCGCTCCGTTTGTCTTTAACATTTGAGCTTCTGTAATGGATGAAGACTTACTGAGTATTCTTGTCCAGGCACTGACTTGAGACTTGAAAATCCAGGAATCTGATTTGGAAATATTAAGTATGAGCATCACTTTGCTATTGGTCGAACTCGCTTTGATGAGACTGCTCGCCGGAGACTTAAGATCTTCAGAAGTGGCAAATGTTGATTTGTGAAAATCATGCCCGTAGTAAACACTTTCCATTGTGGATTCGATGATGTCGCATAGATCTACATGCTTCATTCTCTTTAGTGCCCCGCTTTCTGTCGGTGTGCTGGTGTTGGACTTGGATGAGAACTTTCTGGGGAGAAAGGATTTCGACGTAATGGCATAATCTAGACTGCAAAGTTTAGTGAATCGTACCTATTCGGGTATTGCCAAGTGGATCTTACATTTGATCCATCGTATCCAAAAGGACTTCACCACAGACAGTGATGGTTCTAATCATATCATCTTGTAAAAGTCCCGTTGATGTCTCTTGTAATGCTTCGGAACTAGCAAGAACGCCATGCAGAGGTGAGCGGAGTTCGTGGCTGACCGATGAGATGAAGTCCATCTTCTCTCGCTCAGCAATCGAAACATCAAGCCTAGATTTTTCTGACATGATGCAGCTCGTAAACGCTGCAAGGTAGTTAATGTCAGAAGGATGGATGATTCGTGCATAGTCTGTTGTCCCTGTGCAGATGTCAACAAAGTTCCTGAGAAAGTTATAAGGTTCCTTTGGAAAAGGAGGGACTGGTAAGGTTTAGAAGGGTATGCGTACATGCATTTTCATTTTCTCTTCAAATCATACCATTAGTATTCTTAATGGCTCCGAATATCTTCGCTCCCGTTTTGGTGACCGGATTGTCCATGATTAGCTGCGATTCGGGATCTATGTCATCTTCGTAGAATAGGAGAGAAAGTTCGTAGGAATTTGGCTTCTTCTTTGGTGCTTTTGTGGCAGGTGAGGTTTTATTCTATGCTTGTTGGCTGTTACATCTTGTTTCGATAAGCTGGTAGTGATGGAAAATTCCCAAGCCCGATGATTTGCCAGCGTATACCGGATAGCGATGATCCTTCTTGCAAAGTCTTCTCCTGTTTGCTCCATTCATGGCGAGAGGAATGATATTCGTAAGGGAGTCTATTGGAGTTGGGCCTAGTAATGAATCAATAGATACATCCCAGTCTCATATCCCAACGCCTTCTTCCCCTCGACATACTTGTTGAATCCCTTCGTGTGCTCGCCATACCACTCCTCCATAAAATCTTTGATACTGCCACCAAATGTAGTGATGACATCCCTCCAATCGAAGTCAGGCTATGTAGCCCCGTGAGCTCGGTCATGGTCCACTGTAGAGTGGGGACCACGGTCATACAGTATCTGATTCCAGCTACGGGGCAACCTGGGCCAGAGGGTGTCGGTGTTGGTCTGGATCGGCGTGGCCGGTCATCGAGCTTTATTGGGTAAATATCGCTGCTGCTTGTAGTGTCATCGCTACTGGAATCATCAGGGCTATCTGGTTCATCTCCGAGCTGCGATTTTGCAAGGTCGTCGCTTTCCTCGTCGTCTCCCTCTTCTCCCTCTTCTCCCTCTTCTCCCTCTTCTCCCTCTTCTCCCTCTTCTCCCTCTTCTCCCTCTTCTCCCTCTTCTCCCTCTTCTCCCTCTTCTCCCTCGTCATCACCATCATCCGAGTCCACCTTCCATCCATCTTGCGCCAGTGCAGCACTTCTTCCTCTAAGTCTCACAATCTTTCCCAAACGAAGCCATTCCTCAGACTTCGTCTCAATGAATGACGTCCTCCAATCCCTATCCCCATTCCTATTCCTAGTCCCGAGTCACCTTTCCCTATATTCCTTTTTTAGTGCATCGATCCTCAAGTTTTCGCGTTCCCCTCGGTCTTCCAGAAGGACACGCTCCTCCCTCTCAGTTTTCTGGCCAGAAGTAGCATCGCAAGCCATCTTGAAGTGCGCATGGGCGGACTCAGGGCTCTAGTCGAGATCGCTAGTGGATTTGGCTGGGGCCGACATCATTCGGATTAAATGAATCTAGAGGGTAAAAAGGCATGATTATATTTGTCGAGATATACCTAGTTGTATATAATGTATGAAATCAATTATGGAGCATTCGACGGTAATCTAGTTCATATTGTGGAAGGCTACAAGAGTATTCTCGAAACCAGGGGCCTACCAATGGTGCATCCGTGGATATCAAAGAGCCTAAGGACACAAACAAGTGAAAATTTGAGTTGAAAACACAAGTTTAGAAATTGCTGGGATTGACTTGTATTGTACCATTGGAGCTAAAATGCCGTATCTAAGCCATGGCGTACTACGAGAAACTTCTGTCATTGAGCGGTGTCGACAAATTTGTTGACTGAAAGGCTTTTTCTGATCACAGAATAAATAACTTCCTCGAGCCATCTAAACTATAATCTAGTCCTTCACATTATCTCTCCGACTGGCGTTGTATGTGTTCTTTCTTGTAACATCCAAGGAGTTCGAGTAGCAACTCCACCAAGCGACTGGGTCTCACCAGACAATATAGAACGGGATTCAAGTAAGAAGCCATCAATGAATGATTTTTCTGGAATTTAAAAAGTGAAAGTCGTTTCTTTTAGACTCCCGGGAAAGTTGTCAGTTTGACTTCCAGGCGTCTTGTTTACTTCACTCTCGCTTAATGCTTGGCACACTGTCTGGCGTTGCCAGGACTTGGCTCGCTGCAGTAGATCAAGCGGCGAGTACTGCATAGGGAGAAGTTGGATTCATTTATATATAGAAAAGGTCATGATGAAGGTCCTATAGAAATAAGTGACTTGGTAATGCTTGCTGGGCGTACAATTCATGCTCGTCTAGGCGCTGTAATTATATTTGCTGCCAGCAGATGCATGCAATGGACCGCGCAAGCTGTGGATCTTTGATACAAGATTTTATCAAATCAATTATCCATCAACAGGGATCTCGAGCTGCTCAGACTTGAACCAGAATTATCTTGAGATTGGACGAGTTCAGGTCCGCCATCCATTTAGGTTGCCTCCAGGCTTCAGGTTCTCGTCTGTTTTTATGAAGTACTGTCTATTTCCCACCGGGTTTTCCCGATTGATTGAGCTTATCCTCTGAGTCTTTTTCATTCATCATAATCTATCTCTTCACTTGAGCTTGTGATAATCTTTCTTCGCTTCTGTTTTAGACCCGAAACAGCCTCTGGCGATCGTTTGCGAGGAAATGGTGACGCTGCACGATTAGACATTTCCTGATTCGAGGACCTGTTGGAAGTCACTACTGTGAGATTCGGTGGAATTTTGGGTCCTATAGAGATGAGTGCACGTTTAAGACTTGATTTTGAGAGAGAGAGAGAAGCTTCATACCTTTAGGACCAGTTAGACCCAGCTGATGGAACACTACCCTTCGTCAATAAGAGCTTCTTGCAGCCAATACGAATGAGACTGTAGCTCCTCCGCGACTTCTCATACCTGGTGAATCTATATTCTGAATAGTTTGCAAGCCATCCTGAGACTCACTGGATTCTGTCTGATTGTGCAAATTTGGTTGATAATTTCTGTCCAAATCACGGTCCGCCGGTGCCGGTGTCATGAAAAGGCCTCTATCTTCAATTTCTTCATTTTTGATTCCTTCTGGGAGTACCTCTTTCCCATGATTTAGGTTTTTAGGACCGTCTTGACCTTCCAGCTCTACAGGATCTTCATCTGCGTCTCCATCACAGCTGTCGTCTGTATCCTCCAAAGGAACGAAGACTTTCCAAGGTTTTGAATTAGCTTCAAACGTAGAGTTGCATCATATTGAGAACAAGATACGCTGGCCTCAACGTACCTGATTGATTCTCTGCGGAGCTTACTTTGCTACCTTCGCCATTGTCATGGCGGTGACCATCTTCCCGCTCTGAGAAGTCTGCAGAATTATCTGAGCCCCCGAACTGTCCAGGGCGTTCCGACAGATGTCTGGAGCTCGTTTTCTTGCGCTTGCGTCCAAGTTTCTCGTCAAAACGTTTCCTGAAATCATCATACCATTTAAGAGTTGCGTCCTCAACCAGGTATCCAAATTTTTTTACCACGTCTTTTTTCCGTATGATTCCATTTTCGTCTTCGTGGAACTCATTGCTATGCTTTTTCCACGTTTTTCTGATGCCGTCCTCGGTCTTGCCTTTCGAACCGTACCAACGGTTCTCGTTATTGAAGCATTCACAACGGAGAACATACACCCTACCGCTTTCCTTTACCACAGACTCCCAGTCCTCGATATTCTGTATAGTTAGGGCTCTTCCCCGTTCGAACTCGACTTCCTGGGGCGTACTTTTGATCCCTGGGGTATCTGTCTCATTCCCAGATACAGAATCATTCCAATCCAACTCACAATCCATCTCTGGCGGGTCCGATAGGGGTGAGTCTACATCCTCAGGAGAATTCTTCCCATCTGCCCGAACATTCTCGGCTGGCTCTGACTTCCCTTTCCAATGTAACTCCTTCGCTCTACGCTTGTTCCTCATCAAACTCAAAGCATATTTTCTGAAACACGCCCCAGCGTCCATGTCCTTCTCACTTTCCATCCTGTAAAACAACTCGCGATCTTCCCCGATTCGTTTGTTGTCTCGCTGCAAGTCCTCTTTGATCCGCGCTGAGACAACAGCCCGTTTCTCCTCATATAGTCGCTTCTTGCCCCGTTCCTCTGAATTCTGGTAGATCTCGAGGATTGTTTCAGAATCGAGACGTTCCAGAAGAGCAAAGTCTCTACTAAACTCGAAGTTCATCTGCGGTGAATTTTCTTTGACATCTTGCTGGACTTCAACTTGTCGTAGCCGAGCATAACAGTCTCCGTGTGTATTCCGTGCCATTTCGAAACCGTTTCTCGCTCCTCTACCTTCAGGAATAGCCCTAAGTCTACCGTCCCTTTGATGAATCTGTGCGGGTCTGGTAAGCTGTGTTCGCCACGGTGACGGTTCAGCAACGCTATCCAGAAGTGCCACACGGCGAGCAAGTATTAACGTGTAGGGGTATGGATGTGAAAGAATGATACAGGAAACTTCTGCAGGAATAATAGGGCAGTTTGCTGTTCAAATTAATGGAGAGGGAGGGAAATTATAGCATGCTGAAAGGAGAAAGACCGCCTAGCTATCATGAGAGCCGTCGCTGTTGGAGGGGAGGCAGGCGCGATCGAGTAAGTCGTGGTGTATGGCACCGTTCCACTGTACTGCATTAACAAGCCAACCTCACAGAGCAGTCTCATCAAAGCAGTGAAGTACTCATCCCATCATCTTAATGGGTTGAATCTGGCATCCCTGATCGGCAAATCATGAACATTCATTCTTACTTCACCAAAGTCATGTTCAAGAAGCTCTAGAGTATCATCTCCTTCACTCAATTCTCACAAAAACCACGTCCTCGTGGCATCGTTATCCACTTAAAAGTCGCTTGCATGCACCTCATCTTCTCTTCCAGCCTCATCTGTGACGACTGATGATTCTAGCACAGCTAGCTCTTCAGCGGATAATGGATGGAGTTATTTCTTCAGAATTTACAGCTGTTTAAGAACGGCTGCTGAGGTGGGTATGTGGGAGCGGAACCCTAAGTGGAATCACCCGCTATATCTATCATAGCTTCCGCTGCTAGCTCACAACATTCGCCTATCGCATCCTATACATCTGACGGAAGCTGTAGCAATATTCACACGAAGCATGTACTGAAATATTGGCGAGACCACTGGTCTAGTCGAAGTACGCAGTACATGCCTGGAGTGGTTTTACTTCTGGGACAGAGTCCAGATCTTCAACCCCAGGAGACGGGCATTTGCAGTTGGAATATGGAAGACCGCGATTCATCGGTAGATAGTGAAAGAAGACCTCAACCCCCCGCCCTTCCGAAAATGACTGAACGTACGAACACAGCCACCTGGCATTTCATTCGGAAATGAAGGAATTTATCCAGCGGCCTGCTCACAGCAATCGCAAAATGAATGCTGCCCCGTTACAAACAACCATGTTCAGATTCGACAAATGGCACAAAATCCTGCACGTAAAAAGCTGAAGGTCAGCGAACTTCATTCTCTAAGGCTATGCTTCTAGCCCTATCCAAGCTTCTTCTATTCTCAGTACTCATCAAGAATCATCCGATTCCATACCATGTTGTGCATCCCCATATCCGGCTTCAGTTCTACTCCTCTAAATCCTTGAATCGGCCTTTCTATGACGACCCTTTATCCCTGTCCTATGGAATTCAATCCAGTCATTCCCTGCAACATTTCATGAAACGGAGGAATGTAGTCGTAATCTTGTATCTAGTCCTTGTCATCCTTTCAAGCCCATCTCCCAAGGACAGCCATGAGTCCAGCTCCGAGGCACATGCAGCCATAAGCGAAAAGCATTATCTTGATAGAGCTCTTTCGCATCTCTGGGTTGAACATGAATTCGTGAGCCATTAACTCTACCAGTCCCGTGTAGATCAGAATCCCAGCACTGATAGCGTCGAAGACACCTTGTACAATGAGAGTTCGAGCACTCCCTGGCTCGAAGCTGCTACGCACACCAAGTCCAATGGCAATAGCGAGTGGTGTGGTGAGACCGAATGCTGCTCCCATTGCCCATGGCAGCCAGCTTTTGCTTTTCGGCCACGCAGCAGTTGCTAGTCGGGATCCGAGACCGAGACCCTCGAATGTTTGGTGGAATGAGAGCACGATGTATAGGACATTGAACTCTGATCCTGCAACAGCTAGAGTGAGACCTATAAATATCGAGTGAAATATGACGCCGAATTCGAGGATGAAAAGTCCTGTCATCTGTGCTGCGAAATGCTCGTCATCATCGGAGTGAGACCGACTGTGTCCCAGGTGATCTTGACCTCCGGGAGGATAGCTGAAATCATCTTCCCTTCCTGGTACACGCCCATTGGATATCACTCTCGATGCCCCTTCGCCGACGACATTGTTGACAGTTGAAGCTGCACTCGCACTTGCATGGCCATATCCGTTGGATGCTGTTTTAGACTGATTAGCTCAGGACATCTCAACCAACCAGATTTATCTTCCGCTACTCAGAACAACAGGTAGAGACAGCATCGGCCTTTGAATGGAAATAGAAGAATGCTTACACTTCTTCAATGCACTGTCCGACCCACCATCCTTCTCGGTATCTCGCAACAAGTTCTTCGCAGGATCAACAGTCTCGCTTTCGTGCTCATGGCTACCAAAAACATCAAATCTTGAGGCCATCAGTTCAATGAAGAACATGGTGAAGATGGTCATAAGGGCAATCCCCTCCGCCCAGCTGTATTCCGTAATCGCGCCGGTCAAACATGGTGATTGAAGCGCTTCTGTGGCCGGTGCCATAAGCTATATTCCATAAGTATTTATTCGCTTGTTCGGAATGGTTGCATCATTGAGACGGCCGAGTAGGAGTTACTCACATGTATGAATGCTGTAGCAACGATTACTCCCGAACCGAAATACTTCGCAATGAAGAATGCTACAGGAGGAACATGCATGCGCTTTGTTCTCGCAAGAGCAATTGGCAGCAAGGCGCCTATATACATAGCATTAGTTGTGCCATAACAAAGCCAGACTGTACCGCAGAATAAACGTACCAAGCATAGACCCAAATCCAATTACGAAAATGGAGGATATTCGGAGGCCCAGTCGGCCATCGTACTCATTGCCATTATCGCAAGATACCTCGACAAAGGCTGGAACTTCCGACATGACGATGTAGACGCTTCTCAGCTTCTGCTCTGCCCACTTCCGCTCCCGCTCGCCAACCTGCGAGCTCTATATATCAAGGTATATATATGTCCGCCAATCGTGTTCGCAAAGCAACGTATCGTAGGGTTACCGAGTAGAGGTAGAGTTGAGGATGGGGCTGAATTTGAGTTGAGTGCTGAAGGGCGACAACAGCTGCAATTTCCAGGACTCGAAGAGATGTTGATTTCACGAGGATATGATATTGCGTAAGGTTGTTGCGATGGAGAACAATCGTCGATCCTAGAGTAAGACGGTTTTGCTAGTCGGCGGACTTTGTTCATGGACTATTTCGAGAAGGGTTGGTTGGTTCTGCCGGAAGAAAGAGGTGGGTGGTTGTGGTGGAGAGCTGGACTTTGGGTACCTTGTGAGGTATCTCAAAAGCGGAACGGAACAATCACAAATCACTCAGCTGGTGGATGCTGGCACACCGGTATATATATGTATATATAAAGAGAGAGAGAAATGACACACAATGGCAGTGGTAGAGAATACCAGAGAGACGGAGACAAGATGTGATGCGGTACAAGGAAACGGAAAGGGAAGGATAACTCCCAGGTTGCCTTGGGGCAGGGCAGGGCAGGGCAGGGCATGGCATGGATGGTGGGGGCGCGAGTTGCTGGAATTGAGTACCTTGTGAGGTATAAGTACTGCACTGCCAAGGACGGATCTCATCGAGGAAAACTCTTTCTCTCTCTGCGCTCTCGTCTTCAATTCGCCATTCGCCGAGAGGAGAGGATATAGACTTTGATCGTCAATGTAAATTAACTCATAAAAAGCATTGACGGACGATGCGCTGGCTAGAGCGACGGAGGGACAATATTAATTCCCTTAGAGGTGGGATGGATGGCCCTTTGTTTGTTTGTCGATGCGCCAGAGGATAGAGGACATCATATCGTCCATGGCTCTCGCAGACAGCGCTTTGAGGGTGGATGCCATGCCATGCCATGCCGTCAGCACGGTAAGCTTCGGGCTTAGTCGCTTGACCCTTGCTCTCATACTGTAGGTCCCATTGGTTCCATAATCTTGTCTTCTCTTCTCTTCTCTTCTCGTTCTCGTGGGTCGCAGATACGATTATGCTGTGCGCTTCGGATTTGCGTTGAAGGTCCAAGGTAAGTGTGGTGGAAAGAAAGCAAGAGAAAGGAGGAGACTGAGCAAGAGGAACGGGGAAGAAGATTCAGCTTTCTCGTTCGCCTCGCTCTGCCACCAGTCAAAAGCGAGCAAAATCCGCCGTGCAACGGAACACAACATCGCAACATCACTGGTTGCGAACGTGTCCCCGAAAAGAGGTGTCTCGAACTCCATGTCGGCTTCAGAATTGGATACGCCGGGGTTCCTTCTGACAAGCATGGGTTAGTGAAGTCATCTGAACTGTCAATTGGAGATGAGCTATCAAGACGGGCGTCGAGATGACTTACCAGTTGTTCTGGCCATCCCTCCAAATGGTACGGGATACCCTAGATATCGTCAACAAAGAAAAACGACGAACCCTAAATGGAAGAATTTCGCCGTTTGTCCATGACTGGTTTCTACCGGTTGTTTGTAGAATTCAACCGAGAGTCATTTTCGAGCCACACCTCTTCTCGAAATACAATCCGAGAGCAGAACACCAATCAATACCTCCCCCTCCCCCACTCCTGCTGCAACTTTGCAGTGACTGGATCTGAAGTCCTGTGTACACAGTTCCTGCGATCTAGACTTTCCTTCGTTTTGCAATTGTCCATAGGGAAAGGTGTGCTGGCGAGACAGTAAACATTGTGGAACCACAGTTCCCGAGTTTTTCGAGATCTTTTACCGCTACTGTCACGTTCAGCTCAAGTATTGAGCTCTAGATGTCACGATGGCTGCAATAGAGTTTGAGCTTTCCTTTGTTTTTGTTTTTCTCGGCAAAGAAACACCCATGAGTTACCGAGCCAATCTTTGGGTGGATGCTGACAACTATGAATGGTGAGGCAATTACGGAGGTGCTGCTACCAGAAGTCGACTTCTTAACCATGATACTACCTATGAGATGAATGTGTCGATCATAGCCTATCATCCATCGGCGACATCAAAATCAACGTTCTGATTCTGATGATGAGAGTGTGCCCATGTTCATCCCAAAGTGTTGCTCCAAAATACAGTTTACCTCTAAGCCCCCGGACAATCAACCTTCACCTGATCAATCCTAATGAGAACCTCCTACTCAACAAGGAAATCTTCCCCATCTCTGTCACTGCCACTATCCCTCTCACTCAGCCCCCCCCTCTCCGGCGTCTCCAAATTTTCAAGTTGATCACCCTCCCCCTTTTCAAACAAACTCCCACCTGTACCAAAGGCTCCATCCTCAGGGATCGAATCCTCTACCCACCCATCACTAACATCCCACCATATCCTCTCCAGTCTCTTTCATTCCCTCCCCACCACGTTCCACGACCCTAAACTCAAACTCAAACATGTCCAGCTTCGCAATTAATAAACTCGTATACTTCGCCAGCGGAATCTCAATCTCCTTACCGTCCAGCCCCCTCTTCTTCCTAATGTCAAATGCCCAAGCAAGACCACCCATTACAAAGAACAGTTACTACTCGATGATATCGACGCCTGTGTATGTACGGCAGCCGAATCCGAACTGAGAGTGTGCTTTGAGGGTGGGGTATTGAGTTAGGGGTTCACGGTATACTGGGTAGAAGGGGGAGAGCCAGCGTCCGGGAAGGAAGGAGTCAGGGAAGGGATAGATGGTGGGATCGCGGGTTATACCCCTGCGGTATGAGTCAGTTCTGTTGTCTTGTAATTGATTGAAGGAGGAGCAAGAGGAACTCACCATTCTAGAGCATGGATTGGGGCGCCTGCTGGGATGTGGTACCCGTTGTAGAGATCATCTTTTTCGAGACAGTGGGGGATCCCGATCGTGAATTAGAGATTGCACGTTATAATCCGTCTTACAAAGAGCAATTATCTTTGGAAAGAACTGAAAAGGGTAAGCAAATCTCGCTTATGGAACATACCAGTAGGAACAGGCTGTCTCCACCTAACCACCTCCTTCACCACAGCCCTCAACATCGGCAATCTCTGTCTATCCTCCCACTCCGGACACCTCGCCCCACAAACACTCCTCATCTCCTCCCTCAACTTCTCTTCCACTCCGGATGCTGGCACATCGCCAGTGGATGACTCTGCAACAGGCTCCCAATCGTCAGTGCACCGGCAATAGCTATCATTCCAACAATGTACTAGCCTTCTTCATCACGCATGTCGTGCGTCCCTTTATCTTTTCCTCCAAGGAACACTTTCATGCAGCTGGGTGCTGCAATTCCGTTTGAGATGGCGGATTTTACGGTGTCGTAGTAGTGCCGGAAGAATTTGTGCTCCCGATATATATATTGCATGCTGGCGTTTTCAACTTGTTGCCAGGGACTTAGCCAAGCAGGGAGGTGAGAGAGCCATGAGACAATGTCGGGAACTGCGCCGGAGGGGGAAATAGGAACTAGTAGCCCGATATTATGTACCAATGCGAAGTTCGTCGGCAGAGTGAGAAGCTCCCCACGAGAGCCGAGCAATGGTACGACTGGTATATTACTCGCTGAGCGATGCAATTCAAAGGGTCTTTGCTCATCTGTAAGAGGCGCTTGCATTCTACAGATGGATAATCGTATAGCAACTCCGCCGTTGGGCGGGACATGACCTGGTGCGAGACTTTGCGTTGACGTGTCCATGTTTCTGAAACTTCGTGAGTGATAGAAGCAGAACCATTCTGGGAAGGGAGAAACCATACCAGTACATCCAAGCAGGGCCAGATGATCTCCAGAAGTCCTGTTATGTGAAAGATCAGGAATCGTTGGTCGATCTGATTATATTGTCCCTCGCTTGGACAGCAACTCGTTGGCAACCTCTTCAGAGGATATCCAGACGTGGACCGAACCGAAGATTTCCATCTGATAAATTGAGCGATACACTTTTGATCATTACCAAAACTTGAGCCATGTCGCTACGCTTGGGACGTCATGAACTCGGCCAATCAATGGCAGACCTATTTTTCGCAATTAACTGTTATCCAGAGATTTATGTGAATGCCAGTGAACGGAAATAATGAAAGACTTGTACCTCTAGGTCCTAGGAGTGGATGAGTCCCGGGAGGAACCCTCTTCCTCGTCTGCGCCTGGACTCCAGCATAAACAATCCCCAAAACGAGAGAGATGACATCGAGGAGAGCAAATGACAGCATATTGAATATGGAAACGAAATACACTACTCGCAGAAGCTTCAAGATAGCAAGTCTACGAACAGAAAACTGAGAACGGAAAGAACCTACTCTTCCACACGTACCGTCGTTGAGCTACATATAACGACAGCCATCCTGCCAATGTTACGGACGATAATTCTTCAAATGCCTCCCACGCATTGCATTGGTCCCATCCATTCGGTCTACCATTGTAGACTCAGTATTGGGGATGTCCGAAGAGATTATTCTTAAACTTAAAATTGGAAGATCATCGCTCCTCTTAACTTGTTAGGGTCTATCAAGACTCATTGAGCCGGTGCACATCGCCTGCAGGGTTCTGCTCCCGGATCAATGACCATAAATTTGCCCGAACGCTACCAATAGCCGGCAAACTTGGCTCAGTACGATAGACATGTAAATACAAACCAATGTCGAGTTTCATCACATAATCAAGGGCGATTGCAAGAACATGGTAATACAAGAATACAGATGATTAAATCTCGCCTTCACTGGAATTGTAGCCCTTTAGGCATGCCTCCATACTTCAGGATGGTAAACTCCCGGAGAACTTGCTGTCTGAATTGGGCAATGTACATGGTACCGAACGCAAACAGGACGACGCGAACAGTTTGGTCATGCCCTGGATACGGAATAAGACTGCTTTTGACAGAGCTTTCTATGCAAGCAGCCTGCGTTCAATACCTGACAGGACAAGCATTGGATGGAATGTAGGATTGCGAGACTACCAGAAGATATTCCAAAACGAGCACAGAACGGGCCGAGTGAATGCTACCACAGCTCACTGTATCCTGCATGTCTTCACCTCCATGTCAAGTGGGATTTATCATCGAGATACATGCCTGGCAGAAGTCAACTTAAAGTTGCTGAGAACCAGAAATGTGCACCACGGCTAATGAACCCACACGACCACATCCGAGTTGCTCTTTATCAGATTGCAGCAGGGTTTGTAGGAGAAAACCGCAGCGCGAGATGAGCCGGTAATATTGAGTTTATTTTCAAGCGACAGTTCTGTGTGAGCTGAGAATGGACAAGCGAAAAGCCAGAACAGGTGCCACCGTCGTATGAATCTGAGTGCAATCATGACATATCTTCTAGCTCTTGGTGAAGCGATGGTGATAGTTTGTCTGTGTAGTACGCAAGGGACTCATGGCTTTGCTGATCTCTGGTCTGAGAAGCGTCACGAAAAGTGCCGTTCGTAAATGTCCGAGGCGCATGCATGGACCTGGTGCGCAGTCATCATACACATGTACACAAGATGAGATGTTTGAAGTTCCAGAGAAAGGACTATACTTCCAAAAGAGATCCATACCTCATGAGTAGACTCCTTGTGAAGCCCAAATTCGAGTGGACAAGAGAGTGCTTCGAGTGGCAATTGAAGGCTGCCTTAGATTCAGAATCGGCGAGTAGTTAGAGGGCTGATGATGCGGCCGCTCATGAGCGCAAAATCCACGAGCCGTAGAAACATCTTTGATCTGACCAAGGTGTTCCCGTGATTGGCCAGTACCGGGAGAAGATTATTGAAGCCGGTCTGTGCTTGTTTGATTGATAGGGCTAGCTCGATCGATTGCTGTGCCGAAGTTGCGACTTGCTTACCTCCAAGTAGTATTGATATATTCCCACGATAGCAGTGTTATCTTAAAGTGGTTTCAAACACATCTAAGATGCTAATGGGCATCAAAGCATCCTGCCGAATCCGTTTCTATCCTCGATTCCAAACTGGCCCCGTCTGAGCCAGGTCTATTAAGGCTTTACGATGAATACTGCAGTTCCAAACCAATGGCTCTAAATGGCTGATCCTTCCTCTTCATGTCGATCGACGAACCGAGCGTAAAGAGCAGGTCTTTTATCCTGCCTTCCCAAACCAGTCCAATGTTCCAGTTCTGGTCAACCCTAGCTTTCAAGACCCCAGCAACTTCATCTGGCTCGGGAATCGGATTTTCTTCCACAGGATCAAGTCTCCATTCTAGCTTGGCTAGCATGCTTCGTTCTTTCTCTTTCGGTACTTTCGCTTTCATTTTCCACAACTCGCAGCCAAGCATTACGTCGCTTTCATAGCTGTAAACGTTGAAGTCGAACTTCGAGCACAGCGCCAAGTTCTTACCCGCCTTGACAGCATAAGTCGTGCTTAGATTTCCCATGAGTGGATTCAGAGTAAGAGTTGCCGTAAGAGGTACTCCTTTATGAGCAGGCAGCGTTGCGAATCGCCCACCAAAGCTCACTCCTCCTGACTTGTTCAACGAACCATAATACATTTCTGCTCCAGCACTGAATCGGCCATAGAAACGATCGTCCGTTCTTGGAAGCTCTGTGACTTCCTTCCTTGGATCCGGGCCAAAATTGTAAAGACCTCGAATCCCAACAAGACCACCATCTGTCGAATACAGAGTGTCAGCACTGTATTTCCCGACATCGTATTGATGTAGTGCGAGGATTGTTCCTCCATTCCGCAGGCGACTGTCGCTAACAGCAGAAAGCTTCAACTGTTGTGTAGGACTTATTCGACGCATGTACAAGGCCTCCAAGGTGCTTTGCGGTAGGTAAAGCCGGCCGTATAGTAACGTGTCGCGTTTGTCTATTCGCTTTCCACCTTGCCACTGCTCCCACATCCATGACTCGTCTGGTTTGCGTAACTCTTGTATTTGTCTGTACCCGCGTATTACGTCGTGTAGTTCGATTTCTCCACTCTTCGAAGTCGCATGGAGTGGAAGAGATGTGTATAGGTAGGAAAGAGAACCGTCTACCAAGCCGACGCTTCCAATGGCGTATGATGTAGCAAAATTCGGAGAGGAGAGTGAAGAAAGATTCAGCCGCAGTCCTCGAGGGGTTTCGAATTCCAGGAGAGCTGTAGCATCTATTTAGTAGCTATCTGGGACTTTGCTGTGGAAATGTTTACCTCTTGCAGTAGCAGTCAAATGCGAGTATGAATTCTCATAATTCCAATGCGATGCATTGTAGAATGCATTCTGCACATAATCCATGAACTCCAACATAACTAAAACAAGTCGTAAATCGTAACTCTTCAATCCTGTGTTGCGAGCACGCTCCAGCCACAAATCTGAAAGTCAACTTGACGGGACGAAGAAGCAACAAGCGGCCGCTAGCATAAACCTTAAACCTTACAATGGCGCTCTAGCGCCGAACTTTCCTTGGCACGCTAATCTCCTGCGCTCAAAGATTACCGAAAAATCATTTTGAAGATTCCCAGCGACCATTCCCCGCCATACCTCGACAGACCCCTCTGACTCTTCAGAATGCCGAAATCTAAGCGCGCGAAGGTCATCCATTTGTCGAAAGTCGACAAGAAGGGCAAGGAACTCACATTAAAACTCTTCTCCAATGTGCGGGAATGTCTGGACGAATACCAATACTGCTTCGTGTTCTCGGTGGAGAATATGCGCAACACATACTTGAAGGATGTGCGCAATGATTTCAATGACAGCAGGTACGGGTCACTATGAATTCAAGTTCAAGGATGCATCTCTAATTGCTTGCAGACTCTTCTTCGGAAAAACCAAAGTGATGGCAAAAGCCCTTGGATCCTCGCCAGAAGACGAATACCAAGCCTCTACGCACTTACTCTCCAAATACCTTGTCGGCAACGTTGGGCTTCTCTTCACGAACCGCGAACCTAGTGCTATTAAAGAGTACTTTGGAGGAATGGCGAAGACGGATTTTGCGCGTGCCGGAACCGTTGCTACGAGATCATTTACCGTACCTGCTGGAATTGTCTACTCTATGGGAGGGGAAATCGATGCGGATCAGGATGTGCCAATGGCTCACAGTTTAGAACCTGAGTTGAGGAAGCTGAACATGCCGACGTCATTGACCAAGGGAAAGATTACGCTGGATAACCCATATACTGTGTGCAAGGAGGGACAGACTCTTGATAGTAGGCAGACGAGGTTATTGAAGCTGTTTGGAGTTGCTACAGCAGAGTTCTCTGTTGAGTTGGTTGCGTAAGTCTTCCTCTTTAGCGCTGGTATGTCAACAAGCTAACACCTTCCAGATACTGGAGCGCAGCAACGAATGAGGTCACGAAAATCGAGGAGTCAATGGAGGAATAGAGCACTGATTGCTGGAATCCTATTTTCTGTCGTATTATACAGGTTAGGGAAACATTATGGCGTTGGACGGCGCTACCTTCGGAAATCAAAAAGAACAAATTTTGCTGCCTGGGCTACCCATTCTTACCATCCATTTCCTGCACTCGTAATTATACAAGTGAATTCCCCTGAAAATGAAGGTCAGATGGCCAGACGATGCAATGCCTCCTTACCTCTGACTTTACCTCCCAACCAGCCACCATTTTGCGCTCATCCGAAGCAAAGAATACAAGTTGTGAAAGTAATCGCGGAAAATAGCCCTGAAATTCCCGAAGCAGTCGATGAGTCGATTTGTTGATACTACCATGATGAAACTGAAAAATCTGGCATCCAAAGAGCAGTCGAGGGTGGGTAAGTTAGGCAATGGCATACTACCTTTGGTCGATTGTTGTATTGGAACCGCTTACCCCTGTGGTAAAGGGAAGAAAGACTGATAAAAACCCACCAGACAAACCCATGTCCAGCCGTCTAGTATCTCCTAAGCTTGCGAGGATCCCTATCCTCATAGCCATTGCTTTCGTATTGACGTTTCCGGGAATCATCTTCGCGGGGTCGGTCATATCCGGAATCTCTGTAGTCTCTGGGGCCGTCCCTGGGTCCATCCCTTGGTCTTACCGGCTCATTGTTGCTTCCGCTTGGTCTGGGTCCTCCATAAGATGAGCGACTGTCTCCACCACGAGAATAGCCATCTCCTCCACGTGGATACCCACCGCCTGAGCCACCATTGCGTTCAGGGAAACTGTTACGATCGGGAGAGCCGCCATAGCCGCCTCTGAAACCACCTCGGCCACCTTGAGGTCCAGCAGGTGCGTTGGCTGGAACGCTGGAGTTATAACCGCCTCCTCTGGAGAATCCGGAGCCTTGGTATCCGATACCTCCTCTGCCTCCTCCTCCCCCTCCGCCATATCCGCCTCGGTCCTGGAAATTTCCGCCTCCACGGAAACCGCCTCCCCCTCGGCCTCTGTCGAATCCGCCGCGGAATCCACCTCCTCTGAACCCACCAGGCCCGGATGGTCCACCAAATCCAGGTCCAGATGGTCTTGGAGGTACTGCTTTGGTATACCCACGGCCCCCAAGTCCTCCACCCAGACGACGAGGAAGCCATCCACGGACAGTTTTGGCTCTTTGTACCTACTCGATGTCAATAAAAATACTCCAAGCATCAACAGAGGAACTTACGTCTACTTTTATTCTTCGGTCCTTTATGCGAATACCATCACAATTTTCTAGAGCAGCTATGAAGCGCGAGCAAGGCGCATTTGTCAGTTATTTGGCCCAGACTATACCTTGAATGGGCAGAGACAGTAAAGAAAAGACAGGCTGCTTGAGGGCCATCTTTACAAATACTCAATCCAGTGAGGAGGCTGTGGGGGGGTGGGGATGGTCAAATTTTACCTCTCATATCCTTTTCTCGCTCGAAGACAACAAATGCGTATCCACGATGCTTCTTTTTCTTCTTATTTGGCTTCTCATCTTGATGAGTATCAACAACAATGCGAATCTAGATGTCATTAGCAATGGATTCTAGATGAACTGGTGTAACATACTCTCTCAATGGGTCCAAATCTTGAAAACTCCCGCTCAATATCCTGGTCGTTCGCTTCGTAGCTAAGTCGCGCAACGATCAGGGTCTTGAATGCATCGCCTCTGATGTTTGGATCATCGTCGGGCTTGTCTATAGATATACGTCAGCATGACTGGTCAACACTAGACAATATGCCCGGAAGTCGGACAAGGTGAAGATAAAGGCAATCGAAACAGGTTGGGTCGCCCTCACATGCAGCAGGGTTCTTGAGAAGAGCTTCTTGAGCAGCTTTCTTCTCCGCCTTAATGCGATCCTTCTTCTGCAGCCACGATTCAGTCGGCTCGTACTTGTCGGTTTGCTTGTATTCCTCGAGCTGTGGCATGAACGATGCAACTCCGGTGATGTTGGCAGTCTTTCTATCCTCTGCAGGATGATCGGAAGGAGGAACCCATCGAAGAGGAGGCCGAGGTGCGAATAGAGCGAGGAGATTTGGGGGTAGCTTGTCAGTCATTGTTGATGACTTCTGCTAGAGATGGTTCTGTAGGCAGGAAAGGAAAGGGTGAGTTGAAACTACGGTACGGCGAGTTGGGAGCTCAACGTTCGCGATCCTCTGCTGAATCCAGACCTAAGCTGGTCGCAAAGCTCTTAGGATAGACTCAATCGCAGATTCGAGTCGAAAAAGGAATTGTGTTGTTAAGGTTGAAGCGGAATGTTCAAAAGGAGTGTCGCGTCTGTCGCAAAACGAGCTGGCCTTAATTTTCCAGCTCGCGCCTGAGCTGCACGTGAATCCGATGACCCAATTTTACTTTTAGGACGTCAACTTCAACAAAACAATCCCAACTTGGTCGGTCTTTTTGGAAGCCCGCCGAAAGCTTTGAGAGAAGCAAGCTGACTCCTTTCTTACTTGTTTTCGAAGCTACTGGGACGACAGAGGCTCACAATGGTCGTTCAAGGCATAAGAAAAGCTACACAGAGCCAGGTATGCTGACGCTGAATCAAGCAGGTATTCTAAACTAATCGCTCTGCAGAACGGCGTCTCTAGCTTTATTCTCCAATGTCGGCGTATGGACTTTCATTACTGTGACACATGGGGCTCCTCAAAGGGCATGAAGTAAGGTTTCAATCCTGGATTTAGAACCCACCATCTGACCATCAATGTAGCTCCTTTTTACGCAATACCCTCTCCAGATTCGCGGCCGCCAACTCAGCGATCGAGATATGTGTCTCTCCTAGACCTAGCAAACACCCAGTCATTATTGCTCATTACCTTGGATCCGGGTCGAACCGCCAGAAGGCCATCTGTGTGAGGAATTTGGAGAAGGAACAAATATTACAGAAAGCAGAGCTGTTGAGGGATGCAAGCGGGGAGAAACTGAAGAGGGTCAAGAAACCAGTGACGAGTATTAAGGACTCGGTCAGAGGCGTATGGAGTCCTTATCATGGAGCTGGCACACATGTATAACGATTGGATTGATAGAGAGCTGTATCATATGCATGGTTGAGGGCGTTTTGGGACGGGCAGCGTTTTATAGCTAAGCTGTATGATTGTGGGTCATTCGAGCAAGATTGCTTATTATTCTACTGTTCCGGTGCTCTCGATTGTTGTTGTCGGCCCCCATACGTTGGCTGTCTGTCATTGTTGCCTCATCGGTTGGCAGCTCCATATCGTCCATGTCTGAAGCATCTACCAACATGAACACTTCCAATCCTATCAGTACAGCGAGTGCTGCTACCAGGGCCCACCAGGCGAAGTTGAAAGCCTCTCGAAGAGCATTCTCGATAATGGAAACCACGAGGTAGAAAGTCCAGAAGAACAGGTACTCAGCTAGTGCTTGGAGAACTAGAAGTAGCAACACGATTCCTATAGCACGAGAGAGGACCTCATGGCTGATAATTCGGCTTAGAAGTGGTTGCAAGAGAAGCAGTGGAATGTAAGTGAGGCCGCTCTGGTATCTTAGGCACTGCCTGCATGTACTAAGCAAGTCTGGCATGATCTTAGGCCCGCGATACACTATGTGACGAGTATGATTTGCAGTTCATAGCCCAGCTGAGACATTAGTTGGGACCTATTATATGTCCAGAAGGTGCTTGAGGCTCGTGATTATGAACTACCCATTCAAAGGTTTCCGTGAATCTACATTTTAGGTGGGGTTGTAGGTACATCAATAATGCTAAGGCATAATCCTTCAAAATAGCAGTTTGAGGAAGTATGATCACAGAAGTGGAAGCTTGGCTTAGAGTTATTGCTTCTTTTCTGCTATTAGCCTAGCAGTGGAGATGTCAAATCACGCAAAAGTATTCGCATTTACAACCGTGAATGTTCACTGCCACCTTGCATTCACAAGTGGGAGTTGATGATTTCCACAACTGTACCTTATCAGCATTTGAAGCAAAGTAAATAAAGGACAAGTTGGTAACTCACAGGCAGGCTTGAGGGAGGCGCCTCCAACTAAGAACCCGTCGATGTCAGGTTGCTTGGCCAGATCCTTGCAGTTCTTCTCGCTGACACTTCCACCATAGATAATTCTCGTCTCCTCAGCAGCCTTCTCGCTGACCTCAGCCTTCAACCATGAGCGGATGGCAGCATGGACCTCCTGAGCCTGCTCGGTGCTAGCAACTTTTCCAGTTCCAATAGCCCAAATTGGCTCGTAGGCAATAACGATCTTGGACCAATCTTGGACCTTCTCCTTGACAGCTTTCAACTGAGCAGTGACAACATCAATTGTCTTCCCACTCTCTCTTTGTTCCAGGGATTCTCCGCAGCAGAAGATAACGCCAATTCCACCATCAAGGGCCGCCTTGGTTTTGTTGGCGACGAATACATCGTCTTCTTGTAAGATGACACGGCGCTCGGAGTGACCGAGAAGGGTCCAGGTGATGTTACTATCCTTGAGCTGATCAACTGAGATCTCGCCAGTGAAAGCTCCGTTGGGCTTATCAAAAACGTTCTGGGCAGCGACTTCGAGACCTGGCTTGAGATGCTCGCGGGCGAGGAGAAGGTAAAGGGATGGTGGAGCAATGACAACCTCTGTAAGTAAATAGAGCGGTTAGCTGATTCAAAAGTGACACCGATCCTTCTCTAGGTTCAATCAAGTTTTGTTGGGAGGGAGCGGAATAGCTTCAACAGAATAGCAAATCAGCTACTGACCGACGTTGGAATCCAGCTTGGCATCATTAAGGCCTCCAATGATCTTCTTGATGCCCTCCACCGAGCCATTCCTGGATATCGTCGCAGTCAGCTATCACTCGCTCTATTTTCAGCTCCTCTTCCCAATGAGGGGTACTGACATCTTGAAGTTACCACCGACGAAGAATTGACGAGGCATGATTGCGATTGGTTATAAGGTTAACTTCGAAGAAAGATGTATAGAGTCTGCGAGTATTGGTGTAATTTTAGAGAAGTGTTGATGGTATGAAAATCTCCAAAAGTTTGCGCAACTTGAGGAGTCCTTAGGTCTGAGGTGGTGTTGTGATTTGGTGGGGCAGAGCAGCTGGAACCCCACCAAGTTGACGCCGGGCAGAACCGAACCGATAATTCTCGCGACCTTCACGCTTGACGGTACCTATCTAGGTATCATTTCGTCTTCTTCTCATTCACGTGTTTTCGTTTTTCTGCGATATCGCTCTACCTTGGGACTGAAAGGGCAAAAGTCGAAGTTAAGCCCGGCTGGGTTAAACCAATGGCTAATGAGAGCAACTGCTTGGACTCAACTAATTGGTCACCAAATCTGTGCTGTTGAAGCACACACAGCCCGGACGACGTCCCCCGCGTCCAGCAGACTGCCAGCGAAGAGCTTCACGGAGCGAGCTGCATTGCACCACCATTTGATTTGCAGAAGCCATCCGATGTGACTTGGGCATTCATGCAGGAAACTCTCTCAACCAGGAGCATCCCACGCCCCAAAAGCATCAAGTCACGCATATAAGGGGCTGCCTGCACTGTGAGACTATCTTCACTTTACAGTTTGCTTATTCTATGCCTCCAGTGGAAGTGCATAAAATTGTAGGTAGAATTCTAGTACGTTTGACGAGATACATGCCGGATACTTTCGGATGAAGGACATGTAAGATTCGTCATTCATAGGCCTCTTTTTCTGCCTTTTTTCCCAACCAGCACTCGTTATGAACACAATACCTCCAAGGTGCAGCCAGGAGATATCAATAAAGTATACAAAATCCTCCCATACCCAAACGCTTTGAATAGCGCTAAGCTTGAACAACAAATACGTACAACAGTCCCGCTCACAGATAGTCAAACGTCAGAAGCAAATCAGAATACAGCCCTCCTTGAAACCAAAGATCGCGAACTAAGGAATAAATGATGTAGGACTCAGTCACCACCCGTGGTCAAAGCTACTACTGCTACTGGGAGCAACGGGGTAGCGTCGTGGAAGTGGAGTTGGCGCGAAGGGATGCGAGTCTCCCGGAAAAACCCTTGGAGGAGAATGGTGTCGTGGAAAGTCTCGTCCGATCGGTGGCCGATCCAGATACTCCCTTCGTTCAAGGGGTCGCACCTCACTGAATCTCCTCTCGAACTCTGGTCTCTCGAATGGTCTTCGCTCGTAATCGCTTGGGCGTCGTTCGAAGAACTCTCTTGGCTCAACGGACCTCCTTTCGAGCTCAATCGGTCTCCGGTCAATATACTCCTCAGCTCGACGCTGCCTCACAATGAAATCATCCTCGACAGAGCGTAGGTCATCGATGTATCTATCGTCAATATATCGAGGCTCAATAAGTCGAGGACGTTCGGCGATATGGGGTTCCATGCGACCATACGAAACGACTGGTCGGGGCTCAATGATACGCTCTACTACTTGAACAACAGGTTGGGCAATTTGTTGTGCTTGTTGAGCAAAACGATCCGCGCCAAATCTCTCAGCCATGGCATCTTCCTTTCCAGCTTGATAAGCCGAAGTGATCGGGTCAACAGCTGGCACGGCCCGTGGAACGTCAGGCGCATAAGGTCGAGGCTGAGCTGGTATGCCACCGAAGGCATCACTCGCTCGGTGGTGACGCTGAGGGGAAGGAGACCGAGCCTCGAGATAGTATTTGGGACGAGATTCACGGTGGAAGCTATGACGGCGTGTTGCGCTCTTACTATGTCTCCTATGACGCTTGGATTCGGCACTGATAGTCGTTCCCAAAGAATCTGAGTCAGATGAAGATCCCGACATACTATCCGAATCGTAAGAGTCGGACCCTGATGAACTTGAGCTGCTACCACGTCCGTGGTATTTCTTGGGACCGCGGCGCTTTCCTCCTCTCTGTGGCTGCTTCATAACTTGAGGATTATTGTGGTTGCCTCCTTGGGGGGGTCCACCTCTGTTGAGCTGAACAAATCCTGGCGGCGGGGGAGGGGCCCGATTTACGTGCTGTTGCTGCCCCCCTGGAGGTCCACCATGTCCACCGCCTTGTCCTCCCCCTCCGCCCTGCTGTTGTGGGTGCTGCTGTTTTGGTTGAGCAGGTGGCGGTGGTCTCAATCTTTCCGCTTTTATCCTCTCCAAAGTCTGGTACAACTGGATTGGATTGACATCCCTCCCGGGTGCCCGTTTCACATACACCGTCATAGTCACGGTCTCATACAGCGACTTTTTGCTTGTGCCCCGTGAACTACTGATTGGTTTTTCCTTTCGATCGATCTGCACAAGTGACCACTGGAAATTTGGATCCATTTCTCTAGATCCAAGATCGTCAAGGAGGCTTGTAATTTGGCCCTGTTGGAATGGTGCGAGGGCGGCTTTTTTATCGGACACAGTTCGCTTGCTCTCGTTAAGCTTCTTTATTTGCTTGGAGACCTCCTCTTGGGGGTATTTCTCCTCGATCACCTCTGCTCTGGCCCAGGTGGGCTTCTCCTTCACATCGCGGGGTGCAACTTTGCGAATTGTGTACGCCGCATAGGTTGTCAGTTTCTTCAAACAAGCTGCATCATCCAAGATCTTTGGAGGTGTGATATCTTGAATACGGACTGACTGTTGCAGGGGTTGGCGAATCGGCATAGCCATGAACTGCTGGGGAGGAGGTCCTTGTCCACCTTGGGGCCGCGGTGGTGCTGGACCTCCTTGTGGAGGAGGACGGAACTGCCCAGGTGGAGGAGGTGGGGGAGGCGGGCCAGCGTGAGTCGCCATTGTTGGTATGTTGTTGATGCGAAGCTGTTCAAGGCTCTGTTCCTTGCACGTGAAGTGGTATGGCCTTGTCTGAGAGGACAAGATCGGGCGTGGTTCAGGGAAGGATCTAGATGAGGGTGGTGAGTTGAAGGAAGGCGACGGGCGACGACGAAAGTATTAACTAGGTCGGAGCCAGCTCTTCCCTTCTTTTATCCTGGAGCTTGAGGCTCGGTTGTTGATCGTGTCTGATTTCAAGACTCAGGGTGTCTGGAAAAGTGAGGCGAGCGTAAGTTAGGGGGTGCGAGAAGGTGTGGGTGGGAGCGTCAAAAGTATATATGATGGTTGACGGTCATCGAGCTGGTGGCTTGTCTAGTATGCCATCCTTCGAAGAGGGGGCATAGAGGGGTTCACAATGTGGACACAGCGGGTGCCATTGAGCGGTGGGGATTTAGGAGCGCTGATTCGCCGGCGCCTCATCCCTGGAGTTGCAGCTGGCACTAGCGAGCTCTCACCCTGACCGAGTAAGCACCAACCCCATTCCCCCATTCCACCATTGAAGCTCCTCCTCTCCTCCTCTCCTCCTCTCCTCCTCTCCTCCTCTCCTCCTCTCCTCCTATCGTCGCGACCTTTGGCTACATCCACGTAGACATACACTACTGTGCCGTCTTATCCTATCCGAAGTCTTTTATTTTCATGCTCGTTGTCAAGGGCAAACACGCTTCTGAATTCCAGATTCTGAAACGGGTCTTTTCCGTCGGCCTGAGCATGTTGTGCCATGGTCTATCGCCCAGCTCTGGCAACATATCAGCTCCAGAGGCTGTGCATGCAGCCCTTTCAGGCAACCACTCGCAGCCTGTCTGGATTGAGGCTCCAGTGTCTTGAATTCGAGCTGGGCGGATGGAAAAGGAGACATGCAAGGCATACTCGTCTAACTATCGTTTACCAATCGAAGCAGGATATCGGCACCAGCACGGATCCACACTTTCAAGAAGCATGAACACTCTCGCTCAGCTCTTTAACATACGCCATGCCGTCCTTCCCGCACAATCAGGAGGAGCGGTTACGAGCTTGGAGCCTATGAGTCGAGTCTGGTTTAAAGCTTGATATGACGATGGCCATTGTTCAGCCGTGCTCCATCGAGGACAATTGGGTTCGAGCAGATCTGACATATGTTGTCCGCACAAGGCGCCTATTCGAACCCCTGTCATTGCCTAAATAGACCTAATCCTCGCTCTAGTCAGGTAATGCAGTTACTACTTTACTCTCACATCAAAGAGGGCATCGATCGACGAAAATCGTCGCCCACTGTTGTCAAGTTCCGGACGTCTTTCTCCACTTCATCCTTGGTTATGGTGGAAAAAATAGTGTGTGGTGGATAGGCAATCTTTCAAGAGACAAGGCGCCCAGTTTTGCCGACCAGATGCGGGCCATTATGGCAGCCTTCTACGCCCAGGTCAGTTGAAATCATGAGCCACGTCCTTTGCCTGCCTCACCGAATTTCAACCTCACAATTGGTCCGCCATGATTTCACCCAGAACGCTACACGCTCATCGAGAAAAGTACAGCTGGCTACAATTACTCGATCATCGACAGGACTTGATAACGGTCTCCAGTATCCTAATATGGGCAAATGTTCCGCCAACGACTTTCCCTTATCATGAGGCCTGTTCGGCTAGCATAGGACAGGAAGATATACTCACTGCGCCTTTTTTGTGAAGGCCAACTTTGCTTCCAATCGTCAATCCTGGTATGGAATTGCTCGATCAATTGCAGCAGTCTGTGCTACAATGCAGCGACAGTCTTCTGCAATTCATCGCCTTTCTAACCGTCGATGTCTAGTGCTGCAGATTATTTAGAATCAGATGTTCTGCCTTATGCAAAGAATTCTGTAGTCGTCATACATACATGCATCACAACACGCACTGGGCTTTACCGCTACATCCCCGGCGAGGCCCAACAGCCACAACAAAAGTATTTACAAATTCGGTCCCGTGAAGATTCTATTCCTTGACCACAACTTTGTGGCAACAAAAAATACGATACCACTGCACCTCATCTTGCGTTCGGTGGCTGAGAGATTTACGCCCTGCATAGGTGTGCGCCCCACTGATGCTGTACCAAGCTGCAGCTCGGTGCATCATTCCGATGCCTTGGATTCTTGGAAACTCTGTACCTCGCACCGCAGCCGGGCGCACATCAGTGTTCGCCGACCAACACAACTCGGATTGACAAGGCATTGTATATTTTCCCTGAGGAAACATCAAAGCACTCCCGCGAAGTACACAGAGGAACCCACTAACCCCGCATCATCCGTCCATCCGCTTGTAGTCGACACACAAAATGTTTCCTCGCTCCCGTCCCAAATCCTCAAGTCCAAATGCAGGGCTGTCCAATCACCACTATCTCGGGCTATCACTATGCAGCTGGCCACCGTCCATCCCGGCAGACGTACCACTTTCTCTGAGTGGTTGACAAGAAACTTGAGATATGAAAGCTCATGAATCACAACCAGGGGTCTTCCAGTTGCAAAGTCTTGCAGTACACCATGGCCAAAGCAGGGCGCAATGGTTACACGATGTATGGGATCGTCCCGAGTCTAGCCAAACGATATCAAAATGTTTGTGGCACTCGGATACCGCTATGGTAGGGTGTTGTGGGACGGAAGAGATGCAGGAATCGTCCGCGTACGTCGCACAGGACTACCTGCGAGTTGTACAAGGTTACATCCCGCATAATGTTTCTGTTGTGCGAGGATGCTTTCTCATAAAATCGTGAGATATTTCTTTTCTTGTGTCGAAAGGTGTGTTGGTCTACGCCCGCCTGGTTTGGTTGTGGAATGTGCAGCCTGGTCACCGAGTACAAAGTGACAACAAGTGATTGCCCATGGAATCTTCAGTGCAGAGCCTCAAGATCGCGAGGCATTGGGCAGCAATACAACGCAAGTGCAGTATAGCCTATTTTCTTATCGTTTCACCAGCAGAGCCGCACGTTTGTCCGAGTAATTCATCATCTTGTTTCCTGTCTAGCATGCTGATAACCTGAATCATCGTTTTTTTTATAGCCTCGTCGCATTCACGGCATGGCCGCGGAAGTTGGGCAGCAATCCTGGGAAATCGTCCATGGGTTGGTGTCAAATGCCTCGCCCAAGTCGTTAGTGATGAACAACAAAGTGATTCATTAGAAGATGAAAGAGTCAAAACTCAAGCTCTTGTTGTTTGATGCCCTTATCAAATGAGAATTTACCAAGCCACAGCTTCTTTGAGATAGTACTTCGTTGTCCGTGAAACGTTAACGGACGCTCAAGCAGCCCTGCCACTGATTCGCGGCGACTGGTCTCTTTCATTTTATGACACTATTGCCATTTACCTTATCTGCTCTCGCTACCACATATCGCCACCAAGCCCAAATCCACACCAGCCTCAAGGCTTGCCGCTCAAGTACCGGTGTATCTGTGTACCAATGTACTCCCCTCATCCACGTGCTTTCCAAGAAACCTTAAAAGTCCAGATATTGGGTCAGCAGGCAAAGCCATCCAGCTGATGAGAATCGCATGCGACCTTACTGTACTAAGCGAGGTGCATTGCATGAATGCTGCAGGTGACGTTGCGCCACCGAGGTATATATTGCTCGCGCTGCGAAGCCTCGCGAATGTGATAGTGGTGGCGAATACTGAATGCGGAAGGTAGGCAGATAGTGAGGAGAAGTTTATCTTGGGGTTGGCATTGAGTTTGAGACAGGTGTCGGCTGCTTCTTGTCAGGCCGTTGAATTTGAGACGGAGCTTGGTCTGGACACTCGAATTTGATTCACCTTCCGAGACTCTTCGATGTCTCATGGTTGAGTCTATTCTTTATACCAGTACTCGCTGTGTCATTCTACTGCAGGATACTGTCTCCCATGCCACAGTGATATGAGTTGGAATCAATCGCAGTATCAAGTGACTGATAGATAGGTCTTTAGGAAGAAGTCCAAAGTTCGCTTGTAATTCACTTTGTCTAATAGTCTTATTATATGCCTAAATTTTGAGCTTTTTTTCCCTCGACTTTTCCCTACGGATTCAGAGCCGTGCATTAAGCCATGACTTGGTTTGGACTACAAACAGCTAGCAACATATGTTCGTACAACCCTATGATTTGTTCGGGGACCTCAGAGCTGTGAATTGTATATCTGTATCTTGTTCAATGCCTCTATCATTATCGGTAGATGTGACCCACTTTCGTCTGATCTGGCATACGGCATGGAAAGAAGCTTGGTATAGACATAATACGAGTGAAATGGAAGAACGGGACTCTTCTTCCATGCACTTACACAAGGCTATAGATGATTTTGCCATGTATCACTGAGAAATGATTGTCCTTTTAAAATTCGCTGTCAATGCTGGATACATTCTACTATCAATATCAACTGACGAAGGCGCTAGGTGCAGCGAACCATGTCACAGTGCTTGACACATTTCTTCTTTTGCAGGAAATGCTGCTGTCGTGGTACTTGTGTAGACGATCCTGTGGAATTCTTCCAGGTCTTGTAGTATTGATATGAGAAACCCTTCCTAATCTATCGATATCTGTGCTCAAGATAAAATTTCTAGTCAGACGAATGAAAAGGGAAGTAAACACTTACTTCGCTTGTACAAATCCGGCGGGCGGTGCCTCAAGATCCACCCAAGTCAACATAATTGGCTCCTGACCCGCATAACCCCTGCTTCGTCCCTGAATCATGCAGCCCACAATCGTTTCTTTCCTCTGACAACAAGGCCTGCCCCTTTGAACTGCAATTTCTCTACAATGCATTAACCCCTGTATGTACCCAAATAATCAAATCTGGTCACATCATCTCTTCACAGAAGTGAATACAACCGGGCATATGGTTTAGTGGTATAATATTCCCTTAGCATGCAGCACGCCTGTTTCTAGTTTGGGAATGGTCCTGGGTTCGATTCCCAGTTTGTCCAAAACAAACATCCTCCGTTCAAAATAATTTTTTTTTTTTTTGGCAATTTTTGGGAAATCGAGAAGGATTTTTGCTAACGCGAGAACAATCAAAGACTGATCCTGTGCCCACTCGTGCATTATTTTCATTAAATTTGGAGTTTTGTGTGAGTACAGAAGCGGATGTTGATAGCTCGCTTAGTCTCAGTGGTGGGGAAAAGGGAAAAACTAGGAAGAATTTTCACCCTACACCGTAGCTTCCTTCCTTCCTACTCAATGTGCTATTTTCTAGCGGAATCGCGCCACAAAGACATTGGGGATTAATAGGTTGAGCATATATCTCTGACAACAAAGAGGGCGAGAATCAGAAGCTGGTTACATTCATTGCCTTTGTTTTAGCTCCGCATTTTTTATGGTTGCTGAGCGGGATATGGGGACAGGACCGGAAATTACTATCACTGTTTCATGTCCATGACATGAATGCCAATGGTGAATTCTGGATGGGAATTTCATTACCTGGACGTGGTGGATGCGAGAAATCGCCAATCTGTAGCTTGACAACCCACACTCAACCACATCCATTTATGTTTGGAAACTTCAGCCAGCATGACTCTGTCAATTCTTTGCATTAGCGAGTGTTTGTTGTCGTTCTCCACGCACTGCCAACACATCTCTTGTCGCCGTCTATCTTTCCCTTCCACCTGACTCAAGAAGTTGTGAAGCTGGAGATTCCAAGCTACCACTTGACGTGACAGCCCAAATCCTGCAGGAGAGACGGGTCTCACTCAAATGCTGCAATGGCTCCTCCACCAGTGGCTGACCAGATATCGTCAAGTTAATTGATGATCGCGACCTAGGTGATTATTTGATAGAAGCTTGCTCGTCGTACAGCAGCCTGGAACTCACCAGCAGGATTGAATAGCTATCCTTGAGCGAACACTACCAATTCCGCTGTTTCAAATGTTAGGATCCCCAGCGTCAACAACATCCCAATCTTTTTCGTCTTCAAACGTTCACCATCCTGTCCACAAAAAGATAAATTGCAGTCTCTGAAGAAATGACCTGGACATATGAACACCGCAAGCCATATTGACAAGTCTAGCTGTGCAAGACAGTCAGTGAGACAAAATCCATTCGCTCAATCGGACTGTTTGCACACACTCTCTCCACGCCACCCACTTGTCTGCTCCCGAGTTTCCCGTGTTGCAAAATGGCGGCTCGTAGCAGAGCGGGAGGAGCTGTTTTCATACTTATAAACGACGACACATTTCCAGAAAATGAAGAATTACTTACCACGAGGATAAACAGCACTTCCCTACCCTTCCACAGCCCACCTAGGTAAGTAGCCCATCCCCATCTACCCCTTGCCCAAACTTGTTGCACCATATAAAGTCCTCGTTTGTTCCTCTAGCCTCGAAGACAGAGCTCGGTATCAAACCTACCATCCTTCCGACACTTATCTACCTCCTCCAGGTGGAACTTGGGTGACCGGGTTGCCGTGATCCAATCCAGTTGTCTGTCGCTCGAGGTTTTTTTCTTTTGGTCGTTGGTTGGAGTGATGGTATTGCAAGCATCATCGTCGATACTGCCAATCCAAGTACTGTTGTTACTGACCATTGAGCATCTATTCCTATTCAATCCAGGTCTTGGACATGGTTAGTTTCAAGAAGTAGGAGTCCTCTCGGTTGAAGAGAACCCAGCGAGTGCTCTATATAGAGATCAGTCTGCCAGAGGAAAGGAGGCAGGCAGGCAGCTGAGGAGGAATGAGAGATGTCACAAAGGAGGAGTACGAGCAGGTGAGCAAGCAAGCAAGCAAGCAGAGAAAAACCAGTTCCTCATTCTTCATCCACAGTGTCTATCTACAGCTCTGGCTTCTTGCAGTCATCAACAAGGCACCCATGCAAAAAGACAGACACAGAGCGCTCATCCCAATCTCCTCCTGAACACCACGAACAATCCGTCAATCCCATCAGCCACCCTATATACAACTCCGGCATCATGCCCAACACCAGTGCCCAACTCCATCTGCCATCATCTCGTCTCATCTTATTAAGATATTAGTAATTACCCCATTTCGCTTTGCTTCTCTCTTTCCTTTCACCCACCCTCACACAAGGAAAACAGTCTATAAGCGAATGAGGTACCGTAGTGTATTAACGCCTAGGCAAATGCAGTGTGCATTGCCGCAATTCTTCAAAAAATAAGACCCAAGACACACAGCGGAGTAGAATAAACAGTGTTCTATTCCCAATAATAGCACACAAAAACCACAAAACGGGCTACATCGGCAGTGGAGGGTATCTTGCGCGTCTGCCGCATGAAACATGGATATAACGATCGGAGGCAAACAGGTAGTGTACAGAAGCCGGCCGGCCTCTTACGAAGCCACCCATAAAGTCTTGAAAGAGCGCTCATGGCAGGGATCACCTTAATGGCTGCTTCACATCCTGGACACCATTTGCGATCACTTCTCTCAGAGACCAACGCGGCGGTGTTATCACACCTTGTAATCCGTTCGCTCTACGCCACTCCTTTTCCATTTCTGGGGTGACTTCATCTGGGAGATGATCTGCACCACCAGCGATACCAGTTGAGAACTTGAGTTGGAGGACATTACCGATTTCATCACATGCAGCGAGAAGTCGGTCCATGTCGTCCTTGTTGTGAGCGGCAGAAACGCAGAAACGAGCACGGGACGAAACGAGAGGAGTGGCTGGGTATCCGACGATGACAACGGAGATCTTTCGCCTGAGCATTTCATGGGAGAAGGCGGGCATCTTGGCTGGGTTGTAGAGCATGATTGGGATGATTGGGGAGTCATCGTGGCCGTAGACAATGAATCCGAGACGTTTCAATCCTAGGCGAAGATAACGGGAGTTGAAAGCGATACGTTGCAGACGCTCCTCTCCTTGTCCTGGAGCAATCTCGCCAGAAATGATTTTGAGGGAGCTGAGAATCTGCATGAGAACGGGAGGTGTCGGTGATTCGCCATAGATGGTTGCAGCATTCGTTGATCTGAGCTTGTCGATAATGTGCTTCTCGGCGCAAACATATCCACCGTTCGCACCGAAAGACTTGGTCAAAGTTCCCATCAAGATGTCGACCTCGGCAGGATCAATGTTGAAGTAATCGCAAACACCACGACCGCGAGGACCAAGGGCACCAATGGAATGAGCTTCATCAACGAAAAGGTTGAATCTGTATCGTTTCTTGAGCTTCAAAAGTCCTGGCAAGTCGCACATCGTTCCTTCCATGGAGTACAGACCCTCAACTACGACCAAGATCTTCTTCCAGGGGCGGTGGGTTCTAGGTTGTCCTTGAGAGATGACCTCTCGAAGCTTCGCCTCAAGGTCATGCATATCGTTGTGCTTGAAAGAGCTGATCATTGCACCAGAAAGACGAGCTCCAATTCGGATCGAGGCATGGTTCAATTCGTCGGAAATGATGAGGCATCCTTTGCCGACCAAAGCTGGGAAAGAGGAAGCATTGGTAGCAAATCCCATGGAGAAAACCATGGCAGCTGGCTTGCCAACGAACTTGGCAATTCTATCCTCAACTTCCATAGCCAAATCCGAAGTTCCAGAGTCTGCGCGAGGGCTGGCAGCGCTTATGCCGTACTTCTTTATAGACTCCTCAACAGCGTCTGCACAAGGACCCTCTGACTGCGCAAAGCCGAGATAGTTGTATGAGCTCATGTTGAGAGTTTCGGTATACGTGCCAGTGAATTGGTAATGCTTGTTGAAGTCGTCGGTCTTGCGGTCCATCAATGTGATGTATCTTCCCGGAACTCCTGTGATTGGGCGAGCAAAGCAATCATCAATTCGCAACTTCAATCTTCGTACGTAAAAATTGTCGAAATCACTGTTGAGGGCAGCGTAACCATTGGCGGATTTCAAATGCTTGTAGTTCTCGGGTCTAAAGCGCTTTCCAAAAAAGTCTCTGACGTGACCAAAGATGATGAGGACGAGGTAACTGATGTAAGTGGTCAAGAGGTAGTAGTAAGGGGGCTCGTCGAGGATGTGTTCCATTGTCTCTCCTTCCACATATTGGCTGACATATCTATGGCTTTGGTTGCCAAGAGGTCCGAATTGCGCATCGATTCTTGCCTGTCGCTTTGCTTCTGCAACAGAGGGTGGTTGGAAGAGAGTGGTAGGGGGTTCGTCCATGTTGGCTTCGCCGGCCTTTGCTGTTGACAAGGATATCGTGGGTAAGGACAGAGAAGGAGGGCTGATCGATGGAGAAGGGTTGTTGAGCAGATGCTGTTGCTGAGCTGCAACAGCTTGTAGGAGAGCTGCCTGAGCAGTCTGCTGCTCTTTGCTCTTGGGTGAGGAGGAGAAGAATTGAGTCAACCTATTGGCCTTGGAGGTTGATGGTCTTCGGCTGGCGGGTCGATCAGAGGACGGTATAACAACCGTAGAGCTGGGAGAACTAGCAAACGGATTTCGTGGAAGTCTTTGAGGCATTGTGTTCATTGACCCGGGTGGACTGTTGACCAGGAGTGTCCAGGTGGTATGTTGGTCCGTGAAGAATTGTGGAATATGAGTACTCTAAGTAAGTAAATAGAGACTGGTATTGTTGATTGTCGTACGAATGTGTGTTCGAAGATAGGAATTCAGGAAAGAGGTTGTCGAGATATAGAAGCTGACTCGTCTAACCTACAATGCGGCGGTGAGGTAGGTATTCTGATTGAGAGAAGCGGTCTGGTAAAGTGCGAAGCTCGTCAGTCTTAATGCTTCAGGGAGGAGGCTGATCGAGATCAGATCGAGGGGATCGGAAGTAGAGTGTGGAGAGAGTTGAGTGACGATTCAGAGGTGGAGGTTATCCAGCTGCACTTCAGGGATGGACCTCGATGTTTCGATTCGAGCTTGCGTCTCAAGCAAGAACAAGGCAATTGGGCCCCATTATAGGGTTCATAGGATGTAAGAGATATGGGCACATACCAGACTGTAATCCTGCGAACAATATCTGGAGTGGTGTTGTCGATAAATGCAGTTGCAGTTGCAGTCGCAGGGTACAGGTGGTCGTCGCGAGGAAAGCGCGTTTGGATTTCTCAATCGGTCGGTGGTGGCGGGCCAGATGAAGCAGTTACACGATATGCAGCTCCAGCGACGGGCAACCTTTCTTCGTTCTCACACACGAATGCACGCACGCACGCACTTCCTTCTTGCAATGCCCAAACCAAGCTCGGAGTCGACGACGTCTGGATGGAACACGGAGGCGAGGTAGCAAAGGAGGGAAGAGGGAGAGGGAGAGGGAGAGGGAGAGGGAGAGGGAGAGGGAGGGAAGAAAGAAAGGTAGCAGGTCGGGGGAGACGAAATAAGATGAGTAAGACGGGAACAGGAGCAAAGGGTAGTGAAATCAAAGGATCAACCCCCGTTGAAATGTGTAATCGCCGGTGCATCCGCAGCAGAGGGGAGAGGCCGGGCAAGGCAGGGCAGGGCAGGGCAGGGCAGGGCAGGGCAGGGCAGGACAGGCAGTCGATCAGAGCCGTGCCCAGCAAGCACAGTTACAGGCTTACAGCACAGCACAGCACAGCTCCCTTCATTCCACTCAGTCTCGACTAAACGCCGGGCAGGACAGGGCAGGGCAGGGCAGGACAGGACAGGACAGGCAGCGAAAGCCGAACCGACAAGGCCGTAATCAAATTTTCTAGGGTGTTTTTCTCGAGTGTTTTACAGGCACAGGCACAGGCACCGTTCAACGCCTGGCTGGGCCATCGGGCGGCTGGGCTTTGGCGTGCCCCAGGGCAGGATCAAGCTTATTTTTTTCTCTCTTTCACTCTGCGGAGTCCGTCGCTGTTCGCAAATTGCATCTGCAGATAGTGGGCCCACCGAAAGCCCAGCAGCCGGGACAGGGACTGAGGGACAGGGACTGAGGGACAGGGAAAGGGGGCGACGATTGGCCTCGCTAGGAGCGGAACGGGTGCATGGCCAGTCAAAAGCCGCCGTTTGCTTCTCGGACCTCTCGGATGGCAAGGGAGCCCGAAGGAGGAAAGGGTAAAGGTAAAAGGGGCATCGAGATTTCAACATGCCATCGGCGGGAGTTGGGCACAAATATATGCTTTATGTTCTGTTTATGCAACTTCGCAGCTCCATCCATGAAGTGGAGTGAGGTGGGGATGTCACAGAGGATAGAAAGAGGAGCTGAGCTGAGCTGAGCTTATGGTGGAGTCAAATGCACTGTACTGTAACAATGAAACGCTTTAACATCGACGATGTGATGTGATGAGATGAGATGAGATGAGATGAGATGAGATGAGATGAGATGAGATGAGATGAGATGCAGCTAGAGCTGTACAGTACTGTAGAAGGACCCGAGAAGAATAAGAAGCACCACGAACGGCACCGCCAAAAATACAAATGCCGAGCGGTGAAATCATCACCCCCGGTTCTGCCGCGCATCGATCAGCGATGTCAAATCACTCCCTCGCTTCGACTTGCCAGCCACTCTCTCCCTCGCTGCAAGTGTCAGCAAGCATTTCATCTGATGATGACTATTTGATAATTTTTTTTTACCTTCGCTTTGTTTACTTCTAGCACTTAATGTCAAACCGCACTCAGCACCACCTACCTCATTTGATGATAAGTTTGTGGTGTGTGGATACGATGATCTCATCTCATATCGCGTTGTCAGGCCTAGCCTAGCTTCCCTTCCGGAGTCTCCAGGCTCTTATTGTACTGTGCATGGAGAAGCCAACGACGGAGGCGATGCTAAACGCCAACCGAGCCCGCTGATTGATCGCTTTGCATGTTTTATTGACGACCACGTCAAAGAGACGAAGAAAGGATGGCCTGGTATGATTTTCGACAGTCATGATGTCAATGGCTTGTCCATGGGCCAGGCTTTGTAAACGATATGATAACAGTACTCAGTATTCCAGCGCTAAGATGTGAGAATAAGGTTATCGCCACGCGGCTGCTTTGGACTTCCGACCCGCTGGCGTGGCATCTCCAAGTGATGATTGGACCTCGGGAGGGAGTCTTCGCTTCGAGGGAACAGTATTGTTTTGTTTGGGGAAGGAACCGACTCCAGGATTTCTCTCGTCTCCGGCGTGAGATGACCAAAAATAAAGGCGGAGTTCTTACGTGTCATCTTTAGTCACAACCTTGGACTTCGTGTAGAGTTCGGCCGCCCGATTAGAGTGTCGGAATGTGGCAATTTTAGTAGAACGCTCGGCGCGCAAATCTCCTGACAGAAACAGCAGCGGAGGCAAGCGAAAACTCAGCACCAAATTGTGTAAACAATCAGCCGACTGTACAGCTTGCTACTATTTTTGGTACTACTTTTCTGGAAATAGGTTACTACAGTGAACTATGCGAAGAGCACTTTTTCCAGACCCACAAGCAGCTGTACTTTTGAAAAGGGTGCGTATGGAAGATTTTCAATGGACTTTTGTCATGTGCTGGCCACTAAATTGTTGTTGTCACATAGGAGTATTTTGATTACAGGCTAGACGCTGTTACTGTACATCTATTACACAATCCGTGCAGAGAGGCACGGGATCTCGTAGCATGGGCTTGATTTCATGTGCCATGCGCGGCTTATGATGTGGAGAAAAGTCCCTGATATGTAATTCTTCCATCATGTCAGAAACATTGAAATATGCTCCCTGGAATCCTCACCCATTTCCTGTCCATTGTTCACGATATCCTCCTGAGCACCTCCTATCGCGGCTCGCTACTTCTCAATATTTGCACTGGACGAATCTTGACCACACCCTACTTGAATGGAATGCAGGACGACGGATATTAGACGGAGCAGGAGCGAATTCTAACTGACATGTAAAGTGGTTTTGTTGGCGCGACAAGGTGCATCAAAGTTTTGGAGGTAATCGCTTGAGATGTCCTCGATGAAATGTCGCAGGGTCGTAACAACAGCCTGAGGCTTGCCAAAAATAATGATATGGGGCGAATAAAGAGACCTGAAGGTATACATGTGAGTATTGATAACACGATAAAATCCTCCTAATTGATCCACTGATCTCAAACAACGCGGGTGTAGATTTTGGCTGACGACTCTTCGATCGCTGAGCCAGAGCAACCATAATGGCAAGATAGAAGGGATCAAAAGCACCGTCCTCATCTCCAGTGTTGAATGTAGAAACGACGATACGAGCGTTGAACTTGAGCTTGTTTGAAGTGATGAACCCGTCGGGCAGGACACCAAGTTGTGTCCACACAAGCCACGGCCTGGTTACACGACTGATTGTGGTAGTGGAAATTGGGAGATCCGAGCCGTGCCACGTGGCGCTTGTTATAGTAGAAAAACAACAATGACCTTCAAATAGGAGTTAGTCAAGCTTAGGTTAGAATAGAGGAACGGTTGTTCATTCAAGCAGCAGGACTAACGTACCACTTATGCATTGTTTGAGTTGCAACTTCTAGCAGATCCATAAACATGCTTCAAATGTACTGCTCTTTCAACAGCTACCGTCAGTTGAGTTCAACGGACGCAACACGAGATTGGTTTCTTTGTACCAATCGGCATGTGCATCCTTCTCTGATTGCTAGCTTCCATATAACTTGTACTTGAATACAGTTTGGGAGGGTTGAGCTTGCAGCTCAGATACTCAATATGTTCCTGCAGCCAAGCCAATGGATGTGATAACAGACGTGCGTGGAGGTTTTGATCAATGCTGAAGTGGATTAACCCTTTGACAAGTGTTGCGAGAACAATTGATGATTGACCCACGGCTGAGAGGCAGACTGAGTTTGAAATGATAATGCAAATTTGGGCGTGATGAGAGGTGTCTGGGTAGAGATAGAGGTATTCGTTGCGGAATCAGCGCCCAGAGGACTTTGAAGCGACGAATACAAAACAGATGAGGTCCGCTGAGAGGATGGCATTGTGAGTAATGGTATATTCTGAAAAGATATCGATGATGGTGTTGAAGAGACCAACAAACTACTTAACGAAGAGGTTGGTGGAGAATTTGAGGAAGAGGCAGGCGGGGAGCTTGAAAAGCAGCTCAATGGAGAGCACAAAGAAGACTCCGGCGGAGGACTTGATGGATATGTCGGCGGAGGACCCGAATTAACGTCAGACGGTGGCCTCAAGGTCAGCTCTTGTGAAAGTTGAACAGCTGGTAAAGGTGGCATTGGTTTAAGTGGTTTGTAGATCGAAATCTCTAGAGTAAAATCCATGATGGAGTTCGTGACTTAAGTGACCTGATAGGTATCTATGAAGAGACTGTCCTAATTCCCACCGGCCTTGGCGGCTGCATCCTGGAGAGCCTTGTATTCGGACGATTGAAGGGCTTCCATAGCTGAAGGTCTGCTCGTCGGATTAGGAACTGCCAAGAGGCGTATAACGTCCAGCACTGTCTTGGGAATACCAGCGTCCAGAGCTAGATTAGCCCACACTTCGAATGAGGGGATTTGCAAAAGTAGTTCATCCGAATCCTCGTTTGCTTGTGTTCTCGTAAGATTCTGGGCTAGCTTAAAATGGGACTGTAAGGTCTTATCAATATCATAAGGAGGAGGGATCAGTCTATGTGATGGATCGAAGAGGAGCATGATTTTCGCAAGGCATCATGCCATTGGGTGAATATGCGTTTTGTCAATGTTGTCGGCATTGCCCAGGATATTGCTATCAAATCGTTGTAATAACTTCATTCTTTAGCTTGGGTAAGAATAAGAGGCTGGCAACTAACCATCGCAGCGAGAGACCAAACATCGGCTTTACAAAGACAGTTCACCCTTGTCCAGACCTCAGGAGCACGAAATGCTTCTGGCTGAACCCAGCCCTGATTGCTGCCCTCTGGCCCCGCTACAGAAAATTAGAGTCACCCAATATTGTAATGTTTATTTCGTACCTAGCCCCAAGTCTCCGATTTTGACTTTATACAACCCGCCAAACATAGATATAAGAATACTCGCAGGTTTCAAGTCTGCTCTGCTTAGTGGATGGCGACATAACCTCTGGGGTTGGATAACATACCTGAGTAAACAAGGTGCTCTTTTTCTAACTCGACAAATGCTTGCAAGCATACCTTGACAATATTCGCGACTAATACGGGATCGTTCATATATTCCGCGAGAGGAACCTCTCCCAGAGTCGTGTCCATCCATTCAAAGGCTAAACAGAAGGGATTCTGGGCCGTCCAACATGTAGGGTTGTTGATAATGTCACACAAATTTCGAAAGTTGCTTGACCTTTCCATAGAAGGCTTTTTGTAGTACTTGTACTCCTTGAGGAGGCAGTCCACCTGAGTCTGATTTTCAGGATCAGCACTTTTCACAACCGCCCTGGTACGAGAATCAGTACAGAATCCTATAGGGACATACAGCTGAGTTTTCAGGCGTACCATCGACTTTTTGGAAGAAGAGTTTGAACGCCAGGTAAGACCTCTGCCTTGAATACAGAGCTGAAAACAGTCTTATCACCAAGTTTTCCAACCAGACGAAATGAGTACTTGCTCCCATACAGAGTGGTCCCAAGACGTAGAGCCATTGTCCTTGATTCTTGATGGACAATATGTTGCGCGCGTGATATCTAGATGCACCATGAAGCAAAGGCCTTTGGTATAGAGGCGCACTGCACTGATACAGTGCAGAGGCCTGCACCGTTGTGATCTAGTGAGGTCGGATGTCAATGAGAAACTGCCGTGTTGAATAAGTAAATCGTAACTGTTCCCAGCATCGAGAGTCTTCCAATGAGCCAAAATTAATGCCTGATTATTCGAGGGGACTTAATCCGTCGTTCATCGAATTCGGATAGTATCCGGTGAAAATGTAGTAGAGGGGACATCCTACCTACCTAGGTCCCTAAGGTAGGTGCCATTACTGTGATCACATGATCTCGCGATCCACTCGTCCCAACGGGCACCGGGCACCTTGGTTGGAGCTAATGTAAAGACGGGAGGTGGATATATGTACAGAAGCTCTGGGTAAGCAATTCTCAAGATGGACTACTCATATTGTTCGAGTCGCGAGACTTGGACGGATTCCTATGCCTTGCTGTTCCAACCTTTAATATGCTAGGTCGAAACCCCCCAATCAAGAGTTTGTGATAAATTGCTACCATCAATATCATTACAGAAGGAGACGTGAGAAATCTAGCAACATATCCCACCAACTCTCAGTTTGCCGCAGTTTCGAAGGGGGTTCAGACCACGAGGTTCAACCCACATTATCAGGCTCATCAGCTTTCTTAAGTGGATCTTCCCCAGCCTAGAGAATGTAAGCAATGGCACTGTTACATTTTCAATTAATACATAGGTAAGTTATGAAGCGAAAGAAACTAGGCATTACTAGTAGATTTCATGCCGTAGCTTCAAAAGAGAGGATACTCAACAATGCCTCGTTTGACTGTACTCGAATTTGAGAGAAGAGTTTCGATGCAGGTTTTCATTTTCAGCTAAATATCATGTACACCTCATCCATCACCTCTCTTCCGTATCAATCAAAACTTCGGCACAAACATTGGCGTATTTTTCTTCCACTCTTGATAGTCCTTCCTATCCCCATACCTCTTATCATACTTCTTCTCACTCAATGGCACCCCACTGACCTTCAACAACAAAAATGTCACAAAAGCCGGACTCACAGCACACATTCCCATCCCAACCAATCTTCCCACTCCTCCCATCCCAGCCATTCCCATCCCTCTCAATCCCACACTACTACCCAGAACTCCTGCCGCCGTGACCGCAATACCAGTCCACAGTGTGCTCTCCCCGAAGTAATTCGGATGCCGACTCTTCGACCACAGTCCCGAGGTGAGGAACTCTTCATCATGCTCCTTGCGCTTCTTAGCAGCCGACCAAGCAGATTTCTGTCTGTCCGCAAGGATCTCAAACGTGAAGCCACCCAGGAAGAGCGTAAGGCCAGCGATATCGGTCAGTGTGAGAACAGGGAGGGTGGACAGCAGGGTGTGCGGGATGCTGTTAAGACCCAGGATGGGGAGCAGGCAGAGGGAGACCCATGTTGCTTGGGCTATGAAGGCTCCGAGGAATTTTGGGGGCTGTTTCTTGATCTCGTCAAAGCGAGAGTCGTGACCGTCGGCCAACACGCGTTGGAAGAGGTAGCTGCCGAGACGGGTGGCCCAGATCGAGACTGCGGTGCTGAGGACGACTTGGCGCCAGTTTAGACCGTGAGGCCCGCCGGTGCCTGTGAATGCAGCGAGGAGAGATGGCAATGCTGGTTTGGCTGTTCCAGCAAGGGAGGCTGCTGCGCGAGCCCGGAGTGTGGGTAAGTAGAGGGAGAGGGCAGTGACCGAGAGGTAAGTTAGGGAGCCGGCTAAGAATTTGTTAGTTTCGGTTTCAGTTTTCGAGTTGAAAAGCGGGAATATTGAGGTATACGGATGGAGAAGGAGTCTAGGAGTGATAATGACTGAAAGATATGGTGGGGTAGAATAGTCTTACAAAGATCATAGAAGCGCTCGGATTGGGCAAGGATGGAGGGGACTGCTACGGCTCCTTGGATGGCGAAGGCGGTCGCTATTGAGGGGACGAGTGTTCTGAGAGGTGTCAGTCACAATGCATAGACATATAAGCAGGTAGGGAGGAGTTATCGGGGAAATTGTGTCTATTTCTACACATACCTGAGGAAGGGGTTCCGGAAATTGGTCACATGGAGAAGAGTTTGGAGAAGAGTCATCGTGAGTATGCACTCTGACAATCAATGAAAGTCAAGCCGACCAACGCAAGAGGATACCCAATCGTCAGGCTCGCAGTGGATGTTATTGATGCTGAGGATTGAGAGTCGAAAATGGTTGTGGAATGTGAAGCATATGCAGCATGAGGGGTCTCTCGTAAATAGCTGACGTTTCACAAGGCTAAGGTAGTTCTTCAGCCTTACGCAATATTATATTGTGACGACATTATGCACAGTAGCGGCGGGCCCTATCGGACACGGCCTTCTGCGCTTGTCCGCCACGGTATTCCATCAGCCTTGTCTTGGCGGGAGTTGTGGTAATGCGAGTCATCACGGATTTATTCGTTCGGAAGATATCCTACATCCTGCAGAGCCATGCAGAGCGCAATGCCAGCATGGAACGGCAGAAGCGTGTCAGGGTGGGCTGGGTACAAACGTGAAGTACCCACGGACGCTGGAGCCGTGGAAGGGCTGGGACATTATCCCAAGCAGAGCCAAATGGGGCTGCTGACTCTCATGGGAGGGTCCACGACGGTGGCTCTTCAAGATTCTTCGATATGTCCTGCCGTAGCTACCTCCAGTATCTCCCTCTCCATACCTTCAACGAGCATCACCTCTATGCCGGCATCTTCCAATTGTTTTCTTCCAGTATTCTCTCCCACGAACTTCTCAGGCTCCTTTAATCCAACATACACTGTCTTTATAGCATTTCCCAGCTTGAGTATCCGTTCGACACAAGGCAGGTTCCCACTTAATCTCTTGAAGCAAGGCTCGACCGTGGTATACAGCACTGTTCCCTTTGGCAGTACATTCCCAAGTGCATCTTCGGCTATTTTGTGCTGGCCGGCCAGTTTGGTAAAGCAAGATTGTTCCGCATGTGTGTTCCCTTCGCATTCAAGTGTGTAGCCTGTTGCGAGAACTGTGTTCGTATTGCTGTCGACCAGCAGAGCCCCAACTCGATAGTTCGTGGGTTTCGGGGGAGATTGACGTGCCAGCTCTAGAGCTTCTCGCATGAATCCGATGTGGTCGAGTGATTTTAAAGACTTGCCGGGAGTAGACATGGTTTCTGCAATGTGCTGATGAGAGACAAGCTTCCTCTTGACTGTTCGTTACGTAGTCGGCGAGGGATCCTTGGCTTGTGAATCATTTAGACGCCGAAACGCCGCCTCGTCCTCTACCAGGATCGTCGGATCTTGCTCTGGAGATAAATCCGCTGAAATCCCATGTTCCACAACGGCAATCCAATTCAAAATATCCCAGTAAGTCTGTCATTGGCATTATCGCCGATCTTAAATGGCACCACGGAGCTCCGACCTGTATAATATTCGGCCGATCTTCCACACCGAGTCCAGAAAGCCATCGGCACACGACGTCACATGGTAGCGAGTTGGAGACCAAGGTCCAACATCAACAGACGAGACGAAACGAAACGACAAAGACGATGATGACCCTGACCCTCAGCCCACTATCGTCCAAAGCTGACACTTCTGCCTTTTCCATCTGACATCCAACCATTCATCCACCCGCGCCATACGATAAGCCGTCTGCATATCTCGCCCGTTCGCATTGGCCTCGGATCTCAATCGCTCTGGAAATCTACGTCGCGAGCGATTTAGTTTCAACCCCACCACATCCGGCATCTACGGAACGCAGCACAAATCAGACTTCAATAACAGCCTCGAGCCTGCGGGCACACCCACAAGTCTCCTTGCTTGGCTGGAGTGCTTGCAAGACAACTTCAGATGAACACATGGAAATCCCCGGGACACCATGTCTGATGCCCTGCCGAAGATTAAGGTGACCGATTCGCAGCATCCAGATGGTCACAGCACGCCTCTCGACTCGCCCTCTACTGCCACGGATGGCGGCCAAACAACAAGGCCGAGGTCTGCAACCTCATCAGAAGGTAAATCTCCCAATATCAGCTTGTCTGATATGCGCAAAGCTCCTGGGGTCTGCCCATTCTTGGTTATAATAATGTCCAAATGCTATGGCTTCTGCCTCTGGCCCTAGTGCTCATTCTCATGCTGACAACAGCTCTCAAAACAGGAAATACCCAATCCAATGGCAAGAGGCCACCAATCAATAACCTAATACGAAACCCGTCGAATAGGGAGAGTAATGGACCAAGTTCTACTCCGCAGCAACAAGCTCGTCCAACCACTGCAATTGACCCTCTTTCCCATGTATGTCCTCCACGGCCATAAGCCAATATGTCACAAAGCAATATGTTCTATGAGAAACAATTGTCAGGATAAGGGTCGCTAATGCTAAGCCTTAGCACATCCTCAAAAGAACAAACACAGAAAACACTATTCCGCAGAAGCTGCGTAACGCTGGCAGTCCCGAAAGTCCAAACACCGAAGTTGGAAGCCCAATCAGTCCCGAGCTTCCGCCACCTGGGAGACAACTGACACCCGAGATCATTCGTAGTGATAGTATTCCTAGCAAAGAGAAGAAGTAAGTGTCTCACTGGTCTACAAGCGCCTCAGCTGCTTACTATGAAGCATGTGGCTTGCTTCTGACAACTCATTTGCTAACAACAACACTACAGAAAAGGTGTATCGTTCCTCAGCCGATTCGCTATCATAGGAGGCAAGAAGAAAGACAACCATGGAGATATGGATGATGACGAGTCCGAGCAAGGCGATCAACGCACAGAAGGAATGAACGCGCATGTCTTCTCCTCGTCGATTGGAGCGAATGGATATATTCCTCAGCACAAGGAGCCGCCGAGATACATCAAGGTCCGAGCGCATAACAAGAAGGTCAGAGAGTTTGATCGTATGTTCCTGGCGCAAGAGTTGACCGGAACGAAACATGCCTTGAGCGAAGAGAAAGTGCCTGGCTTGACCTCAACAGCCTCTGAGCTTCCACATCCGCACAAGAACTCGAAATTCTTCAAGACAAGTGGCGCAGTATGGGCGACGGAATTTAGTAAATGTGGAAAGTATCTTGCAGCGGCTGGCCAAGATCAAGTTGTGCGAGTCTGGGCTGTGATCTCAACGCCAGAAGAGAGGCGGGCACATGAATATGAAGAGGATGTCAAGTCCAGTACTTCGGGAGCGGCAAGGTTGAGCGCACCAGTCTTCAGATCGACGCCTATTCGAGAATTCGAGGGGCATACGGGAGATATACTTGACTTGAGTTGGAGCAAAAACAACTTTTTGTTGTCTTCGTCGATGGACAAGACAGTGAGGTTGTGGCATATTTCAAGACAAGAATGCCTATGCACGTTTAAACACAAGGATTTTGGTTTGTCCCCCGAAGTTCACCAGTATTCTGTGCTTTTGCTGCGATTTTGTACTTCAGATTGTAGAAATATGTTTTTACTAACTTCCTCCCAGTCACATCAATAGCCTTCCATCCTCGGGACGACCGCTTCTTCTTGGCAGGATCATTAGACTCAATCCTTCGACTTTGGAGTATCCCGGACAAATCTGTTTCCTTTTGGAAACAGTTACCCGATCTTATAACAGCAGTTGCCTTCACGCCTGATGGGAAGACAGCTATTGCCGGTGTGCTTAGTGGACTGTGCTTGTTTTACGAGACTTCGGGGCTCCTCTCTCAAGGTCAGATTCATGTGCGGTCTAGCCGAGGCAAGAATGCCAAGGGATCCAAGATCACAGGCATTCGAACAACGACATATCCACCAAATGATCTGAATGGTGAGGTTAAAATCCTTGTTACTAGCAATGACTCAAGAGTCAGATTATACAATCTGAAAGACAAAAGTCTGGAAATGAAGTTTAGGGGTCACGAGAATACTTCCAGTCAAATCAATGCTAGCTTTAGCGATGATGCGACTTATGTTATCTGCGGAAGCGAGGATAGAAAGTCATATATATGGAATACTGGACCGATCGACCTGGAGAACAACAAAGACAAACGTCCTCTGGAGTTCTTCGAAGCGCACTCAGCTATGGTTACCGCAACTGCCATTGCCCCAACAGCTACGCGGCAACAACTTGGCAACTCTGGTGATCCAATTTACGACCTTTGTAATCCGCCGCCCGTAACATTACTCTCTCGCGAGGAGTCGAATGCCTCCTCGATTCCAAAAGCTGGATCAGAAAAACGTCTTTCTGATCCCGTAAGCGAGCCTGTGAAAACACCAGCTTACCTTGCAAGAAGTTCTCATAATGACGGTTTAATCATCGTCACAGCTGATTATCTTGGCTCGATCAAGGTCTTTAGGTGTGATTGTGCATTCCAGAAGAGGAGAAATGACCATTGGGAAACCAGCTCAACTTTCTCTAAGAAAGTCATCAAGAGATCAGGAAGCATCATGACCCGCAACTCAGGTGGCTCCCATTCTCGACGCAACTCGCAATCACAAAGCTCTCTTGTCAGTGCTGCTGGCTTACATTCGGATCATATCCTCTCTTGGCGAAACGGAATCACTGATGACTCCAGCATTCGAAGCGTCACTAAAACCAACAGAAGCGACCGAAGTGTTTCTCCTGGAAAGTTTACCAGAAATTCTCAATCCAACTTGAGCTCTCAAAATAACCTGGCGAGCACGGCCCGTCAACAACCTTATGCTCCAGCACCATTAACACAAGCTTCTCCCAGTGTGTCGACGACCAGCCCGCCCCAGAGCATCTCAGATGCGACAAGCAGGCGAAAAAGCAGCCAGAGCGGCCTGCCCGGGAAGCCGCCTACCCCCGGCTTCGTGATCAGCAGAGACGAAGCGAATCCGCTAAAACTCGACCCCGTTGGGAAGTCATACCAATTCTGGAATGTCGCAAGCTGGAAACCTCAAGCCTCCCGCGAGACTGGAAAGCTCGACAACGACAGTCTGCGACCACCATTAGATCGTGGCGGAAGTGTCATCAGTAAGCTCAGCTCCGAAGAAGGTTCTTCAGGTGAAATGGAGGACGGAGATGAGAGCGAAGGCGAATCTTTGTCCTGTCGAAAATGTAACGGCAAGGATTTCCGAGCACGGAAAGTTGCTGGTAAAGGATTGGTCATGGTATGTACTCGTTGTGGGTCTGGCGTTGAGTAATAGGAACCATAGACGGGGCGGAAAAATCGTAGCAGACAGCTGCGCAGAATTTTTGTATACTATGATGATTGATTGGATTATGGGAGCATTGCTTGGGTATTAGCGATGTACTTTTCCTGGGCTGGTTAGTCTTGATATCCTTTGGTGACAGACAATGATAATGTGGGTTTATCAGGCAAGGTCGTCAAGGAAATGATAGAACCAATCTCCTGCAGACTTCGCAGATACCATCTAGATCAAAAACCTGAAGGGACTCGTTTTGGAGATTTGTGACCCTGTGGCTGGCTAAATCAAGATCTTCTGGCCAGTTCTGTGAGTCCAAGACATCAGTAGTGGTCGAAAAAAAGTCCTTGTTTTATCCTGCGACTTCCATCATAACCTAACTTCACAAGCAGTCTGATACCAAGCAAAGACACTAGAAGACCTGAAGAGCGATTTGAATTCATTTCCCATATGACACATATTCTCTCAAGCTATACTGCGTACAAACGATCCTTCCGGACCGGGGAAACTCGGGACTTAGGTATTAATCAGCCCACCTTACAACACAAGCACAGCACATGAGCGTACTTGGCATCTTTGTTACAAATAATGGTTCGATCATTTCAACCATCCCCATTTTTCTTCTCTGCGTACCCATTGCTCCAATCTCGGTATTTGGATTACCACCCCAGCAGAATCCCAGGCTGGGTCCTTTACTGCGTGATATTGTAATCCAGTGCTTCTCGTTGGATCATTCAGACATGATGGGCCACATTAAGTTACAGTTGTGCGCAGCTCGGCTTTCGAAGCCGAGTCCTGCAGGGTCTTCCCGTTCTCATCTCATGATAGGTAGGGATTTTGAGGGTGGCGCTTCATAGGAAAACGATCTCCTACTGGGGTTCCCTAATATTTGTGCTTTCTCCGTTACTTCTCCTTGGAGTTATGTATTCTGAGGCGATTCGTGGTGCGTGGTTTTCGATTTTGGGTATGATGATGTGGATGCAGATGTGTCATTGACAGCGCTTGTTTTTGTACGCGGGATGCGGATGAGGACATATATGTTGATGTATGGTTGCGAAGGTAGGTTCTAGGAGGGCTTGCTATAATTATTCAGTTGTTTTCACTGTCCCCGTACAGCATTAACATTGTACTATTTGGGAGATTTTGATCCACCTATCCATTGATCTCACTTTCACCCTCAAGATCGACAGTATCTTGTGAACTCCTCTCAGCGCCGTCCCTACACAGACACCACATCAGTCCATCACACTTTTCAGAATGCAGCATATCTCACCTTCATCCCTTGAAAAACTCCCCTCGCGGATCTCCTACCTCTCTACCTTTCTCGATCTCACCCCCTTGGACGGCGAAGCCCTCCTAGCAGCAAAACCTCTCATCGCACCACTCATCCCCACAATCCTTGATGCCGTCTACAGCAAGCTGCTGTCTTTCGACATCACGGCCAAAGCCTTTGTACCGAAGAATACGGATTATGAGGGAGAATTGGTGAAAAGTGTGCGGGAATTGACGTTGGAACATCCACAAATTGCGTTGAGGAAGGACTTCTTGAAGGTTAGTTTCTATGGTTCTGATCTATTTACTTTCATCCCCATATTTCGTTCTGTTCTGAGTTCTTTCTTGTTTCGACTTGTCCAGGACTGGAATCCCCTTAGCTACTATCTATGACGGAGATGGATATTGAGAGACTCCGGCGCACACGTTGCGCTGTTGACTCTTGCCCACCTTATGTATTTACTTTGCAAAGGTTTAACATCATGAAACTCTTACCAACCTTCCTCCCAGAACTACCTCGTCAAATTCGTCTCCACCACAGATCTAACACCCACCTCGCCTTTCTGGGTATACCTCAATAACGTTGGCATTATGCACACCGGCCAACCGGGCTTCAAGCACTGTGCCAAGCGTCCAGAGCTGCGAGTAGAGTACATCCATATGGGCGCGCTCCTAGGTTACGTAGTTGATATCGTTATCGGTGCTGTGATGAGTATGGATGTTATTGATATTGAGATGAAGTGTAAGGTCATCAGGGCACTGAATAAGGTTGTTTGGATCCAGAATGATTTGATGGCAAGGCATTATTTGGCAAAGAGCGGAGAAAACGGGATCGAGGAATTGGCGCCTACGCCGCCGTTATCTGAAGGGGAAGGGGGGACTGAGGAGAGAAAGGGTAAGTGTCCATTTTCTGAGTAGTTATTGGAGGGGTGAGCATGGAACCTTTGGCGATCAGGCGGCTGCGGATGGTATGTTTATTGAGAATAATTTTAAATGACAATAATGAGCTGCCTATCTGGTTTGTCGCAAGCATGCGTCGTTGGTCCTGAATTCTCGCTTACTGGAGCACCTTTCCTCAATGTCAACAATGCCCAATTGGGTCATATAAAGACAGCGATCCTCTCAGAATGCCATCTAGATTTTATCACCAATACTAGAATGACCGAATAGTGGGACTACGAATGTTTGAAGATTCCTCGATTGACGTTGCTTAATCATTTTGGAGACGAACTCAGAAGGCTCCCCCACCATACACGTTAAAGTCCCCGACTCCCGCGAGAAAAAACAGGGGGGCCCACTACTGACACAAAGCCGAGATCTACCATTGATCTCGAAAGTATGTTTCATTCTTTCCCTTGGTTGGGGAGATAAGTTTAAATGAACATTATGTTCTTGACTCCGAATTTACACAGGCCTTGAGAAGTGGAAATGGAAAATCCTTGTGATTAATTCAATCTAGAGAACGGCATGAAACAATTCACGCTCTGAACTGTGTAATTAATCGTAATTAAGAAAATACTACCCATGTGTGGCAAGTTATGGGAGGCTCTTGGCTGAACACATTTCGTCAGGACGATAGCTAGGTGAACCTAAAATAACTGGCGATCACTTCCAGGTTCTGTTCCATTCAAAAATCACCTGTTTTGTTTCACTCATAATATATGGGATGGCGGTCTTCAGGCCGAAGCGGAAACCGAAGTAGAAGAATTCAGCCGTACTATTCCATGTATAACATTAACATCTACCTATCTTTCAGAATGTCCATTAGCTCGATCCAATACCTAATCGCCACACAGACGTCCTTTTTCTGACGGAGATTGTCTCTGCCGCAGAATTTGCAATGCATGCTCGATGGTGACTCTTTGGGGCTCGTCGTTCCCTCTTCTCAAGTTCTCCTCAATGGAGGAACGAAGGATCAACCTTAAATATTCTCTGGAAATGAGGATATGCTCTGCTCCTATGCTTAGTCTTCTCCTTAGACTCGGTTCGCTATAAGGCTCGTGACTTCCAGCATCCACGCTCCGAGGTGATACCATAGTGCGAGGAGTTGATGGTCTTGATCAAGGGACTTCCAATAGGTTGAAATGTGCTTCCAAGAACTCCGTTTTGATCTCCTTCCCTATCACGACTTGGCATTCATCTTCTTTCACGATGCAAATCTGTCGATGCACCTTCTCCCATGACTTCCAGCCATCTCTCCCTAGCCGTATTCAATCTTTCTCTCCTGTCTATCATGTCAAGTATATCTTGTTGGCTCATCCTCTCGAAATCTTCATCTGCAATATGATCTTCTCGCACAAACACAGGCTGAATAGCACTTCGCCGAGAATTCATCAGAATTTCTGCCCGCTGTCTACGACGCAGCTCTTCGACAAGAGGTCCATTGGGTAAGTAGGAAGCAACTGCCCCATTCCCCGGAAAGCGATCATCCAAGTCATTGACAAGGCGATGCAAAGATAAATAGTCAAGAGGCACCATAAGATCCTCCCCTGATCTTTGAAAACGGTGACGGGAGAATTGCTGCCGGAAGTGAGGGCCGACAATCATCAACGTAGCAGTACCATCACTTATGATCGAGTAACGTAACGTATCGATGATTTGACGGCAGAGAGGACATCTGAGTAGTGACTCATCATACCATTCGGTGTACACGCTTATCAGCCATGGCATTAGGCAATCCATGTCAAACTTGTGGCCGCATGGTTGAAGAATGCAGAGTGTGGAGATTTCTTCGAAGCATATTGTGCAGTTTTCTAGCCTTTCAGCAGCCGGAGTCTCTGATATTGGTCTGGGCTCCGCCCGTGACTCATTTCCAGGTTCTGCTTGAACCTCCTCCGGCCTTGCCACCTGCTCTTCGGTGGTGGAATGAAGAGCAGGCGAAGTAGAATCTTTCGATCTTGAGCCATGCCGAAAGAAATACAATACATGTCCCAGATCTCGAGAAGCTACTTGTAGAGTCTGGATAAGTGTGCCTACTTGGCTATCCGATCCTAGCGCTTCCGCGATTTCGGCCTGGGAGAAGTAGTCGTAACCGTCATCGAGAAGCGTCAAAACTCGGTCTATTTGTCCTCTGGTATCTTGTATTTGGGTGATAGCATGATGCTGAGTCCTAGCAATATTTCCTCCCTGTTCTCCTCCAACAGTATTCATTTTTGGTACTTCAGCTCTGTGAGACGAAATATGAAATATTTTAAAAGAAAAGGTTGTAAACTTCTCGAGAGGACAGTCCCAGGCGTTATATACTTGCTGTTATTCTGACCTGAGTGGGAACCGGCCAAGTCGTCGTTTCAGACGAGTCACAACGCCTCAAAAATTTCGAGTGACTTCCATGATTGTAGTCATTCATGCGACTCAAGTAATACTATCTATGAATCACACACCGTACAAGTCACGAAGAAGGACCTTGGAGACTGGAAAAGTCAAATAGCACCAAAATATGATTCTGCTGTCAATAAAACTCTTTGCAACAATGTATACACAAGAACATGAATACTGAACATGGCATAAAGCGTCATTCACGATCTAAATGTATTTGACCAGGGTGTCGATGTATGCAGCATAACCAGTGCCCGCTTCTGGCTCGAAGGAGAAGATATAGTCGCCCCTATGAAGCAAGTTAGGTCGAAGTGTTCCCAAAGTAAAGAGGAGTACGCACCACCATGGTCCACCTCCCCACCACATTGCACCCATCCAGACATCACTAGCAGCTACGAGAGAGTCCAGAAGTCCAGTGACAGCAGACTTGCAAACGTCATTTGCGCCGCCTGCGAGTTCGCCGATTATACCCTTCTTACCGTTCGCTTGAAGCCATTTGGTAGCTTCCGCAACGCGTTCAGCACCAATAGTAGAAGAGACACACACAGCTGAAGTTCCAGATCCATCGGAGTCGAGATATTGGTGCATCTCATAGACGATCTTGTTTGAAGGATCAGTGAGATTACCCATGACATCCGAGTTTCCAGAAGTAGTCCAGGTCCAGGCACCAGTGTAAGACTGTCAGGTTATTAGATACCGTTCAAAATGATTTGCAGTGCGACTTACAGTTCCTTCAACAAAGACATATTGCGTTGTAGCACCGGCAGCTCTGACACCATCGATGCATGCTTGGTTAAGATCAGCAACAAGTTGATTTGATGGCATGTCATGAAACTCATTGTTGCAGTCGAAGATCACTTTGTCGTCTGATTTGAACTCAGTGGCAACATTGCTCCAGAAACTCTTGAAATCCGATGTGGAAGTGATCACCGATCCTCCATATCGGCCAAAGTTATGAGGGTCGAGAACAGCATATGCCCCTGCGGCGGTGATGTGAGAGACTAAAGATGATAGGTCACCAAGGTATGTTTTGTCTAAAGTAGCAGTCATTGTTCCTTGGGCTAGACGCTCCATTAGGAAAGGGATGCGAAAGATGTTCATGCCCTTGCCAGTGAGTGTATCAATCGTGGATGTGAGTGGCCACGTGTAATCGGTGCCCAAAACACCAGGAATGTTGGTTTGACCAAATTCAGCACCAGACTCATTGACTCCTAGCCATTGTAGGGCGCCACTTGAGTTTGATGTAGCCCTAGCACCTGGTGCAGCTGCCTTAAGAGGTTTAGGCATAGCTGCAGAAATGGCAACGCTGCTAGGAGCCTCAGAAGCAGGGGCTGTTGGGGAAGATGTGACGAGGCTTGTAGAAGATGGCAAAGAGTCCGTGATAGGAAGGGCGGAAATGCTCGTAAGTGGAACTGTGACAGATACTAATAGACATATGTGAGCGAAATTCCACAGTAATCCGAAAATGGTATATACCAGTACCTCCTAAAGAGTTAGGTGGCTCAGAGTCACAACCCTCAATGGTGACATCCGTGATTGGAACAGCAGAGACTGAAACCAATAGGCTAGCTACAGCTATGATTGAAGTTGAGAAGCGCATTGCGTGAACGAGGGGATGGTTGGATCTGAAAGCAAAGAACGACAGGACTCGAGGAAGTGGTCAGAAGAAGACACTTGCCTTGGGAAGAAGCTCTATAAATCAAAATCTTCTCACATGGAACCCACCCACTGGGCTTGGAAATGAAATATCGTATGCCTTATATGTGGGGCTGGGCAGGCTTGATCCTTCTTATGGCGGATCAGAAGCGGGAATTTGAGAGTTATCGGAAAGGCACATTGCTTCACCGAGAACGACCAAGCCTAATGCCTGTTGAAGGGTCAGATGGAATGATCTGGTCAGAAACAAATTGGAAGGCATCATAAACGACACAGCGAGTGTTTGATGTGAGAGAAGTGATCTGCGATAGAGTGTGGTCTCCCTATCATGTTTATTTACATGAAACCGGGACTTGACGTAGTAAAAATGACTGCCGAACTGCATTAGCAGGCGACTGAACGATCAGGTGAATTAGGTCGGGACCTCGCAAGCATTGAGCCTAGCAATTCCTAGGAAACCAAATCCGCGCTTCTCTTCACGGAACAATGATAGAAGGAGAATCCTCCGATACCGATCTGCAGCTGGATTTAATGGTCTGGAAATCCAGAACGGTGTCCTTGACTCCGAGGTAGACTATTTTAATTGAGATTGTCAAGGAAGGTTACAGTATCGGGGACCGTACTGTAACACGAGAAAAGCCCCACTCGTGGACGACGACTCGAGAAAGATGAGAAGTTCAAGTTCAAGTACAAGTTCGGTCGAGGACAATTATGGTGGAAAGAAGGATAGACGTTAGAAAAAGCTTCGCTTAGAAGCTGAGATCATGGACTGACTGGGCAGGGCATTCACGCCCTTTTTCATCTCGCTACAGTGATGATCAGAAGTACAGGACCCGTACGTACAAGCAGTCAGTCCATCAGAACGCGCACTTCTCAGCACATCAACTCGACGATGCTGTGCTACTCAGTGCCAAATGTGCTTGTAGGAAGTCCACAAACAATTGAATACTAGCCCATGTAACATTGTTTTCACCATTCTTCAACTTGAACTATAACCTTAATGCTTCGTACAGTTCTTTCAAAAGCAGAGATTCTGCCCGAAGAAATATGCTGCTGCTGACCAGCTCAGGATCCAACCAAGGCCTGAACTTGTGCTCAACTTCCCCCCTCCACTAACGACCTGTCCGTGACCTACCGTCAAAGTGTCATTCATTGCAGTTCGCAGATTCTGCTCACAGAACCCTCGTCTCCATACCACGTATCCTCCCATGCCGAAGCCTAATCCGAAAGTGCATAACAGGGCGATGGAAAACAGGATCCATCTCACCGTCGAAGACTTCCCGTAGTTAAGCAAGAGCTGATAGGACTTGGGTTCTCGACGAGGAGCAACAACAGTCGATAAGCTATGTGGAAAGGTTTGGCGCTGTGCAGCAAGCCAGGGTTCTTGAGGACACAGTTCAATGTTGATGATACGGGGACGCTCGTAATTAGGTTGATCTGAGCTCATTGTCTGTCGGGTATGGGGTGCTGCTGATGTATGCATGTCAGTGGAGAGATAGTCCCGGCTGCTGTTGAAGTTCAGAATCATTCTTTTAAATCTTTAAATACGTGCGTATTTGCACAGTAGGAAAGAGGAATCATGAGATGGTAACACAGCAGATCTTTATCAGACAACTATTAATCGTGAGAGTATGGCAATTAAGCCTGCTGAATCATCGACAACGGCAGTTTTAGAATCTCACAGATTCACAATGGTATATTCGCTGGAGACATCTCTTGAAAAACGAACAGACCCCAAAACCAACCTCCAAATGTGCACTTCATCTCTTCAAAGTCTTCTGTTTCTCAGCATCCTTCACGAGTTTCTTTCCACTGACCATCAACCCTTTCCGCTTCCTTACGCTATCCATATATCTCTTAGCCACATTTTCCTTATCAGCTAGCTCACCCAGATCTTCCAAGTCATCTTCTGTGAATGGTACCCAGAATGGATCTTCATCAAGAATCTCGTAGCCTTGGAAAATCAGTTGCGGTGACGCAGCTCCAGAAGTTCGTTTGCGAATTTCGTCACTGAAACCGAATGACTCTGCAACGGGGAGGAGTGATTGGATTGTGAAGAACGGTGTGCCTTCGTTCATTGCTTCTGACTGAACGCGGCCACGTCGACGAGTGAGAACGTCGTAGACGCGTCCAAGGACTTCGGCTAGGACGAATTTAGTCTTTATCAAGAGCGACCGAAATCGGTAGACTTACTGCTAGCTTGAATTTCGCAGGAATACATCGCAAGTAATAGCCGAGGACTCCAGTCCAAAAACCCTTGCCGCATAGCTTGCTGCACAGTCTTAATTACCTCACCGGTAAGACGACCAAGCTTGTCACGGGCTGAAGATTCGTCATCTGTCGAGGGAATTACGGTGACTTCTTCAAGGAACACAGCAATACCTTGCACCGGTTCGTTGCACATGGGTCCTTGAGCAGTTGCGAGCTGGAAAGCATAACTTATTTTGTCCGAAAAGTCCTGTGCTTGCAATGTATCGCCGACCGTGTGATCCTTTTCATCTCCAGCTTCTCGGAGGCTATCGAAATTAGTTAAATGGTCCCAACATGTATCAGGTTGACTCACAATCGTCCACAGATACCATCTTTCGTCGTATCTATGAGAAGATTTGGTCCAGTTCTTCGAGGCCCAAATGCTGTGATCTGCTCAACAGCATTTGCCCAAATATCTCGTTGGCCCTTCACACCCTCAAATGTGGCCTGGAGTTGTTTCTTGAATTCTGGAAGAGACAAAACCTTCTTACTATCTATTACGTCGTCAATGTCCTCCCCATCCGAGTCTTCCTTGTCCGTATCTACGTCAATACCCTTCTCAGCTGCCTGCCGATCAGAGTACAGTCGTTTGATAGCACTCGAATTCTTTGACAAGAACTCAGACACTTGGGTGGGCAAAGGTCGTACATTTAATCGAATGGTAACTTGTTTCGAAGTTGTTACTGCGACAACGGTCCCTCTTCCCAACTCCTTATTCGCAGGCGGCTTCATCTCCTCTGCTCGAATAATTGTCTCACGATAAGGAACAATTGGTTCACCTGCCTGGATCTCGCACTTGGCGAATCTTTCTCGCAGATCAGTTAAGCAACGCTCAAGATGTAGCTCTCCAGCTGTCAAGAGTACATGCTCACCGCTCTCAAACTGCTCGTACTCAGCGCAAGGATCGCTTTGTACGAGCAGTTTGAGACCATTGATCATTTTGTCCAGGTCGGCTGGACTAACAGGCTCTAGAGCGACCCTGACGATTGGTTTTGAAGCCATGTTGACACCAGCGAGATTGACACTACCTTCGAGTTGACTACAGATGGTTCCGGATTTAAGGACATGGCCTTCCAAGCCACCGATACCGAAAACAACACCAGCAGGTACTGATGTCAGAGGCTCAAGGCCCCGCCCCATCAGTAGATACAAGGCCGTGACTGTAACCTTCTGTGGCTCCGGGGCATGACGGGGATTTTCTGGTGTGAACTTCGGTGGCAGAACATATACCGAGTCGCCAACCGACAAAGTTCCAGAATAGATCCTAGCGAACCCGATGAGATGTTCTCTGTCAGCTTGCTTTTCCTCTTCGGCAGTCGGATCTTCAAGGCTGGTAGCTCCGATTGCATCTGTGAGGCCACCAACTGAGTCTGACGCATCGCCATTCTCTAATGCTTGGGCTCTGGCGATCTCTGCCCGTTTTCTGCGACCCATTTCCCTTGCTTCTTCCGGACTTAGAGCACCACGACGCTTATTCTCTGGCAGCTCACTCTCCGGTATCGAAACCATTTTACTGATATATGCTACCACCGGGTCACTCGTAGAACTCTTTGATTTGACCATAGCGTTTCGAATTACTGGGTCGACGAAAGTAAAGCCAGGCGAATCATCGATGAGTGCTGGTAACCTTTCTTTTTGAGCGGCTGGCGGTGATGGCAGCGACTCGATGACAGAGACCAGGAGCGCTGTAGAAAGAGGCAACCAAGCGCTGAAAAGCGTAGTAAGAATGGCTCGAGGATCTCTTGATCGCGTAATGTGGGGAGGGAGGGTAATGTTCAGCGACTTGATAATCTTTTCAGTCATTGCAGGGTCACTAAGATTGGCGTGTTAGATGTTTTGTCCAAACCGGTTCCTTAAGTATACATTCGGAGGAGGAAAAGAAATCCACGCACCCCTTGCCCTTATCTCCACCTGATGTGGCTTGATATACAGCCCATATTTGATCGAGGACCAGTTGGACAAACATAGGCTTAAGATTTCGACCTTTCAGATGCTTTTGTCCCAACACCTTTTTTGTCTTGGGATCTAGATAAAAGTCTCCCCAGAGCACTTTCTCCATGGCTGTTCGCTTGATTCCTAACTTTTTCTCGTATAAACTGGCAAATTGCCTTACCGTAAAAGCCCAGCCATCAATAGCACTGCTGAATATGACATTGTTCTTCTCCGGTGCAAAGTATATATCCTCGTCATCCTTCTCCTCGAACTCATTATTCGTAGTAGCAATGTTTTCGGTATCAATAGATGTGGTTCCATTTATTGCTTCTCGGTCGGCTTTCTCCTTCTCTTTTGCAGCGGCAGCAGCAATTCTCTCGTCGACTCTTTCTCTCCAATTCAGATCTTCTTCCATTCTCTCTCCCTGGAAGAAGCTCCCAAGCACGGCATTAACTTGTTCCAGTAATTTGTTCAGATGTATGTATGCCTCTCCTGGGGTCATCTTCAACTCTGTGATGAGTCTGTCCATTTTATTGATCACCAATAATGGCTTCATGTGCTCTACCCATGTTTGTCGCAACACGGTCACAGTCTGGCTGCACACGCCTTCCACAGCATCCACTAGGACAACAGCACCGTCGCAGAGACGTGATGCAGTCGAGACCTCGCTGCTGAAATCAATGTGCCCCGGCGAATCAATCAAATTGATCAAGTACTCTTTTTGTTCTGGTGTAGCATCTGGCGCAGATCTTCGGAGCATCGAGAAAAAAAGGGATATGGCAGACGACTCCATAGTAATCCCTCGAGTCTGTTCGTCTGGTCGAGAATCGAGGTATCTGATCTTGCCTGCAAGCTTGGGTGAAATGATGCCATTTGTGGCGATGAGCGCATCGGTGAGAGATGTTTTTCCATGATCCTACCCAAGATATCAGTACTTTCTCATAGCGCATGGGCCTAGAAGGGGTACTTACAACGTGTGCTAATATACAGATCTCGAGTTGTTGTCAGCGCAAAAGAGAAAATGACCCCGCCATCGTGAAACTTACATTTCTGATGCCGTCTGGATTTCGTTGCAAAGCAACCAACTTCTCTGGATTCACGACAGGCATATTGAAGACTAACCTGCAGAAAGAAGAAAAGAAGAAAGTGTGAAAAACGGAGGCGAGGGCGGTTTGCTGATTCCCGTGTTGGGAAGTGACGGGGACCTGGGATTTATTTCCCACGGCCAGCTCGACTCACCATGAGTCGAAATTGCCATTTACCCCGCCATATCACGTGATCTCAAAAGTCGATTTTTCCCTTTATTTCCAGATTCCACTCTCATTTTATGGTGTTATGAACGAGACGCTTCACGGTGGATAGAGTTAGCTTGGGTTTCTGTACCGCCTAGGTAGCATCTGTGAATTATTGAAAGTTCTTACTGTGAAATTGCCGTAAAAGCGCCTTGAGGACTACAGAATCGATGATGAGGTGAAACACTCAAGATTGTCGCACGAAGACAGATCACAGCTTGGTGATGGCAGGTCTTGTTGAAATTTGATTGACAGTGAGTTGGGGGAGCAGTCTGGTATATTGGCCTTTGCACCCACACACAGAAATGTAAATATTTTGATAAGATATGATAAGCGAGACGAAAAAGGGGTCAACTGGTTGTCCAGCGATGATGTTAGCAATTAACAATACGTGGCTTCACACCTCACGATTATGGCCTGAGAGACTCTCCAGCTATCAGTTGCGATCCCTCAATGTCATAAATGTCTTTGATTTGAACACCTTGCCAGTTTCCACCAGCTTTCCGTCGATCTTGTGTTGGTGGTAGAAGTCTAAAAGCATGAGCAACCCGTCAAAAAAGCTTGTCAGCATCATACCATGTTCAACCTCTCATCAACATAGGATCTCTGTCCAAGCAGACCTGACCTTCACCATGCGGGGAAAGCACCTCCATCTCCCCTCAAGTCACTTCCTGCCGAGTAGATCACCTGTCCTTCCTCCACCAGCGATCGAATAATCTGACCTCTTCCAAATAAACTTCTCTTCATACCTCTCACAAGCTCTACATTATGTCCCATACTTTTCAGCTCTTTGACGACTTTCACGTCGATTCCATCTTCAAGGTAAACAACATGCCCAGTGACCTCGCCAGCATCAGGCATTCCAGCACCAATGCAGAATCTCGGAGCGTCGAGAGCTGTCTGTGGGCTGTGCTTGAAAGCCAATTGATTGAGTAGCACTTGAACATGACCTTGAGGTTGCATAAACCCACCCATCACTCCATATACAGAATGTAGGCTACCGTCATCCTTGTTCGTTACCAGAGCAGGAATAATAGTGTGGTAAGGACGCTTCCTTGGCGCAAGAACATTAGGATGGTCATTTTGCAAACTAAAATTTGCCCCACGGTTTTGAAGTGTCAGACCGCATCCATTTGGAATAGCGGCCATACCGAAGCCCCCATAGTTCGAGTTGATAAATGATATTGCGTTACCATCACGATCGCTGACTGCGAAGTAGACAGTGTCTGAGTGGTTGTGAGCAGGACTACCGTGGTGCTGAACATTTGAGGCTTTCTTAGGGTCGAAAAGCTTTGATCGCTCGGCCAGATAGTCGCGTGAGATGAGTTGCTTGGTTGGAACATCGACTTCGTTAGGATCCGTCACCCACCATGTAGCGTCCGCAAACGAGATGTGAAGTGCTTCGACAAGAGCATGTAGATATTCTGTCGAGTTGTGATCCATGTCTGTGATCCTCGGAATTTTCCCTCCTCGTTCTAATTCTTCTAATATGCCGAGGGCCATCAAGGCAACAATGCCTTGTCCATTTGGTGGATGCTCCCATACTTCGACTTGATCCCTGAAAGCCAATGAAATCGGGTCTACTCTTTCAGTACCGAGCTCCATATGATGGACCAAATCTTCCAGCTCAAGGTGGCCGCCAAGGTCTTGAACCACTTTCACAATCTCGTTTGCAATCCTTCCAGTGTAGAATCCTTTCTTACCTTCTTTACCAAGCGTTCGAAAGGTTCTGGCTAGGTTTGGATTCTTGAAGAGCTCGCCGGCTTTTGGAGCACGGTAACCATCAGGAGCAGAAGAATCTTTCTTCAGCATCTCTGCGAAGTTAGGCGAGGCTTTTCTGAGCTTATTCTCACCTGAGGCCCACTAAAAGCCATGGTTAGTGATTTTTTCCCATGAGATCAGCTTGATACTTACAAATTGAGCCGTGAGCTCAGATACTGGAAATCCGTTTTCACCCATCTCAGCTGCTGGAGCTAGGATTTCTGCCAGGGAGACTTTTCCGGATCCAAACATGTCAACTGTATCAACCCTACTCAGCTGTTAGTCTGGATATTAAGCAAAATGACTTCACATAAACAAAGCGTTCTGGTTGATGAAGCGGTAAATAAGTCAGAGGTGTACTCACCAGCCTGCGGGGGCACCGGGAACGGTGACAGAATGGACGCTTGTCATCGGAATCTCGCCAATCTCACCCTCTCGAAGGTTAAGATCTGCCCGTATTCTCTCAAGTGTAATCTTTCCACCAGATCGACCTGAACCATTCAAAGCAGACACCTTCTTGGTCTTGGCGTCAAAATACAAGCAAAACATATCGCCTCCAATACCGGTACTACAAGGCTCGGTCATATTCAGCCCGGCAGCTAGAATCATTAGCTATGAAAATGCAAGTAATTGTCTTGCTTGCTTCTCACGAACCTACAGCCACAGCAGCATCCTATTTTGTCAGCGTTGAACGAATACAGAGTCAATAAATCACTTACAGCGGCATTGCCTCCAGACGCCAAGATCTTCAACCCACAAGTGGCTGCCAGAGGTTGTGTGCAGGCCACTATTCCATTCGTGGAGTGGACGACGCTTCTTCTGCTTGAGAAGGGAATGAAGCTTGACTGCGAAGCCATTGCGATTATGTGATTCCAAAGCTTTGAGTAGGTATCAGGTCTGATTAATTAACATTGGTCTCTTTCGTATGTTTCCTGATGACGAGAATGCTTCTTCAGGCGAAATTTCACGGACCATGAAATGGGCGAGGACATAGTTTCCGACGGGGAAGCAAGCCCACTCTTGAACTGCTGCACCGAACCGAGAGTCAATGTGACGTGAGTTTGATTGGTTGACCATTGAGAACCCGAGACATGTGAGCTAAAATCGAACGGCTTTATAATATTTTGAAAGAGTTTCTCTTGCTATTGGCCCTGTAGACATGCTTATCGAGCATATAGCATTCATTATTGTCTAGTAAGCTGGCTGCTAATACGCGTTAAGCTTGCTGGAGAAGACTTCTATGCAGATGAGAAACCTCTAAGTTTCTTGAACTCGAACGCAAATTACAATGATCATCACGAACTTAATATCATGGTCAATCTGTTCCCTGCTACCTAATAATCTACTATAATGCAGTATCATCATTATGCACTCGCTCGAGGAGGTCCTTCTTCACCAATGCCGCCTAGATTCGTTCCAACGCTTTGAATGTAAAACTTACCACCGACAAGTTCCAAATCGTACTTGTCAACAAACTGCTACAGCTTCAGACTGGCAATCGTCAACGGGAGATCAAGCGGCTAATTGAAATTCTTGGACTCTCCTTGGTCTAAAAGAGGAGCTGGGTTTTGACACACTCGAACAGTTCTAGCATTATCTGTGACACAATCTGGCTAGGCATCTTCGATAGCAAGATATATGAAACTCGTTACAACGGCGCTTGAACAGTATCATCTTGCCCGGGGGATCAGGATCCATAATCAGCTTGAGGTAACTTTGTTGTCTTTAGGTCGTAGCCTTGTTCAGCACTGAAAGTGAGGTAGGCTCTGAGACAGTCTCTGCTTGATGCCAGCTTATCCATGGTATATGCTCAAAGCAAGATAAGCAAAACACCGATTCAAGCACTCAAGTCGACATTGGTAACCATATAATGCGAAGACCTTGACTCTGGGCTCAAAGAAAGGGACAGTATCGACAGTGATGTCAGCAGTGGAAAAGTCATCCTAACCCTTGCCGCCTCTGTAGAATTGATGGATGTGTAAGTGAGATGGGGACAGCGGAGGACAGCGTCACCAACTACACATGTCTGTGTTTTCTGGAGATGGATGGGTGGAAGTTAGCCATTCCTGCGATCCTGTATACCCTACAGAATTCCCTCCAATATGCAAGTATCTGGAGAGCATGATGTGTTGCTTCTCCCGACAGATGGCTCGACAACTGAAGAGATGAGGAGCTCACTGCCTCTCTGAGAGGACAAGGGCTTCCAATGTAAGATTATCAAGCTGATCCGGAGAACACAAGTCGAATAGTTGGATGGATCTTTGGCTAAGGGATAGTCGTGTTGATACTCAAGATCTAAACGCATACTCCCGGGGCAATAGAACCACAGACTTCAAGATGAGGCCGTGAACTGTCTGTTCCCAAGTAAAAAGAAAAAATTACAAGGCTAGCCAAGTCAAGGGACCAGCGTAAAGGCGAAAAGCCTCCAACTTACTTTGCCCAAACCTGTATCTAAGATCTCCCGATAAGCGTTCAGAAAATAGTCAAATCCTTCTGAGTCAGCAAATTCTAGCTCTTCCGCCCTCTGCACTCGTTGAAGCATAATAACCTTTTGCTGAATGACTGCCGTCCAACAACAGTGACGAAACCGATTGCATAGGAGAAGCAAGCAGCTTTCCGCTTCTTTTGTTCATAATCGCGAGAAGAACATCGAGGAAAGAAGGAACAGTAGGTATGTAAAGACAAGAGTGGATCGGCCTCGAGTAGGTATTCTTGCCAATACTGTTGCCAAGTCTGCCTGGTGAGTTTGGGATGATTGCACATTAATGGCGAAATTTGGTAGGACTAGGCTCTCTCTGGTTGTAAAGTAGATCGCAATCCAATGGCCACATTATGATTCGAACCCCTAAGTACTCCGTCAAAGACAAACATTGGGAGCACTCCCAGAAATTTCAGTCTGAATCATCCCAAATGTCGAGCTTCCTAGTAATAACCACACAGTCACGTGTCTCACTAGTGGAGCTCGGCTAGCTTGGAATCGGGATTCTTCAACCTCACGATCTTACGATGCTCCCAATCGAAGAACAACTCAATTGAAGCCGCCATGTTTCTCTCACGCCCTGCCTTCGCTGCCGCCCGCAGAGCGGCAGTCAGCCCCATGATCAAGCGCAGCTTCACAAGCTCCATTGTGCGCAGTACGACCCCCCATCGTGCCCCAATCTCCCGGATCGTCCTAACCGGCTGTTACAGGAGAAGCAGCACCTACACCTGCCAGCGGATCCAACGATGGCAAGATCAAGAAGTTCCAGGGTACGATACAGATCTGTGACTCCGAGGGAGCTCGTTGGGAGGGAAGGGTCGGTTACTGATGGGCAATACTAGATATTAAGAGCGAGGCCGATCTCATCGGCCCTGGTGCCGTGCCAGGAACCATTCCCACCGATCTCGAGCAGGCTACTGGTTTGGACCGACTGGAAATATTGGGAAAGATGCAGGGCGTTGACATCTTCGACATGAAGCCATTGGATGCTTCTCGCCTGGGTATGCTATAAATCAGCCCATAGCTGGAAAGGGGAACACACTGGCTTGGAAGGTCAATTGCTGATGGATGATTGTAGGCACGCTCGACAACCCAATTGTTGTCAAGTCCTTCGGTGATGAGCAGTATGCCGGGTGTACTGGTTTCCCGGCCGACTCTCACAATGTTATCTGGCTCACGGTACGTTCTGCTGGACGCGTTGATTTGATGCAGGAGCTAACAGTAAGGAAATAGATGTCCCGGGAGCGCCCAATCGAGAGATGTCCTGAATGTGGCAACGTCTTGAAGATGGATTATGTCGGCCCACAAGAAGACCCCCACGCTCACGATGCCCACGGACACGGCGACCACGGTCACGCATACGAGGAGCCAAAAACCTTTGCCGATTTCGTTCGCCCCGAGTACAGATAGAGGATGGGATGTGCAATTTTGAGAGGGAGTGGATGGGTTGGTAGATTGTAGAATAGTGGTCAATTGAGGTTTCCGTTTCGCGATTTCGAAGCCCAGTAAGCGGCTAAGTTTCATTGCTTGCTAGGTTTAACTCCATAAGTCCCAGTGGTTTGCAATCCCCACATTCGAATTTTGTCCATCTGGTGCGCTATTCGCCATGCTATGGAAGCAATAACCCCATTTCCGTATCAGTGAGTTCAGATCATTTTTACACATCTCTCTTTTGTCGTGCTATAATAAATGCGTTGGTCTCTCGAGCTCTGGAGAATTTGCTTCCCATTCAGTGTCTGCAAACATATCAGAGAGGCTCACCTCAAGGAGTCCAGGCCGCTCGCCCATGGAGGATTTGCAATCAGGTCAAACTGCTTGACAACATTCCGAAGTCTGGTGTTCCTTCAAGAACTTTTTCTCGTTGCGCCATATGATATCATTTGTCAGGCGTATTTATTTGCGAATTTGGTAGCCTGTTGGTATATCTGGTTCCGTTCCTTGAAAAATTCCTGAAGTGACGGAACGTCTCACAAGGTTGAAGACGTGCTTAAATATAGACAACGCGTATAGAGGGCTTTGTGTCGTTATATGCGGTTAGCGACCAATCATTTGTAAAGCCGTTCACAAGAATTTGGTATAACCCTCAGCACGGCTATTGATGCGCAAGAAAAAGGGTTGAATTTATGGGTAACGATGATGGACGTATGAAGGTTGGCGCTGGAGGACTCATTAGTTCTTCGACAAAAAGATACTGGCATGCCAATTGTTGCATCGCAATGTCCTCAGTATTTCCCACAAAAACGTTCTTCAAATACAGTATTTTTAAAACCTCGCAGACTTACCAAAAATTACTCCGTCAATCAATGCAATCGCTTCCACCGAATGGACTAAGGTTGGTGACTCACTCAAGAAATATGTTGCAGGCTTTCTATCCATTCAGACACTTGATAAGCTCGGTCGAAGGTTCTGCATAATGTGCAACTTCTGCATCTCTAGTGGTAGCCCACTTGGCAAATCGCAAAGTGCCGGGAAGTCGTAGTGAATTGTTGTTTTTCTGTTGTAGTGTGAGATACTGCCAACCAGGTCTATACAACGTCGCCTACGTCTACAAGGTCTTAGACAACTCTTGAACCATTTCTTTGGCAGCATAGCCATGTACATACTTTCCTTCAGTTGTTCTGAATTGCTACTTTCCATTGTTCCTCTGTGGGTTTCAAACGAGTATAGGTTTTTCTATTGAGATTGATAACTTGGTATTTTACTTTCTCTATTGCTCAAGTTTAGCTTTTTCTACTAGAATTACGATGAGAAAGAAACGACACTGCGAAGTAGACTCTTAAACAGCTGCAAAACACCTTCGATAGAGTCACAATGATACAATCGCCACCACAGTCACAAGCAGAACCCTTCACACACCCTAGCACGCTGATGACCATATAAAATATGGACACAACCTTCATATCGCCCTGTTCCCAGCTCCAGATATACAGCACGAAGCTTTACCCATGACCATTTCGCCCCGGGCTTTTTACGAATGTTCCCACAGCTGCCACACCGTATATGCTCACAATACCAGCATTTGTCGTTACCCACCAGCATGTCAAACCACCCATGCTTATCCTTACTACAGTGTTAGCCTATATTGTGTTTTTTGAGGTGTTAGAAAAGAGCTTGAGATACATACACGAGCCCTGCTGGGGTGTTCTGCAGAGCGGCAGCATGTCCAGAAATTGTCCTTGAATAAACGACCTAGTGATGAACCTTTCCAGCCCTTTTTTTCGAGGTTGTCCGGATTTACATTTGGTCTGTGTTGAGGCATCGGATATTTGAATCTTGGGATGGGGGAAGTTGAGGCTGAGGTTGAATTTGAATTAGAAGTTGAAGTTGGTATGTTTTGACCGCAGGAAATACGTCTCGATTGGCAGGCATGGGTTGAGACTTATGTGATTCGAATAACAAAGATAGTATGACCGCTTTGACAGAAAGGCAACGTATCAATGGTCAAAGAGATTTTAAGGGAAAAAAGTGATTGGACCTCCCTGGAATATTCTGGGGCAGCGTACAAAGAGCTATCTGAACCACTTATCCATTTTCAGACCTCCGAATGTATCTTCATACTTGCAAGGTGAACATTCCCTTCGCTCGAGAATGTAAAACAAAGATTCACTACGATATGAGAAACAGAGGAGGTTAAACATCCATTTAAATCACGTTCAGCAGAAAGAAGTGGTACCCCTCCAGTTTCATAATATTTCAAGATAATCTCTCAAGTAATCGATCATGTGCATGCTGCAATGCTTTTAGGTGTCTCACTCTCCCAAAACACATCAAAATCCACTCCTGTTAATTCTGCTTCTTCCAGGAATAGAAGATCGTGCTATGATAGGTTCTCTGGGTGTTATTCCTTGCCGTCTGAAAACCGCCCAAACGCCATGTAAAACTCAAAATCCACCTCTCAATTCGTCTTTGGTGAACCGGTCATCTTCTTCTGGTCACCCCCAACACCAGAATCCTTTCCACGAACATCATCTGCAGGAGGTGAAGCAGATTCCCTATATCCTCGTTGAGCAGCAATAGCTTTGGCCCAAGGAGCAGCGTCTTCAGGTCTCGTCTCTGCATTAGCATGTGCAACAATGAATTCTAGAGTTGCCAACTTCTCGGTCATGGAGCTATCGACCTTGGGTATAGATGAGGCCTTGGTTGATGGGGTTGGAGCTGCCGACGCGGAAGTTGATGCAGCGTGAGCGACGACTGCAGAAAGAGAGTTACCGAGACCATGATGTTTGCCGCTGTCATTTGTCGCTCCGTAATTATCCTTGGATCCATGAGCGTTGTCACCAGCTTTGTGAGTATCGATGTTGGAAACCTTCGTAACTTCTCTCTCACCAGCAAAATGCTTCTCAATCTTGCGGCCAGGATTTTCAGCCGAGAGTCCAACCACTTCGGTCTCTCTCATATACCTGTTCCCATCTCTATGTCCAGAGACTTCATTCCCAAAAATTTGGGGCCTATGTTTCTCACCCTGTCGCTCTCCAACTGCCACCTTAGCAACAGCACTTTTCTTCAGAATCTTGGGCAGGTTGACAGACTCGAAGAACGGAATTGGTCGATTTGTATAGCCAATTGGGTGTTTAGACATAACTTTCGAAAGTCTATCCTCCTCCATTTTGCTGGGTGCCTTCTTAGAGTCCTTGACAAAATATGCCTTTGCGGGCTTCTTCTGCTCTTTTTTCTTGGACTTGGCGGATGTTTCTTCAGTAGCTTTTTTGTTAGCAGCGGAAGTTTTGACTGGAGGAGGCCGCTCGCTGGATCCCAGAACTGCGAGTCCGAAACCTGGCGATTGAGCAGGACGATAGATACCATCCACGATTATACCAGCAGAATATCTCGGAATGGCCTTCTTTGTGCGATGTATCTCGTAATCATGGAAATAGCCTTGTATTGATGCGTCAGCATTAGAATTACCTTCATCGTAAACTTCAAGCTCTTCATCACTTGAGTCATCAAGTGCACTCGGAGAAAACGGGTTGGATGGCTGCTCTTTTTGAACTTCGTTGATCTTTTGTCTATTCCTTCCGTCACCACTTTCGAGATCCTCCCATCTTGACCGGACTTTGGAATTTATATTTCTCCCTTGCCCAATATCCTTACTAGGACGAGCTGTCTTGTAACCACGAAGTAGGGAAGTCATGTCCACGTCAGATCCACCCAGTTCTTCTAAGTCTTCATTTGCGAAGGCTGACTTGGCTTCCTGATTCTTGCTCTGCACAGTTCTATTGAGGGATGATCTACTGATGGGACTGGAATCTTGAAGCTCGGGAAGCTCGCCTTCGCCGTTTGTGGCGTTGGTAGAGGAAGGTGGATCGCCATGGCTCGCCGGAAGTTTGTAATCGCGACGAGTCCACTCGGTTTCAACCTTGCGGTGAGAAGCTGGGTACTCCCATTCGCTGTTATCTTCCTCTTTGTAGTCCTGGTATCCTCGCCTCCCACCCCTGAGCCCCTCAATCTGTCTCTGATTATATTTGATTTCCTCCTCGGATGGGTACATCTCTCCTCGATGTCGACCAGATCGGGTGCCACTGCTTCTACTTGTGAGTTCATGGGTACAATGACCGATAGGATCAGCATGGACACTCAGTGTCTCTTCTGGACTGAATCCTAGAAATGCTTTTGGATCAGTCTGTGTGAAGCGGGTGGCATATCTGCTCCAACGGCTTCCAGGAGGAGAGGTAGTTTTCCGGGAGGATGTGATAGCGGCAGTGGGGGGTCTTTGTTCTGCTGAAGGTGGTCGGACAGATCGTTGGGCAGAGGTAATAGAAGATCCCAACAGCGGTTGAGACATTCGAGGAGATGCTCTCATGTGAGTCATATCGCTCTGACCTCTACTGAGAGCGCGTGCACTGAATCGATTGTAGTGGAATTGAGACAAAGCGTTCTCGGTATAGACTCTAAGCGCTGGGTATCCACCACGTCTCGTCATCTCTGCCTCCATCAAAGGAGCAAGCTCTTTCCATGTCAAGCCTGTTGTTGGGTCGTACTGTCCACTCGAAAATTGCGACTGTGGAATGATGAAGTTGACAAAGCAGTCTTTCTCCTCTTGGGTCCAGAGTGGTGCGCCCATCTCGAACAAGACTGGGGTCCTAGCTGTGGGTATTGATCTCTGTTCGAGTGGGATAAGAGACTCGGGAGGTATCAGAGTACCGCTAAAAGATGTGTTAGTAGAGAGATAACGGGTCATCTGGCGTTCAAACACTTACTTCCTTGAATAAGCAAAAGCAAAGACGCCCCTCACTGTTTGCACCTGATGTTAAGAGGAGGGAATTTCGAGAAAGCACTGGAAGCACTATGAGATTCAGATGCTTTATATGTGCTTAGCAAGGATGCCTAGGATGAAAGGGCCTTTGAAAAGTTTGCTCTTGTTTTCCGCTCGTCGAGGAAGGCGGGAGGGAGACACAGAACGCCAGATTGAGGTCCTGAAATAGTGTACTAGCATTATACTGGCGCTAGAGACAAGGTAATGCAAGTGAATAGATTGACTTGAAGTACACTCGAGGCAAATCTTAGTGTGGCTCGTTCAACGGTTCTCGATTCACTTTCCCTTTCCCACGATTGCTTTGCTTGCGATTTTGTTAGTGTCTCGAGACAGCAGACCGACCAATAGTACAAGAAAGGTTCCAACAAATCTACTTACAATTTCATAAAAATAATCAATTTCTAGTTCCATCTATGTACCATAGCACTGAAGACAGGGCCTGGGTGCAGATGGTTGTTGTTCGCTCGAGTTTTCTTGCTCAAGGGTCGAGATCCTGACAGCTCGACAGGATAATGCAGGATTATATTCCATAACCCTGCTCAATATCCGGTAACTGAGGCTAGTACCGAATTCGGAACGGGAATTTCGCTTCAACTGAATATCGCTGTCTATTAGAAAGACTTGCCGATAATTTCAGAGGTAGGTCTTGTTTACTTTAACCGAGCGGTACTAGCCCGTTGCTCGTTGCCCCGCTGCAGTGTCTTCTCTAGACACATAATCCGACTTCAAGCATAAATGCTTTCAAGGCGACAAATAATCTCAAAGACCACCTTCAAAAATATAGGAAGTACTTGGTATATGTCTGGGGTGTACTTCTCCATTTTCTAAGCCGGCGCACCTACCAATGCTTGATCGCAGCCTTTAGGAATTGCTGAAGCAGTTTTGTCCAATGTGAAGAAGTCCATGAATTCGACAAGTAAATGCAATATAAAGGCCACCTCAGATTTCACAAACAGAAACGCAAATGAACACTGGGTTTTCGCAAACAAAAGAGCAAGTATAAGCAGAGTACAAACAGACTGGCAGACTGGCATTCTGGCTAAAGCAGAAAGGGGTAAAAATGGCTGGTTCTGCTTCACGTGGAAGGAAACATGTCCATACCAGGTCAAGGACAGTCGCCAAGGCTACCTTCAGCCCTTAGCCTCATATTAGTCTGCTTGTTTGTGCCATGGGGCTTGTGTATTCAAACTGCTTGATTGTAAGGTAATCGTGGTATCTAACAAGAAAATAATGCCTGACAGCATGCTGCCCAAAACCTTGAACGCCATGTTGCTTTGTCTGATTAAGACGACAGCTAATGATAGTTCTAACCACTCAAACAGTGTTGCCCTCGTTTCCAATATCCAACCTCTCAATAGCCCAAACGTGTATAGACATTATCGTAATCATCGGACCCAAATTATCTTACAATCCACCCCTGGACTCCGGTATGCTACCGTCCGAGGAAATATCCTGCCCAGGCTAGCACTAAACCAACACTGAACACTGGGTTATATCCAATCATGTTCCCACCGCTCGCTATGTCAAAAGGGCTTCCTCCTCCCGAGCCAGGATCGGGTTTTGGTGTGGCCTTCGATCTCGAACTAGAGCTCGCAGCTGCAGCCGCTTTGTTGGAGGTGGTCGTAGAAACGGGTACAGCCTCCGGAGTTGTTGTACTGGAGGCTGTTGTCGCAGTCGTCTGAGGTGCCTCGGCCGTTGATGTTGTCGACGTCGTGAAGACGGCTGGACTGGTCGAGGATGCCATCGAGCTCACAATCGATAATGAGATTATTGTTAAAGAAGACCGAGCAGTTGTGCTCGCTGTCGGTTGTACTATGACAATGGAGCTTGTTTTCGGTACTTGAACGCCGGGACTCGATGTTGGTATTGTCACAATGATTTGCGGAGTTGCAGATGTGCTGCTTGTAGAGGTTGTCGTCGAGCCCAATGTTGGGCAAAGCGCAGCCACGATCCCTCCGCTCTTCACAATGCCCAGTAGTGTACTTGGGTTCACCAAAATAGTTGAGCAAACATCCTGCACATCTGATTGTATGTCCAACAAGTTCTGAACGCAGTCATCTGAGCACCCCTTGTTGAAATCCTTCTTCTTGCAGTCGCTTATTTGTGTGTCGTACGTTAAGAGGCACGATAAGGGTATGGCGGTTGATGTGATTTCTTGAAAGTTTGAGAGAGAAAGCGCCATCGCGCTGGGAATCGCAAGGAACAAGGCAAGGTGATTCCGCCGCATTATTGATAATGCTCGCCGCCCAGTTCGCAAGCAGATCTTGAGAAAGACAATTGAGATGTGGCTCCGCACCCACAGCTGGGGCTGTCGACAATAGATAGGAGCGTAGAACAATGACGGTAGCAGGCAAAGAATTGACCAGGAAGAGCTTCGAGATGTTCCCAGTGACACAGTAGAAGTCAAGGGAATATGCTTCGTCGAGCCAAACTCTGCACGTTTGAGATGAATTGGTTTGACAGCTCACCTCCCACGGTTCTCCTGGGTGTTTGCGACAAGAAATGTCAGATGTGGCAGACCGAGCGCGCAACGTAGGTACTCGAGTACTCTTTGCGACCCCGTTGCCTTCGGAAAGGGATGTTACTGGGTTCTTGCTGGTTTCTGGAATGACGCAGTAGCTTGAGGCGACACAGTGTGCAGAGCTTGGGACGAGGCACGGTATGCGATACTGATCGACGCGTGCTGCAAAATTGCTGGACCTGGAATTTCTTTGCGCGGGGGTGGGTTTGAGCAGAGCTATGCAGAATGTAGAGAGATCTTTGGTAGGTTTGTGTGTGAAGCAAGAGAGAATATAAGGTAATAGAAGAGTTGAGCGGAAAGGCAGGCGCGACAGAATGTAATGAGGGTAACGAATGTAATGGACAGGTCCAGCCTTGAGTCCCTTCAGCAGCACCGGACGGCTTCAGAATCAGGGCAAGGAAAGCGAAGAGACAGGAGAGGAGAGGAACGAACGAAGCTTTTCGACGAAGGAAAGGAAAGGGATGGAAAGGACTTCCCTGCCTCCCCCTCCGCCTCCTCCTCCGCCTCCGTGTCGTACAGTACTGTTCTGTAGCTCATGAACAGTGACCGTGGATCGTGAATCGTAGACCAAGAGATGGCTCTGAACACAGGAACCATTCATCATGCCGAGACTTGGGCCTCGGGCAAACCAAACAGAGCGCCATCATTGGACACAGTCGAGGAGAAGATCTTCGGCAGAACCAATCATAGCTCTGGCGGTCCCGGGTTGCGATGCTTCTTACCATCTTTGGCCATCTTTGGATGCCCTTGAAACTTGTGTGCCGTTTCAGATGTTTTGGCGAGTTTGGGAGCGCAGCATTCGGTTAGAAGAGCCGACCAGGGGCAGGGGCAGGGAGGGGCAGGGGCAGGGGCAGGGGAGTGGCTGAGGGGTTCGTGAATCTTGATTCTTGATTCTTGAGTCCCGTCCTGGTCCAGGTCTGTGAGGCAGGCGCGGGCGTCCCCACATGGCCCACACACTTTCATCCGCACCTGCACCTACACCTGCACCTGCAGCCTTTCTTGTCCAGTCGCTCCCCTGATTATTCGGCCCCTGCCGAGTCTGCCTCTGCCAACGGAATCTTGTCCTGACGTTCAGAACAACCGAGGATGGACCAAGTGAGCCCAAACACCATGATCGTGACCGTGACCAACGGATCGCAACAACCCAGGGCAACCTGTCTGCCAGACCAATTCCCCGGATTCTTGGTCCCTCTCGTGCATGACCAACCTGGACTCTCTAGCATTCTTCAGGAACAGCCGTCATCTTCGCAGCTGGCTCCATATACTTTCCTCGTCCTTAGGCTTTCCAATCTCGTCTGATGGTGGTTAGCCATGCGAATCTCCTGAGCCCGCTCTCCATCCATTCTCTTTTTGCGCCGTTCCCCGCAAAGTCAATTGCCTTATGCCTTATTGCACAGCCATACTAGTTCTATGTGTGCCGTCATTTTGCCAGAACCTTGAGATCCGTTATGAGCTGTGTTTAGCAGTGGCTAAATGACAGCTCTTGGCATTGTCTTCACAATGTCTATCTTCGTCCATCAGCTGGACGATCACAAGGTTGACTAGTCTGGGCACCGGTAAGGCCGATTGATATTGATCCATTGCCCTTATGAGTGAAGTGGGCCGGCGCTCAGCCTTGTGGGAAGGATCTATTCGACGTCATGGGGTTGCTTCCTTGGACCTTTGTGGCCATCTCCACTGAGCGGACAAGGCTCCGGAATTTAGTGCAGAGGTTATGATTATAAGCTGACATATCCTTGGCTCATACTTCTTGTAAAAGCCAAGTTGGTCTTACTGAAGCAGTCGAGCTCCTGTCCATTCCCACGGGAGGTTTTGCCAGTGGTTGTTTTAAACTTGACTGCACGGCCTATCAGACCATTCGGAATCCACAACTGCGCACCGAGGATACAAAATCTCCGATGCGCCACATATTGCAGAGTTTCTCTACTGTTTCTATGAGCACGAGTTGGGAATAATGCCCTTGATTCGAGTCAACGGTTGTGTCAGTTGCTATGAGCGAGTTCAATAATTAGTAGAAGTCGCTGACGTGGATGATGAAGTCAACGGGGGAGAATGGGCTAGAATATAAGGGCATGGTACGCACACATAGGCAATCCCATAGGACGTGACTGCCTGTTGGGTTGAGGGAGAACTCATGAAGAACGAAGGGTGGTCCTCCTCGAGAAAGTTTGAGCTGGAACACTTCTGTACTCAGAGAGCTCCCAGTTGGCTTCCGAATACCAAATTGTGGCAACTCACAGATAAGGCATCGTATGAAGCCACCAAATCTCTTGACATTACTTGCAACGAGCCCAGATGTATTTTCATGGAATTTTCTGACATGGAATCTTCTACCCGTACGTTCTCCAGAATTGGAGATGTGCTCAAATCGATAGCGTTCATGAATGACTCACAATTCGAAAACAGTTATCCAGACGAAAGCGGAGGTATGGACCATTTACCTCTGTTCAGCCTCTTCTACTGGCATGTTTCATCTCGAAGTCAAACTGAGTGGCATGTTGAATCGATTCCCTATTGGTGAGCTTAGTGAGAAAAGTAACAGCTCCATTTCACATTCGAACCTTTCAGTGTATGAAGTTCTAATCCAGATTGGGAGAGCAATATAGATTTGGCAGCTGCGAATAGCCATCTCGACAAAGTTGCACTTCAAGAAATCTACCATAAGATTTTCGGCTGTTTCTTAAACTAATGGATACCTTGCGTCTACTGGTCTTGTGAAGCGTGCATCAACAATACTGTGATTATGTTTCCATTGAACCAAAATTTCAAAAAAACATAGCTCATCTTCGACAAAATACTTAGTGTTATTTCCACTATCTACATTGACAAATATGAAATTCGAGTCCTGCACTTCACACTGCCATCCTCTGAAGACACCCAGATCTGATTGGTAGCCTTGACCTTACATAAACACCCGCCCCACCTCAGCCTTGCCGACCTCAGACAGGGCAAGGTTCCAACAAAATACCCCCAAACTCGATATCAGAACGCGACAATAGCATCGCCCCTCATAATAACAAAACATATTGCACATTGTACACAACTGTCCCGAGCCTCCAAATATTCAACCTCAATAACTTTTGCTTTTCACTCTCTGATTATCCAAGACAAATTTCAACCCAAGGGACAAAGCAACAGCAAATACCGAGCTTTGCAACATTCAATTGCAAGACAAAGGCTTTCTACCAGCAATTGAGCACAGGTCACAACACAATCTAAAAACGCATAGAACGGAATGGCATCCGAGCCCACGACACCAGTCCGCGTGCCAAAGGCAGCTTCAACGTACACACCCACAACACAAGATGCAGATCTAAGGTCCCAGATCAACTCAGTGCTCTTGCGAGATGGACATATCACAAAGTACATGCCCTCCCTCTTTTCGACTCGGCTAAATCCAATCTGTCTGAATATTGCACGAATCCAATCCTTGAGACGATTCTCATCACAGAAGAATAATTCACAAGAACCATATACTGACTTAACCTTCCCATTTAGAATCCACGACACCCTCCTTCACACCCTGCACTCTCACCCACAAAACTGGCCTACCCTCCTCCAGAACCACGCACTCTCCCTCCTTCGCTCGGGGACATGCACAACCTTCCCCGACCTAATGACACGAGTTCTGCAAGACATAAAGGACGACACAGAAGCCTCAGCTGCACATCAGCAAGCCCAATCACAAATAAACTCCTCAAGTTCAAGTACAACAGCAGGCTCGCAATCGAGTTCTCTTCTGAAGGGAAAATCAAATGGTGTGACAACAACGACTGGTAGTAATGGGAAGTTTGGTAAGAAGAAAGGGGAGGATGGTGGGATGTTTGTGGGGAAGGGGGAAGGAGGGCAGAGTTTGGCGTTGCCGAGGAGTGTGGTCGAGGAAGGGGTGAAGATTACGAGGGAGTGTTTAGAGGCTGTCTGTGAGGTTGATGAGTGAGGCTTCACCTTCAAAGGCCATACAGATGGAAGGAGCAAGGTGTATATCCTGTGATGTGTGGTGGATACAGGTAGAAGAGAGATGTATGTTGAGTGGAAGAATGTTCTGTACTGAGTGGCTCCCTTAAACTTGGATTACAGAGAGGAGACAATTCTTTTCTCGGTATTAGAAGTGGCGAATCTATGCTAGACAGGCATAGGTACTCAAGCCAGTCGGTGTCCTGGAATATGGACCAAGGGAGGGAGGAGATCATAGTCACACGATCAAGGCATATCTCGGCGTTCGGGTCTGGTTCGTTCATGTCACTAGACACAACAACATAGAAGAATGCGTAAACAGGAATAAAGAGGAGTCTGTATTTGGCAACCTGCTTTCTTCCTTTCCAATTTTAGGTACCCCTAGGTCAGTAGCATTCAAGCTGCGTACCACTGCAGCTTCAATACATGGGAAAATTGTCAGTGTTAAAGTATGATGCGCACTGCTCACACCGTCACGTCACATGACAAGGCCAAAGATTCATGAAAATATCTTTTACTGGACAATCTATTGATTCAGGCACTATGAAGATCGAAATGCATTCTCCAACGGACTAAAAATCTCCGCGGCTGCGCCCAAGACATGAGAGCATAGCAAAATATTGAGATCATTGTCCGGAACCTTGGGATTGTAGACTTCTCCCAACTCCCAAATACAAGTCTAACCTGGGGAAACCACCTTCAGCCCAGCCCATGAGAATCTTCCGTGCATGCATGCAGAAAAGAAAATTAGAATACAGATGAATTAGTCGTAGAGACTATCATCGTTGCCCGCGTCACCAAATCCACCAGCTCCACCTTCGGCGTTAGCAGCTGCCTCTCCAGCCTCAGGAAACTTGAAGAAAGCACCGGGTCCAGAACTCTTCATGCTTTGAGCGAATGCCTCATATCGTCGAATCTCGACATCAGAGACGGAGCGTCTGGCCGAGGACATGGCCTCTTCGAAATGAGCCTTGGTCAATTGTGGAACTGGATCCTCAGCATCCTCGTCTTCCATATCGATATCCTCACCAGCAGCCTCACGAGCCTTGCGACGCTCAATATCTAGCGAAATGGCCTCCTTGATGGCAAGCTTGACGGCACGTTGAGTAATGAAACCCAAATCGGCACCAGAGAAGCCGTGAGTCCGGGAAGCAATGTAAGCGAGATCGACATCAGGGGCAACGGGTGTCTTTCGAAGTTGTGCCTTAAGGATACCAGCACGGGACGATTCGTTGGGAAGAGGAACGTAGACGAGGGTATCGAGACGACCAGGTCTGCAAAGAGCATTGTCGAGCTGCTCAGGTCTGTTGGTAGCACCAATGACGAAGACGTTCTTCTTGGAGGTCATACCATCCATTTCTGTAAAATTTCAATCAGCTGTGTTTAATAAATTGGAGCCGGTGAACTTACCAGTCAAAAGTTGATTGACGACACGATCAGAAGCACCACCAGCATCACCATTGGATCCTCCACGTGACTTGGCAATAGAATCCAACTCATCCAAGAAGACAACGCAAGGAGCAGCAGCTCTGGCCTTATCAAAGATGTCTCTGATGTTGCTCTCGGACTCACCGAACCACATACTCAACAGTTCAGGTCCCTTAACGGAGATAAAGTTTGCGGAACACTCATTGGCAACAGCCTTTGCAAGCAAGGTCTTACCAGTACCAGGAGGACCGTAGAAGAGGACACCACGAGATGGTGAGAGACCGAACTTGAGGAACTTTTCGGGGTGGTCGACAGGGTATTGAACGGACTCGATAAGCTCGCGCTTGACTTCCTCGAGACCTCCAATATCGTCCCAGCGAACGTTTGGTACCTCGACAACTGCGACCTCGCGGAGAGCAGATGGGTTGGACACACCAAGGGCGAAGCTGAAGTTGTCCATGGTGACACCCAGGGAGTCGAGAACCTCGGCATCAATAGTATCCTCATCAAGATCAATGAGATCCATCTTTTCACGAATTTGTTGCATTGCAGCCTCGGAGCAGAGGGAAGCAATATCGGAACCAACATAACCATGAGTCTCCGAAGCAATTTGCTCAAGATCGACATCATCGCCCAACTTCATATTCTTGGTATGAATTTGGAGAATCTCAAGACGGCCAGTTGGGTCTGGTATACCAATATCGACCTCACGATCGAAACGTCCGAAACGACGGAGAGCGGGATCGATAGAGTTGGGTCTGTTGGTGGCAGCCATAACAACAACATTGGATCGGGCCTTCATGCCGTCCATGAGGGTAAGAAGTTGGGAAACAACACGGCGCTCGACCTCTCCGTTTGTCTTGTCTCGCTTTGGTGCAATAGAATCGATCTCATCAATGAAGATAATCGCAGGGGAGTTCTTCTCAGCCTCCTCAAATGCCTTTCGCAGATTCGATTCAGACTCACCAGCCATCTTCGACATGATTTCTGGACCATTGATCAAGAAGAAGAATGCACCGGTCTCGTTTGCCACAGCCCGTGCCATGAGAGTCTTACCGGTACCTGGAGGACCGAACATAAGAACACCACGGGGAGGCTTAATACCAATAGACTTGAAGAGCTGGGGATGGCGTAATGGAAGCTCAACCATCTCTCTGATCTGGGCCATTTGCTTTCTGCATCCTCCAATATCATCATATCCGACCTCGTTCAAGTTACCCTCCTCGTCCTCGCGCTGAATAGGCTCGCCTTCGCAATGGATGACTGTATCTTGTGCAACGATCCCATACTCCGGGGGATCGACCTCCACGACCTTGAATTCTACCTGTCTCATACCACCACGGACTGTGAATAGATCTCCTTGTCGGACTGGTCGGTAGGCTTCGCGGAAATATGGGGCGAGGAAGACATCGAAGAGAGACCCAGTGAGGCCTTCGACGGTATCGGCGATAGGGAGGACTGCGATGCGCTTGGCCTATTCATATATTAGCATCTTGTAGTTGGAAAGCGTTTCTGATCAAAGTACTCACATATTTGATGTCTGGGCATGGGTGAACAGTGACGATATCGCCATGCTTGACTCGGAGGTTATGTCGAACGACACGGTTCATTCGGGCACTCCCATCATCCAAATCATCATCTGCGAGCACAATCAAAACTGTATCCTTGCGCTTCTTTCCCTTCACCAATACAGTATCGCCACGGAATAATTGTAAAGTCTCCATAGTGTTGTTTGAGAGGGCGATAACGGAGTTGTCATCATTAATAGCATCCGTGACCCTGTTGCCACCTTGTCAGCTTTGGAGATCCAAGAGATCAATCTGTGAGATACTCACATCAAAGAGTTCGGCTTCTTCTTCTTCTTGAGAATGGCAGTCGCCGTATCATCGGTCTGGTGCAGGTGTCAGTCTGTGGAGCTCAAACGGCTGCATGGTGGCGCGGTTTAACTTACTGCCTTGTGCTCAGCACCAGAAGCATCGCTACAGAAGCCATCAGTATTTGCCTACGAGTATACACCCAAGCTCGACTTACTTGAGATTGACCTTCTTCTTGTGCTCGACATGATCAGGTTCACCGGCCGCCATCTTGAAGGCTGATGATCAAGAGATCGGACTTTGTGTATAGGTCTGTTTGTTGTTCGCTCTTGTCGCCGAAACTGGGGCGGGGAAGATGTGAGAAGGTCTTTGCAAATGATCGTCGAGATCGAGTTCGAGGTGGAGGAAGGAAGGGATGAAGTTGTGGGAGGAAGAGTTGTGTTGAATTCAGGATGTGTTCTGTCGAATGCAGGTAGGAAATACCCAAGAGCTCAGGAACGAACGCTCGCTTGGGACTAGCGTGCGAACATGATAGAAGTGGACAGAGGTTGCCGTAGCCGCTTAGAGATCTCACCAGGCAGCGCGAAGTGCGTGGCCAGCCTAATCTGATCCGGTGAATGCGAGAAGGGGTGCGACAAGAACAGATTTACTTCGTACCATACACTCCGGACTCAAAAAGAACGCTCAAGAAACTACGAGTGACTTCACGTGGCAATATGTCCATTCTCTGAGGCAAAACGATTACATTGTCAGGGAGTAACGCCAGCTAAAAATGCTGAGATGCTCCTTGATGATGTAATAATTGACAAGGCTGGAATGAATCGTGATATTTGGCACAAACGAGTCATGTATTGATGATCTTCATGAATAGCTAAGTAATGGGTCCAACTCCAACCTCTTGTAAACTGGTGTACCTCATGCTTTAAAACGTCCAATGGACACGGGAGCAATACCAAACTCCTGCAAATGGACCCTACAAAATATGGGAAAGAAATAAGTTTCCAAGCTCTTTTCGAGAAGGGTTGAGCTTCTGCCCACTTCTTCTTTCAAAATTCAAACATTCAGAACATACACGACCAGGTTTTGACATCAATGGATGTTCCGAAGGATTGTGGCACATCAAATAAGGCCAATTGAAACCGCTTCTCTCGCCATCGTCATTGTAGATCCTGTACCTAAACAGAGGTAAAGCGGCGTTGAGGTACTTCGGGCAAAGACAATTCACGTCTCGTTGACGGCCAGGTCCCAAGTTTTTGTCGCCAGCCGATGAATTCCATGTTCGGCTTCTTGGCCACAGGTAAACAGTCCAGCATTCCACGAACATCAGGAGCTTGATGGACATGCATCTCCATCATTTCTCTTGTCAATACGGCCATGCCTGTCCGCATGGCGCCTGTGGCAATGCTTTCATGTCTGTGGTTCTGAGTATACATAGTTTGGAGCCATGTTGAGAAAGGAGGAATTTGGGAGAAGATATGGTTGTGTGAGGAAGAATCAACCGACCTATAGTTATTAGCCAACGGATGTGAAAGAAGGCATCGTAGACATACCCAGCGTTGGACGAGGTTGCCGATATTGCAGAACCGTTTCTAGCAATCTTTGAGAAGTTTGAATTGGCTGACATTTGAGTTACAATCGATAAGTGTTCAATATGTTCAAAAGACCTCGCAGGGTGGCTAGTCTCAAGGTGATATTGATTGTCCACGAAGGACTCAAACAACGAGAGGTCGAGAGTGTTTGCAGAGGATGTGGGGTAGAGAAGCTGACAAGCCGAGAACATCGATAGAGGGGGTAAATGTTCTCCTTATACCTTTTGATTCTTGTACAAATCCCGCATCCTCTGGCATCGATGTGATGTTGTTGGGTTGTAGCTGTCGCCCAGCGTATCATGCGACGCCTGAAAGCACTGCCTCATCGTGACCTCCAGAAAGGGCCCCAAATTCGCTGCGCATGAGGAAGGGTGGCTGATAACTGTGATGAGATGTGATGCAACAGGACATCTTGCAATAGATTTACTATTCCTGTTCATGCGCAATTGAAGGGGTTGCATGCGGAATATTATTGTTTTTAGTAAAGGAAATGGCGGAGTGTTAACGTGACTGTGAGAGGGTGAGAGGCAATGTTCAACACCTTAAGCTTGAGGTAGATGAAGCTTTGGTGAGAAGTGGAAAGCTCATTGTGCCAAGCACGGCCGTGTCCAGCCTGTGGAGGAGCAGCTCGAGGCTGAAGCTAGAGCTGAATCTCCTCCGCTACGCTGCCACACCACCAATATTGTAGGAGGGGGAAAGAGCACAGGAAACCCTTCTTGAAGCACGCCCTTCCTGTCTGGAGTTCTAGAATCTTGATTTGGTCAGGATTTGGCAATCAGCCACCGGTCCTCGATCGATTTGGCTAAAGTATAAGTAACCGCAAGCATGATACCGGCCATGATGTTCTGTCCCTTTGCACCTACCGACTCATCTCAGTTATCAGCAGCAGTCGAATTTCTTATCATCCAATCTGCTGATACCGGTTCATGCCCTTCACCAACTGAGATACCAACAGCCCAGAGCGCGCAATTTGTTGTCTTTTTCCATGGCCCGGTTTTCCTGGCTTCATTGATCTCGAGTTCTCAATATTTCCTGCTTCCACACGATTCATTCTGTTTTATGTCCGGTCAGCTACGATTTATGCGCATCTACACACGTCACTTGACAGGACCAGACAACAATACACTGCAGCCTGGCTTCTCTGTCGATTTATTGCCGGAAGCCCTGATGGAGCATACGACACAGTCTTGCCCAGGTGCTTTCTAGATTACTTGATGGCTCTAGACTACGGCTGCATAACAATAGGGTTTGCTTGTGGACTTGGTGTTGATGTACGAAGGACCTCAAAAGAATTCTACTTCTCGTACCTTTCGTACTCCTCCGTTTATCCATTAAGCCATGCTACAAGGACGCCTTTGCCAACCCATTTTGCGTCTAAGTCTCTTTTGCGACTACGTTTAAACTTATTGCACACATCAGGGTTCATATTGTTACTATTCACTCCGCTAACTTTGAGACATTGCTACATCCTCTTGTTTGGTTCCAATTCTCGCGAGTAAATTAGACATATCATGCTTAGACATATCATGCTTAGACATATCATGCTTAGACATATCATGCTTAGACATATCATGCTTAGACATATCATGCTCTTTTCGCAATAGGAGTGTTTATCTGCGGGATCTCAGCCTCATCCTGAAATGCGTTCAATTGGAACTTCGGAATCTTTTCAGATTTGAGATTTATGCACTTAAAGCTGTTCCACCTAGACCTCAATATATCAAGATCTGGAATCTGAACATTCTCCAGAGAATACAAACAATGTTAAGCCAGGAGGACAAGAGATCCACAAGGTCAGCACTTTTCCTGGATGATCTCCAAAACACAACAAGACTGAAATGTTACGAAAGTTTACAATTTCTCGCATTGCTCTCTGGCAGGCGGGGGGAAGGATGGGCATATCTGCTCCCAAGATCGAGGAATATGACGGAGTGCTGTGCGACTTCATCTATATCTATCCAATCAAGACCCCTCTTGATCTGCTGCATACCCTCCATAACGCCCTCTAGGGTTCGCCTTTCACACGCCGCAGAACTCTCTCCACCCACTCTCAACCCTCCAAACAATCCTTATCCACCTCCTCACAGCTGACCACCCATACCTCTATCAATTCCCTCATCCATTATCCATCCAACCATTTCCAACCCATCGCTCTCGCTCTTCGCCCTCTCGCGCCCTTTCCCAAATCCCATCTAATCAGACTGTCTAAAATCCACTCACAGGGCGAAGGGGCGACACAGAAGGGCGACTCGGTTTCAGGGCGACCAACGCCCTCCGATTTTACGACATGCAACAAAAACTTATACATTCCTATCTCACTGCATCAACTGGAAGGGAAACAGTCAATAAAGCCGATTTAATGGTCAATGTCTCGTGATATTCAGAGGCAGCACGTGTTCGTCAGAGCCTCTCGCCCGAGTTGCCCCGAGATCAGAAGAAAGGAAGAAGTATCTGCCGATGAGCGAGGATAAGGTACGGAGTGGGTCGATAATCACGCGTTAGACTTTTTGAAAGTATTTCCTTGGGCTGAGATGGAAGAATTCTTTCCTTCGTTCTCATTTCTTCTCATTTCATTCTGTCCCAACCTTTCTCTCCATTGGTGGGAAATTCAAAGGACAAAAGAGTAATAAACGGCATCCTTATTTACATACACCACCGCACCGCCGTCGGTTGACCTGTCTATCCCAGAGTTTCGTTATTAAAAGAAATGAAGTAGTACACACAGCTCGCCCGCTTCTCGCGTCTCGTCTACCTTCTGGCCCTGTCTTCAGGCTCCTCGACTACATTTTTGCTCTCCGCCACCATTTGTTGTTTACTCTCGGGATACGTCACGGCCAAACGCTTTGGACTTCAGCCAGTCAAGGACCACTAGAACACGATTGCGGGCTAAGAAGGATGATTGTTAATATGGAAGGTATCTTTGAAAGGGCATGGCTGGTTACTTACTGCTGAAGCACATGCTCAGGTACGCACTTCTCCAGAAGAGATACGTCAATCCACCACCGGTAGCAAAGTTGCCATTCAACCAGCTCACATCAGCCACCGCTCTTTCGCTACCAATGTAGGCCAAGGATCCTTGATGAGTATAATGGAACGGCTTAATGTCCTTGATCCGACGCAACTGCTTCTCATGCGACTCGATCTGCTTTGCGACTTCGGCGGTATTTCCAGGCTGGAGGTTGAGGTTGGAGCTCAGGTCGTGGATTTGAGTCTCAATGGCCTCGCTCTTAGCCATGGTGTTGAAGAGACGGGCGAGGAAAGCTCCTTCTTGAGAAGCAACTTGGGCAGTTGGGGCGTACCCGGCAACGGCGCAATCACCAGTGGCCCATATGTCCTTGGTACCTTGGACGACAAGGTACTCGTTCACAGCCAAGCCTCTTCTCGAATCCTTCTGTGCTGGAATGGAGGCCATCAGGTCTCTAACAACAGGTCGGACGGCGTTTCCGGTAGCCCAAACAAGGAGACCATACGGCATGACCTCCATCTTCTTTTTTCCGTCAGGGCCTGTTGCCTCAGCCTCAACAGTTGTCTCGGTGACCTTCTTGACGGCAGTCTTGGTCATGATGGTGATCTTCTCCTCCTTAAAGGTTGACTCGGTGTATTCGATTAATTGCTTGGAGAACATGGGAAGGACGTTGGGAAGAGCCTCGATCAGGGTGACCTTGAACTTGTCACTGATCTCCGGAATCCACTTCTTGATATCCTGGTCGAAGAAATCCTGGAGCTCACCGGCGAATTCCACACCAGTAGGTCCACCGCCGACAACAACCATGTGAAGCAGACGCTCAACTTCCTCTCGGGTTTGGTCCTTAAAGGTAGCAGTTTCCACGCAGTCCATGATCTTCTTGCGAATCGCTTGGGCATCGCCAATTTCCTTCAAGAAGCAAGAGTGTTCTCTAACACCAGGAATGCCGAACGTGGCATTTTCGGCACCAACACTGACAACAAGCATATCATAGGCAACCTCAGTCTTGCTGGAACTACCCTTGATCTCAGAGTTATCGTCAATGTAGACAACCTTTCTCTCATGGTCAATCTTGGTAGCCTCTGCTTCGTAGAATTTCACAGCAGCCTTCTTGTGTCTGGTTATACTTCGTATTGGCTCCATAATGGATCGATGTTCGACTGTGCCAGTTGTGCATGATGGTAGAAGGGGAGTGAAGAGGAAGTAATTTCGTGGAGAGATAATGATAACATTGTAGTTCTCAGTATCGAGCTTCTTGAGAAGGGATACCGCACCCCAGCCAGTACCTATTTATAGTCAGGGCCCGTAAAGAGAGTATAGAGAGTCCCAATGGAGTGGGTACCTAGAATGACGAGGTTCTTCTTTGTTGGATCTGGCTCGAATTGGTCATCTGGATGTCTGAGGTCGTAAACACCATAAGCTAGATAAGCCGTTCCAGCAATCGCAGAGAGGTATGTGAGGCGCCAAATCGTCTTGAAGAATGGAAATCTCTTCGACTTCTTCGCTGGAGCAACATCTGCGTAAGCGCGACGAGAGTTCTGGTTCAATCTGCTCCTTTCCAGGAGCATCCGGGAGGTTGGTTGCGCACGTGGAAGTGATTGAGATGACGTCGCAAAGGATCGACGAGTTGCTGAGCTGAAGCCAATTGACGAGGCAGGGAGCCTCATCATTGCTCTTGTCGTCGTGGACGCCATGCCTCCAGTTAGGAGAGAGATGGAAGGAGAGTGCAGTTTCTAGGGAAGCTGAAGATATTTTGCTGACTCTGAGCAAAGCTCTTTTTGCTGAGCTTGGTCCAGGTCGCTTCCCACTAATCTATGGGCCACTGGGCCAGTCGACAGGGGTGGGGCTTTAGATAAGAAATTCGGCGAGAATAAGCAACTCAGGTGCAGCCGCTCCAATCCAATCCAGCAAAGCGTGGGATGGGATGGGACAACAAAAATCACTCAAGCCTCGTACTTACCAGAGTGCAATTTGTTCGCCATGAAAATTTCTCGTTCCTATTGAAATTCTGTGAGTCACTCAAATAAAGGTTTTCTATCTCATCTTGTCTGTGACTTTCAGGGCAAATGGAACACTCACGGCGTTCATTCCGACCACTTGCCGAACCCCCGAACTTGACAATTCCAGCACGTCTCTCTTCAGTCGTCTCTATTCTCTGTTCTTCAAGCAACCTCATTGGTCTGCTGAACTCAGTCTCACCCTCATTCCCGTACGTGCTAGGTTGAGCTCCATTGAGTCAATGTTCTCGGCTGGCCGAATCCGACGGCTCTGCGGAGATTCTAAGAAGGTTCGTTCATCTCTTCAGGGCGAGCGCTTAATATCTTCACTTCGACCGAGAGGGTTCTAGAGGCTCGCATAGCCACAACGCTTCTTCTTGACCGCAAGTAGGGTCTCCTAGACAATATGCGTTGCTGAATCCACATCCTTCCATCGTCCGAACATAAAAGGAAGTCAATTTGCCTAGATGCTCTTACAGAGTTCATAGCTATTCTATGGCACCTGTGTCAAGTTGTCAGGTTCGTTCATGATATAGAACAACACTCTTCTGATTATCTTTTAAGGCAGCTTCTGTGGTTCCCTAACCATGCAGTACAGCTTACAGATATCTCCTTCATCATCACAGTCCATCTGCTTCACAAAATGGAATCCCATAGCCTCATATATTTTCATGTTCGGTACATCTCGGCTGGACTCGAGATAGCACCTCTTTTCCTCTTCATCCGCCATCTTCGTGACTTCCCGAGCCAGCAGCTTCCCAATTCCTTTCCCCTGCTGCCCAGGCAAGACCACCATAATATTTAGGAAATAGTATCCTTTGGGATCTGTCCATATCTCGGATTGAGCCTCAGCTTGCCTTGCTTTCCAGATATAGTAGCGCTGTCACAGTTTAGTCATGTTTTGATGGAGTCGAGAAAGTGGAGAGTCGTCTGATGGAGAGAAACGGGTAAGAGGGCCTCTCACCAAAGCCTAATCTTTGCATCGACTTGTCAGGTCATAGGAAACTCTCCCCGCCGTGTTGACATTCGCATCGAGAGACCTCCCCTGTTATCGTTTGTGAACTCACTCGAGGCTCAAGATCTCAGGTAACGCCCTAGGGTCCAATCTTGACGTAGCCAGCATCGAGACACAGGTCATCGACAGCCTTGACCACATCTGGGTTCGTTTCACCAAGCCATGAAACAACCTTACGCACCTTGACATTCAATCCACCACGGCCATACCAAAGATTCATTCCGACCTGTTGTGTCCACATCTTCCACCCCTCCCACCATTCTCCCCAGGTTTCTTTCCTTTCGACAGACCTCGGAGGCATCCACCTTTTCATCCGTCAGCCCTTCGCAGATACCTAGAAGTCGGTCACCTACATGGCAATTCCTAATACCTTCTCGTCATCATCGGAGTCCTTTGCCACATAAAACAGTGCATTGCGGATGCCCCATCGACAACGAATCCCTAACGATACCCTGTTTCTGATCAAATTAAGCTTTGATCACCAGACATTAGCCACCTGACCAGTTGCTGTAAAGCATGAGAGAATCATAAAGTCTGCCTTGCGGCAAGGCACAATTTAACCTCACACTCCAAAACAAAATCTTTATGTGAGGACGATGCGGCAAATGCCAAGCCACCCATGATTCGACGAAAGTCTTTCCTCGAAAGCCGAGACTCACCTTCGGTCGGTCGCTATACACCCACTAGTAAACCAGAATCAGCAACATGTTTCTCGGTGGGCGATGCTGCTTCAGATGATAACGGGATATTCCTTCAAATCGACGATAGCCGACCCCAGAAGCCCACTTCGGCGGACGAGGTCAGGGACTGATATCTTGACACCAATGCCTACATGAAAGATACAACCAAGGACAGTGAATTCCTTACGAGATTGTAGGGATCATCAGCAAAAGCTTGTTGGATCGCAGTTACCGCGCCCGATATATCGGCCTCTGACAAGCGTGAGATCTGGATTGTCATCTTTACTGGTTACCAGCAAGCCGAAGTTCCTGTCTCGCGTTTGGACGACTCAAAAAGTGGAGGAGATGCAGTTCAATTTCATTCGAATCTAAAAGGTGGGGTTCTTATGATTTGGTCTTAAGGTACGATAAGCCAGATAAGGTAAGGAGATGCCGCTACTTGGCGTAAGCTGGCTCCTTTTTGTGTTATACCAAACCTCTTGGAATGATTCTCCGCATTAAGCCTCAGCATCCTATTAGACCATGGAAATGCTTGCAAAACTCTCGTGACTCTTCAAGATCGGACTTTCTGTCGTTACCTGTAGACCTCCAAGTCACCTCCAAGTAGCCAGGACAGCGATGCTCTACAGCAGGATAAGTGTTGCTGTCAAATAAGCGCTTGACGAAGATATTTCAAGCATTCAGATAGTTTCGTTACCACACTTCACCAAATGAGGAAATTATTCCGATACAGATTGGCATGTGTGCGGTTCGTCGTAGTCTAGAGGGCGTGATGAAGTTGGAAGACATTTTCAAGGGCTCGTCTCGAAAATCGATATGAGGGGAGACGATCGTCGACCCCGAGATGAAATACCTTCGTAACCTCAGTATCTCCAACGAGCCAAGGATTCAAGTATATGAACAGTCCACTTCCTCAACTCTTAATTAATACGTCTATTCATGAGCTCGTCGCCCTATTCACTATTCAGGCTGCATGATCATTTAGATGAGCTTGTTTGAATAAGATCTATCAACGCTCTTTCTGACTAGGTGCGTTTTATGATGTCCTCGGAGGCTGGAGACTATGAGAAGTCGGAGGAGTCAGGCCATCGTCAAGACTTGCTTGCTTGCTCAGTGTTTCCTCGCAAGGCTGACGAGTAGCAAGCTGATCTGGTGCAGCGGCATCTCCTTCCTCCTCCTCCTCCTCCTCCTCCCTCCTCCCTCCTCCATCCTCCACCGATTCTGGGCTCTCCCTTCGGCTTGGCCAACATTTATCCGCAGTTAAAGCATAGAAAGTTGTCCCGGCATGGAGCTTTTGCGGGGCACAGACTGGAATTTGAAACAGACAAAGCCGCAGACCCCCAGCCCAAACACGAGCCCTGTCTCGCTTGTATCTTCTTACCATGCGAATGCCGTCCATCCTCACCAAAACTTCTCCACCGCATATCCACCACTCCACCACAACACAGCGTAAGTTGCGCAGCAACGCTTCTTGGTGGCTCCATATGCTCAATGCAATGCTGGTCCCTGCAATAAGGATCGCCCGCAAGGTCCATTCCAGTGCTGCCTGGCCTATGGATGGCTCCCAGCTCGCATACAAGTGGAGCGAGTACGTGTGAAAAGGGGAAATTTGCGGTCTCAGATCACTGCCAGACTTCACTCGCAAGGTCGCAACCACTGAGGTGAGTCGAGCTCAGCGTCGGCACGAGCTCTCCAGGATGTCGCATGTATTGTGAATCCACTATTGCACGAACCACGAAGCCCTCCGTGCGGTCTCCAGCGCCTCATCTCTGACGCTAGGCCCTTGAGACTACCTCTCTCGCCTTTCTCGCTGCCAACACCTAATCCACCTTGCAGTAGTCCTCGGGGGGCAGCAGCAGATCTTCGATCCTGGCATACTCTTTTCTCTTCACCACTCTTCTGGTCTTTCATTCTCTTCTTCACACGCTGGCTCGTGACTACATTCTTGGGTTGGAATCCATCTTCGAGAGAAGTTCACACTACAGCAACTACCACTTCTACAGATTTTAGCACAGCTGAACTTTTCGGGAGCATCATTGCATGCTCAGAGACCTCAGGCATTGTGGCGTACGACACTACGGAAGGCCAGCGAGAGCCTGGCAAGTTATGAATGCAACAATGGCGCCCATGGTATCAGAAGACTCGTTGGGAGAAGTGAGGAGGCGGCACGATCCATCGCATAGGTCACTATTGAGGAGGAAAGACGATGATGAGACGGATGACAACGACAGTCGAGGGAAACGAGATGATGATAGTGATGATGAGGAGGAGGAAGGAGACAAGCGGGGTGTTCGCAAGGACGACGAGGAGGATGATGATGACGACAATAACAGGCCAGAACAAAGTCCCACACTTCTACCACCAGCTCCTCCACCGCAACTTGTCTCGACAATGACCGTTCCAGGGGCAGCAGCAGCTCCTACAACTGTTGTAGTTGTGTCGACACTTACAGCTCCTCCTTCGGTCTCCACCATTTGGATGACAACGTCAATAATTGCAACACCATCAACACCCTCGAACCCCCCAGTCTCTACAAGTTCAACAAGTTCGACAAGTTCAACAAGTTCAACCAGTTCCACTGATTTACCAAGCTCACCGGTTCCCCCATCACCAAGCAACGTGAGAACTTCCCGATCTCTGGTATAGTTGACTAGCTTTCAATGCTAACATAATATAGTCTGTCTTATCTACTATGTTTCCAGCGTCATCTTCTGCACCGCCCGCACCGACACTTCCACCTTGGGAATCATTACCAAATATTGATGACAGACCTCGGAAGGGATTGAACACAGATGACGACCGGCCATATATGAGCACCACTGCCATGATTATGACCGCCACCAGTACCATCTGGACCTCAGTGATCATCCCCCAAACTGCCTTGGCATCTGCAACAGTTTCTGCACTGCCTGATTCGGATGGCTACCGCCCAGAAGGGGACCATAGAAATAGGGAGAAAAGTGGACAATTATCAGACTTGGCCGAGCACCTTCTGATTGCTGCGGGAGCAATTGGTACGTCGTGGTGGATATACCCCGTGAACTTTTACTGACGCATATTAGGTGCATTTATCTTGGTTGCTGCTGGCATTTATTTCCTTCACAAAATGAAAAGAGATCCGCTTACTGCTGTCCGAGATAGACGGTTCACCAAGGGAGGTCCTCGTGGCTGGTACGGCTGGAGAAAACAGGGACGAGGTTACATGATGGACGAGCCACCATATTACTACGGGCAGGAATATTCTTCGAACGAAAAGGCCATGTCCAACCAACAGCATATTGAACGACAGAGCGAGGTTGCTTACTCTCCTGGTGGGATGTCAAACATGGGGAATGGAGTTAATGCAGATGCATTGTCTCGTGCGAATTCTCAGCGGCAAGAGGCAATACGCCAAATCCTCCTGGACACTTCTGTCCCATATGTCCCTCAGTCCAACCATGCATCACCAGTCGTACAGTCTGCTGGCGTTTCTGCTACCCAGGCTTTCTACAATGTCGAACCCCAGACCACCACCTTGGCTCGAGAACCATCGAGTGCATATAGCAATACTGGCATCCAAAACGTACCCAGCTCGAGCTTGGCAGACTACAACAATACGGGCAACAAAAATACTCTGCTATCGAGACAGCCAGACACTCAGACCGCAAACCTTGCACGACAACCATCAGATGCCTTTGATCCTAACCCAAGGGAAGGCAATCACATGAGCTACATGTCGTCGCTATCTTCCGGCTTTGGCGACGGACTCATTATGCCCGAGCCAACGGTAAATGGGGGTGCATCACGACAAACATATCGCCAGTCTCGTAACCCCGGAATCTCCAGATTTTCTTGGTCCACCGCAACGCCCCAAAGTCCAGGACTGAAGGGTGATCGTGACACAATCTACACGACCACGTCCACCGACTCGGCACCACGATTCCGGACTGTCAACTCATGGGTCGCTCATCAAGCTGGCCGAGTCGATAAGAATGGTCAGACTGTTCCAAATATGCCACCGCTTCCGTTGACCATTCAAACCACTGGTTTCTCGGATCATCAACGGAAGCCCAGTGAAGATCCTGCTTTCAAACACCACCCAGGTGAAGAGATTGAGATTGGAAAGGGTTCCAGAGTACCAAGCGCCATCTTGGATAGGAAGACAAATGTAAATTAGGGGGTTTCATGAGCCCATGCATTGCATGTGGTCTCGTTCTGTTGTATATATAAATTTTCGAATCTCTGTGTCTGGTACCCAGAAGATAAAATTCAGCATAGCGTGGAGTTGGGAATGGAGGATGAGGCATAGACGGACTACAGCCAATTACTAATGTCCTGAAGAAGAGCAAGAAGAAGAAGAAGAAGAGATCGGAATCTGTAAGAAAGGAGGTTACATTGTACGTAGCAGAGGATGGGGAATCTAAATCTCAAAATACTCCCAAGGGTGCTCGTGTGAAATTGGTGCAGTGCGTGCATTGTGCAGCTCGCTTCATATATTGACATTTCAGAATCATCATGTGTTATTCAGGATGTTTCACACGAGGCATGAGGCGTACTCGCAAAGTTTGTGACCTTTAGTGTCTAATCGGACTGGTTCCTCGCATGACTTGCTCGTACCTTGATTACATACACCTCCGAGACGAGGGCTATGGAGGAGGAGGAGAAAGCGGAAGCCCTCTTTAGTGGCGCTGAAGCCTAGCGAAAACAAACTCCACCACAACTTCTGCTCACGTGTGTTTTAGCGCGGGCGGAACGCTATTTTTAGTCCGAGCACTCCCTGTCAATTCAGCTCAGCCTCACCACTCACGAGGACTTCCCCTTTGACTCGTCAGCCCCGCGAACTGCGCCAACCCAGCCGTTCGATACCTACCTGCATTTCTGCAGTGATGTTAATCTCGAACTTTCTTCTCGTTCCCAAACGAACAAAGAAAAACACCAACACTTCACCAACTTAGGTAGGCTCGCGAGGAAATCAATCAAGTCTGCTTGCCACTTACCAAACCTTGCTTGATACAACCGACGGACATCTGCTGCTCCTGCAGCTGCAAACAATATGCTGGACGAGAACCTTCCAACTTTCTTTATCAAGCCTTCTTCCGACAACCCCGCCTCTAGTACCATCTTCCTGCGAGAGAACGGCTCTGAACTGCAGCCCGAGTATACGCTACGAAAACCAGAACCCCACCTCCCAGCATCAAAGAATTGCTATGCTGTAGGACTCTACGACTCGTACAATACAGAGGTTCTGTACGCAGAGGTTCTGGTGCGTCCCGAATGGCAACAGCCCACTCTGTCTGCAGCCGAGATTCGAGCTCAAAATGGTGTTCCGCCTCCTCCTGTACCTATTGTCCCAACTGCTTTCACGATTCAGCTATATAACCCAGATCAACAAGTGGTTGTGAAGCAGATAGCTTCAACGTGGAACAGCTCGGCGTACTGGGAGTTTGAGATGCCACAGAATAGCTTTCGACTTCCCTCAGCCTCATCTCTAGACCGAAGCCAAAGCGATCCCGCAGTGTCAGACATAACGCCGAAAATTGCATTCAAGTGGAAGAGGGACGGCAAGCTGTCGAAGGATATATCTTGTTTCTTAGCGGGGAAGTCAACGGATGGCAGGAAGAATAAGGAGCCCGATATCACAGTTGCTATGTTCAAAGGAGTCAATCTCACAATCTACCAGCCAAATATGCATCGTGTTGATGTGGAAGACGTCAAGGGGCTCGAGGTGGTTCTGCTTCTTGGCGCAGCCGTCATCAAGGACATTTTTTTTAATGCCAACAGAGAAATGTTCAATATCAGTTCGCCGACTATTGGATCACCTCCTCCAAATACAAGACGGAAGAACAGTGGACCTGTTATTGCAGGGAAACCCAGCTCAACCACGCCTGTGATGTCCGGGGCTATGATGAGCACCCCGCTCCAAAGACCCAACAATGTTCCGGCGTCACAGATCCCTCCTCAGCAGCCTCCAAGACAACAACAGCAAAGCTCGCGACCTCCACCAGCGGATCCTCGTACACAATGGGAGATCGATGCTGAAACCGAACGACTCAAGAAGATTGTACAAGAAGAAGAGAGAGCTCGCGAGAAAGCAGACCGGGAAGAGCAAAAGCGAATCAAGAAGATGCTGGAGCAGGAAGAAAAAGACCGTAAACGACGAGACGCAGAAGTAGCCAAAGAGACCGAAAGACTGAGAAAGCAGTACGGAGTGACAGCCGTTGATCCAGGACCAAGGGTGCAGTTCGCACCCGCGATGCCGGTTCGGCCTCAAGCTTTACCACAGTACCAAAGTGCTCCGCATTCAAGACCCGTGCCTGTCCCGAGACCTCTGAGTACCCCTACTGGGCCTCTACCCTCTGTCAACCATGGATCAAGTAGTGGCTGGTTTGGAGGCTCTCCACCTGCCCTCCGACCGCAGAATAATAGCCCTTATTTGCAGGCACCTGGTAACTCCGCCGCGAGCTCAAGTGGCTTCTTTGGTTTGGGAGGACGGAAGATGCAGAAGAAGAGAAGTGTGTTCTTTTAGTTACTTTGTGATACCAAGTGCAGCATTTAGGTAGCATCAGTGGCGCTAGGTGACATTCGGCGTATTCATTTATAGGATGGATTTATTATTCTATATTACGAGCAATGATTATGAATGAAATGTTAGAAACAGCTACCCTGTTGTATTGTTACTTCATTCCTCTCTCTTCTCACTGCAGTCATCGACTTCGTTCATCTACTCGTTCTGGCGAACCGACCAAACGCATGGGCTTTTGTGTAGAATAAACATGAGTCAAATGACCAAGAGTTTTCGCCGAAGAGATTCGTCACAATCACCGTACCGAACATCAATATAGCTTAGGCAGGTGCTATACATGGTCCTCCCATGATTCATGTCCTCGCTATGGTTGATGCAACCCGGATAGTCGGAACAGGAGTCATGGGTACTTTGTCTTGAATCTCAAGTATCACACGAAATCCGCTAGAAATAAAACATGGGACGTCGCGCATATAAAGCCAATTCTTAGGGTGGCTGGCAGACAACTCTTGTCACTGCAGTAGGGGTGGGCAACGCGCTATGTTTTCTCCCTCAAGAAATGGCTCTTCATCATCGTTCAGGGTACAATCGAAATGATCTCTCGCATCATTAAGAAAGTCTTTACCAGCAGCGGATGATTTTCACAGTCTGCAGCCTACTGTATAGGAGATGCTGTAGCTCCATTTTTGTTGTAGCTTGCCGTCTCTGTCGCAAGTCCAAAGCCTGCCTCTAACCGATCTTGGTCGCGCTCTTAATATTAAGCATTGCCATGATCTGAGTTCCGTTCTCTAGACGTGGAGGCGAGGCCTAGCATTAGTTAATACCAAATGGAGCCGATTTTGTGACAATAGTGATAGTCATAGTGTAGAATTTCATTCGCAGACTGTCAGGAAGTGTGAGAGTTTCGTGGTTGTTTAGAGGTGAAGACATTTGCAATGTTAGATCCGATGTCACGGTTCTGGCCATTGATCATTACAGTAAAATTCAGATCGTTCACAAGCTTATACTAATTCATTATATCCTTTTTTTGTGTCTATAGCTTCCCTCTCCAGTCTTAATTTCTCCAGTGAAGCAGCTTCTGGTGAGTTGAAAGGCATTGTTGAAGTTAAGCGAGGACCCCCATCAGCTCTAACATAAACATAAACAAAAACGAAACAAGAAGAAGAAGAAAATGCAAACGCCGCTGGCAACCAAGAATGCAAAATAGTCTGAGAAAGAGCTTGACTGTCTCTTCAAAACATTGCCTGCCGCGAAGAATTTAGCCCCATATCGAAGAACGAGGGCGAAACAAACTACATGACTCAACTGGAAGCCTATACTCGAATGCGTACAAGGTTCCAGAGTACAAACGTAACCTAATGCGTTATTCGGTTCGGCCGTGATATTTGGTGTTCGTATACCATTCGAAATGGTGATAACAACCAGGTCACGCAAGGTCACGTCGGTGGCGCAGTTGAAAATTGCGAAATTGGTTATACTCTAGGTAGTAGAGAGTAAGTTATTGGTGGAGTGCACTCTCGTACCGGGCTCTAAATCAAAACTGCAACTTGCAGGCCAATTTAAGCATTTCATAGCAAAGCTTGTTGATAGATCAGTTGCAGGCCGACATAATCCACTGTTTGCCAAATGCGAATTAGAGAGTTCTCCTTGAAATTATCTCCGCTATCTAACATGAAGTCCAGGCTTGTTGTCCGAAATCCCGCCTCGCGGTCCATAGTTTCCTATGATACTTACAGGTTGTTGAAAAATTTATGACCACGAATCTACGATATCAAATTTCTATTCCAAATATCTTCCAGCATTGACGTGCCGCATGTTCATTCCTCCACAACGATGAGATTTCGAATCTGAGAACACTTTGCAAACTCCTGATAATAGGGATGTATTTTTGACTTCCATTTCCGAAATATGCTTCTTCTAATCCTCTAGTACACACGGCCCGCTTCTAAAATTTCTTACTCCAATACTTACCGCTCCGTCAAATGAACAAAATGACAAAGACATCCGAGCTACTTGCTTGGTTCATCATAAGCTGCTCCTCAGCCTGCGGGGTTTGTTCGATGCACCTACGATAGATCGGCACTTTCTTAACTCTCATGCGTGCGAAAACTCGGCACCGCTGTCGATATCGAGAGAATTGCTGGGGCTGATGGGCAACTTTTATGTGGGTGTATGCTACTTCGAAGTGCTCTTTAATGTGGGTGATCCGGGTGCTGGAAATGGATTCTAGCTTCAGTGAAGACAGTTTGTTGACTTCAGAGCAGATATTTATTCCATCACCTCAACGCGGACTCCAACGTGGGCTACTGCCTTTGGATCCCGTACCTAGCTCGTCAAGTCTGGCGATTTCTGACTTTCCGGCTCCAAATAGCTCCTTGGAGGCAATGGCTGCTGAGTATACAGATACTACAGTATGGACTACCGTGAATAAAGTTAACGGCATGGATAGAAAGCAGGACAGCGAGGCAAAGAAAGCTGTCAGTGAATTATTTTTATTTTTATACATTATGACGAAAAACAGACTGGCCTCAGGCTTGATTCAGAAGTGGCTCATGGTATCGCTTGCCTTTGATTGTATGACTATGTAGGTATGCGGCGAAGTTGGAGGGTATGGATGGTAAATTGGAGGCTGTGAGGGTTTTGAGGAGGTTTGTATGTTGCCGAGTAAAAATGTGACTGGGGGAATTTTGGAGGTGATCTACCTAGAGCTCCCGGCTTTTGATCAGACGAAGAGAAAGGGATCAATTTTCTGCAACACCGCATAGCTAAAAGAACACCCACTAGATAAAGGAGAAATGAGGAAGAAAGCTAAAAATGGCACCTGACCTGGGTTGATCTCGTGGTGGACTATGAAAATTTATCTCATAAATCAGACCCTCCTTGGTGATACATTCGCCCAACCCCCTTAACCGAGCCAATTAGAGTGGCTTAAGTGGGGGCGGGCACGAATTTTCACCGGAGGGTCTAAGGGAAAATAGTGGTTTTCGAGGGGTCCTACGGTAACTTTAGGTGAAAGAGACTACTATTTGATCAAAATACTAAAACAGATATATCGATACTTTAAAATTATCCGATTCTTATAAACAAAGGCTCATTTAAAAGCCCTTGTAATTCTCTATCTTTTAAGCTACTTCTTAAGTTATTTAGATTAGTAGTTCTCTTAAACTTTTGAAGTGTTCTTAAAGTAACTATATTTGTTCCTTAGAAATATACCCTATGTAAAGGTAGTGGTAACCACTTCTTTACTATACCCGATTAGGAAGAGTCTAGAGCTCGGCAAAGCTTAGTAAGACTCGGTAGAGCTTAGTTAACTCTAAAGGGGTTTACCGACAGTTACCTACTTAGTTATATATAAAGGGAAATAGCTCTATAGTACTATAGGAGTTTATGTTAAGTTTTACGTTAAGTATTATTAGGCCTAATCGAGAATAGCCCGGGGAATTTATCTATATAAGCTTAAGCGCCCTCCACGGAATCGAAGGCTCCTTAGCTTAATATTTATACTAATAGAGAGGTTATCACCTGATCTGTAGTTATTTCGCTCACGTGCTAGCTAACGCTAAACTATACTATTACATTATATCAAGCTTAAATTATACTACTAGTAATAGCGTAATAATATCCTGACGACTTATACTCGTTACCCTAAGCAAGCTTTTATTTTTCGACCCTTATTATCGCTACCTTACTAGTGCTACGCACTCAGTTATATAATAACAGACCACTTATATAAAGTAATAAGATTATACTTAACCTAGCGTTATTTGAAAGCTAGAATCACCTAGCTTTACTATTAGTTAGAATTGCGAGGCTAGCTAAAAGTAGATAAGTGCTTATTATTACCTAATACTCTTATATCAACTCTAAACGTCTAACTAGGTCACGGGACTTAGCTATATAATCCGACTACTAAGCGTCGTGCTAGTTATTAAGAACACTCCTAACTCGGACTAGTATCTTATTCGCTATTAGCTATTATAAGAGCTAATATCCCTCTTAGAAACGTTATTATATTATAACAGCGAATAAGAGCTACTTCAGAGAGCTAAGCGAGCTCACTAGTATACTTCTAGTAGTAGTAGAAAAGACTATTTTTATAGCTCTTATTCTTTAATACGCGCGGCTCCCTGAAAGAACTAATTAAATCCTTAAGTTTAAATATATATTCAACTTATACGCGTAAAACGCTAAAAAGAGTTATTTTAGTACTTATTACAACGGTTATTATTCTGTAATAGGATAAGATACGCTAGTACGTAACGTAAAGGTTACTATTCTATATTATAATAGTAAAAAGAGCTTTTATTAAGCTTATACGCTGAAAGGGTTGTTTATATAATTAACTTACCTTTTAAAAACCTTATATTATTACTTAACGATATCTTAGTTAAACGTTAACTGATATCCGCGATTTTAGTAGCTAATTAATAGTACGAACTATAAGTTCTCGATATAATACTCGGGGTAATCATAATAATAGCTCTCCGAGTAGAAATACGACTTCTACAGAAAATTAAGATAAATTAAACTAATTAAGAGTTAATAATAAAGTTAAGTTATTCTCTTTAGTTCAAGGTACTCCTACTAGAGTATAAATACCTAGCGCTAGTAATATAGACTAATCAGAGGTAGAAGAAGCTTCTATAGCTAGACCTAGGTCTTACTTATAACAGAGAGATTTAGCTAATAAGAGTCTAATAGACTAAATCGCCGAACTACGTAATATAATATAAGAGTAAGCTAAAGAGAATCGCGTATTATAGCGAGAATTATAAGAGCTAAAAAGCTCTAACTCTAACCTTAATCGAGTAAGAGATAAAAGCCCTTTAAGGTATATTTATAAAAATACACTTAGAATAAATATTACAGAATATACTAAAGGTAAGTAAAGAGATAAGGAAAAAACGCCTATAACACGTATTACAACTCTATCGCCTAATCGACTAATCAGAGAAGCGAACACTACGACTCACTTTATAACTTAAATTCAAAGAGAGCTTCCTAAAGCGTCTCTACCTTTAATTTCCCCTGTAAATTCCTCTTTTATTAGAGATATAATTAGAGCTACTATCGTAAGAGCCCCTAATAGGTTTCCTAGATATAATAATAAGCAGCGTAAAACCGGAAAAATACATGATCTGAAGCCGCTTATAGATAGCGTAGACTTTATATTTAAGTAATAGGAATTATCGATTATTTCTAAGCTAAAAGTAAATTAGAACTACTTTAATAACGAGTTTACTCGTATAACTTATATATATAATATAACAGAGGGTAAAGTATAAGAAGCCTTATTTATAAGGTATAATACGTATAGCGGGGATCCTTATACGCACTATACGGAGCTAATAGCTGATTTACGTAAGATCTTTATTACTAAGCAAACCGAATATAATAGCTTATATATATTATCTACTAACGATTTTAGTGATTTCAAAGCTAAATTCCTACGCCTTACTAATAAGGCTAGAAAGCCTAGGGATCGCTTAAAAGACTACTTCTATATAAAGTTATATCCTGATCTTAGAGCTACTATAAAACCTATAATAAACTTTATTAACGGATTTAACAAGTTTTACTAAGCTACGCTAAAATCGCATAAACAAGAGAGGCTAATAGCTAATTAAAAAAGAAAAGAGTCTATTATTACAACTAGCGGCTTTAAAACCTCTAGATCGGCTTATAGAGAGTAAAGAATATAAAATCATTATAATAACGATTATATAAAAAAGACTACTGAAAAAACTATAGCTATTACAGCTATAAAGCCTAATCAGGAAGTACGCTATTATAAGTGTAATAAGGTAGAGTATTTATTACCTTAATACCCTGAGCCTAAATCAGGTGATCTTAAAGAGCTAGATTAAGAGGAAATCAACGAAATCAGCTAATTAGAGAGCGAAGCTAATTTAAAAGAAAAGGCTTAAAATAAGACTCTCTTTTAAGCGAATATAGTAGCGTAATAGATCTAACTAACTTAGACCTATCGACGCTAATAAGCGGCCTATACTTTACCTACTCTTATCGCCTTAGTAAAAACAGATATTCTATCTAATTACGCTCTTTAATTAATATAGGCGCTAATAGCTTCGCTTTCCTAAATAAGCCTTTTACTAAGAAATTATAATATCTCTTTAGTGTTACACTTTAATAGTTATTATAGCCTATTATGATAAAAAGCTACGACGGAATCGCTAATAATCAGATTACGTCTTATTTTTCTCTCTCTTTTATAATTAATAAGTATAAAATAGTTAATATACCTTTCTTTTTACTAGAATTAGGTAATTATAACCTTATTTTAGGCTATATTTAGTTAAAGTACTTTAAAGTATTACTAGATATAGCGGGAAAAGCCTTAATTTAGCCTAGCGAGCTTCCTAAGAGCGTTAGACCTTTTTATAAGGAAATATCAATTAGATAAGAGTAACTTAAAAAGAAGCTAATCGATAAAAATTATTAAGATAATATTAATTAATATCTAGAGGCTTAAGAGGCTAAAGAGCTTAAGCTAGTACCTATCGCTATAAGCGAGAAAAAAAAGCGAAAAACGAATCGCCCTAAATTAGTAGCTAAAAATTCATTTAAAAGCGAGCTACGCGAATAGCTTAAAACTATAGAAAGAGAGTTATTAGAATTTTCTAGTTCTAGCTCTTATAAACTAGTTACCTTATATTATAATTTACTTACCCTACTAAAATCGAGAAATACTACTAGCTCTTCTCTAGATATTTTTACTATTAGCGCTACTACTTTTAGTTAAATAATAAATAGGGATAAAGGGCAGGGAACTAAGCTATTTATAACTAGCTTATACGAAATCAATCAGCTAATAGCTAAGCTTTCCCTTAAGGATCGAAGCGAAATAATAGCAAAAGTACCTGAGTTTTTAAAGGACTTATACGATACTTTTAGTAAATAAAAGTCTAATAAGCTACCTCTGTATAGAGACTATAATTATAAGATAGTTCTTAATAAACCTTATAACTTAAAATATAGTCCTTTATATAATATATCACGGGAGGAGCTAGTCCTAACTAAGGAGTACTTAGAGGATAATTTATATAAAGGCTTTATAAAGCTTTCGAACGCTTCCTTCGCTTCACTGGTCTTATTTATTAAAAAACTAGGAGGTAGCTTACGCTTTTATATCGATTTTAGGAAGCTAAACGAGATTACACGAAAAGATCACTACCTAATTCCTTTAATTAATAAGACACTAGCTCGTATTAGTAAAGCTAAGATATTTACTAAGCTAGATATTCGATAAGCTTTCTATCGAATTAAAATAGACCTTAATAGCAAGGAGCTAACTATATTTAGAATACACTATAAAGCGTATAAGTGTAAAGTACTACTTTTTAGTCTTATAAATAAACCCGCTACTTTTTAAAGGTATATAAATAACATCTTATCAGACTATTTAGACGATTTTTATACTACTTACCTTAATAATATTCTTATATATTCCGAAAATATTAATAAGTACGAAAATCACGTGTAAAAGGTTATTAAAAAGCTAAAGGACACCGGCTTATAAATCAACGTTAAAAAAAGCGAGTTTTTAGTTACACGAACTAAATACTTA